ATTGATGTACAAGTATGATGATCCCTCGCTACTCCTCCAAAGCCACTTATCTAGCGCAAAGTCTTTTATTTATTCAGAGACTTTGCAAAGTCAATGCCAGAATTCCGGAGCATCTCTCTAAGTAGTACGACCAGAAAATCTGGCACATCACGGGAGGTGGTAAACCATAATAAAGCATGCGGGAAAGGTGTTCCTTCTTGGTGTCCGAGGAAAGCTCGTGTTTTTTCTTGGTTTACACGGAAACCTCGTGGGTTGTTACCCGGTCGTGTAGTTTCAGGAAGATCAATAATTTCAGAAGGATGATGAATTGCTGTATCATCCGCATGCTCCATCTTGTCCTTTTTGACTTTTCTCTTCTCCTTAGCCTGAGTTGTTTTCTTCTCCTGAGATTGTTTTGTTTTCGTCTCAAGGGATTGTTTTGTTCCTACATCCAAGAACGTAGCATTAGACTCAGCTCCGCTAGTAGACCTGAGCGCTTCTCCCTGTCCCTTGAAGTCGAAATTATCGGCAAGATCTCGCACGATGGTACGTATATTAGAAGACGGGGTGGGCGTGGTGGATAGAAGACGTTTTTGATACAACAATCATAGCAAAATAAAATGGAAAAGGTTTCCAGAAAACACTAATAGCAGAACCAATAGTACTAGGAGCCACCTTGTTCTAAGTGATCGGTAAAAATAAATCATCCTAATTTCAATTCAATTCAATTCAATTCATTGGCGCGACTCCATCCCCCCATCACTGGGCGTAGTCGACGAGAGCCACAAAAAACGGCACACCAGGCAGACGAATCTGCCATGTGGAACCGAGTTTGACACCAACAGCCCCCGATCTCTTATTCTTCCGAGAAAGGTCCGACTTGAGGCATCACTGGAGCGTGTGGGCATTCGTGCTGGCACGCAAGCTTTTACGTCCAAAACACCGGTCCACGAGCCAAAGCGCGGGCGGCAGTGACAAAAGGAGCTGGGGCGCTGCTATCTATATACTCTATCTACTGCCAAGTTACTTGCAACATTCAACTAGCAAGGTCTTGGGCACCCATCTTCCAGCACGCAAACTAATTACGTTATCGGCTATCTATCCTAATCTCCTTAAGTCACCGCCCCCCTTGCCTCGAGAACTACCGATATCTCAGACGGCCCAATGCTAAGGTACTTGCTGTTTTTAATAGGTTCAAAGTCGGAGGAGGTTGACGAGGAAGTAATGAATTCTACAAGAATATAAATTACATGGTTTTGACTCATCCTGCTTAATCACGTGACTGTAGTGGTGAAAATGCAAAACAGATGTGGCTAACAACGTGTGTAAAACACCAAGGAACATTAAAATGCTAGGTTTATCACTAGCGGGGTCCGCTTCACATTTCCACTGGAACGAAGATCTGCAGGGGAGAAGAGAGGGGGGGAGTCAACCGGGATGGAGGACCCCAGATCTGATGCATTCTCTCAACGGGCTCCCTGGCTCTTTTACTCCTACAGAGGTGTTGTTATTTGTCAATGACCGAGAGCCTTGCATGCTTTGCTAGATCTGTGTCTCGTGACTCCCGTCTAAACTTTATCTTTATCAGTAAGACTCTCTCATATTCATTTCGCTCTCGTCTCACAAGCTTAATTTCTCCTCTCGGGTATCATTTACAAATTTATTTAAGTACCTGTTGAATCGGAGTCCATAAGTCACACAAACTCTCTCGTCACTCCAACAGACATTTCTCACGACACGCTAGATCTCGATCAGCTTCCCGAAGGCTACTGGCAGATCACTAAAACGTGTAACATTCACCCAGGTAGGTAGATGATTGCCACACGAATCAGTTTCTCTCATGACAGATTCGGTTCATATTCTGGGATTAGACGGTAGTCAAAAAAAAGATAACGAAGCCGTCAACAAAACTCGCAAGAATGACTAAGGCCTTTCAGGTTCAGAAATACATTATCCCTACTAATTTCTCTGCTAATACTATTTAATAGTTGGAAGGAATAAACACAAAACTTCGTACTTCAAGACGAGCTACTTGTCGCACTCGAACTGGGGTACTTGCTTCTTCTAAGCGCTTGAACTTATTCACTTTCCCCAGTGCTTTGACTTTCATTTGCAAACTTCTTCTAAGATGAAACTCAGATTCCAAAACTCAACTTCCAACGAAGACGAACTTCCACCACCAAAAATCTACAACCAGTGCGATAATGACACTCAACATAGCTATCTTCAACATTTTGTAGGTCTACTTTATTTTGTGATGTCTACTTTAATTATTTTGCAGTTCTACATTCAGGCTAAGGAAAACATTAACTTTCGATCTTAATAGAAGTGAATCCAACTAGTACCATTAGTGGTAAAAATCGGAATAGAGACAGTTGTAGAAGATACGGCCAGTAGTGGCAGTAGGAGTAGACTTTCACGTAGTTTACCTAGTCATGACGTCCAACAAGAACGATGCAATATGTTGATGTGGTCGAGTCATTGACGATACTCGATCATGATAGTACTAGTAATATGTTGATGTGGTCGAGTCATTGACGATACATGGAAGATTGATGCTAGTTAGTACTAGTAATATGTTGATGTGGTTGAGTCATTGACGATACTCGATCATGATAGTTCGATTTATTCTATTTTTTGCGTCCGTAACTTTGTCGGGTACAAAGGGAGCCAGGAATTCGAGCATGGATGAGAATGCGGAGGTTGCGATCGAATGCGTCACATTCCGGGAACTCGTTGTCGCCTTAGAGTTTTCACAACAGAAGCGGTTGTGGTTTCCACGACCGTGAATAATAGGTGGCAAATGTACTTATATGCCGGACGTTTTTCGTTGGACACGTCTAGAGAAGTCACAGAGAGCTCGAACGAAGCCCTAAGAGTCTAGGTAGTCTAGGTGGTAGGTAGCGCATGATCTTCATATCAAACTTATTTATTAAGATCCTGGTGGTGGTGGACGTACTTACTTCCTTCTTGATGACGCGAACCCATTCGGCAAGCTACCTAAGATTTCCCTGACGGTGACGACTTACTTACTTCTTACATCAAAATTAGAGCGTTGTACTAGAACAAACAATGTAGTCGGTCCTACTTGTCCAGTTCTAGATATAGGAAGATCAAAAATTTCGATAAGAGAGAGAAGATCAAGATTTTTACCTTGGTAGTACACATAGTACTACAGAGACACAGTCTAATGGGTGGTAATGATCCTAGATCTAGTGCTAGTCCTAGTCTTTGACACTAGAAGATAAGAATTTAAAAACCCGTGGTCTTAACATTCATCTCCTGACTTTGTGGATCGTATCCCCCGCGCAGGTTTCTCCCCCAAACACAACTACTGCTCATGAAAGAAACCCACACCAACAGCACTCGGACCATGTTGATGGCCGACAGCTCGTTTTTATACTTGGCGCGGTCGTGATCGTCTTTTTAGAAGAGTAGTTCTTATGATGATGATTTTGATGGAGATGATCATAATCATGATCAACAGAAGCACAAAAGGTTTTTTATGGTTGTTGGTAGTCTAGAAGCAAGTACTAGATGGCATCTAGCAGTTGTTCACGTGGTCACTTTTCAAGAGAACTAAGCCTCAAGAAATTGCATTACCAGATCATGTGTCTACTTGCCATAAAAACGTTGGTGCCAGCTGTGTGCTCCGCGCCGCGAGTCAGTATATCCGCCGCCTGGATGCGGACGACAAGGTCGTCCGCTGAAATCCTCTTGTTGTTCAACTCCTCTGGCAGACGACATTTTTGTGTTCCTTGATTTCTCTGTGAAAAGAACCAGACCACACTGATTAGGAATTATCCGTCGTTGACGGAGTCGGATAGGAGGAAGAAGATTCGGAGTTGCTGATGTACTAGCAGGTGTTGATGTAGATGTAATTGTGGATTTGGTTACAGACTGCACTAGCAGACGTTGTTGTACTGGACTGCTCGTCTGTCTTGTGGGAGTTGTTGTTGTTGTTGTTGATGCAGACTACTCGGTCTTGGGGAAGACTAAGAAGTTCGACAAGAAGTAGTACACTAATTAAAAATGTTGTGATGTTGCTGGTAAAAACAAGTATAGGCCGTCACACGACACAGGGTCTTATGACGATCTCAACAAATTTTCCTACAACTGAGGTATTGGGAAAAGGAAGTCGTTTGTAGTTTCGTCGATCTTACTTAATCTTTTTCTTATCAACACATCTTGAACTTGAAGAAAGATAGTTCACGCGGATACTAATCCATCATGGACAAGAATGGTAGATTCAAGAATCAGGAGTTGGTGGAGGTTCTATTTTTCCAGCAGCCTAAGGGCAAGTAGATTAATAAATTTCTTATTCAATTTCAGAAAGTAGAAATACAACAATCAAGCGTGGTCCATAACACTGAATGAAAAATGTATGCTGGTCACAAGCAATGGGTGGTCTCCTATCTTCTTCTATGAGGGATGCGAGGTGGAGTTGGTTTGGCGAACTTCAACCTCTCGTGTATGTTTTTTCGACACTCTCAACAGAGTCAAATGTCTCTCTCCCTCAACAGATTAATGCTTGGGATCTCCTCGTGTCATCGTGGTCGTGCGCATCACTCGTCCTGAAGATATACTATTAGATATAGCTATTATACAGATGCAGATCATATTATTACCGAAATGATTTTCGAAATTTCGAAAGAACACGGCCTTGATTTTGATTGCTCCTTAGCCATTCACACTTCGATTTGGATTTGGAGTGAGCACGACACTTGCATATTCAACATTGTCCTGCTGCTCTCAGGGTAGTTTCTGAACAAATTACTGTTCAACACACCCTTGTTGTTGAATCACTTTTAAGGGCCTCGGCTAAAAAGCCAACAACTGCTGGGCTATTTGCATGCAAAAATACTGAATTCAAGTGACAGTTATTTTTTCTATGTTCAATTTGACCGCTAGTAGAAATTCCTAGACGAGTTGTACGATGCCAACTATTTCATATTGTATTCTCTTCTAATCAGAAGTAACAACTGTCCAGCATGGTATTCCTCATATGCTTCAAAATTTGCACTACTTCTTAAGAATAATGTCTTATTTTATCTTCGTGATGTAATCATAAAAATCCTATGAAGTCTAAAATCTCAACAGATTCAGATTTATGAGATCTCTCGTCTATCTAAAATTCAGTAAAAATACATCAGATATTATTCTTTCTATTGCCCCAATGAACTGGATAGCCATATGTTTTTGGTGATTTTGCTTTTGATGTAAAAGCTTGCATCTGGTTTTAAATTCATCTTTTTGGCGATAAAAACAAAATTTCTTGGATTTCAAGTTATTTTCATCAGATTTAATGAATTTTGAAATTTCAATCTTCAAATTTTCCAAATCTATGATACTTCGTCACATGCAAATCAACCTAGACTTGGCGATTGACTATGATTCTTGGAGAATATATTACTACCTACTAGGCTGTGTTTTTCAGATGTATTTCGACTAACTCGATTTAATCAGTGCTAAAAACCTTCTAAGAAGTCCTTAATGTGCACTCTTGTTCACGTCCTTTATCCTCCCGTCTCGGTCTACTTACTTGGTGATAGTACCTAGTTGTATGTCTATTTGTATTGCCGTTCATACCACAGGATCCACTCAGGGTAAACCTGAGCTTGATCGTATACCACGAACTCTCTGAAAGTTCGCCGACATTTTTCTCGGTCGCCCAAAACAGAGTGGTACAACTGTGGTACTGTGGCTACTTTTGCACCATCTTGCATGCCTTGTTGTTGTGTGCTTTGTTGTGTGCTGTAGACCCTGTGTCTTGAGTTCGAGTACATTGTCGTTCGAGTGCCTCCTTTTCCGCTAGTGAAAGGCGCTCTTTTTCCACGTAACGGACGCGGCCTAAGAGCACTCGACACAAAATCAGCGGTCTCAGGTTGCTACACATGTTTTGATCGCCTACAATGCCTCTATTTTTGTTGTCTGCAGCAGCTCTTGGCTCTGTATATTCGTCCGCCTTCGTGCTGCTTTCGGCTAGATAAACGCCACGTCCATACAACATCCCGGCATTAGTTCCCGCTTTATCAAGACGAAATTCCGTACTGGTAATCGCGTCCGCCGCTCTTGGCTTCGTTCCGTGCCATAGGTAAAACTCATTCAGTTCGGTGTCTACTGGTTCTTCCGTGTGAAAAAGCTCAGGACAACGCTCAGTCCACTTAGGAATGGCTGCGTGCGTACGAATAGGTCCAATAATATCCGTATTTTTCAATTTCTCATCTGCAACTGTGGTCGAGGAAGTAGTCGGAACGAGATTCCACTTTTTGACTTTGATTCCTAATTGGGTTTCGAATCGCAGCATGTCGTTGACAATTTCCCAGGCTGCTGCACTTTCACGACTTGGTGAACCTGCAATCGTTTGGGAACGCGTTTATCCCGACGATCGCGTGTGGTCACGTTTGCAGCGAAGGTCCTATCAACGAGGTCTTGAAAGACCCCAAGAAGCCGATTACTTCCACATTCCGGCTTCCAAACAGTCGAGAAGGACAGTAACGGTGGAGTCGGAGACACAGTCGTACAACTTCTAGCCTTGTAGGCTCCTACATCGTCTTGATTGTTTATGTTTTTTCCAAGAGGAGGAGGTGCCTTTTGCCCGCTATCTATTGTTCTTGCCTCAGGAGGTGGAGCACATGTTGAAGTAGAAGATGTAGTAGATGTAGTTGAAGTAGTTTGATGTTGGCGCGTTGCAGGAGGCGTCGGTTCTACTACAGGTCTAATATGTAGTTGTTGCCCTTGTAGTTCTTGACCACGACGGATCACCTTCGTCCTTCCAATCGCAGTTCCGTCAAGCATGAGAGTAAGATTCTGACCGAACCAAACGGAGCTCTGGTATTTTTCTATACGTTTTTTCCCCTCCTGCTCTTGTTGACATCATTTTTCACATCCTACGGTACTAGTACTCTTCAAGACACAACCAGTAGTACAACTACGTAAAGCATATAAAATGCCGCAACCTCCACTGCCTCTCGCGCGGTCAAGAGACTTGAAAAGAGCCGCGGCCACGCCTTCTTCTTCAGCTGACGTTGATTTAGAGGTAGGTTTTTGGTGCTCGCTTACCCCGCTTTTTATGCCTTTCTCCCTTAGGAGAGGCATAAAAAGCGGTAAGAAAAGCACCTTTAACCTACCCTTAATTGATGATGTGGTTGCACCGAGTAGTACTCTAGTCTGTGGAGTTTCCTTTTCCAAGCCCTTCAAATGCTCCCTCAGGAGCGTGAGAAAAGCTTCGTAAGGGGGTTTTGATTCGAATTCTCTTCTTCTTGTTGTACTAGGTTTATCATGCTTTTCATGCAAGGATGAGTGGTGGGTTTTTGTAGTGGTGGGTTTATGCTTTTCATGCACGGGTTGTAAGCAGTTGATGTGGCGGTGTGTGGAAATCAAGCGGTTCACGATGTGACGCGTTCTTTCATGCTGATGGTGCAGAGAGTTTTCCCATGTCGATAGGAAAGGAAATTGCTCGCCTTCTGGTTGAGGAAAGAGGTCGCCGTAGGCATTCTGCACTTGCTCGGCAGCATAGTGAATCGCCAGAAGACCCTCTAAACGATTACGACCAAGATTGAACTCTTGCAATGTGATGTCTTTGTCGGCAGCGGGAGCTTTCTGGATATTTCCTAGATGATCAGCTGGCGTTGTAAAACATGAGAGGGATTTGAATTCGGAGTATGCAGAGCGTAGGGCATGCAATTGCTTTTGTAATGTGGACACTGGAGTCGCAGTCGGCACTGATGGGCAACATTCGTCTGCAGCTGCGCTGCCAGCTTGACGAGAAGAAGGTTGATCGTCTGTATGAAAAGCTTGCTTGTCGAGAAAGGCTAGTTCGGTCTGTAATTTTTTCACCGTCGCGTGCTCACATGAGTCCAGCCAGGCTTCAAGAGCGTCCTCTAGGAGAGTCTTGATCGTCGTCCCATCGAAGTCATCAAAGTCAGCATTATCGTTAGGTATAGAGCCTTTGCATTGCGTCATAGCTGCTTCCAGCATCTTACGTCGCTTGAGAACCAAATTATAGCTCACGACCTCTAGTTCCAGAGAATGAAAAATTGCCGACGAGGAGGAAGATGCCACTTCCTCAATAAATTCCCGTGCCCGTGCATGTACAAGCTTCAACTTTTCATCCAATCTTAAGCGCTTCTTATCCAGCATCTCCTTCACATAATCCTGTTGACCTTGAGAAGTTGTGTCCTCGGACGACGGCGCCCGTGTCGACGACTGATGATCTGATTCTGAGGATACGTCGTGTTCGGAAGACTGGCGGTCATGGACATCGGAGGGACGAGAGGGAGTTTTTGATGTACCTCTACTGGGATTAGATGAAGCCGTACTAGACACGCTTGCTGTGTCTTTCTCCCTTTCACGAGCATGAGAATCGTGACGCTCCAGTTCTCGTAAGAGTTTCCTTTCTTGTCGCACCAATAAGGGGAAATTGTAGCGCTTGAGTATTTCCTCCTTCGAAATCACGAGCATGAGAATCGTGACGCTCCAGTTCTCGTAAGAGTTTCCTTTCTTGTCGCACCAATAAGGGGAAATTGTAGCGCTTGAGTATTTCCTCCTTCGAAATCTGCTGCACTAAGCGTTTGTGGTCGTCCATTTGGCGCAACTTGGTAAAAAAAGACGAAAAGTGCGTCTCCATCATCGCTTCTAGACGTGGGTTCAGCGAAGCGGTTCCGTCCTTGTTTTTGTCAGAGGACGCTGAAGATTTCTTGTGACGTTGACCCCATCCCGACAAATTTGTGCCCGTGCTGCTGTGCCTAGTACAACAACAACAGCTGAAAAATGACCAACAACAATACAGCGGCGCAATCAGCAAACGGCGTATATTCGATAAGATATCATCCGCTGCTGCTGCTGGTTGCGGATACTGTTGTGAAGGCACAACGTCAATCGTGACAAAGTCACCTGTAGTAGGATTTACTTGTCTTGTGCGGATCTTCAATGCGGGTACAACTGGTGTGCCGACAACGACATCAGCACCCACCGCGACCCTTGTGCTGATCTTCGTCGTGGCGCGTCTTTTCTTCTCTTTGAAAGTTGCAGCTTTACCAGTGATATTCCCATCTGGCGCTGTCGTGACATTGGGGTCCTGCTGTTCGGGACTGATCCTATTCTTTCCTCCATCTATTTCATCCGTCTGCGATGTGATTGAAGACAAGCCGGTACCTTCACAAGACGAGCAAGCCCCGCACAGAAAGAGGAAAACAGTGCTTACCACTAAGACGATGATGAGAATATCTTCACTTGACAATTGTTCCCCGGCATTTCCTCCTTCAGCTTCATGCTTGTCATTATCTGGATTTTCAAAGCCGCGCAAGGATCCACCTTCAGCGGTGCTAGCACTTGCTAAATAAAAATTGCCTGTGCTGCCTCGTCCGGCTAGTGTATCTGTACTAGCAGTGGAAGATGAAGATGTTGACCAGGAACTTCCATCGATCCTCTTGAGCGCCGCTGGACGAAATCGTGGTACTGGACGTCTGAGTACCAATAGCTGTAGAGGAGGCACCACTTGCGGACGAGGAGGAAGACGGCCTAGGAAGATCTTCATCACCCTCGTGTAGTTCATCTTCTTCATGGTCCTCTGGTGTAGTTTCCGACCACCACCAAGACGCAGCGCCTGCCGTGTCGTGATCTTCAGCAGCGTGATGAAGATCAGCGCCTTTACTAAATAGTCATTGTAATCCGTATGAGCATCGTGTCCTTGACCTCCATGTCCTTCTTCCCGGTTGTCCCATTCCTTTGCATGTTCAACAATACTGGGGTTCTCATCATTGTGGCCATCGCCGTGGTGCTCCTCGTGCCCGTCGATTCCATCTTCTTCATGACCGCGATCTTGCCAATAGTAAGGCGACCACCACCAAGAACGTTCCTCCTCTTCACGTTCTCTCCTATCCGTGTTGCGCCTTCCGCGTTGCAGTGATCTTCTTTTAGAAGGTGCCAACGCCCTCTCTCTGTTTTTTCTACTTCGACGGACAGCACGGACATTTGCTGACGGCACGCTAGCACGTTTAATTAATACACGTGGCAAGCTTGAGTCATCTGATCCATCTTGCGCTACTACACCACGGTGAAGAGAGTAGCTTAATGCTTCGCGAAGTGCTACGTTGGTTGGGAGAGCACCTTCAATCGTCGATTTTTCGCCATCAGCACTGCTGGACGAAAGCAGATCATCCACTAGCTGTTCTTCCTCAAAATGGCTCGAAGAAACTGCTGGCACGAGGGAAACTTCTGCATAAAGCCATGAAGTAGTAGCTACCTGTGCCCCCTTTTCCTGCAGAAACAATACCACACACGCAAGTAAAAGGATGCTTGACGAGCTGCTTGTTGCTGCTGGCGGCGATGTCGAAGCCTCTGTGCCGTTAAGAAGACGAGGGCTCTTCTTGGGGCTTCTCTTGAGGCCGCATTCAACATCAAGTGAGCTTGCCACCTGAGAGGTGCTTGGCAGTATTTGGCGCATTTTTTTGAAATGATGATCCTTGACGGTTAGTACTGTGTGATGAACTGTACAACTGGCAAAAGACATGTTGAAGAACTACGTTTATGCTTGCGGCTACCCTAGAACCACCTGTTATTCCTTCTTTTGTTCAATAAATTTGGAATTTATTATCTATTGAGTTGCGGGGAAGCAATACCAATAGATTCTACAAGAAGATATTTCTCTTAAAAAAAGGCTCCGATGCTCGTCTCCTCGTCGCAATCAAGCAGAACTCTAGTAAATGTAGTTGACAATGAAACCATCTGCTCCACTTCGTCATCTCTCACTCATTCTTCCAGCACACAACAATAAACACTGTCGAACACGACTCTTCTTCTGTTCTACCTTCCAGCAGGTAACGCAGAAGAAGAGCATCAACAAGGAGACAAATCGTACAAGTAGGTACCTAGACCCAAGATCTGCCCTTAATGTCTTTTTTTACCGGTATTTTCACAAGTACTTGTTACTGTTCATGAGTACAGTGTTCTTTCGAAAAACCAAGCATCAACCAGAAAAAAGTTGTATCATTAATTATCATTGTTTAGATTCGGTGTTCATTGAATATATTTCATAGACAAGAAGACATACTTATGTGTATTTTCAGCTTCACCACCTTCGGTACGGCGAAGCTGAAAAAATGCGCTCTTGAGCATGAGCGTTGGTTGCTAATTTCTGATCCTTCAAGGCTTGCGCTATCTGCTCCTCTTTGTTGTGCAACGAGCTAGGAGATGAAGGGTGATTGGTGCGAAAGGAGCTCGATTAGAAGTAAGAGGGGCATGTTTTTGTGGTCGTTGTGATAATATGTTGGCAGCAGCAGCTGGTGGTGTCGTGCTGTCTTGGGTACATTTTTTAGGAGTACAAATTCATTTTTTTATTTGCTTGATGAAGTAATTGTCGTGGCTCGAGTATATGCATTGATTGGGAGGTTCCACATGGACACTAAAAATCCCGTGTGTTGAACAGCTCAAACTTAGTCTGAAATCGCGGCGCCGAAGAGGTAGTTTCTTAGAAGTTCCATCGTAAGCCTAGATTGTAGTGCCTAGTACCCCCGGGTGAGGGGACCGGTTAGAAAATAGAGATATTCTTTGGTTGTTCTACAATTTTTTGGAATTATAGCAATGGCGTTGCTACTTTGGTCTATGGTGCAAAAATTGTTCTCGTCCACCAGCCATATTGGAGTTCATTTCGGTTCTAGCTCTTAGGTAATCCTCCATATTGAATTGCGATGCTCACCAGATCCATCTCGACTGAGATGCAAGGGGCTTGTTCCGTGTTAATAGCCTCAACACAGGCGTCGGATGTATTAGAGTATTAAGAAATAAACGAACAGTACTACAAGAACTGGAAATAATGGCAACCAACTAGAACTAAAGTTGATCAACAACATCCACGTAACTAAGTAAGCAGTACGACAAAAGAGAGAGAAAAATATTATCAGACCAAATTGTATCGTTTTCCAAATTGACGCTCCACTGCTCTCCTGATGTCTTTTTTCAGATTCTACTTTTTTCAGATAATCATTCTATACTTGCTACAATCCACATAACTTCTACAGGTACGCGGCTTCTCAATTTGCTACTAAAAGTAGCACCTGGACCTACAAATATACCAAAAAGATATAAATCTTGCAAGAAATAGGAAAAAATGATCAAGACATTGCTGCTTCACTTTAGAGCTACTTCTTGGATGCTCCTGCTGCATATTCAGTAATGATTTTCAACTAAAACTTACTACTGCGCATTGATAGTGGTCGAAGACCTGGAAAAAGATACTTATGACTGAGATGAAGATGAACGTTGCAGTCGGATCAAAACAGAAATGTTGATTTCCATGATGCGACTGAACCTGCTCCAGTGATGTTTGTTCTAGGAACCAATTATGTGGTGTCAAACAACGCGATCAAGAAAAGACACTCACACTTTATTCCCTTACAGCCCATATTACACCGTGTCAGCAGTGTATCTGTATGTAACCTTTTCGCGACAAAGTAGGAGTATCTCCGCATGCTTCCATGTTACTCGCAAAGTGGGTCAGCAGCGGCTGAATCTTTCACACAGAGCCTCCAAGAAATGCATTCATTTTTCTGGTCGCATTTCTATTTTCATATTCATATATGTTGCATCTACTTCTATGTTGAGGAAAATTACCACTATTTACGGAAAGTCAAATACTGCACACAACTCATGATTTACAACGAGTGCAGTAATTGTTCGATGGGGGCAAAACAACAAAACAGGCAAAATAATGCCAATTATGCACCAGAAAGCGTCGGTTGAAAATGATTGAAATTGAATGATGATCATTAATTATCAAAAAAAATCATTAATTATCCTCGAATAGTTGGTTGTATGTTGTAGTTCTTGAATATCTATTCATGGAACTTCGTAAACGTATTCTATTTATTCTGCTATTGCTTCTGGAATCATTATCTTAAATAATTACGATAGATCGATGTTGAAAAAAAATAAGTTGTCGTATCACTAAATCACGTTCGCGTGATAACCTGTATATGCCCTTCGTACTAGGTGTCGATAGTTCTGTCGTACTGTTGAGGTTTTCGCGGTGTGTGTTGACACATCGTTTGTGTTATTGTAGCTTGAACTTGTTTGGCTTCTAGAGGTGTTCGGCGCCGTCATCTTTCTGTGCCTAGGTGCGGGTGTGTATGCCGGATAACCTGAGCCTGGAGAACTGCTTGAGCTCGATGGTGTCATAGCAGGAGCAATTGCACGAGGTTCAAAAACGTAGTCGGAGTGCCTAGTCTTTCCAGACGCTGACGCTCGTGATGAAGGTGAGCTACTTGTCCTTGCACTTTTTGGATTCGCCCGCACACTTTCTGTGGCTGTAGAAATTGTCCTTCTTCTACTTGACTGCGGTTGGCCTGCACGAGCACTAAGCTCTGCTTTCGATTGTTCCGAACTCGCACTGCAACTATGAAAATTTCGTGTCGTTCCGCCAGCAGTGCCCGTCTTGCCGTAGCCCTTCGCAGTCCTTGGTGCTTGCCCTTGCCGATTCGCTCCCAAACGACGTTGCCCCATGCTCATCATTTCAGACGGTGGTGGGACAAAAGCTGCGCGCCTTACTTCGGGATCGTCCAACAGGCTATCGGGTACGAAGCGAAAAGCCAATGGGTTCTGGCGGACTGCAGTTAGGACAAAATTCTTGTTCTGATGGCATTCTTCCGGCACATCCCTCAAATAAAATCCATCTGCTTTGACCGCGGCTAAGTTCAGGTCGAAATCGTTGAGCAACGACTCGTCGGCGAAATAGAGGAGAGCATAGGCATTTTTCCGTACAGCTTCGAGGACTACGGATTTCATTTTTTTGACGCGTGTGGAGGCGAAGGAGAGGGCCTCAGGGTTCTGGCGCACTGCCAGTAAAACCAGCTTGGCATCGTCCTGCAGAGAGGGGTCAGCGATTTGTAAGCCGTGAAAGCTGTTCAATTTAATGGCCAAGTGCATAATCGGACGGTCACTGCGCAAACGCTGTGGTAAATCCTCTAAAACAGCTGACCAATAGGATAAAACAGGTGGCGGATTTGAGGACGCAGCAGTTGTGTTCTCCGATGACCTTATTTGCATTTGCTCCTCGCTCATGTAATTCTCGTAGAAAGCTTGGTCATCCTGCAACTCGTCTTGATCGACATCAGGTAGATGATTTAGGCTATTGAACGTGTCGAAGCTGATGTCAGGACAACATCTGCTTGAAGTTTTCGAACTAGAGTCGGAGAGAAACAATCGAGACGAGGACAACGAATCAATTGACGAAGAGGTACAACTTGAACTATATGAAGAAGCCGTAGAAGCAACGGCTGCGGAATCTGGCTCAGCTGCTTGTCTCCCGGCTCGTAAAGCAGCTTTTTTCTTCTTTTTGTTTGCTCTCGATAATGCGCGAGATAACTTCTTCATCCAATGAACCTTTTCGCTATCTACGATCAGATGAACAAGGGACTTCGGTGCCTCGTCCGCATCTTCTCCTCCTGCAACCTCAATCGTGTTTTCGATAGAGATCTCATGATCCTGCTGGCTCGAGGCCAGCAAGGTTACTTCCTCCAGATTGTCGCTGTCTTGCAGAAGATCAGTGCTACCTTCGATTAGAAGGCTGACGTGCTCTGGCCGCACTTTTCTTGCCCTTGCTGCTGCCTTCCGCAGTTCCGCTCCAGATGTTAGGCCTTTGCTTTGACATATTTCACTCCCGCCCAAGTCGACTACGCTGTAAATCCTCGACGTAATAGTTGTGGACGAAGTTCTTCGCAGAGTTTTAGAGCTGTCCGCAATTCATCTTTCAAGTGCATCCTTGAAAAGTATGGGGGAGTATTCCCTGAGGATACTCTTCCATACGTTTCAAGGATGCGCCCAAAGATGTATTAGGTACAGCCTTAAGAGTTGCCGCCGGCCTAGTTGACGCTGCTTCATCATCCTCGGGAAGCAAGCGGTCATGATCTCCTGGTGTATTACTAGAGGTGCCCTTGCTCCCTTGCTGTACTTCTTCTTGAGCGACATCCCCAGTCTCCTCCTCCTTTTTCTCAGGCGGAAGGTGCTCCTCCGATTTCATCCCCAGATTTCAGGCGACAACTTTACGAAAATGAAGGAAAACGACCAGCGACAGAAGGAGAATCAAGCATGCTCATTTTCATTCCTAATGCTAATCTTCAATGATCAATATTATCAACAAGTGTTAGTCAGGATTTCTGTACTTCTCACTTAGACTTACGTACAAGATGTCATGATCATTCTAGTACCTCATTACTACAATCACATACAACACAAATTATTCAGTCACAAACACAATTTCTGTCATCCAACAACATGCGCATTCATTCATAGACTAGCCTTAAAATACGACCTCATCGACATCGAAGGAACATAACAAACTAGCACAACTTTCCTAGAAATCAGAAGGAAAATCGCCACAGTGATGAAGTGATACTGCATAAGGTTGAAGGTAGAACAAGGTAGATGAATACAGAGATCGGTGTATAATAGGTGGGGACTTCAAACAGCAAAATTACGTCAATCAGCTACACTCATCTCTCTCAGCACGTTTCTGCAGATCATTATCTTCTCCCTCAACCGAACATCTTCACTGCTTGCCTTGAGTACAGACTCGTTTCTTCATCTCGTGACACGATCATAGTCTCTCGGAACTTCAGAGAGAACACAGATTATAGACTCTCTGAAGAAGCTTTGGCGTTAGCACTCCAAAACAGCTTGTTGGTTTTGACCGAGTTCATCCTCAGCACTCAACATGCTCGTCCTTTTTGCTCGTTTCTCTCTTGCTCGCTACAGTTCCAACAACACGACTGGCTATCTCTCAAGTCCGCATGTGGACAAGGACCACGAGTCATGATTGTCCTCTGGACTATTAGAAATATTGATGCTACTACTACAGCGAATATGTCGACAATAAAAAAATCTCGGCCTCATCTCCCGGATAATGTCACGATTCTAGGAGTCGTTGGACGATCCGATTAGCATGATAGCGTTTCTCCGATCGATAATCCTACAAGTGTTGACTTTGGTGATATGATCCCTCTATCATAATTCGTATTCTCCCTATTCATTGATATTAGGTATACAGCAAAGTACTCATTGGTTGATTTTTCCTGCGCCTCATGGTTGATATTGTTTGTCTGGATTCAGCTAGTACTAAAATTCACACCCCCTTAACCCGTTGCAATCCTGCGAAACCTTAGTTATTCTTCGTCCTCAGCCGCGCTGCATAGGGATCCACTTTCTCGCTCAAAGCCAGGCACAAAGCGCGATCCTCTTCCTTCAGAAACGTCTCGTTGACGGAAGGGCAAATTGTCAGGAAGATGCCTTAGAAGATGCCGACGGACGATCGATGCGGTGTAAAAAAAAATACTTTTTTTTTGTCCCTATCCGCAACATCTTTTGGTCCACGTAGGTGTTTCTAGTACGATCTAAAAGTTCATCTACAATCTAGAATCTAATGAATATCTTTTTAGTACCACAACATCTTTCGCAAGTTAGTACGCCTTTTTAGTACCACATCAACATCTTTCGCAAGTTAGTACGGCAACATCTTCATAACAAAAAGCAGCATTTAGCTCGACCGCCATCCGTCTCTTACGGCAGTATGCTATCGGATCCTGGTCCATATCCAGACTGGACATCATCAAAGGCTCCCTCCGAGGCTTCGCTTGCCGGTACAGGCCAAGGACCAAGATTAGAACGCAATGCGATTCGTTCATTTCTTCAGAAGTGGTTCCTTTCAGGTAATAAGCTTCTAGCTTCTACTTAAGAAGGGAAGATCAGAGGGAAAAAAATGACCCTCGGAAATGTTGAGCAGGTAGATCAGAGGGAAAAAAATGAACCTCGGAAATGAGCATGTAGACCTGAGAATTATGAAAGAAAAAAGTGCACTCACACTCAAAAAAAGTGGCTATTTTCCTACTTAAATCCTAGTCAATTTCTTGAGTGTGAGTGCACTTTTTGATGTAGACCTTAGAATATCTTCAAGAATGGTCATTTGCTTGTTCCGCAGCTTCTCTGTCCATACTAGTTGTAGTTCCATGGTTTCATAAGAATATCAAGAAAGTTACTAGTGACCCTCGGAAATGAAATGAATTGAGCCTTAACAGGAGACCCTTGTTGAAGAGCATCCACTCGAAGAGCTGGAAAAGCGTTCGACCCACAAACTTCTGCGGTACTTTCAAGACTATGAGTTCGTGGCCGACTAGCGAGTTGACTAAAGCGGGTAGTGAGGGGTTAAAGTAGGCACCAATAGCCAGAGACGTGAGCATGCCTACAGTGAAGCAGCCACCGGATGCATAGCGTGGATGAAACATGGCTTGCAAGTCGCCGGTGCCTGCAGGTCCATCGAAAAAGCTTTTCTGTATTTTAGAGCTTGTAGGCTTTTGGTGTTCGTTTGCCCCGTTTGTTATGCGTGTCTGCTCCCACCTTAGGAGAGCCATGACAAACGGTAAGAAAAGCACCTTTAAGAAGTACTCTTAAGTATCCTTTTCTCCTCCGCTGCTTCTTCTGCATTGTCCTCCTGCTTTCCCTCGATGCCACCCTTGATCAATAGCGAGAGGAAATCCATGGTGCCAAAAATCACCTGCCACAGGTCCCGGGTCACTGTTCGGAGAAGCTGAACAAAAATGGTATGAGCAATGTACTAGTCCTCAGTACAACTAACAAGGAATTATAGATACAACATAGAACAAGATGTTCCATGACTTGGGGACGAAAGGGTACTGTTTTCAGCGGAAAGCTCCTAGTATGTTGCAATACTCTTCATCAAGTCAAAAAAAAATGAGTACGAATCCCAGCAGTCCCACAATCATCTGTTTCGGTCCAAACCTTGACGTCGCCAAAGAGCTCATCGCAGAATGGGTATTCTTGATCTCCTTTTGCCTGATCTCCAATTCTTCGATGAAAGCTTCCTCCAAAGCCTCGTCGTCGACGAATGGCAAGTACTGATGCATTTCGTCCAGGGTCAATTCAGTGATCAGCATCGGTCCGTCTGCAACCACACCACAAGCGAATCGGTCCTCGTCTGGCTCCATGCCTTCCTCTTCCTGGTCCGGCTGCTCTTGCTTCAGCTGCTGTTCGATGAACCTAGTATTTCTATTTAATAATGTACAGTTTTTACTATTCGAATTCGATGAACTGAAATACGCGAGTAACTAGGGAAAAATAGGGAAATATAGGGAAATAAGAAGAGGAATGTAGTCAAGACTCTCTTATTTCAGTCAGTAACTCGCTTATTTTGAGTTTTCGATTAACTAGATTTTGATTCAGCGAAATGCTACCATGTAGTCGTGCAGAAAAAAATGAGAATGCATGTGGGTGATAACAAATCGAAGTCGCGTAGTACCTTGTGCAGAAGATACTTTCCGCGTCGACCATCTGATTGTCTATTGCGTCATCGATTCCATCATCGTTCGGTAGTTCTTCTTCTGCCTCGTCATCCGGCTCCATCCTCGCCTTAGCTGCTACCTGACCACGACACTGCGCCACGTAGATAACATTTGCTTCCCTGAAGTTCGCTCGTTCTAAGTCGAACAAGATCAATGGGTTTCCCTTCATGAAGAAGACGTTGGGCAGCATGGAGACGTGGACCCAGTCGGAGGGGATGGCCTCCGCCATGATCACTATGGGCAGTTCGCTAGAAAGCACAGGCCGGTCCCTATTGAATCGACCGCTGTCTTCGTCGTAAAAGTTGATCTGCCCACAGTTGTTTACGAAATGCTTTAGTCCCATCGTGGTAGGATATTTTAAGCCAACGATGCACATCATCACATGCCCGCCTTTGACGAGGAGACCAAGAATTAGAGAAGAAAAGCATGTTCTTGAGACTTCTCTTTGCTGAAGAATGAAACAACCTCCATTGAGGTTGAACACTTGTGCTGGAATGAGAAGCTACCCTGCCACCTTTCGTTGCAAGAACAAGGAGGTACTTATAAGCTTCCAAACCGAAAGCAAAATCATGATGTGTCGCATAAGTGTGGTATCTGTCGTGGATGTGCGGCGTTCTCTTTCTGATGCGAAAGTCGTTGTAAAACCTCTAGTGTCAGCCTGTCGTGACTCAAGTCCGCATTTGGATCGACCTCCGCTTTGAAGTCAAACCGAGCCCTTGCACTTTGGGTTAGAGTGTGAAGAGACGATACAACGAACGGGTATCATCTATCCGTTCTTATTCTCACAACTATTGACAGTCAGTTCTTGACAGAGCAGGATGCTAAAAGTAACTCACGTTAGACGTACATGTACAACTGCTAAAAATGAACATCCATCTTCTTCTCTGGCCATAACTTGTAGTATTTTTTCGGCGCACTCGTACTGTCTTCCGCATCTGCCATTCCCAGAAGCAAGTCGTTTTGTCGCATTTGCGCTATCGCGTCTCTATCAGCAGCTATGAAACAGCCAAAAACCTGCAATGTTTTGCTGTTTGGCTTGATCTCATACTCGGGCCCTGGGTTGATCAAAACACGTCTAGAAAACTGATTCGCTTCGCCCCCCCCATCGTCGTCGTTCTTACTCTGCCCTTGGGCCTCTGGCTGCGCGCCTCCCTCTCTTTCTTCTTTTTCACCTGCAGTTGACAGGAAGTGGAAGCGTGTGGGGAATAAAATAACTCTAATTGCAGGAGGTCCCTTCTTAAGCTCAACGACTGGTTTACTTAAAATAACTCTAATTGCAGGAGGTCCCTTCTTAAGCTCAACGACTAGTAGTTTACTTAAAATAACCCTAATTGCAGGAGGTCCCTTCTTAACTAAGCTCAACGACTGGTTTACTTAGAATGTTTGATTCTATAAACACAAAGCTTCGATAAAAAGTGCGAAGATGATCCTCTTCTATATCACAAGATAGTACGTGCTTCCTGCTCCTTTCGCATTTGCTCCTCGCTTACTTGGTTTTGATTGGTATCGTCGAAAAACGTGATCTCGATAAGGCCGATGAGGTACACGGACTGAAACGTGTTATTGGTCCTCGTAATTACGTCCATCACCACTTGACCGAAGCTGCACTTTTTGAGGTTAGAGCTAGCACGAAGAAACTTTCAACTGGATTGAGCTCCTGTTAGTTTTACTTTTTCTATCAAACTCAGAAATAAATTGCTTCCTTCGTTGTTGTTTACTTACCTTTACAGATACTAATGCTAATCATCTTCATCAAATGTCAGCCTCCTCAAATCTGCGCGCATGCTTCACAACTCAAAGGCTTAGTTTAAAATTAATACGAAGAAATATCATCAGCCTTAATCTGCGCATATGCCTCACTCAAAGGCTCCTCATAAAGCTCTAGACCCAGTGAGGTGTAATACTCTCGCTGCCAGTCATACATGTCTTCGTCTAGATCGTCCTCCTCAACGCTGCAGGTCGTCACCAGGTTCGCTATTATCGTGAAGAAACTCGGGACTTGCGTGCTTTTTCCGATAAGCGAATATTTCACTTCGTCGATGGATCAATTAGAACGGTGCGAGGAGTGCTACAACGTCAGCTCAGTGTTTTAGGTTGGGAACGTTGTGCACTAGGTTGGGAACAAAAACGAAAATTGAGACCACAATCATGATCTACTTCTAGTACTTCTACTTACAATTATTGTCTTTCTTTGGCAGACAGACACATGGTGGAGATAGCAACTACCCGTCAACATAACCAAAACCGTCAACTTCTCGGATATCCTCCGTTCTTTCTTTTCCGAGACACCGGTGTCTTTAATGAGCGTCCTCATCAACGTTTCTTTGACGCTGAAAGTCTTATCCGCTTTTCTTCCCAAAAGGTACCGGAACTCCCCGTTGTAGAGCAATAAGATCGCTCGTACGTCTGGGTGATACTTTCGCAAGGCAAGTGTTCGGACGATATTGAGGCGATCGTCCTCCTCAGGGTCCTGACTGTTCATGTGCGGAAGGATGATGAAAGCACTAGACGTCGAACACGCAACGCGTTTTCGATCCCCCGCGTCGAGGATGTCGCCGACCTGAAGAAATTATAATGGGACGAGGAGGTGGGAAAGTCGCCGTCGAGGATGTCCTCGCGGACCTGAAATTATAATGGGATGAGGAGGGAAACAAGTCGACGACTGTCCTATATGTACTGTCGCCGACCTGAAATAATGTTAGGACCACGAGGGAATAAAGTCGACTGCCCATGTAGTATTGACATGTCCACGACTGTCCTCCATGTAGAGTAGTATTGAAATAAGCGAGGAACCGGTCAGAATAACCGAGATAGTGAACCAAGAAGAGTAGCCCTCTAAAGCTACCTCCCGCCTTATTTCAGCGAGTAACTCGGTTATTTCCAGCTTTCGATTAATATAGTATTGACATCTTGTTGATGTTGGCCTATCATGATCACACAGACATGATGATGAAGCAGGACAGAAAGGAAAAACTACTCATCATCATCATCATCATCATGTTTGGAACTAGCACCGGAAATCCCAGCAACGGCGTCACAAGGTAAGTACCAGCAAATGCACTCTGCTTGCTATTGCCATGTTTTCGCCTCTTCGCAAAAAGTTCTGCACTGTATCAAGCGCTTCACTGACATTCGTGAAAAGTATCACCAATTCCAAGTCCTCCATATCGTCGCTTCTGTCTGGGTGAAAAAGCTCTGCGATCACCGCTATGAGTGTCGATCCATCGGGTGATCCTACCACCTATTAAAGAGATGAGTGTGATAGGCGTGATAGATGAGTTGTGCTGGGTTGTTCAGATTTAGAATTTGAAGTTTATTTTTAGGATGTTTGCGAGGGAAGAAGAAGTTGTTGTAAGTCGTCTACATACTCTCTCCGGACGTGCTAGGTATTCCGATCAGTAGGAGAACGAGCCCACCAAGAACGAAACCAAGAAATGGAAACCATAAATCACTGTACTTACCACAACCACTGTATTTGCTTACTTACCACAATATGTGGCGGCTTCTCTCTTGTCGGATAAGTCCCCTTTCCTACTTTTCGTTGCTTCGCCATCCTTATCAGCGAGAAAAGCACCACCATGATACTTGCTATGCCTCCGACAATCGAAAATATCGCAAATATTCGTCCCAAGCCCGTCACTGGAACAAGATCCCCGTAACCTACGGTTGTGACTGTTGTGGAGATTAGAGAGCAATTCTTTTCTTCCAGAAAAGTCGCGACCGCACCAGCGTTCTTATTTGCACTTGAAGTTGTTGAATGTGCTTCATCCATCTCTAAATAAACATCCTCATCTCATCATACCTCTTTATCTTTTCTAGCTACAAGTGTCTACTACCAGTGAGGCCATCCTTGTGCTTCATCCATCTCTAAATATACAACATCCTCATCTCATCATAACAACACATAGTAGAGCGAAGTGAAGACTGTCCATGCACGTGGATTTCCTCTATCCTGAAACCACCAAGATATCACGCTGTCTGGTGGTTCTCCAAGGTTTTCGAATACCATGACCAACGCTGCAGCGAAAAAAAGCTGGCTGCCCATACGGAGGGCGGAAGTTGGAGGAGGAGAAGGAGATGTTGTCAGTCACATTTTTAAGGTCGTTGTAAAGTGTCAGATTTCCAAGGTCGTAGAGTCGTGATTCATTCTAGAAGATCAAGATCTACTAGTTGGAGCGAGTAACACCACCAGTGAGTCTCAGATCAAGATCTACTAGTTGTAGCGAGTAACACCAGTGAGTCTCCTCATCTTCAAAATTATGAACAGAAACAAGTCAACATAACAGGTTAAGCATTTGAAAAAACGCCACGCCCTCATCGACGAACCGCGTTTGTGAATAGCCTTCCCAGATGTGTCGGACTCGCAAAGCCGCGAAAAACGAAAACGAGAACCACGTCTTTGATAAAGGGACTGCCCAAAGCGAGCCCATCATGATGGACTCGTAGAACATGATCCCAATCGACGCATAGACCCCACTTCCACCCAGCTGCTTCCGACTCCAGTACTTCAGGCCCTCGAACCAGCACCATACTTGCAGACTGGAAGATGGTGGAAAGTAGGTGTAGGAGGTGGTGAAAAAAGCATAAGACGAAGGTGAAGGATACGAGTGCCGTTGTAAAAAACACGTAGCCGCGGAGATACCACGACATCAAGCACGAGGTGCTAACACAAGCGAAATCGAAAACAGAGATAACTACATCAACTTGAATAAATACGGCAGCTCTATGAAGTAGAGGATATCGGAATAGTCCTTTGTGTAACTGCGAAACGCGAAAGCCAGGTACTGGAAAAGAGAGATGGCCCACATCTTGTAGGCATAATCCTTCATGTTCCAACATCGCATAAAGTGCGCGTGGGGTTAGAAGGGTAGGGGGAAATGCAAGGAGGAAATTCTTGGGGGAACTAGAAAAATAAGCCATCCGGAAGCGTCAATCCGGAACCGTCACTTCTTAGGAAGGAGGAAAAAATTACAGTAGCTGCTAGTAAGCCTCCTCAGGACATTTTTTTTGAATATGGAAATGAGTCATATTATAACAGCGCAATTTATAAGGTTTCACAGCTCGCATGGCATGGAGTGCATGGATCACATGGAGTAGCATGGAGCTAAAGGCGGAGCTTCTTGCGCCCCTTAAAGCTCTGCGCTCCATGCACTCCATGCGCCATGCGTGCTATAAACTACTCTGTATATAACCCATCAGCCATAGTCAATAGCATTCCGGAGCATGAAGTAGTCATTTTGCTGCGCCTGGAAACTGAAAACGAAACCCCAGAGGACGAAGAAAAGAGAGAGCCCGATACCGAAGAGCAAATGGTAAGTTAGCTCTTCCCATGCTAGGTCAACGCAATCTGAACCGCACGTTAACATCTTGACGTTCGGGAATGTTGTTCTTGCTGCTGCTCCTGCTACTGGACGAGGGGTACTCCTCTAGTTGTTGGAGGTACTTGACTAGGTACCTACTCCTCTAGTTTTTGGACTAGGTGCTCCTCTAGATGTTGGAGGTCCTTACTTGTTGATATTGTGATCATTAGGGCTCAAAACAATTCATTTCTTGGGTTCACTTCTTCGGAATCCCAAGAAGGAAACCGGAGAAAACGACCGTCGGAAATGAGTTATCTTGAGCCTTAATGCGATTCTGGTTGTGCTATGTTCTGGATGATGTCCTCGTAGTGCTACTGCCACTTTCCGATTACACTACCTCAGCTGATCGTGCGCAGGATGTTCAAACATCCGTATCGGCACAACCTGATGCCCGACCAAGTCGGCCGTAAATTCGGTGTAGGACTACGTCATGCTTGCGTGCTCGATGTGTCCTGGTGCACTTCAGTCCAGCGCTCAGGAGTTCAGCGCAGCTCAGGTGAAAACACACTTGGCGCGAGTCGCAAGATAGGTGTGCTGCGGTAGCAGCCTCATGATCTCGGCATCATCATGTGCAGGTGAAGTCCGCAGTAAGATTTTCGAGGATAACACGGGCAGCGACTTTCTCGAGAGAGTCACCCAGATAATCGCTGTGTACTCGACCGCTCAGGTGGCCACGCTCGAAGACCGACACCCTCGCCAAAAGTAACGCCTCAGAAGCTCACTTCTTGCCTCCATTAGAGATGGCTGCGCCCCTTTGCTTGTAAAATCGACATGTGCACACGCTGTGCTGGCGGAGGCGTACTAGGACGAGCTCTCGTATCGTTGCATTAAATTGTTGTCTTCTATCGGATAGCGCAGGCTGCTTTTGCGACTCCTTTTTACGACCGAATGCAGCCTATTCGGTCTAGGTTTATGTGCTCATGTACTTGGTAGTGGGTATGGGAAGTATGTTAATATGAGGTTGGAAACAGAGTGGGTTGGGATCCAAAAATAAAATATCAAAATTATCGTTGTAGGGGTAGAGCGCGTTCTCTCGCAAAACAATCGAAAAATTTTTAAAGTTTGTTCAATCGCGTATGAATATTATACAGGAAAGTATTCATTCAACTGCTCAAAGGGCCCCTATTTGTTTTGGAAATTCGATAGCAGGCAAGGAATGATTATTTCATCGGAACTCCGACTCCAGTTCGCGATTTGGTCCGCCTTTTGCCAGTTTTGCTTAGTACTAGAGCCGTTCTTTTCAGCTCGTCCATTTTACTCGATTTTTCTCTCCACGTGGTCACCCTGATATGTGAGAATAGCTCTCCCAACATCCGTTTCTTCCTCATCGAGCACAGGCGTGGTGGAAAAAGTCTTTGCGGGTGGAGTAGACATTGTGTGTTGAGTAGTAGTTGAGCAGATCGATGGCGGTTTTTTGCACATGTAGAAAATATACCAAGGAAATTCAAGCCTCCTTCTTTATCATGCGAGAAAAGACTCCTCACTCCAAAGAAACCCAAAGCTTTTTGTTCTCGTCGACTATATTCCAAGATATGAAAACCAAGATGACCATGTGAGTATGCAGAAGGACGCCCTTCTTTTTACTTCTCAAAAACGTTATAAGAATATGAAATCCACATTTAGTCGTTTTTACTTTATTTTCGTGACGTTAGATGAAGAGCAAGGATTTTCCATGTATTCCTACGCAGACAACAATACACGATGAAGAGCAAGAATTTTCGATGTATTCCTTCGCAGACAACAATACATTGAAAAAACATGACTTAAATATGTTCAACATAGTGGTAACCACAACAAAGAATCTCCCACCACTTTATACATGAATAAGGCGCTGCCTTATCCTCCAACCACCCTGTTCTGGGGTACGAGTTCGCCTTCCTGGTCGTCGAAAACGAACAATCGCGCACGGAGAGCGTTGAGCACACGAATCATTAGAGCAGGTGCAAGAGCTTCCTTGATATTAAATAGCTAGGATTCGACAAACACATTATCTAGAAATATTCATGAGAAATGCCTTAAGAGAATCCGCCCATGCTGCTGCTCGTCTAAATTAAGATTCCTAACCGCAAAACCTAATCCACCATGATCCACTTGTGCCATGCCATTTTCGTTCTGCACTCCTCCAGCTCCTGCTCCTTGATTTCCCGCTTCCTGTTGAGCGTATCTGGGTCTCAAAATCGTACGTGCCTCACGAACTTCCCAAAGATGTAGTTGGAGCTCTTGATCAGCCGGACTACTAGATGAACTTTGATCCTTAGACAACATCGACAGGCTTGTACATTCTGGTGCAACATGGACTAAGTCTGCAATCGAATCCTGTAGATGCAATTGACGGCCTGTAGCGGGGTCGTAGAGCTTGCGTAGCCAGCGACGAGGTCCAGGCGTGCGCCCATCCAAGATATCCACCAAATGCTTCACACGATCACCCATATGAACGACTATCTCCGAAGTAGATCTATTCTTGTCCACCACTGCTTCATGTTTTTCATGTTCTTGCACTGGTTCTGGTTGCTGGTCTGGATCTAGTACGTGTCTGGACTTGTTCATCTTGGAGGACTCGCCTTCCTCGTTTTTATCCTTTTCTCTTTCATCTTCTCCCGTTGAAGACGATGTGTACACCTTGTCCGCAGTGATCCTATTCGTGATATGGACAGTCACCTTACGGCGCATGCACGATGCTCTAAAAGCCGCTGCCTTCGCTTTCGCTATTGCCTCCTCATCGACGCCAGCTTCCCCGTCACGCGATGTCTCCTCGAAAGGCGACGACGGTTTCATGCGAACAGTACCTTTGCTGCAGAGAGGAGTAGGAGTTCCCACGCCTACTCCGTGGACAGAATCCCTGAAAGCGCGACAATGAGGGCAGTCACATCCTCTTCCATTCCTGTTGCTGTTCAGAGTCAATGGCAACATGTGAAGTGCGAATGCTTGTGCTTCGATCGTGTCATTAGCGTCGTTGGCAGGTGGTAGGAGAGAACGGGGCGGTCGACGTGTTATTTCGTCTACTGGAGGAGAAAAAGGCGAAGGAGGAGTACGACGACGAAGGGGATCGGCGTCGACGGCGTCTACTTGCGCTTGTTGCCTCCCATCAGCAGACGAAGAAGACTGCTCGCCTGCTCCTACAACTGTAGAAATAGATGTATTTTTTCCTCCTCCACCAGCAGGCGTTGCTCTCACAGTCGCTGGCGTTGGCCCTTCGCTCCATAGGCCGTCAGTGTTGTACTCTTCATTTGTCACAGGGTCTCGAACCACTAAGGGCATGAAAGGACGATCTTCCATTGAAGCTCGTGTTGAATACTCTCCTGATCCTCGATGTAGACTACCACGACCAGTTGGCTGTGACGATGTGCGCAGGTAAAACGGGTCATCCCTAATGAGGCCCTTCGCAATCGACGTGTCAATAGCTTCATGTTCTTCTGTAGCGTTTCGCTCACCAGCCGCCTTTGCGTCAACCCACTCATCAAACCGTGGGAAGGACAAAAGCGCGCGCTCGCGCTCGGTCAGGGTCTTTCGAAGAGGCGGAGATATTAGGTGAGGGTCAAAGATTAGCGTCACAAAGAAAGACATCAAAGATGAAGAATCATTAATCATGCGATTCCGATAATTTCTGATTTTGATTGCAAGAACTACTTAATACTTACTCTTACACAATCATGAAGAGCAAGAAAACTCTGTCGTCATAAATCTACATGGAGCATCTCTGCTAGCTCGTTCAGGGTGTCATCTTCAGATTCGCGATCGCCAGCAGTGTCACCAGACCTACCAGATCGCACACTGCCTTGCAAACTTGCGACACTATCTTGTAGGCGTTGACTAGGATGTCCTCGTCCACCGGCGCTAACCATATTGCGTTTTGTTCCACCAGTTACACGACGTGCATCTTTCATGTGCTCCCTCATCCTCCCGAACCATGCTGGCCACTCCCTTAATGCTCGGTCCATACGCTCACGCCTTTCCTGTTCTCGTTTGTGCCGCTCCTCTACTGGTAGCTTTTCCTCCTCACCGTAGTAGAAGCGCTCCGGTCCATCAGACTCGGAATCGTCACACGGAAAAAGCGAGACTTTTGACACTGGAGAACGCGACTCACCACGTGCTGTGGCATTCATCTTCGCACGTTCTTCTTCTGACTTTGGAGTAGTTTCCATCAACCGCCTCAAGTATGAGGAACCATCTTCGTCAGCCTCTCCATCTTCTACTTCGGAGTCTGAAGAGGTACTAAGTAGATCATCACGATGTCGAGCTGCGTGCACGACATTGTAGTTGTTGTGGTCATACGCAGACGCAGAAGCTAGATCATCAATATCATGATCGTCAACATCATCATCTTGTTCACGCACACGATGATCTTCAGGAGCTTCTCTATTGCTGCGCGGTGAACGACTTCGGCTTCTAGATTCTGCCTGTTCCCTCTCTTCATCTTCAGCCGCCAAAGCGTCGGCACCGTGTAGCCGTGCAGGGCCTTCATCTGCACCCTGTTCCAGATGGCGCAGTAAAGTTTTTTACAGAACAAATTCGTTGTCGTCCTTCTTCTACTGTGACCTAACAAAAGCATAATCATGTTTCTTTCGTCTCGACTCCTTGAGTACTTCGACTTCCAAACTAGGATAAAGAGAACGAAAAGATGAAGTATAATGATCCTAAGATAGATACCAGAGCTCTCGCCACACGACGCGCCAGCAATGTCGTTACCCGATCGATATCTCCTGGTGTATTAGGATCAGCGAAGCCCTCCAAAAATTGCATGGCCTGGTGCTCCATCTGCTGTCTATTGGTAGGAGTGTCAGGTCCCTGGACGAGTTCATCATCATTCGGATTGACGTTTGACGTGTCGGGTCCTTGCACTGCTTCATGTTCGTTGTCCGAGGCCTCTCTTTGATTGTCATCCACGTTCGCATCTTGACCACCTACCTCCTCAGCTCCTCTAGAAGATGCAGCTGCTGCCGGACTCTCCTCCACACTAATAACGCCGGCAGGAGGTGCTGTCGATGATCCACCTGAACCTGAAGGGCCCGTGACATTCGCGTATTGATCTTTGTGTTCAGCAGCTTTGTTCTCGGGAGCAGATGATCCGATGCGGCGCAGAAACTTCGCGTGTACAATAGAGCTTGATGAACAGCTGCCAACATCGAGTCCGAAGTGCCAAGTGACAACGTGTATGAGCACCCTCCTCAGACATAAGGAAGCCATCATCCTGCTTTGTGAAAAATGGAAGATGCAAAAGTGATGTACAACTAGTGGTTACTCACAATCGTTACAAGATCAAGAACCAAGGACAGAAGAACCGATCGACGCATAAGATTAAGCGTTCTCATGCACTCACGTGGTTTGCTAGGGGAACCAACTCTGACGTTCTTTTGTTCTCACCAGCACATTGGCCAATTCGTGTTGGTCATCTTCAGCATGGTGTTTTTTCCTGCATTATTTCTTCTCTCTTGTCATCATCTAGTCGTCATCTCCTCTCCTCTTCATTATCTCTAGTTGCTCTCTCTCTCTTGTTGACACTCCCGCATAAGATCCCTAAAACGGTTTAGAAACCCGCCAGAAGCGTTCGCACGCCGTTGCTGATGCGCCTGCTGAAATGCTCAACATTCTCCTGCGTTTGTTGATGCTTCTTTTCTTCCTCTTGCTTTTGCTTACACATGAAAACATAAAGCGTTGAGAAACAAATGGCATAGTGAGACAACTACAGGGAGTCAATGGGAATGGGAATTTTCATGAGATATTACGAAGATTGGGATTAAAAATATCGTTATCTGAGTAGTTTGGGGATGGATGGATTGCCTTTAGCCTTTTTTCGTCTGGAGCGACGCTCTTCGATAGTGTACTTCTCCAGTGACAGCTTTGGAAGTTCCAACCTTCTCAGCATTTCCGTGCTAAAATGCGAAGTGAAGCTAGGCACGTTGGAGGATTTTTCGACTAGCGCCAACCCTTTGTAAGGGTGTTTTTTCACGTTGTTGACCGTGACCCATCTAAGGAGCGGATGATCATGTTGGGCTACATCCTCTTGATGAAGCGTCTTGCTCCACAGCGTCGGAACAGTCTTGTTATCATGTTGTCGGGAAGCAGCAGGAGTCAACAACCTGTTCTTGGGTTCTTGGAACCAAAAACAAAGTGCCTTTGCAATTTCCTGTGCTTGTGTCGGGAGACGCAAGTAGTTTGCTAACGCAAACCGAAACTGCAAATCGCGCAACGACTCTTTACCTTTTATCGCCAGATTCAAAGGCAGGCTTTGACGCCAATAGTGGTAGCTCGACGCGTCTCTGAAGCGAGAGAAGGAGTACGGGTCCAGAAACATGTTGTTGCTTACTGCCTGTGCTGACATGGCATTCCCACCTCTAGTTCTTTCATCCATCTCTAAAGCTATCTTGTCCAGGTATATTGGCGGATCACAGAAGAACGATATATGGGGAGATCGTGCTAGTGCCCAACACCGCGTCGACGGGATGAAGGCATAGGTTTTGACTGCCTGTGACCGCGGATCCCTAGGCATTTCGGCGCAAACAATGCCTTCGGAAGTGACGAAAATCTTGGCTGGGTGACGTGCAACAGGTGGTAGAGGCTCTGTCATGACCACGAGACGAAATTCGAGATCCCAAACTAGAATTCGCGAAGTCGGAGATCGCAATGCTGTTAAGCGGAGGTCGCCGGTCTCGACGGCCTCTAAAGCTGCGCTTATTAGAGGTTGCGGCATTGCATTCTTCAGATCATCCCTGGCCTCTTTTTTACTAGGAAAAGAGTCAAGGATGGTAGTGAAGAATGCAATGTGGTAACCCTTAAGCTTACATCTGCTCTACTCTCAGACAAAGGTCCACCAAGAACAACCCCACTCGATGCTGAAGAAGAAGCTAGTCCAGCACTAAGCACGTTATTTTCCGCTTCGTTCACCGCGGCAGATGCCGCTGCAGCTGCTGCATGCCTCATAGCCGCTATGGTATGAAGTTCTCTATGATCACCGAACAGTGTAGGCGACATTTTCAGCTCCGGTGCAGCCATACCGATCACAAACGGTGAGGCTCGGCTATAGTTCAGCTTCAACAAAGGAACGGGACTGCAAATCGATGGCATGCAGGGCGACCCCGTTTCGTCAAATACCGTGATGCTGTGTGAATAGAAAACCACTACCGTCCGAATCCTAGTCTCGAGACTGCCGAATGAACTACAGTGGCAGGTAACATTAGACAAATGCCACATGCGGTTGGCCATTTGGTTGGATCCTGGAGCTGCTGCCAAGCGCACAGGGATGCTCTCCAGCTTGTTCTCGACAGTGTTTGCGGACAAACCGAAAACGTTCAAGCTGCGCATATTTGCTTCAGCTGAAGCTGGAAAAGCTTGTCCTACTTGAGCTTGCGCGTCCTCAAGGAGAGATGTCACATCTTCTTGTTCCCCTGCTGCTCCCTGGCGTAGTAGTTGGCGGCTGAGCTCCAGCTGTATTTTACCAATGCGACGGCTTCCAGCTGCAGAGATTGCGGCAGTAAAAACAGATTGATGGTTGCCTCCTATAATTTCACGTCTTTCTACAGTATTCGCATAGTCTTTCGTCCATCCTGGCGCGAGCATAGCCGCATTGAGCTCTGCCCGCTCAATATCCCGAATGCCATCTTGAAATGCGGATGCGATACGCTCTTCCTCCTTACCTACTATCGGTGGTTTCTTCACGTGAGGTGGTAGCTGTACCTCTGCGCTGGTCTGCTTGTGCTTGCTCGCTTTGCCGTCAACTTTAAGAGCTACTCCTGTGTTGTCAGCTGTTGTACCAGAACCTGAGTTTTCTTGTGAAACGACTGGCTCCAACAAGTACTGGTACCGAATGTAAAGCAGCAACGCCTTTCGTTCATTTTCTGTCAAAATGGTTGTTGTTTTTGAAGTAGATGACGTGTCATTTGATGGTGCAGCTGTGCCACTAGTTGTCGCATTTTTTTTGTGTTTGTCCTTTCCAATTCCACCTGCTACTGCTTGCTCATCCTCGGACGATGCAACATAATGCAGCAGAAGCGAATGCAAAACGTGCGCGTCGAAGAGGCTCAAGGAAGTTGTTCGCGGCTGCCACTGTGTTGGATCCACTGATTGGTCGCCACCGATAGCAAGACGAGTTGTAGAGGATTTGAATTCCGCAAGTAAGTCTGCGGATGAGGTTGTTCCTTTCGCATTCGCACCTTCAGACAATGCTTCGGCCAAAAGGGCGTCTAGCAAAACATCAGGTAGAGAAGACAAAACTTTGCTGTTGTGTCTGTCGTTGTGGTCTCCTGCTGAAGTAGAAGTCGTATTAGAGGATGTTGCGCAAGAAGTCATAACGCAGCCGTTCTTGCCCACGAGCAAGGCCGGTTCGACTTCCTGGCCTTGGAGCGCTGTAGAGTTGGTTTGTCTTCCATCGCCGCTCCCGATCGACACCTCTCCTGATGAAGAAGCAGAGACGGCCAACAAGTGCTCAATCTGCGATAACAGGTCCCGACGTCTTCTTCCACTACTCACTCCTAACTCGTCTTCACTGCACGCCGAAGCATCTCGAATTGACAAGTCGCTCACAACGTCAGCAACAGACAGGCCAGCTGCGTCCGCAAGCTCATCTAGTAAGGTAGCAGTTGAAGCCGCAGCTTCACCTTGTAGTAAGGAAGACAACGAGCTGTCGGCATCTTGGTCACGAGCTCCTCCTGTTCGACATGAAGACGATGGAGAGAATAGTTGTACTGCCAACGGATCCAAAATTTCCTCTCGCGATCGAGGATGCATTGTTTCCCTAGAGAATGCTTCGCTCCTGCTTGCGCCAGGAGGCGGAAACTTCGCGTGTTTTGCTACATGGTTGATTGTTTTGACGTATTGCTCGTGCGACACCACGCCACAAGCAGGCGAAGGCAAGACGCGGAAAAAGTACTCCGTCTGCTCTGCTTTTAAGGTTTCTTCGAACGTCGTTCTAAGGTTTCCATCATCATTCTTGTCTTCCAGAGCGCTGCTCGCGAATTCCACATCCATGTCCATGCGCTTCGCGGCTTCCTTCCTCTCCTCCAAATCCGTGGAGAAAACAAGCACAGCAGCCGGATCCATTTCACCGTCTCGGACGTGCACTGTTCGAGTTGTAACAATGCTTTCGAGTAGGTCCATGTTTCTAGTGGAAGAAGACGAGCTACTAGAAACTGCTCTACTTCCTCCAGAAGCAGGACCGCCTTGCTGACCTTCACTTGCGTTCGCCTTGAGAGTTTGCTGCTCAGTAAAGTGAGCAACGTCGAGCCTTGTTGCCTTCGACAGCCACCTCTTTGCGCTGCGCAGGTAGACGAAAGCGCCAGTGTTTGTCGTCAAGTAAATGCTTTGACAATCATTGGAAAAAATCATGTCGAGGACAATGCCGCACTTACGTGGTATGAAGTGGGAAAGGACCGCAATAGGCTGTGCTTCGTTACTGGACCACACAGAGACGAAGCCATCTGCTGCTGAAACGGTCGCAAAGAGTGACACAGCTTCGAAATCCTCCGGATCACTACGAGAACTACCTTTTTTTCGCTGTCGGTTAACGCCAGCTCCTTCGAGACCTTGTCTACCAGCATCATCGCCTTCATCAATACCAGCCTTTTCCGAAGTTCTTGTACTCCGAGACAGTCCTCCACGAACAAGCAATCGGTCATGATTTTTTCCAGATGAAGATCCACTTCCACCAACGCCGTCAAGAATATTGTAAATACCCGTTTGATGTCCACCTCGTCGCTGTTCCGCAACGGTTTCGTAATTTTTTACTCTACGACGTCCTGGTTGCTGAGTGCCATTTTGGGTCATATCAACGAGACCCAACTGACCTTTTGCAGCAGAAGCTCTTGCTCTACCGCTTGCTTTCTGGTACTTGTCAAGTTTTCCGTCTTTCGTCGCACGACTCGTTGCTCCAACATACTGCTCGTCATGATCATCCTGCTCTTCCTCCCCACTTCTATCTCTAGATGTGCCATCCTTCTCTTTCCTTTGTCGACACAACGGCCCCATCGCTATCGTCGAAATACGGTCCGCGGGAACTCGGACCTCACATACTGGCTGGGACCAGTCGTCCCGAGAAAAGACGGGGGCGTAATGTCTTAGCATCTTGTACCTCCCGAACTGCTGCATGGTTTCGCCATACGGAAGCACGCAATGCCCGCCCAATGGATCCCACACGGGACGTGCGCAGAAGATCATCTTGGCCCTATTGTAGATTTAAGATTAGGAGGGTTGGAGTCTCTTGTTCCATCTTCTTAAGCACTTAGAACCTTGTACTCTTCATCTAAGGCGATGATGCAAAAACCGGTCCTGCAGGGCAGATTGATTTTCATAATGGAGAAGTTTTTTCTGATAGAGGTGGAGGCCCCCGTATTTATAGTTAGCTATAGCTTCCAACGCCATTTTAGTATGTACCTATTCGCTGCACTCATTTCTGCCCAGCAGCCCTCTGCTATGTCTCTGCGGACCTCCCACCGCTCAGTCACGTTCCCGTCTCGATCGCGTGCAGGTCGTCGTTCCCAGACAAAGGGGATCAAATTTCCTTTGGTCGTAGAGTTCATCGCCACTAGAATACGGCCATAGGGGTCCAACTGCGCACCCATCCACCTATCAGCATGATCTGCGCGTTCTTCGGCGTTCAGTTCCACTGACTTGGATCGGTTTTGGAGAGTGCGTTCAAATGCGAAGAGGTCGTCTCTGTGGTTATCACCAGCTGCGGCTGCAAAGAGGTCCCTTTCTCGTTGCTCACGTCGCAACTTGAATGTTTGCTGGAAAAGCCTCACCGTGTCCTCAGAAACGTTGATTTTATGCTTTTTCTCTCCAGTTTCGGCGTCACAGAGGAAAATGTCTGTCACGTCCGTGGTAACTAGAATTTCGCGTGGATTCGCGCGATTCCAGGACAGATCGACGACTTCGCAAGCAACACCAGAACTAGCTTGGAAACGCAAAACTTGAAAACGTCGCCATGCGGAGTTCTCGTGCATTGAGAGTGAGCCTCCTTTCCCGCCACCCTGCACGTTCCACAACATGCAGTTGCCGTCAGCGCCACCCGAAGCAAAAACCAGCTCCGAAGGATGCCATCTAACGACATTCACAGCCTCGCTGTGGTCCTCTAAGGTTGCGATGGGCATGCCAGTCATGCGCCGTTCGAGCTCATTAAATTCCATTCGCCACAGCCTGATGAACTTATCTGCTCCGGCTGTGGCTAGAATCTCAGGAACGCCTCTGGCTTTGCTCACATCGAAGATTAGAAGAAGTTGGATGGCTTGATTCTGAATATCCTGTCCTCTCGACAAGTTTAATAAGTCAGTTAGTCGTGATTGATAAGGATAACGCTAGAAATAGAATTACTTATACCGAATTCATTATTAGTGAAAGTGATTACTTTCATCGAAGTCGACATGATCTCGAGTCAACCTTTGCCATAACATCGAACAGATCTGCTTCCCGCCATGCCTGACGTTTCCGATATGACCTGCGGTGATGTACGACGCCGCTGGCTTTTTTGGACGAGACGAGTCTGCCTGGGCAGCTTGAGCGGCAGTGGGTGCTGCAGAAGAGGTGGCTGCAACAGCAGCTGCGCCAGTAGATGAGCTAGATCTGCTTGCTCCAGCATTCGGAAGCTTTTTACTTGCTGCGGTCACGGCATTCGATGACGATGAAGCCCCAGTTGTTCCTCCAAGCACCGCTTCATTTTCCGGTATACTCTGCAACTGCTTGTTCTGCTCTTTTCGCATTTTCCTTTGTACTTTCAAAGGCAGCTCTTCTCCTGTCTTCGGGTCTAGCATGACCTCGTCCTCATCCTCGATCTCATCAGCCATAGCGTCATCGTCTTCGCTCTCCTCATCCTCTGTACGCTCTAGATCACTGTCGTCGAATCTCCGGAACCAAGCATCATCATCGTCGTCACCCAGACGCATTCGCGCGTCCGCTACACCCTGACCAAAATCGATCACATCAGCTGTTTCGGCCGCTGCTTCTCGCTCCTTCAGAATGCGCAAGTCCTTCCTGTCCAAGCCAGTTTTCTTGCCGGTAAGTCCGAGCAACAACTCCTCAATCTCGGGACGGGTTAGACTGCTCACAAGAGTGTCGAGGAAACGAGTTGAAGAAGCTGCTTCGGCAGGACCCACACCAGGAGAGGGAGAAGAATTCTTCTCTCCTGAGGACGCTGTAGTCAGCGCCGCGCCGTCAGTGTTCTCACTTTCCTGTTGCGCTAAGTTCGCGCACATCGCAAGAACGAGCTCGGGAAGCAAGGTCGGGCTTACAGCCGGACCTTGATCGGTCGATGAAAACAAGTCGATCGAAGATATTTCCTGTTGCTTCTTAGAAGAACTAGAAGAAGACGAAGAAGACACACTGGAGGAAGACGCCTTTTCCAATTTCTCCATCAAACTTTTAGACAGAAGATGGTAGTCGAGGCCGGGAAGCTGGGATCGTCCGTTCTTGCCAAGAACCATTTCAACATCGTCTAGCCATTCGTCGCTAACGCGAACTAGCGATGAAGAAGATGCACTTTCCTGCGTCGATCTGCGACAGTAGAGCGCTTCTCCATCTGTAAAAAAAGCGGGCTCATCGCTCTTTCCTATTGTAGTTGTTGCTCCAAGCGACGATCGACTAGCACCAGCAGCAACACCAGTGCCTGAACCTGATGTAGAACTTCTACTGGTTGTACTAGAAGACGTCGCCTTTGTTCCACCTACCTTCAGTCCTGGAGGAGCTAAATTCTCCAGAGCAGGATGTAAAAAAGCATCAGCTTCGTTACCAAAGATATCGTCACGAAGCACAGGTGCAGGTCTCTTCTTCGTAGGAGCTGCAGTGGTGCCCTGTGGTGCATTCCCAAGTACTAGAGTGTGCTTTGTAGAGCTAGTAGAGGTCCGCCATCTTGCCTGCTGCATTGCCGCAGCTGGCGCGCGCGCGTCATATCTTGCGGCGTCCGTCTCTTCAGGCCATAATGACGGGAGTGGCCCTGCGGGAGCAATCGCGAGCCTCCTCCTAGGATGGTGTGGAGCTTCAACTCCTCCATCCTTCCCCAGAAGCGCTGCCTCTTTACTGCGGAGATTTATCTTTCCCCGGACACGCGCTAGCAACGCACTTCGCTCGGAAGAGGACGAGGCGGCACTGCCTCGATTCTGTACTTGAACTACAACCATTTTTGTGTTCTTCTACAACGCATTCAAGGTCCTCTACCAGTGCCTAGTACTACATCATGTCTCCACCTATGTTGTAGAAGAGGTAGTCATCATCCATGATGCTCATCACGGTTTATAATACTCGACCTGCACCTCCTGCTTGCTAGTAGTAAAGGGAATGAAGTTAGCAGTATAGGGAAAGGGAATGAAAGAAGTAAAAAATGTTAGCAGTATAAGGAATGAAAGAAGTAAAAAATGTAGTCGTCTAAGTATGCGGCGCACTATGAAAAAATCAGGTTGGATGAGCCCTTCATCTGCACGACAACATTGGCATTTTACAACCACTGCAGACGACCAGGCGTCTTGGTATCCATGGTTTCGCTTCGGTTTAATTCGTGTCTACACTTACTGAACGAGAAGTCGTTTTCATTCCAGTATCATATTGTCATCGTGGTCACAGAAGGAGGACCGAATCGGAAATGTGTCTCTGCAATTATACGTAGAGCGTATTCACAAATGTTAATTACCATCGCTTAGAAGCAACGAGTAGGAGCAAAAGATCCTTTGAAACGTGCAGTAGGACAGGGCAAAGACAAGAGCCAACTTCGAACACGATTAGCTGAGGTGCTGTGACCGCTGAGCCGCCTGCTCGTGCATGCCGGTGTGTGGCTTGAAGAGAGTCGCGCGTTTTAACATATCAGCCGCGTGAGATGGAGTACCCTTGTATAGTTTTGTGAAGATGAATATCTTTTGGGGGTGGGGTATAAGCCTTTTGCTTTTGCGTCGTGTTTGGGGTAAGTATTTAGCGTAACTTCGAGCCTCTCGTCAACTTGTTTCGGTGATCATTCGACGCTCCTGTAATCATCGAGACAGGGGCAATTGCCACATAGAGGTGTGACAAAGAAAAGGAGGATTCATCCGCAGATGTTTGTAAAGGATTTCTCTGTCGATGAAGAGATAGTTAGAGTATTTTCTCATCATGAATCTATGTTCAACGGCTATTGACACAAAAAGAAAATCTACACCCACCAATGCATCAACTTCCCGCATGCCGTGGCGAACATCGCGCGCGTTGGATTCCAACTACCGCAAGCCAATGGCTGATCGGCCCCTGCAGTAGAGGCGGGAACAGCCGGTAAAGGAATAGTCCGTTCTAGCACGCCATTTGTTGTTGAAAAGATGTGAACGGCATTGCGCGTGACCTGCATCACGAACTCACTATCTGGTGAGAAATGCGCGGCCAATGGTTCTGAGGAAGAAGAATTTCGGTACTCGACGATAGGATCTCCGTCATATGCGTCGAGGAGAGACCTGATGTGTGATCGAATTTTCGAGAGAATGGATCACGCGTTGGCCTTTCTATTGATGGAAAAAAGTTGGTAGTTTGTTTCTGTTCTTTTTCTTAGAAAATCAATTCAATCAGACAAATTCAAACAACAACATCAAGTAGTAGTAAAAAAGTAGAAGTACGTGTAATTGCACAGCACGTATTTTCCACATGGTGAGAATTCCAACTTCTCGCATGGCTTGCCTAGTCGGAACGTTAAAAAAGATCCCTTGGCGAACGTCTTGGAGTCGAAAAGATGGATAGTCCTGTGGAGAAAAATTGAAATTGAAGGAAGCTTCTGAGATTGAGTTAAGAGAGAAAGAGATAGGAGAGTAAGAGTTGTATTTGTGTAATTTACAAGAACAAGAAGATTATAGGACTCATCTTACTCTGAGACGGAATCAGAAAGTTCAAGTGAAGAAAGAAAGAAAGTTCAAGTACTCTTGTCCTGTGCACAAGCCGAAGACCATTCCTTGACTATCGAATGCTGCGGAAGTGACCTCTCCAGTGGTGTCAGTCTTTCCTAGCGCCACGAGCCCTTTGCTCGCATCGTCAGCAGCTTTTTTCTTCGGATTGTAAGCCGAATAGTCCCATAAACTCACGTTGCACGTTGTACCTGTTTTTGTTTACTTAATATGACTGATATTCAACATTATTAAAGAAATTATATCATGTCATGTCATGTAACCTCATTGCTCAAATTGACTTATTGATTTAGAGGTTTTTACTAGAATCTAGTGCAGGAGCTGTAGAAGTACCTAGCAACAGGATGTCCTGGGTCGGATGCAGGCTGACAAAATTGATATGCTCTCTGTAGAGCACGCTTTCTGTGGCGATTTGAAAAAGCGTCACATCCTCAAGCAAGTCCATGAGCCGTAATCTATCAGGCCTTCTTCTAAAGGGAGAGACAGAAGAAGAACTGGAGGAGCTTGGCGAGGCACCTCCTGATGCTGTGGCGCCAGGAGCTGTTGTTGAACTGGAAGAGGAAGTCGTGGCTGAACCTGAAGTTCCGCTAGCAGCTCCTGTACCACTAGCACCACCAGTCATGGGTTCATCTTCTGAACTCGTCGCGCTGTCTTTCGACGATGAAGACGCGCCCCCAGTGCCGGTCAGTAGTAAGGGATGCGTCGCACTAAGAACAAAAGCATAGCTCGGGTCATGCTGCTTCAACTGGACCGATACGAAAGCGTGCTCTGGGACAATCATTGGGGAATTTGAGGGGGCTCCAGGTGTAGTAGGGCCTCCGGCAGTAGCACCACTGCTAGATGAAGTAGCTGCCACTGGTGATGTCGATGAGCTACTTGAAGTGGCGCCTCCACTCCCCACTTCCACAGTGTGGGCAGCGATCTTTCTTCGCAACTTGGCATCCTGTATACTGTAAAGTGCGATTTCGCCTTCGGTCCAGGCAACCAGAATTTCCCTCCCGATATCGACTCCGAGGATGTCACCTTCAAGGTCAGAGAAAGCTTTGGCAAGCTTCACGTCGACCGGCCAACGAGGGGCAGGTTGAAGAGCCATTGTCTGTGGAAGTTATTTTTCGAGGAGTGTTCTTGTTGTATCAAGTTAGTAGAGCTAAAGAAAGTCTAAAATAGAGTCAAGGATTCAACAACTTCTACCCTCCAGCAGAAATACTTACATTTAAACAAGTAGAACTAAATCATAACTAGAAGGAGGTAATACTCCTTAGCTTCATCTGTCCATAAGAAAAACAAATCAAAGTCCTGTGTTGATGAACGCAGAAAGTCATTTCCGAAGAAGCTGATGCACATTTATCAGTAGACCTACAACATGAATATATCAGTAGAACTACAACATGAATAGTTGCTATCTTTACCTCGTCATTTGAGTTCTTGTTCGGGAACGTCAAAATGTTGTGATCCTAGTACTAGAACTACAAAAAGTAGTGCTGATGTTCATCTACATCTTACGTGCACCTCAAAACTTGTGTTTCATCTTATTCATTGCGTGGTCCAGCAATATTTCTATTCCAGACTTTTTTCAGATTCTTACCGACGGTAGGCTGTCTCTTTCACACGCTCACAAGATCTTCTTTTTCCTGACTAACCCGACAAATTTGTTATCGATCCTCCTTGTGAGATCGTTTCCTGGTGGCTCACACCGAGAGATGATGACCGTGTCTGTCAGACGCCCGAAGGTTTGGTGCATCTTAATCTTCTATTTGGAGGAGCATCATTTTTTCTTTGGATTATGAACATTTCGTCTGCTTGTTGTGAGGAAAGCAGCAGCGCGGCTTCTGCTTGTGGCATAAAGTAAGTGGTCATTTCTTGTTTTGTCTTTCTTCTTTCACATATTAGCATTCGTGAACATTTAAAAACAAGACCCGCCTTGCTCAAGAAAACATTTTCATTTCTTTGGTCAGGGAGACTTGGATTGGCGACAAAATATTAGATCACCAAGACCTCATTATACTATTTAATGGAGTATGAGAAGTCTGCAGTGAGTGCCCTCTAGGAAAGGACAGTGGTGACGAGGTGAAAGCGAAGCATAGTCGTTCAACAACTGCGTCCTCTCGCCATCTTCGTCAGATTCAGAGTTTTGTAGTTATTCCCACTACATGTTTCGGCAGTGTTGAACTGCTAAAACTAACCCGGCACCAACTTCTACTCATACTTCCAAACGAAGTACTTGATCGCACCCTTTACGTAATTTCATCACAGCACATGCTCATTCGAAAGTCAATAAAACTAGACCGTGGAGGAACGAGATTGGCATCCATGTGCTCAAAGAAGAGCCTACATCTGTGCTTCTAACTCAACAGGATCATTGCTGTACAGGGATCAGCACTAAAATTTCCATGCTTCTCATTGACCGTGCTGATCTGCTCTGTGCATTGACCTGTACATCATTTATCATCCAAAGCTTTTTTCTTCATTAACCAAAGGAGAAATACATCATGACTTGTAAGTAATTTTCAACATGAGGCTTTTTTTCTAAGCCCTTTTTTTCTAATCATACCTCGTCCTACTCCTATGTCGTTAGGTACTATAGGTACTAGTTGTATGTAGATGTTCGATTAGGTAAAAATCAGAAATAAATCAATCATGGAATTCTTGTACTAAATGGATGTGGGTCTCTAGACCCAGACGTAGACTAAAAATGAAAAATAGATCATGATCATAACGTGTACTTTTTATTGTGTTAATACCGTAGTTCATCAACGAGAAGTAGAGGTGCCGGTATTTTTATCGGACCGACTCAGTCTTACTTTATTTTATGCTAAAAAATATAACATGCTTTTTGACCACATCGTATGTCGAGGTGTTCATTTCCTGTCTGTGACACCTCGAAGCTCTTCGTCTTTACAGTACGTATTTCTTCGAAATGACTGACGTAGTGCGAAGAGCACAACGAACAGGAAACAAATAGGCGCGCAAATACGATGTTGAAAGTAGATCAAAGAAAAAACAAATTTAGTCACGAGTCACGACAAAACCTCTTCATGATCAGGTCTTTCACCGCTAGGACCTGTTCTTTGTATGCACATTACAAGCTCCGCAGCGTTTTATTTACACGCAAATCGCACGAATACATACGAACACACCCCCAAAAGAACAGGGTCATCTAGCACACTACCCAATCTTCGAATTTGGAATCCCCTTCCTTTTTCGTCACAACCCATTCACGCTCAATCTCTTCCTTCTCTTTGCGCAGAGTCTTTTCCTCCAACGTTTCGGTTTTTTCGGTCTTCTTTTTCTCACTGCCACTGAACATCTGGAAGATTGTCTTTCCGGTATCTAAACCGCTGCGCGCGACACCGCCAGGAGAGATAACAGACGAGAAGAACGATGTTGTGGAGCTAGAAGAGGTGGATGTTTTAGTACTGGAACTGGTGGAAGAAGTTGTTGTAGTTTTCGAAACACGGTTCGAAGTATCGCTGTTCTTACTCACAGTCTTTGCAGCTCCTGTAGTGGGGATCGGATTGGAAAACAGGTCGCTCAGACTGGTACTAGGGGTCGTAGGTGAGCAGGCGCTTGTTGTGGTTGTTGTTGGTACAGTGCTCATAGAAGTACCATAGGGAGTGGTCGTAGTTGTTGTACTGCAGGGATGACTTCCTGTTCCGGCTGCACCAGCACCAGTCGACGAAAAGATACTAGTAGTGCTGCCATAGAAGTTCGTGGGCATGATGGTGATCATGTTTCCGCCATCGCAGCTTAAGCTCGTAGGGGGTCTCAGGTTCACCGTGGCAGTTGTGGTTTGCTCCTTCAAGAATTTACTAGGTGACGTTGCAGCCTCGAACAGCACAAGTCCACTGCGTTCCTTGATGGCGCGACGCTGTTCACTCGTGTGGCGGTTCTCGGAATCAGTGATGTCAGTCTCAGATTCAAAATCAGACTCGTACAACTCCTCCCCACTTCGGCCGGAAGAAGGGCCGTTGTAACCTGGTCATGGGTGAGTTACAACATGTTGATAGGATGGGACCGACGTATGTCTATAATTACTTGTTGAAGGGATATTTTTACATCTACGAGATAGAGGGAAAACTAACCGGTTGTTATTTTACTTATGTGCTTTGAGCGCCGCGACGTATGGAAAACTGTTGTATCAGAAACCAACTTCAGGAGAAGTGGGAGGATATCGGGTTCGAGATACTAGCAGTCAAGAAAAGCAAACTCAATAGAGCAAAAGTATTTGGATTTGCAAGTTTGTAGTACTCCCACAACTCGTGTCCACGCTCAAGTTCGCTGGTGACGGTGTGCGATCTACCATCAACAGTTTTTTCTTCAGAGAACTGCTGCTGCCCTTATTGTTGTACGGATGATCGTACATGAGTGTGTCGACCGCAGCTTTCGGGCCGAGCGGACCCCCGTTCGCACGGCCAGAACTGCTGCGCGAAATCGTCGATGTCTTTTCAATCGTCTTCACGATCTTCTTCGTCTTGGTAATCGTGTTCTTCGTGGAGGAAGAACTGCGAGAAGAGGTTGAGGTCGATTTCTTATGGTGCGTGGACTCTTGAATATTGTTTCCTGCTAGTACGGCTAGTGGTGATTCACATTCATCATCTTCATCATCGTCCAGCGACGAGGGAGTGGAGTTCAGTGAGGAGCCAGACGCACTTCCGTTCAGAGCGAGCTGTTCAAAGAGTGTCGCAAGAGCTCCTCCAGTAGACGAAGGTGGACTCGAAGTCCTCGTAGTACTGCTGGAGTGCTTTTTAGAAGATGAAGTAGTAGAACTGCTTTTCTTTGAGGAAGTAGACGTGCTCGAAGAGCATGCTCCACTCCCAGTAGTTGTTGTGTCTTTCTGATGATGTTGCTCCGAAGAAGATGTAGTTTTGCTCTTCTTAGAAGAAGAGGACGAGGAAGTAGAGGATGTGGCGGCATTGTTCATGTTCATCATGTTATTGATGCTCGCATCTCCGTGGTTTTGATAGTTGTTACCGCTGTTGCCATTAGAAGCTCCCTGACTAGAAGAAGCTGCAGTTCCGATGTTGAGCATGACATCGTTGAGGCGCGTCGAGTCTCCTGGTAACATGGTCGACACGTCCACACTGCACATATTCTGCGCCACTGGTGAGCGCACCCATTGCTGTACAGCAGTACTGACGCCGCCGCCGAATCCGGTATGCATGACGCCGACAGAGTGGTCGGAGAGCTTCAGAATGGTGTCCTGATGTGGTCGTTGTATCTATAGGTAGAGAGAGGGAGTAAATAAAAAACAATGAATGAATCTTCGAGTAGGTATGATGTCCCCAGACTGATTCTTTTACACAGCGAAGCAAACATGACGATACCCCACCTTTTCGTGACGGAACTACGCACATGCTAAAAGTCCATACCACATAGATTTTTGGACACCAACCTGTTGAAGAACAAGAACGTACCTGACTGTATAGCCTCGTCGCTGGGTTCGGAGAAAGCAAGGGCCCCTTCCCTGGTTGGTAGTCAGCGACTACGCTGCGCAGGCAGTGAGGGAAGTTAGAATCCATTTTTTGTCTGAGGACGCTGATTGTGATTTACAGACTACTAGAACTACAAATGCTGGGAACAAGAATAATGAATCTCTTTCTCTATTTATTTTATTATATTATATGCTGGAACAACGAAAGCGATGCGTGTGATGATTACGATGAACTTCTTTAGTTACGGCAAGTATTCACAACTTTGATGTTTTGATGTCTATCTAAGAATGCAAAAAAATAGATACTTGCAGTGAAGATCTTCACGATGAAAATAATTTTCAAAAATGGTGCTCACTCAATTCTCTTGGAGAAGGACAGTGATGCCAGTGGAGGACCAAAGATTTGTTACAGTGTAGGAGTCATTAGTTGTAATATCTTGTTCACATGGTTGGAAAACTAGTGAAGTATGACAAGTCCTCTTTGAAGCCTGGTGTTGTTTTTGTAGAAGGTATGCGGTGATCATCGTCAAGTTATCTCACTTTTTACGGATGATGCGAAGATGGGAATACTTGCAGCTCTTCATCATCTACTGTTGAAACTTGCACGACCATACTGAGTTCTGGTGCGGGCAGAAGCTCAAATCAATGGAAAAAAAACTTAAATTGTGATAATCCACCCAAAAAAAGCCGGGGTTCAGGCACTCGTCCTCCAACTCCAAGCAACCTTCCAAAAAAGTCCACTCTTGACAGATGTTCTTTTACATGGTGGCCTCAAGAATGAAGGTCACACCAGCCCCTCGAAAAACAGATTCACAACATTGCCTGCGCTACTCAGCATGAGGTTGAGGTGCACTCGGGGTACCGAATGATCCAATGTCATTTCCACCTCAGAAAAATATCTCTAATGCGATCTCTCATAGGACAGATTGCTTTCACGCTGAGGACTAGAACCTCACAGATGTTTCTTCCAGTCTGGAACAACTCTCTTCAGGAAAAACGCAACATCTTACTTACTTGCCACCATCTTCTATCTGATTTCGTAGACGAGAACACGCTATAAATTTTAACATCATTGTTCATGTTATGTAGGAAAGTCGACTTGGTGTATCAGTTGTGTTTAGGGAGAAAAGGAATAAAGGAGCAGAGTGCGCGAGAACAGTCCTGAAGCTGCACAGGGGCTGTAGTTGAAAAGTCTTTCCAACATCATCCTGATAGTGATGATGAATGGACTAAGTAGACGGTGTTTAACGAGTGGACCAGCTGCAAACTATTTATTAGGATCAATCCATACAACATATAGCATGCAAGATGATCGCAGCCTTCTCCCTGCACTCTGAGTTGGGGTCTGTAGTGGACATGAGGTAGAAGAAATTCTGCTGCAGTGCACTCGCCGACCGGGCTGTCGTCTCATGGTACCATCTCGCTATAGCTTCCTCCGCCCCACCACTTTGACAACTCCCTAAGACGGAGCTATTCATAGTAGTTGTTGAAATTGATACAGAAGCGTGGCTGACGGAGAGGCTAGTAGAAGTGGATTTTTTATTTGAACAAGACGTACTAGAGGACTGTGGTCTGAGCAAAGTTTGACTCGTCAAAGCACTGCAGCTAGGCCTGGCGACAGAGCGGGAAACACTAAAATTTCCCTCCACACTGCGAGCCACTTCGAAGTTCAGTAGCCAACGGCAGAACGTCGAAGTAGAAGTAGCACCTTTGAACTGCTCTAAACAAGCTAACACGAGCTCCAGAGAGGCCATGCGCACTTCCGCATCGTTGTTTAGGAAGTCACAGAGGTCTACGCAGATCTCAGCCATTTTGAGCATGTCGTCTGCTGGTGCGAGGCGACCTCCTAACGATAGAAGCGTGGCGAGTGCGTGGTAATACGCAACGAGGACGGCTGGTGAGATTGAAGAGGATGTGTCGTGATAAGGCGTCTGCCTTAGAGTTTGAACGGAGGTCTTGCAGGCAATGTGAGTTGTCGCAGTGGCAACAGAAGAAGACCGAGAGGATGAAGATGCGAAAAATTTTCTAGCTTCGTCCTTCTCAAAGTAGTCACGTGCGGAAGCTTGAGAAGTGGTACTAGTACAAGCCGAGTTCGAAGAGTAGTCCTTGACGCCAATCCCGATACCTTCAGCAGCTAACAAAGCTTCTAGATCTAACTCTCCGGAGTCTTTCGCAGATGTATTAGAACTCTTCTTTCTTGTACAACTACTAGTTGTACCTTTTGCATTTGCTTGTTCTTCCTGTTTCTTCTTCAGGTTCATGATATAGGGCTGAGCTTGTTGAGGTCCTCTCCTCTGACTTCCGTCCTCAACTGCAGCGGTACTTCCCGATGCAGCGGTTGCTAGTGCAGGAACTAGGTACTTTCCAAGCAGCGTCCCAAGAGGCCGAATGTACGAGGAAAGCAGAACTCCACACAAGAGCTGGGAATTCTGTCCTTCACCCCCAACAGCTAAGCGAGCTTTTAAGACAATGATCTGCAGCAGCTCCGCACCACCGAATGGCATTCGTTGCTCAAGAACCTCAAAGAGAAGCCCCAGGTTGCCAGGGATTTCAGCAATAGCGAGGTGTCGAAGTCGCTCCATAGCATTGAGATAGTCGTGTTCTAGATCGAAGGACCTTGTTTTGCGGAGACGTCCTCCGTGACCACCGGACCCGGCAGAGAATGCGTCATCTCTGGCCTCATAATCTGGCAAAAACCGTGAGAAATCAGTGCTCCCAGCCTGATAGGGCCACAGAGTCAGGTCTACCTGGAGTAACTGATTCGACAAACCAAGCCACACACTCTGCTGACCCTCAGTAGCGAATTCTCGTAGCGCGATACCTGGAAGCTGTTGACGAATCGCTACCTCATCATGAGAATTTCCACCACCAAGGATCGCCTGTGCCACACCATATACTCCAGAGGTCTCCGGAAAACGGTTCGTGACGTTGCTAACACTCAATAGAGACCGCGCAAGGTCCTCAGTTTTACAACTTGAAGAAGGCTCCCGTCTTACTCTAGTATCGAGAGTCCTCGTCTCTGGTCTGTCGTGAACTTCTAAAACGTACGGAGAAGCGGTTTGCACTGTGTAAACGTAGGTCGAGGTATAATCTGCAGCGCCAGAGGTGCTATCCCGATTTTCCTTACCGTCTACTTCGACTATCCATGGAGCCGAAGGAGCTTCGATCGCAGGAGTGACAGTGAGCCCGTTTTTGGTACGGTTATTTGTACCTCCGCAGAGCGATCCACTACGATTACCCCCACCTGATCCCAGTTGACGACACGACTCACCTCCACAAAGACTCTGTTGAAGTTTTTGTCTAGCAGCATTGGCTTCTTTTCGCAATAGTGCAATCGTGCTTTCTAGGAGGTGCTTCATATCAATCTGCTGCTCATCGGAGTGACACGTAGCTTCACCCTCTAAACTCTTCTCCACTTCTTCCATGCATTCACGCAGGTGGCGGTAGTCGCTGAGCGCCATCTCCTTTTGTCTTGCTGGAGCAGGAGCTTTGGACGTAGACGAAGATGCAATTTCGGTGATCAGCGGTGTTGGCCGCGAAAAGTGTGTTGCCACAGGACGGATTGAAGATGAAACTTCAGCGATCAACGGCTTTTCCGTGATTCTGCTAGTGGGTTGTTTCTTTGTCCTCTCCCCGGCTGAGAACAGACTCACCAGCTGTGCGTCTTTTGCGCGCTCTTCGGTCGAAAAGAAATCATCATCAGACTCTCCGTCCTTGTCAGATCCCTGATCCTGTTGCTCATGAATGCGACCGATTTCTTGCGCAAAATTCAGGGTATGCGATGATGTTGTCGAGGAAACGTCTTTCAAAGGCATAAAGCCAGTCGTCGTTTCCTTCGAATTTTTTGATACATCTTCAATAAGCAATATCGAGGTAGATGGCTCTATTTCAGGAGTGGATGTAGCAGTAGAAGGTGACCGGCAGACGGCACTGGTGATAGCTTCCTTGCCCTTTTGCTCTTCTGCATGATCTGTAATCTCCTGGATCAATGATGTTGATGATGTAACTGGATGTGCAGCGATTTCTTCAACGAGCTTTTCGCCTGTCTTCTCGTCCATTATCGTGGGTCGGAAAAACTGCGATTCAACTCGGTCTAAGGCTTCCTTGGTCCACGGCTTCGTATCATCATCCAGCATTTTGCTTTGGCCACTTCGAGGAAGGTCACTTAGCATATTTGAGAGCAACATGCTGCTTGTATCCGGCAAGAATGTTGAAGTCTTCTCCGCTGCCTCGATACAATCGTTCAAAAACGCCTTCGCCGTACCCGCATTCGCGCCCACTGACGCATCTTTGAGGCCCAACAATTCATCCGTACACTCTGCAAAGTATTTCTTGTCCAGTTTTGCTGCATCTTCTGCTAGGGCCTGCGCAACTGCCATGCCCATGCATCGTGCCATAGGGTCCAACAACTTGAGTCGCCGCGACGCCCCAGACAGGACTTGCTCGGTCACAAATGGTTGATTGACGACGTGGAAAACTTCTGACATTGATTTAAAGCTCAGCACTCAATGGTCACTGATGCTGAACGGAAGAGACTCCCTTCAAAGCTCTCCCCTTTCCCTTCCTTTTCCCCTGTTCTCTAAAAGGGTCGCTTCTTCGATCTCAATGACCATTGAAAGCTGAGCCTTAATTGATGTTTTGGCATCCTCCTCCAGTTTATTCTCCTTGGAAATCGAAGAGAATTTTCGACCATTCGCCTTGATCAATCGAAGAACGTCCAACCCAGAGACGATTTCACTGTCAAATGGAGTCTCTCCAGCCCAACCCTCCATGACCATGCGCTCGAGGGTCACAGCGTCCTTCAAGTGGAGATAGTCGAAGAAGTGGAAATCAGAGAGCAAGAACACAGTAAGATTCTTGCCGTCACTTGGTATGGAACGAGCCATTTGGTTACGCAGATGCTGTAATCGCTTCGGGTAGAGCTCTTGCATGGATTGTAAACCACTAGAGATGAGCGCATTGGCATCATGCGTGTTCGCGAGGACAGCAGGAGTTTTCTTCAGACATTTCGCAGCCTTTTCATCTCTTTTAGCTTGGGCTGAAACCGAAAGTGACCTCCAAAAAGCGTCAAGAACTTTAGCATTGTCGTCTGGAAAGGACGCTCCAACGACCAACGGCTGCAGTACGACATGAAGAACCGAGCCACGTTGAGTTGTAGATTCTGCGCTCGCGGACCCTTGCTCCAGCGCGCATAGGTGTCCGAGTGCTGTCAGAAAATTTTTCTCGAATTCTTGACACAGCTCCTCAACATTCGAATGATCAGGTTCTGCAAAATGTACTTCTAGAATCGTACGGAAAAAGCTTCTGCCGATTATCGTGCGAGCTTGAACACCACCACGAAGACACGCACGTTTTAGGAGCGAAAGCAGGTCTTGTACTCCAGAACTGGAGGATGAAATTATAGGTGTGGCTTCTTTTCCCATCACCTTCCGAAAAAATCCGGTCCACAAAGCTGAAGCCAACGCCTCAAACTGCCCTGAAATGGCTGCCTGAAGATCGGAGCATCCGATTCTGGTCAAGAATTCAGGTCCACCCAAAAGAGCTTTGCGCAAGTCTTCGCCAGCAGGTATTGCCAGTACAACCCCATCGTCTTCTTCACTACTATCTTCATCTTCTCCCTCGGCTAGAATCGTGTCTATCGCAGAAGCGTAAAATTGTCGACTTATGTAGAGCATGCTCAGCACGAGCTCTCCTAAGGACTTTTGACTTGATGATGCTCTCTCGCCAAGAATGGTGCCTACTATATTCGCACCCCTCGCGTTCGCCCCGCAGCATCTTCTAAGACCGTCGAAAAGAGTTAAGAGCAGTACGTCCTTGTCGTTGTCCCTGATATGAGCGTCTTTAGAATCGTGACACAGGATTTCGTCGATTTCTGCCAACAGCTTTGTCCTATCGCAACAGTCTTTTTTACTAGAGCAAAGTTTCACCGCCAGCTCACGACAACGCCTCAATCGGTCATGTCGAATTGCCATGGTCGCTGTGTCGTCTAGCGAGGTTACCATTTTTGAAGATTTAAACTACAACTGGGATGAAGACAAGACAATGACAATTTATTTCAGAACATGTTGATGTTGAGCGACGACGTTGCTGGCTAGCGAGACGCCGAAGACAAACAGCTTCCTATGACTGGGTAGAATCACTCACTCCTTCATGTCTGTGTGTCACTGTTCATGTGGAAAAAATGCTATCGACAAACGTGCTGCGTCGCCCCCCTGCTTGATTCATTTAGATTTACTACGTAAAGATGATAAGAAAATGGAAATCCCACAGAATAATCAAGAAATCACAAGTCGGATCCGTACTGCCCATGTTAAGCCTTTGCCTTTGTAGAAAAGTGAGATGATCTCTTTCTTGCTTATCCATGAATAATCGCAAGCGCCAAACCGCAGGGATCTTTTTTCCAACTGTTCTGCTCTGTTCTAGCCCAGTGCAGTTTCAACAGAGAAAACGGATCTAAAAACACGTTTGCTCGATGAGCAAGAGGCAGGGTTAGTATTGAGGACTCATTGTGGTACTGTTAGATAAATTGCACTGTTAATATGCAACCCGAAAGAATCACAGCAACCACGTAAAATTTGACATCTCGTGTTCAAAGTTCTTGAAGCGTGTGGGTCTCAACAAGTGCATGAAATCCATGACGTCTTGTCTTGAGATCTTAGAAGCCTGTGCTTCTACATCTCCTTGTCGGCTCTGTTGTATCTCGTCTAGATTCCTATCCTGTAAATACTCAAGTCCCGCAATCAAAGCAGGGTCTAGCGCATCTTCTGGGTTGAAGGGAACTTCATATTCTACAACAGCTTCATGTTGACCAGCTGCTGGTTGTGGTGCTGCAGAGCTACCCACCGCTACTTGATTTAGCGGGGGAAAAATCCTCTTCTCTATCATTTCTGCTGTTGCATCTGAAAGGTCGAGATGACTAGACAGATCGTGATGGAGAGGAAGCGAGCCTCCATCAGAAGTCGACTTCTCTGCTGCAGAGTGTTGTTCGCCACCACTACCCATACTCCAATACCGAGAGTAAGCTGAACATGATGACTCGCTTTGTGTTTTTGACGATGTTGGAGTTGAAGGGTCTACACTTGATGAAGACGAAGCAGGTTGTACTGGTTGTACTGGGTCTACACTTGATGAAGACGAAGCAGGTTGTACTGGTTGTACTGGGTCTACACTTGATGAAGACGAAGCAGGTTGTACTGGTTGTACTGGGTCTACACTTGATGAAGACGAAGCAGGTTGTACTGGTTGTACTGGATCTACACTTGATGAAGACGAAGCAGGTTGTACTGTACCACTCTCTTCCTGATCTTGTTCATTTCCCACCAGCAAGTACTTCCGCATTTGTTTTTGCCAGTTATCTTGCTCATCCGCTTGTCGTCTGTTGAGCAAATGACGCAACCGCCGCAACAGCAATGTGAACGGGCTACAAGACGGAGAAACGGAGTACCAATCGAAGAAACAGCTCATTTTTCGACCCGCATTCTTCAGTTGCCGTACACGGTCTGGCTCATACATCGCCAGGTCATGTAGATGGCGATAGAGACGACCGTCAACTAGCTTTTCCGGCCATTTGATGCTAAAGAGATCCCAAGGGAGCTCTTTTCGAAAAGCGACCTGGTAGTCGTCGGACAGAATGACCGGAATGCAGCCGCAGAAGAGACTCTCGTACAAATGGTTTGTCCACGGAGAAGTGCCGCCAGGAACTAGACAAAAATGCGAGTCGCCTTTTCGCTCCAGATAATCGGTCACAAAACCGCCGACGTCGACGCCTGGGAATCGTGCTAGTTCCATCACTTTGCCACGCACTTCGCAATCTCCGTATGCCTGATGCCCTCCAGGTGCCCGACCGTGGAAGGTCATCAGCATCCCGCGTTCGCTCGTTGGCTTGTCATGCTTTCGCATGTACTGCATCCTGGCGTAATCAGTGTGTCCTGGAATCACGACGTCTTTCCACGGAACAGAGAGGCACTTCTTCACGTCCACGTACTTCCGCACTTTCTCGCTCCAAGTCGGACAGGTCACCTCGGGCGAAAGAAACACGGAATCGCTGCGCCAGATCTCGTGTTGTATTAAGAGCGTGTTCTTGAATAGAAGACAGCGACACAGAATAGAACAAGACTAGGCAGAATAGAAGACAGCGACACAGAATAGAACAAGACTAGAACAAATATAAGTAAGTACCTCGGACGAAATACAGATTATCTAGCTCAACGATCATTGTTGAAAATGAGAGATTGTAAATTCGATCATCAAGTTGTGCCATACATGAATCGAATATTCTCGGTCCTTGTCCATCTGCAAAGAGGAAGATGTGATCCGCTCCTTGCCTTCGGTGATAGTACTTCGAACGTCTCAACATCGTCAACAAGGGTTCGTAGATGTACTTTGAGCTCAGGTAGTCCATGTCTTTCATCACCGCTCCTTCATCGACCACTCCTTCGTTTAGCTTTACATAACGGCAAGTCCCGTAGATCCCCACATAGAACCAATCGGCTTTTTCGGGGTCCAAGGTTCTGCAATCGGACCGATCAAAGAACGATTTCATCAGCACCTCCGTTCCCCACTGGCCTTGCAGACAGCTTAGCAAGCTCGGCGTATGGAGAGACGGATGCAACAGCTCTTGCGCTTCGTAGACGTACACTTTCTGGCCGAGACAGATGTTCTTGTCTTCGTCTGTAGTAGTCGCTGGAGTTCTTGAAGTTCTTGAAGTTGAAGTTCTTGTACTAACTATCTCCGTGCTCCTGCTCGTGGACGAAGGAAGAACTAAAGCTTCGTCTTCGATAATCCCTGGCGGCTTACGCTCCTCCACGCTCAGCACACTCAGTGTCGAACTCGTATCCTCACCACCGTAGAGCGGACCGAGTCGTTCGCCGTTGACACCAAACAGCTTTGGGTAGACGTAGGCAATGTCGACTGACCACTCTCGCATCAGCCGTTCCAAGTTGCGAACTTGGTAGAGCAGGTCGTCATCGGAGAGTAACTCGCCGTTAGGTCGTGAAAACGCAGGCACGACGCTTTGAGGCTCGGGCCAGCCGAAAAGAGTCTCGTAATTGTAGGCTTCTACGGACTCGACTCCTTCAATATCTTAGATATTTGAAGCGTAGAACGACAAGCAGTTCGAGTCACTACACCTCTACTAATAACCTTAGGCTTAGACATTTCTTCAATAGCATAAACACTAATGACATATTCATCTCCAACATCCTGCATAAGCGTTGCTCAAGCCAATCGTCCTCCTCAGTCGCCACACAACTAAATCCCGAATGCGAAAGATATACGTCAAAAACGCCGCCGCCTTGTGCCTCGAATGATGCGTATCTAGGTACAGGATCCCATTCATCATGATCTCCAACACTGCTGCAGGACAGCGCTCAACGGCATCTCGAAAGTGCTGGACATTTTCGTCGGTTACCTTACTCCGCGGAGAGAGCTGCTGCTGCTGCTGCTGTCCTCCATCTCCTACTCCTTGCTGCACTTGTACTTGCAACAACAGCTTCTCCACAAATGTCTCCTGGTAGAAGTGTCGGGACAGGGACTGGCTATCTCTGCCATATCGTTTCTGCCACTCTCCAAAGTTCGCGAAGAACCCTGGATGCAGGTCATCCGTTACTGCTAGGGAGCAAACAAGCGGAGACTCATGTTCTTCGACCTCGGTCGCAACGGACGCAACAGCATCCCCGCTCTCTGGATGATGATGTTGGTCCTCTTCCCCGTCAACCAGTCGGAAGAACAAACCAGCGCCCCAGAGGCAAATGAACGAAGGCGATAGCATTCTTTGACCCACCTTGAACAAGTCACCATGGACTTGTTCAACTTCAAGAAGATGCTATACCTATTTTTAGAATTAGAGTCAGTTTGTTTGAAGGGATAAGCCTAGTAGGGATAGAGGTGAAAACTAACCGGCTGTTGTACTTTACTGCTTTATAAGAAAACTTTAGTGCTTAGATCCTGTATTAGAATTAGAAGATTTCTGGCTTGATTTCAGGGACCATGGCTCCAGTCTGGCTCTGGGCGCGGGGGACAGTATTGTTCTTTTACTACTTCATTCAAGCCTGTGTGCGGTCGTGTCCGTACTACGGTTAAGAAGTTGCTTCCGCCTTTCTTCAGTACACATAAGAACACTACAGAACGTCACTTCATTCTACTTCGCAGACTCTGTATCCGCCGCCGATAATGTTCATATTTCAGTTTCAGATGATCGACGATAGCTCTTGCATGAATTACATCAAATGTTCATTTATTGCCTAAACTTAATGTCGAGATTATTTTTACGTAGTTTACCTAAATATTACAAACACAATGATTCAGAATTAGCAATGTTAACGAAGAATTTCAGTTTCATTATATCTCTAGATGACGATTTGTTCCATAGATACTAAACTACAACGGTGTGCGAAAGCGAATAAGATTATATTTTCCAAGAATTGATAAAACTAAACATGGTCTTCAAGGTCATTGACTACTCAAAATTTTTTGACAATAAGCTGAATCTTCCGAAGTAATCAATCCCAGACAAAAGTAAAAGACGAATAATTTCCAAATAGATGAACAATGCTGTGTACATTTACGTTTTAACACTTCATGATAGCTTTTAGTGTTTCCAACATACTACAATACCTCTAGTACAAGTGTGTCTTATGTTGATGCTCGATTCTTCAGTGAGTTAATAAGACTCTATCTTCATTCGAGTAGCTGCTTACTTGTATCTTTTCATGAATTGCATTATACGTAAAAACCAAATAATAATTCAATCAGAGTAGTACGTAAACCTCTAAACTATTTCCTTGCAGTTATACATTTTCTTTCATCAAACGTTGTAAGCCAAATTAGTATTTGTATTTGTATTAGTAAGTAAAAGTATGTGCTGGCATGCTTCTGCTATTTCCCCTTCAGACTTTTCTTATCCTTGTCTCCTTTCTTATCCTTTTTCTTGTCTTTTTTCTTGTCTTCTTTCGCGTCTTTTTTCTTATCCTTCTTTTTCTTCGCAGCATTAGGATCCCACTTGAACCACTGATGGCTGACCCATGGCGGCTGATCTGCGCCTTCTGCGACGTTCGTCGTACTCGAATATTGACCGCGCACTGCCATCTCGCACAAATGCGAGGGATGCAGCTGCTGACTCGACAAAGCTCTTGGACTTAGTTTGGCGCCTGTGCCATCAGGCGAAGCTGGTGGGAGGAAGCGGACACCGCGTGGAGTCGCCGGAGGCGAATGGTTTGGAGAGGGAGATGGAGACGAAGTTGCCATGTCCGACGCAGCCTGGTCTCCCTTGTTTTTGCCCTTTTTCTTCTTACCAGCGTTGAGGGCTGCGAGTTTGGCTTCCTTCGCCTCCTTCTTCTTCTGAGCCTCGATTTGCTTCTTCGTCATAGCACGTTCGGAACGGGCACGCTTGGCTTCTTTGGGTTAGACAAAAGCAGTAGATAGAAGGTACTTATTGATCGAAAAAAGTGAGAATTTGTGAGGATCATGAGCGAATCAAGCAATGAGAGTGAGCTCCTCCTGTCACAAGAATCTATCTAACAAATATGGACATGAACATGATCAGCCTGTCAAAATCTAATATGGACATGAGGAGTCATAATCAGCCGCAGCTTCTGCCTCCGCGATTACTCGATCGATATGCCCATCTAGTTCCGTGTCCCATCTCTGGAAGTACTCTTTTCGTCGGATGACGACCAAGGCTGCGCCTCCAATATCTGCCATCCTCACGCTGTCCTCCAACTTGAACCAAGGCGTTTCCACCTGATACGATGCCATCACTCGCTCCAACTCCGCAGTCGCAAGTATCTTCTCGTTCACGGCTCGCATCTTGATAATGCGGGTTGCCTTTTAGAGCAAGGAGGTGGGAGTTATTTTTTTTTGTCCGTGAGAGAGTAGGATATTATAGGTGAGAGAGTAGCTAGTTCTTGTACTAGTAGGGAAGAGATACGAAAAAATCACAGAATCAAAGCGCTTCAACAAAACTCTTCCAACTAGACATAATTTTTTTCCGGCTGAATGTAGGCGTCCTGCTCTTCTCCGAATACCTCTTTGACAGTACTGCCAAAGATGCCACGCTTCACAGAGTAAGATTTCCGAACTTGATTCATCCTAGAGATCAAACGTTCACGAAGTGACAGTTTTTGAACCGAAGGATCCGTCATTTGAGTCAACGCGACGTCTCCGGAGCCTTCTGTTGATCCGGCAGGGAAATATTCGAGACTGTCGCCCATGATCTTAGAAGAGAACGAGGAAGCACTTGATGATGAGGACGAGGAAGTTGTATACATAAAAGTTCGTTGTTCTTGTTACTAAGAGAATGAATCGCTGTACAACGAACCAACAATCATGATATTGTTCGCTGCCTCTTGGTCATCGACTTCAACAACATTTTTCTACACGTAGTTGTACAAACAGTTTGTTGTGAGACATCACTGACATTGTCAACATAACAGTCGGCAACGGTGTTGGGTCGAAAGTGTCCATGTTGTCGACGTCATCCGGAATCACTAGGCCATGCTGATCTAGTTTTTTGTTTAGATTCTCGAGCATCGATTCCATCTTTTTCTCATCGGCACGCGTCAGACTCGCCTTCTTCGCAGGACTGTTGTTGATGGCAGTTCCGCGAGCACGTATTGGTGATGGTGAAGAGCTCCCGACGAGATTCGTTGCGTTATTGGCAGCACCATCTTCGCCTTGCTGACTGCCTGACAACAAACTCGAAGAGCTTCCACCTCGCTGAGGACTTAGTGGTGGAAGTGTGACTCCTTGAGGGCCGGCTCTAACCGGTGATGAGGGTACATCCTCTACTACGAGTGCGTCTGGCTCTGCTGATTGCATTCTATCGAGGTTGGTACCGCCAAATGCTGTGGCATCGTCAAGCCGCGACGTTCCAGCAACATTGGGATTATTGGGATCGCTTCCAGTTGTGACCTCGCGACTAATTGCACCACTACTGGCACTGTGTGAGTCTAATTGGAACTCATCCGGAACACTAGCCAAGAACTCTGCTAGCGGGTTATCTTCTGGTGCTACGACACCCGCTCTTTGGAGGATCGTCATCTTGTCGTCAAGACTGAGATCTTCAGCTGTGAGCGTTGCTTGGACTGGCATTTGTTCGTCATCGTCTTCGTCTGCTTTCTCGCCCACCATATTCTTAGCCAGTAAAATTTGAGAATCAGTCAGCTCATCAGCGCCTTCTAGGAGGCCCTCTTCTCTTAGTTTCTGGATTCGTGTTGCTTCTTCCTGTTGTCTCTGCAGCTCTAGTCGTTTTTCTTTCTCCTCCGGATCCTCGAATTCGGCTAGAGGGTCGTCTGGGTTGAAAGCAGTAGCAGCACTAGGATCTCCACCACCAGCTTGTTGACCGGCCTGTTGCCCATCACCATCTACTTGCTCACCTTCCTTCTTCCCTACATCCCCGAAACCCTTTTCCTCGACACCATCGTGGATTCGTTGTAGTTCCTTCTCCTTAGCCTCTTGTTTTGCCAAGAACTCCTTTCGTTTCGACTCTTCCTCCTCCTCTTCCTTCTTTATCTGCTCCTTCAATGCACCCATCATGCCTCGCACGCCAAACGGACTTCGTGTGCCCATTGGAGAAACTTCTCCTCTCGCTGCCCTGTTCTGCGCAATCATCTCCTGGAGACAGCCCATGCGCATGATGCTGCCACGCTTTCCCTGCGGCGAGGCCTCCCCATCAGCGAGCTCACCAGTGTCAACCATAGCACTGCTCTGTTTAGAGGTAAGTAGGTTTTTGGTGTTCGTTTATCCATATCCCGCTTGATGTTATGGCTGTCCCCCTTAAGAGAGGCATAACAAACGGTAACAAAAGCACCTTTAACCTACCCTTAATCTGTGCTTTCGCGATGAGGTCGTTCACTTGCTCGTCTAACGTCGACCCAAGCATCTTGCCCATGGACTTCATGAATTTGAGTCGGTTCTGAACTCTGGTCTTCAGTTTTTCGCGTCGTTCGCGTTTGAGAATGAAGGGGACCTTCTCTTTCTCGATCACCTTGCGGATGTTCTCGACCTCTGTCAGGATTTCAGCCTCGTACTCCTTGAGCTTGCGCGACCAGAAAGTCTGTGTTGAGAGTGAGGGAAAAGGTAAAGGGTGATCAAAATCTTCACGATGAAGAGTAGCTAAAGAATTCATCAATGATAAGTAGAGTGGATAAAGAAAGCTAATGACCTGCTTAAGAATGCATGCTATTGTCCCTGTTATCACCGTTCATGGTGACCGTAGAGACGTGGTCTGACAGAACTCGATGTGAGCAAATCAAATTCAGATGTCCATCAGCACCACGAGAAAAGGTGAAAGTAAAAATACCTGTTTCGGATTTCCGATTTTGTCTAGCAACGGTGACGGTGGCCCAATCGTGGGATAGAACTCTTCGCCCTCATGCATGATGCTTTTCTGGATCTTCACTAGCGGTCTACCCGAAGGATGCAGCTCTTCAGCAGGTACACCACGATGGACAATTTCCCCCAGTTGGAAGTTCCGCTGGCCTAAACCCAGGACTAGGGCATCTGTTCCGCGAACAGGGATGAATTCACGGGCCCAGCGCAGCTTACCGCGGAACTCTTGTTAGAGGTAGGCTTTTGGTGCTTGCGGGTTCCCCCGCTTTTTATCCCCCTTTCTCTCTCCCTTAGGATGAGAGAGGCATAAAAAGCGGTAAGAAAAGCACCTTAAAGGTGTACCCTTAATCTTGTGCTCCGTGCCGGTCGAACACCCAACTGCGACGCTTACCTATGGAAAGGTTAGAGTCCGACAAGGTGGGAGAGAAGATGAAACAGAAGTTTTTATTATTTCCGAGTTTGACAGACATTTTTCAGAAAAATGGAGATATTTATAGGTTTAATTGGTGCATGTAGGGACAATACCGATACAGCCCCTAGTCTATGAGGGAAAACAAACCCGTAGCTTGAGAATGTACATATGTATTCTAATCTTCTTCTACAGTACTAGCCTCCATAACCATCAAATCCTCCTCGTCGGTATCGACGCGATACCACATGCCAGTCCGCTCGTCTAGATGGTGACTGTATTCTTCATCGGAGAGAGTTTCGCGCAAAGCTTCCTCTGGATCCAGCAAGCCTTGTTCTACCATCAGAGCCTTTGTGTGTTTCCTCTCAAGTCGCTCTGCCTTTTTGAGAGCACCTGCTTGACGTGCGAGATCCTTAGCGGTATTGTCGGAGCTTACGGAAGTGGACGACGTATGAGGACGAGAGCCTTGAGAATCGGGACGCTCGCGCTGCAGCTGGATTAGAAAAAAGAGTTGCGATAACATCTTTCCGTGACTGAGATGTAGTATACCTTCTCTCGCGACGAATTACAAAGTATTAAGTACATCTTCACGCACTACTTGAAAATCTCAAGATTAGTAGTCACGCTGAAATTAAATATGATCAACTCCAAGTTGTGTGCCCATTATCATTATGGCCATAAAAACTGAAGATGAAGTAACGGATCTTCAGTATCCCCGGGTCTCACGCTATCCATCTTCGGATCTGGAATCGGTTTCCCATATTCATCGAGAATGAGGTTTCCATCCTCGTCTACCAAATTTCCATCAGCGTTCGCCCTGGCTTTCGAGAGGTCTGGTATCTTATTTCTGCCACCCAGAGGACCTCCTTTATTACCCCCACTTTTCCTGCTACCATCACTATCGCTCGGTGCTGGTTGACCGTCCTTCCGCTTTTTTCTTCTGATCTTCTTCCCATCGACTTCAATTTCTTCGGTACTAGAAGCTGTCGGTACTCGCACACGTGCACCACCATCTTCCGAATCAGTACTTGAATCCGACCCATGCTCATCGTCTGACTCCGTACTCGTTGCCGAGCTGACGTCGTCCTCATCCGGCAAATAGTCGCGCACTAGGTCAACCGTCGATCGATCTTGCACGTCCAGCACTGTCAATGGTGGATTGAATGCCCGCTTCACCTCCTTCCTGTACTTTCTTCGCGGTTTACCCTCATCCACCTTCTTATGCGCGTGACGACGCAAGTCCTTTCTAGCTTCTGGATTAGCATAGCGCTGTTCGATAAGCATCCATAGCGTCGCTTCCAAAGCCGCTTTCCGCAGTCTGTCGGCTTCCTCAGGTGAGGTGTCGTCATCTTCGGTTGGTTGTTGTGCCGCATGGAGGAATTGCTCCATGACAACTATGACTTTGCCAGCACGCTGCAGCCGATGCTCTTTTCTTCGTCTACGCTCTTTCTTCGCTAGTCGTTTAGCCTTCACAGAGGGTGACTCGTCGGACGAGGCCTTGTTCGCCTCCTCTTCTGCGCGTCTAGCTGCCTCTTCTTCCCTCTTGCGCATTTCTTCGCGGACGAACTCATTGAGGACTTTCGACAACTCATCCTCCTTCTCCATCGCTTTCTGTTCGCGAGCGAGATCCTCTTTGCGCTTGGGATTAGAAGAGGGAAGAGATTTACTAATCGGATGATAATGTGGATAGAAATACATTGTTCTAGGAGGTTAAATAATAAAATGAATGGAAATACTGTTTTCATCTGTATCAACATTCAGCCGTATTCTTTGCGTCAGCTGCTTTCCTCTTTTTCTCTTTCCTCTCCGCCTCGATCTTTTCCCGCATGGCCCTCTCCTCGTCCAACACACGTTGCATTTCTTCCCTCTTCTTCCGCTCCTTCTCCTCTTGCTCCGCTTTCCGCTTAGCCAAGATCTCTTGGCCGTCTTTTCTGTATTTAGCCTGAGGAGCACCTGGAATCTTCTTCTTGTTATCCGGTTCTGGAGGGGGCTTCTCTTCTTTCTTAGGCGGCTCTTCTGCAGCTGGAGGCTCAGCAGGAGTTGTCTCTGGAACAGGATCTGGAGTTTGTGGCTCATTTTCTACTGGTGGAGTAGCAGGTTCTTCTACTTTATTTGGTGCGTCATCCTCTTGTTGCTCTTTCTTTGATGGTGGATCTTCTACTGCCTTGCTGTCACCATCGGCATCTTCTGCATCCTTCTTATCAGCGTCATCTGCCTTATCGTCACCTTCTAACCCTTCTCCGCCTAGAAGATCACCATCTTTCTTTCTATCTGGCGAACTCTCCACATCCTCGATTTTCAGTGCAGCTAATGCTGCTGCATCTCCACTAGCTCCATCTTGTTCGGGAGGAGCAAACTCTGTCACAACGACCTGCGTCTCCACCAACTGTGCAGATCCGTCTTGGAAAAAGGTCACCTGCTTGTCGATCGCTGTCATCTCGGAGCTCGCTCTTCGGGCGTCTAGTAGCCTGCGGTCTAATGTTGATGTTGATGTTTCTGTTAGAAGGTGGAAAAGCTGTAGAGAACGCCAGGTGGATCACTTAAATCATGATTTCCTTATGATTATATATAAATATTCATTTTCATGTCCGTCGCTAATGAACTTCTCAAACTATAATTCCTCATCATAAATCCGGCGCAATCTTCAGCGGCGTCGTGACACTCATTGGCAGTGGCTTCTTTTTCGGCATTGCAACCATAGGCAGAATTTTCCTTGCTAAGGGATGTCCTTCATCCAGCAGCTTCTTGATCATTAAACGGTTGACCAAATGATCTCCAGCAAAGCCGTACTTCAAACCACTACCCTTTGATTAAAGGTCGAAAGTCACTGATCACTGACGCTGAAGGGAGAAGGTCCCTTAGTACAGCGCGTCGCTTTCCCCTGTTCTCTCACGGGGCCCCCTCTGCGATCTCAGTGACCAACCTCAATGACCAATGAAAGTTGAGCCATAATTTGAGCTACTCACAACCGCTGTGTCGCCTCCATCGTCCTTGTCATCATCAGAATCTGCGGCTTGTGCTTTTTTGTCGTCAGCACCATCGATCAGCTTCGACACGGATCTCGGCGTAACAGGTGCTGGCGCAGCTGCTGCCTTGCCTTTCGGTTGTGCAGCTGTTGCTGCTTTGCCTTTGCCCTTGTTGGCGTTAGAAGATGAAGATGAGGATGATGCTGATGGCTGTAGATCTAATATTTGCAGCTAGATGTTGGTTGCAGCACCCTTCGATGTCAAAAACAAGTGCCTTAATCTTTCCTGCTACTCTTTTCGCATTAGGACTCTTGGATGTGCCTGACGTTTCAGCCGGATCGTCAGTTTTTCCTTCTTCTTCAGTGTCAGACAAACCTAGTTCCTTCTTTCTTGCTTCTGCAGCGTCAAACTCTCGTCTAGCGCGAATCTTCTCTATGAGGTTCTTGTGCCCCTGCATCATCTTTGCTCGCTTCTTCTGTCGGGCAAGCTGGCTGAGACCCGTGAGGCTGGTATGGTGGTGGTGAGTAGAAGTTTTACGCTGGTGCGAGATGCGATGAGCAGAAGTTTTAGTAAAGGGCGGCATTTGAATCAGCATCTTTCTCTGATGAATCAGTCGTGCTGTCCTCTGTGAGGAACTGCAGAAAAATGGTATAATTCATCATGATCATCTTCACGTTGAAACTGCAAGAATTATTGATCGATCAACACGATAGCAAGTTGTCCTTAATTACCCCCTGCTTTCTCGATTTTTGTAGGCCATTTCCAATGTGATTTCGGGGTCCGGGTCTTTCCATTCTCCCTCCAAGTCGTAAAGGATGACATCCTCCGGGTCCTCTACACCGTAAAATTCAGCCACTAAACGCTTCGTTTCACGGACACTGATGGGATTGAGATGGTGTCGGGATGAACGAAAGAGGATTTGATGTTGAAAAACTCAAAATTCTTTTTGTCCAAGAACACCAAGATGTAGGTTCAACGCAAATCGTTTACGTTTTCACCATCAACATGCGACTTCTTAATCCCTATCCATCGTACCGAATATGCCTCTCCCTCCTCAGATCGAATTTCAGCAAGTCGCCGTTAAGCCTTGAGAGCACTATCCGCGTGTACACGACCTCCCGGCCTCGCCTCGACAGGCGTTCGGGGATCGCCACTTTATCCGCCAGCACCATCGCAGACGACGGATTTCAAAAAAAGCTCTGGTGTGGTAGGTACTAATACCTACTAGTCTAGTAACGTTGCAGAGAAGTAGAAGATTGATATCATCAGCATGAACATGCAAGTGGAAAACCGCAGAAACAAGATCTGCAGTCACTCGAGATGCCTACTACAGAAAACGACGAGAACCCATATCATACATAAAGAACGATTAATCAGCAAAAGAAACGATAAGCTATGCTCAAAAAACTACCAAAAAAAGGAAACAAACATCCCAGTGCGTAGTTCTAAATTCAAAGTCGGGTGCAGGTGGGGGATCCTCATGCAGGGACGCACCTTTCCGAAAGGAAAAGTGCACCCCGCTGATCAACAAAAGAAACAACACACTGGAGAGAGATCGATGGCACGGTGGTCAGTAGACGTCGTCTTCTGACAGGAGATCTTGATCTTGATGATGTAAGAGACCTCTTTAGTTAGTAGAGTAGATATGACGTTCGGGTAGTCTCACGAATGATTCATTCTGTATTCCCGGTTCAGGTCTCTTCGCGCATTATACCTTGACGGCAAAGGTGGACCACATCTATTAATCGTGAGAGTTGAAACAGATAGCCGTCCTCAGGATCCATTCTCTTCTCACTTTCTTCTCTAGAATCATGAGGGAGAGAAAAATCTCCTCGTCTTCACTCTCATCTTCACTCTGACATTGCGCGACGCGCTGTTGAGGACAGATGCCATAAAGGTGGATCTACTGAAGTTCACAGCATTTGTCTAGACAGCATTTAGTAGAGAATGAGCACCAGCCGTAGAATCCGTTGCGGGTGACTATCTACTTCTTGATGTAGTTGATGCCAACAAGTACAAGGAGGCGCTAGCAAGAAAAATGAAGAAAGGTTTTTTGGGTGAAAAGAACTTGAAAAAAAGTTGAAGTTGTTTTCAGGGCACAGCTAACGGCGACTTTGTCAGCAGGGGGAATTATGGAAAATTAAAAAGTCGCAGACGATGATAGACGAGGGGTGCAGGATGATTGATAGGTTACTCGCTTCGTGCTTCGATATTCTTATTGGCATTTCAGTATCATCGGCTCAGAACAGGCGCGAGAAGCTTTGCGTCTTGACCAAAAATAGCAGATTTCTTGCTTTTCCTTTGTTTTAGGATCCGAACATCTTCCCGAACATTTTTTGTGCTTTTTGCTTTTGCACTGCTTGCGCACGTTCGAGTTTCTTGTCCAACCTGACGATATCCGGGTTCTTAGCTCCCTCTTCACTACTCATGGCCTTTTTCGTGCTCGCTCGCGCATCGTCAATCTCACCCATCTTCTCTAGTGCAGTGGCTTTACGGAAGAGAGCCTTGATGTGTACGGCCTCGATGTCCAATGCCGAGTCGCATTGGCGGACGACCTTCTGCGCAATTTGGCGGACCTTTTCCTTCTCCTCTGGTGCGGTGGCGTCGATCTGATGTGTAGTGATGTGGAAACTAATTTTCAAGATTTTCATTTTTGATGAAAAGTTGAGTGTGCTGACGAAAGTGCATCTTTGTCGAATCTGACCAAACACAGGTTGACTGATTGATTGATGTGCCTGGCAAGAGGTAAGGTTGCAATTATTATGAAAGAAAGTGCAGTAACAACGCAGGTGTAATACCCCCTTCAAGTAGCACTGCGCTGTGTTCAAGTAACAGGAGAGACTAATCCGGTCCTTCTCCTTGAGTTCATCCGGGCTGCAGTCAAAGAGCTTTGCGAGGTGCGCATGTGCTTTCTGATATCGCATGATCGCATCTTGGTAGGTGCCTGTGTGGGATGAGGTCATGTTGTTTTGTGAATTCGAATGGGGCCTACTCATGAACAAGATTGAAGTTGATGGTTGTAGTACATGGAAGTATGTCATCTTGTACATCAAAATAAACTTGGTCATCAAGAACACGACTTCCAAAACAGTACCGGCTTTAAACAGCTCGTTCCCTTCGACCCTTTGCTTTTCGGCCATCCGCAATCTCTCGGACTTCGGCAAGTTGCGGTTATCGTGGTCCTCTTTCTCTTCTGCTTGACGAGCGGCATTGAGCTTCTCTAGTTCAGCTTCTGTCGCAGCCTTTTTAGCTTCCAAGTCGGCAAAGTACTTTGCACCATGAGTCACTTCAACAAGTTGCTTCGTTTCTTCGTATTTCTCCTGGTAGGTTTCCTTGCCAATCGATTCATCTTGAACGTTGTCGAGAAACCAGTTTTCGGTAGTGTCGAGGTGGCTGGTTAGGCCTGCGACATCATCGAAGAGAGCGGCGGCGGAGGCTGTGTTGTGATGTTAGGTTAGGTACTAAAAAAAAATTGCTCTTTCAGTTACACTCTGGTAAATCTGGTGACTGAAAAGGAAAACATCAGAATTTTGTCGCGATAAAACGAGATGGTGACCATCAATAAGTCTTTGAAAGCTCAAAAAAGTACAAATAGAAATAGAAATACCTTCTCCCAATATCCGTCTTGCTTCGAAGATGTAGGACTCCAATTGATTTAACGCTTGCAGTCTTTCTTCTTCCTTCTGTTCGATCTGTTCCATCTTAGACTCTGTTGCCAAGACCCTTTTTAGTCCACCTTCAGAAGATGCATCACCAGAAAGAAGCGTTGCTGCTTCACTCTCCAGCTGAAAGCACTTTCCTCCTGCACGAAGACAAGCGCCTGTGGCCACAGCGGAAGAGCCATCAAGTCCACGACCTAAGAGCGTAGCGTCTCCAGCACTGCAAGGTGCGGCTTTGGCTGCTTCCTCTATCTTCGCAGCGACGCACGGGATACGAACGCCACCACCGACGATTTCAACTACAAAAGAGGAAGAGCTAGCAGAACTTGACTCCTCAGCGATTTTTACTGTCTCCATCACCTGCAAAGTTTCCGCGACACAACTACGCACTTGTTCCAGTTGCGTAGCAAGTGCTTCCTCCAAGTCAGAGCGTCTCAAATCGAGTTTGAAATCCTCTTCGTCCTCGAGAAAGCATTCCAAGTGAACGCTCGCTTCTGGCAACATGGACAATTCCTTCAGGGCTTTTTGCATCGCGGTTTTCAGTTTGAAGCCCTTCTTGCTGTTCAGCTTGATGCTCTGAGAGTACTTTTTCTGCGCGTGGTCCACGCCGAACTGGGCTAACTGCTTAATAAAGTCGTGCACGCCGACCATGACTGTGGATTTCTTCACGACAGAGACTGAAAGCTTTGGAGCCGCTGGTGTTTCCTCAGAAGTACTAGCAGACTTTTTTGGAGAGGCAGAAGATTCATCCACTTCCATAGGCATCGCTTCATCCTTCTTTTCCTCTTGCGCAAGGAGTCCTACTTTCACCAGAGTAGCTGTGGTGTGAGCGTAGCCCACATCGACAATGAGCAAATGTTCTACCTCACCAACCTGCTTTTCTACCAAGCGTGACTCGAATTTCGCAACCCACTGAGTCGCCAGTGCTTCGGAATGGTAGCACAGGTCGACACCAGCTGCTGCTGCTGCTGCTTCAGACTTCTTGCCAAGACCAGCAACTGCCAATGCTGTCTCCAACTTCTTCGCCATAGTTGCGACTTCTCCTTCAGATGCGTAGTCTGGCAACGCCAACACGATCTTCTCATGTTTGGCATTCTTCTCCACCAGTTTCAGGTCCACCAATTTCTTCAGATACGCACCCAACAACTCCTCTGACGTCGGTTCCCACTCGCTCCATCGCTCCTCACCGTCGAAGTCCACACCATTCTCGACTTCCCAAAAGCAACCATAGTGGGAACGAACATCTCTCGCTTCGCCACTAGTCCCCTCTTCGAAACAAGCATTCACAAGATGCGTGAACGTCTGCTTGGGGTTCTTGCCCACCGAACCCTCTGCGGCCTCACCAATGAGACGTTGTCGCCCATCAAGAGAGATGATGGATGGCGTGCTGCGATTGCCTAAAGCATTCACGTCAACCCGAATCACGTGAGGCTCTGTCGCTGTTGCGGACGCGCAAACCGAGTGGTGGGAACCGAGGTCTACTCCACGGAAGAGAGACGAAGAGGACGTGGGAGTTGCCATTTTTTGCTAGTTGTACTAGTTATAGGACTACTAGTACTAAAGTTCTTTGATGTCAAGGTGGATACTACCAAGAAGAAGCGAAGGACTAGTACGTTCTTTGTCAAGGTGGATACAACTACCAAGAAGAAGCGAAGGAGTGTTTGTTGAGTAGGAAAATGACTTAAGAGTGAGTCGTGTTCGGGAAAAGTTGCGTCCTGTAATGAGGAAAACAAGTATTTCTTATCATGAAGATTGATAGTCATACGTTTATTTTGTCAATGTCTGAACAAGTGCCAGAGATTATGATTTAGAGTGCTTGCGCTGAACGAAGCTGATGGCCAGTATGCAATTGAAGAGCGCGTTGATTAGAACGCTCTTGAGAGCATAAGTCTAGGATCCGCACTTCAGGTTCAGACCACAATGGAGGAGTTATTCCGGATCTGGAACTTGATTGGCACTGACTCTGACGTCTTGGTCATGGTCTTGGATTCTATTGCAACACGTCGCAATAAAAAACTTGGCTGAAGAGGGGAGACCTCACTTGACGCAGGAGGGTAATTTTCAGTTCGACGTCATCGCATCGTGGTAACAAATCTTATCCTGCTTGAATAAAAGTCGGAGGCAGTAGTTATCATTATCTCCATGTCTGACAATGATGGGTTTTGTTGATCATGTGGCTGCGAGACAATACCAACATGATTGAAATAGTCGTGGTGAGCCCTGAAAGAAGCACGACCATCTGTTTCATGACAACTTCTAGTGAGACAGTGACAACTTAGATTATGCTTGATTCTTGTTAGCTATAATGACGAAGGCTCTTGATCTTCTGGTTATACGACTATTCGTGATCTACATCTAGTCGATACCACTCATCTTTCACGCCACTGGGGATTCCTCGACGACTGCAGTCCATCTCACTGCAGCCGCTTCTTGACTTCTTCAAAATCAAAAGACGTGCATGATAGGCTTCTCGTCCGGTAGATGAATCATCCTTCAACAACTATGACTATGTCATCAACATGAGAGAACGAAGGAAATTCATCACCATCCAAGAGACCTGTTCTTGTAATGTGAAAGTAGGATAATCAACCACCTCGAGGTGCTTAAATGAAGTCTAAGCAGGGATGAAGCATCTATTTCTTTAAATCCTCAATGGCGGCGACCAGCTTGTCGACACTGGCACCCTCGATTTTGTGGACCTGGCTGCCTTCTTTGAAAAACTGGAAAGTCGGCATGCATTGGACGTCGCACGCCTCAGCGGTATCGCCGTTGTCGTCGACGTCGACCTGAACAAGATATTTCAAGAAGATATTACGGATTCATTTTCATTGTTGATAATTTTTTTTGATGTGTTCTTCTCATATAAATACTTGAAGGTCCTCGTTCACACAATATTTCGAAGATGAAGTCAGGATGTGCTTAGATCATGACTGCTCTCCTTCAAAAGCGAGGCGAAACGATGAAAGACCAGATGAGTATGATTACTACATGGTATTTGACACTAAGAAAATCTGGCATTAGCTCCGGACCTCGACCTACACGACCTACGTTGCCCACTAAGAAACTAAAATCTTCAAGCTCTACACTACTAGATTCTTCAATAGGTAGAGAGATGAAGATGTGTTAATAATTCACGGTACCTTAATAAACGTGACATCGCTGTATTTTTCGGCTAGTTCGGCAAACTTCGGAGCAATCTGCTGACACGGACCACACCAGGTGGCTGTGAAGTCGACCACGACCAGCTTGTTGTCCTTCAGAGTCGCGTCGAACTCGTCCTTGGTAGCGACCTGCTTCACCATTTTGTCTAAGCCTGTTGGTGGAGTACTAGCACTAGGTAAGTCTACTTTATATACGAAAAACAAAAAGTAGTTGAAGAATACTACCTAAAGTGAGCCTAAATGAGACGTTGATGCACAACGAAGTAAAATAGTACTACGAAAAAAAATCTTATTGATTGCTGAAGCAAACAACTGTTGCGATTATTCTGCCTGGAACAAGGTGAAAGGGCACTTGCCTGAAGGCAACTGTAATTACAACAGCCTGCTCTTTTTTCCAGCACCGCAAGGAGAACTTAAGGCATTTCTTTACGCATAGAAATTCAGATTTACACGGATTGTTTTGCTGTCGCATGCGTGCGAAAAAAGACTGAAACCTCATCTGAAGCAAAGCCTGAACACTGGATAAATTGCCTGCTTGATGCAGGTTGTTCTCCACGAAGCAGCATAATTTTGGTGACACTCATTTCAGGACAGGTATTGTTATGATGAACTTTTGATTCGGTGGTTCACCCACGACTGCAGCTTTTGTCCTATACAACCGATTCCCTCAACAGGGATTCAGGAGCTTTCTGTGCGATAATCTTGTTCTTGTCGACGCACTTACATCAATTATTAGTAAGTACATTTTCGTTTGGGTCGGTAAAGTTCTGTCTAAGTACATTCTTGAGTATGATCATTACATTACGTTTAAGTATCGGGATTTTTCCAGTACATGCGGGCTCCTCTCATAGCCAGCACAAGTGTGAAGATCGAGTAGATGTAGTCAACATGAATGATGGTGCAGCGAAAATGGAAACGTTAGGTTTCTGCGTACTGAAATTGTACATAAGAGTATGCTCAACTTGAAGTAACGATATATATAACTACTGAAATTGTACATAATTGAATATGAACGCCCAGAAGACACCGGTTCCGCTCATGTAGGGCCAGCGCCATCGTAGAGGCACATACCGGAACGCCACATACATCAGGGGAATCCAGACTGCTCCAGCTACCGCTGTATCTCGCACAACATTTTCCGTGTATTTCTGGAAGGCGCGCTGTGGGTTTTAGAAGTGGGGGATGATGGCTAAGAAGCGGAGTCGGTTTCCCTTTGGTCTCATCACAAGCAGGTGAAGACTCGCAGTGACAAAATTAAAGTCTTAGTACACTATAATCAAACTTGCCGTTGCCATAAGCCGACGATGAACCAGCCAGGATTGAACCCTCCGTCTTCGTCTTCTCTGCTGCAGGCGGCAGCAACACCGACTCCTTCACAAGGTAAAATACAGGGAGAAAGACCAACGGTGTCTGGACTAGGCAGTCGAAGAAACTTCCGAGTAACGGTTTCGCTTGTACGAATTTGAGGTGTCTAGGATACAAAATGTTGTAAATCGCATACCCTGGCCCACCTGCATAGATCGCACCGAACAATCCGAATGCGCAAGCACGAGACCAACTTATGGGGCTGGTGGTGGAAGAACAACTGCTCGTAGCCTTCCTGGAAGAACTGTGCTCGTTCACGACGTGCTCTTTATTGAATGATGTGGGAGATTCGCTGTCCTTGAGCGCACGAGCAACAGCATTATTACCGTTCGTTACTTTTCTGATGTTATCCTGGTGCTGCCGCGGCTCCGAAGATGCTGTATTGAAGTAGTACTGGCTGGCGCCGTCGCAGAGCAGATATCGTGTGCCATTGGTCCCAGCAGCAACTAAAATTGGCAGGATGTGTTCTTGATTTCGCACATACGAAGCGAAACGAGCGGCCATCTTTTTGTCGTAGCCTTTCACAATTCAAAATGCCCAAGCCCTGAAGTGCTGCATATGCGTTTTCTTTAATCAATCAAAAGAAATGCAATCAATCTTCACGCTTTCTGTAACAACTCGTCAATTACAATTTTTCGCCTAAAGTTAGAGGGAAAACGAGCCGGTTGCTCACAACAACAATTTTGTATTTCTGCTGCAGGAACCAAGCGTGCTTCTCGTGGTTAGAACCGCTACCAGCTGAAGACAAGGGCGTCGTGCCGACGTGTGACTCTGTTTCTTTCTTGTGTAAAGTAGCAATAGACCGGTATCTTTCTTTTTCAGAGAGTCCTCGTGCAGTAGTCCGCAGAAGATATCCATCATGTGTTTAGTACGTTTCAAATTTCAGCAAAAATAGCAATACTTTTCAAGAAGGTGATGTCAGGCAACTGTGCTTGTGCTTTGCAAAACTACCCAGCAAGTATTCATCTTCGCACTCATATGCGGTTTAACCATGTGTCGTGAGGCGGGTATCTGTCTGATGATGATGTTGGTTACTACCTTGATAACTACGACCAATACGTACTGCTGGAGGTCAACAACATATACATCTTATTGCCGTATTAAGGTGTACGTAATTAGTTGTAGGTTTTTGAGGGTGTACAACAAAAATTATCTTCAACATCTTCCTTCATCTTGTGATCTACTGGCATGACCGCGGCCGCAAAATTGTATACATTGTAAAGCATTTCGTGCTTGTAGTTCCACCCCCTGTTAAAAAATTGTGATTGTATCTAAATCTCACGGCCTGCACGCAACAATTATCAACCCTCGCGGTCTACAAGAGTCCTATGCCCAAACTTCATCTGTTGTAGCTCCACCACCACCACCCTGTTTTGCGATTACATCATCTGCCAGTTTCTGGTAGGCGCTAAGCCTCGCTCGCATCGAGTCGAACTGCGATTTCTCTGCGTGAAAGGCACTCTCGTATCCTATTGAGTCCAGATAGTCGCCTGGATAGCCCAATCCCTTCGCAGCGCCATCCTCAAAGACGTAGCCATTCTGAAATTGGGCCATCAACTTGTAGAATAGTTGCCAATGCGCAGATGTGATTTCGGTGATCAATTTCTGCCAAGAGTCTCCTGAGGAAGTCGGGGAAGAGCCTGCGGTTGATTCAAGTTGTCGAATGAGGCCTGAGATTGAGCTCACGATGCCGCTTGAAGATTCCACCTGGCTTGATGAAGAAGAAGATGACCATGATGACAGTGCTTGTTCTACAACTGCCTCCTTAATATTGTTATTTTCCGCTGGTTGTACACTCACTTCTACTCCGATCTCCGCATCTTCATCCCTTCTCATCTTCTGATGCCACTCCTTCGCAAAATCGATCAACAGTGGTTCTAACTTCGCTTGGTACTTCGCGAGCACTGCTCTGATATCCTTCCACCGGAGATCCATCCAGTTGCCGACTGCATTAGCCGCCCACCACAGGGATCCATGCTCCACCTTCCAACTTGAGCCGGTTCGTAATCAACGTTAGAGCAGGGTGAAGATGAGGACAAGAATTACTTTGACAACAAGAACAGGTGTTCTTTCTAGTATTTACTCAACAAATACCAATGATCCGACATTTTCGAGTAAGCCATAATCTATTTCTTGTCGTTCTTTGTAGTATTTTTTCAACAAATACCAACGATCCGACATTTTCGAGTAAGCCATAATCTATTGGCGAAGATGTCGCTCCACGAATGAAGACCGGAACAAAGACACTTGCGGTCGCACGTCCTGGAGCGTGCCATAACGTGCACGTGTTCTTCGGCGGCAACGCGGAACTAGACTTCTTGGACTCTATGGCCGGAGCAGGGATGACCTGGAAGTTTGCCCTGCTCGTGGTGGAAACGACAATAATTTCACATGATGATGATCTCTTATTTTCAAGACTCATATTCCCATCTCGTTGTTGTAAAGAATAAAGAGCAACTACTTCTTAACAGACGAACAAAGTAGAGTCCAGCCCCTAAATCAACATTACCTCTGCCACATGCGTCATGGTCGTACGATAGATATCGATACTTCTTTCCCATGCTCCATACGGCCTCTTAGCCTCCTCCGCTCCCTCAGCATACCGCATTGGATTCCCGTAAGGACCCGCGCCAGCACCCTTTGTGAGGTCAAAGTCGGTGTTTTCGTAGTGGTCCCTGTAGAAATTGAAGACATCTTCTCGACTCAGCTTCTTCGCTACTGGGACTGAGAACGGCAAGGACTGCGAACTGTTCTGCAAATGATAGCCTAACATAGGGTCCAGATTCAACGTCGGATTCGCATGTGAGAGCATGCGCCACGCGCGGCGCGCACTATAGTATGGATGCGCATATTCACCAGCTGAGAAGGTCTTCGTAAAATCGATATGGGGTCCGTCGGATGCAGGGTTGTACCTTGGGTTGGATATTTGTTTTAGATGTAGTTACGTAATGCAATTTTGAAGAAGGTAGACGTTATTTGAATTTGAAGATCATGGAAAGAAAAAATCTAGCGAGCAAGACCATACAACTTCACGATCATGTATAATTCAACACCTCTATCAAAAGTTGTACCATCCCATCTGCTTCGCGATTTGTACCATCTTCTCGCTTGCCAAAAAGTTCTTCGAGTCCGTCAAGTCCATTTCTCGGATGATAAACATGTTTGCGACGACCGCAAAATGGTCATCTGGTACTCGTTGTGCTGCCCAAATAGCACTCTTTCCTGTAGGATCACTGAGGATGTGAAAAACCCATGTCTCGGAACCATCAGTTATCGTCAAGGCCTCTCCGTTATCGTCAACTTCTAAGGTGCTGTAGTAACCGTGCTCTTCGGCGGACGAATTAGAGAAGAAACAAAGTGAAAATCGTTGAGGTGTCAATGTCGATCTCTTCATAGGTACTAACTCCAGTACTACTAACTTAACTTTCAGTTACTCCGTGATATAGCCTCAACTTTCCCTCCAGTCATTACCGAACACCTCGCTGTCGTGCACCTTTCCAGCATGATGCGGGAGACTTCCTGAATCGACATTAGGGCATGACCTTTACCACTAGGATGGTTTGCAGGCAGGGAATAGAGTCGTGCGGACGTTGTAGCCTCTGCGATGCCAACCCAGTCATTCTGCAATGCATAAGACCCGTCGTAATAGGCGAACGTGTGTGAGACTTGCGGGATGTACCTGGATCGTGGTGCAACCAAGACTGAATCCACTTCTAAGAGAGCACAAAAAATTGTATTCTGATACTCCTGATTCTGACCTTCCAGACTAGCACTAGCGTTCATCCCGTCTAGTACTACCCAATCGGCTCCGTCTCGTTCTTACCCCATCCTGGTCCGTATTCTGGACTCAAATCCGGTGCTACCAACCGCGGTGTGCCTGGTTGTGGGGCATAGACTGGCCGCATGGTCCCTTGTGGGTGATCTTTGGCTGGCACGAGTATGACACGATAGTCTTCATCTCCTTCTCCATCACTCGTCTGCGAAACCAATCCCCCTACATCACTCTGAGTCGCGGTTGGAGAAATTCCCAGACATGTGCAGTGGTCGCGCGGACGAGATGGAAGTTTACTTTGTTGAAGATGTGCTCCTTTGTTGGTGTTTTCCTTTTCCTGCTGCCGCGGTGCAGAAGATACTAGAGATAGTAGTGGATGTGTTGGATCGCGCCAGTTCCGCTCAGCTGTGGCTGTACCAGCTCCAACCACAGCAAGCAACGTTTTCATTGGACGATGATTACGACCCATCTTGCTTCGTTGATGTGGGAACTTCGATAGCAGAATATGAACGCAAAAGATGCAAAATGTACTATTGCTTTTGCTTCGCTAAAGACAAGACAGGTATTTCTTTACCTGAGAACTATGTTGATTTAGCTGTTCAACTAGTCGGACTGCGGAAGAGCGCTTCATACACCGCGATGCCAGGCCGAATCCCAATCGCCAGCACACAGCAAGTAGTAGGTAGTGAAAAGACGCAAAGTATGGAAAGAAAATCTGTTATCATTATCATGCTTTTCTTGTTCAGAAACTTGATAATGATAACAGATTTTCGTTCCATACGAAGTCAGTTAATTATAGTACATAGACGCGAAGTCAATCATAAAGTAAGACGCTAGGTCAATAAATAGTGCTCGGCCAAGTTAACAGAGCGAGAGAGATCAGTCCAAATTGAAAGCGAGTCCGCCGACGAGAGACAAGAGAGAGACAGATGATACAGCAAGAAACGAAGAAAAGCAAAGATCTTCAAGGTCTAGGAATAATTAAAGAAGAACCAGGAGAAAAATTATATTGTTGCTTGACCAACAAGAAACCCGATACTGCCAGACAGCCAGGCCGATTCCCAATCGCCACACAGCATATCATCGTGACTATAATGGCCCCTACCGGCGTCGGGGAGAACAACGATCTTCCTCCACTAGGCATTCTATTCTACTATTCGTTCTTTCATCAATTCCCTTTTTTTTTCCGGCGAAAGACTACGTACTCGTACTGTTTGCGCGCAATATTAAGTCTCAAATAATGTGCGAGGAAAATGTGAAACTGATGAAGAAAAAAAGCAAGGTCCCACGGATATACTAGCATCGTGACCCCAACTGCGTCTGCGGCTGCAAAAATAAATATATGAAATACGCGAATCAGGATATTGAGGTCGACTTCTATTTAACACAAAGACAAACTACAGAATCTTCTCGTCTCACAGACACTGACACGACTCAACATTGTAATCATTTGTTAAGGAATCGAATAAAACCGAATAACAACGTAAAAAAAACCTGAGAAGCCAGATATAATTCAATCTAGGAGAATGATCATCAACTACTAGTAAAAAGATCATGACTTAGAAACCCTAGCACTCAACTGAAGAAGCAGACGATCAATATATTAACGAAGCAGGCACTATTGCCCTGCTGCGTCTCGTACATACGTGGTGTTCCAATTACCTACAAAAACAGAAGCTAGAACCTAGATCATAGCGATGAAGATTCTTGTTGATCTTGAAGATGCGTCAAAAACCAACATAGATACTAATAAATCTAGACTGGATCTTAGTTGTTTCCCTGGTAGAAATCAATACAAGCTTCCCGAATACGTTAGCGTTAGCCAAAAAAAACTCTTAACCCAAACACCTTGTTGACTGTGACCTTGTTGATTGTAACCTTGTCTTGAACGACTGTCTCCCTACTTGCAGAAAATGTTGTAAGTGTAACCCTAACCAGAAACTACAAATATATTATAATACCTACTTATACCCGAGAAGAAAAATAAGTCCATAACAAGTCTACGATACCCACAGACACACACACAACACGACCACTCTGCCCAAGAAGTCAAAAAGCTGCGAAAACGGAATCTTCATGATCCTAGTAAGAGTAACTGTAGTAACTGCGACTGTCTATTGAATCTGAAAGAATATATAACTCAAGTGACGACGTGCATTCATCTTCATGATCGTTTTTTTTTTTTACAAACTGAAACTTGTAGTTAATATAGACCGAAGTACTCGCACGAGTGGCGGTAAGCATCGCACCTACCTCCACTACATATGGAAATAGATGTTGGAGAGCTCCATCTTTTCCTCAGACGCATATTTCTGTTTGACGCTCAGCATTAGAGGTAGTTCTTGTCGAATCGTTCCATCCACTAAATCCACCGTGATCCCTGCTGGTCTCAACTCAGGGAAGTACAACGAACTACTAGGCAAGAGAGTCAGACCACAGAGAATACAACTCAGGGAAGTACAACGAACTACTTGGAAAGAGAGTCAGACCACAGAGAATACTGATCCCTGCTGCTGGTCTCAACTCAGGGAAGTACAACGAACTATTCGAAAAACTGAAATAAGCAAGTAACTGATCAGAATAAGCGAGATACTGATGAGAAGGAAGAGTAGCCTTGATGCTATAAGCTAGTGCCTCCCTTATTTCAGTCACTTACTCGGTTATTTTCAGTTTTCGAATACTTGGAAAGAGAGTACCAATACATCACAGAGAATAGTACCAATACAACTTGTGCAGGAAGTGAAAGTGGATGGAAATATGAACTACTTGATTGACATTGATTGATTCATTGCTGTACCCAATCTCGGGGTATACGTATCTAGTATAGCATCTGTCAATTTTTTTATGCAACCATAACTTGAGCTTCGGATCGATGAGATTCTGCCCATGTGATGTCACTAGCGGGACTAGCTCCTTTGCGCAGGTCTTGAGGTTCTGCGGACTATGCGGCGTCTTCTGTATTAGCTGTGCTGGCCATGAAGGACTCACTCGAAGTATCTTTTTCGCCCTGATGAGGTAAGAAGGGAGGAAATCAATACAATGCAATACCATTAATCTCGCACAAAGTTCAGCGCAGACTACCTTAAGGGCGTCATAGATGGTTTACACGATGAATCTCACGCAAAGATTGGAATAGCGAAGCGGTGCGGTTACGTATGTTTTGGAAAGTGGTGCCATTTTTGAGAGAGGTCGTGACCGAGTTCTCATGCGAATAAATAGGAAGTCGGTATTCGGGTACAGCTTCTTGAGATTTCTTGTCCGTGTAGAAAATTAGAGGAAGTAGTACATGAAGAGTGCGGCTGCGGCAAGTTTCGATGGCGTATGCTTGTTCTGCGTCCTTGAATCTGGAGGTTAGAACTCGAGTTTTTCACTCGTAGGACGATCAATCATGTGTTTAATTATCAAGTAGTCAGAAGTCGTGTGCAATTTGAAATCTTAATCTTTCTTCACTCCTTCTCCTCCTTCTAAGTACACCTTCTTTCTTCACGGACCACCCGCAAAAATCCTTCCATGACAGCACTCGCCTTAAAAAAGACACATCTCTAGCGTATAAGACGCTAGAGTGAAGGCCTTCAGCTGCTCGGTTGGCCACAGGTCCATGGGATAAGGGTACGCGAGATGTGCATAGTATAGCAGGAAATGGTAGACGGTTGGCTTCGAGATCTGAGGTTGGTGCCGTTGGAGAAACAATGCTTCTTTTAGCTAAACTTTGATAAAGAAACGGCTCTTGCCTGTAAATCTAAATTTTTCTTTTCACTGTAGTGCACCAGCACATTGAGCCTACGGAAGCGAACTACAAGCTACAAATGAACAAGTCAGTTTTTCTTACATCGAAGTTCAGCGCATTCAAGATTTCTATCTCCGTGTTTATTATGTCGCTCCGACTGCTACTCCTCTTAGAACTAGGAGAAATTCATCTGCGGCAGCATCTTTCGTCCTTCATTCATTCATTCATTCATTTACCTAGCACGAGGTATTGTCTCAAAACCTAATTCGGATGCAAAGGAGTTGGGACCAAGATGCCCGCGGAGATGGATTTCTTATGGCCGCCTTAATCCTGTCTGTGATGTACACGAGGTCACGTATCTCTGGTGGATGTATCTCCTCATACTTCGATGCTATGAACAAACATGTCACGCCTACCTGGGTGATTGATTTTTTCACTTTTCAGCACTTCTAATATATTAGAATCCTAAAAAATTGTGTCTTTGGTCACGTGGTGGACATCTTTAGTCCAAACGGATTCATTCATTCATTCATTTACCTGTTCTGGAGGTATCTTTTGACGCTGAGCGACATATGATATACCTGCTGCAACTTTGCCCGTCTAACAGGCACTTTCTGCAGATACTGGTCTAGAAGATGGACTGTGAGATACAGCGTCTCCGACATCAGCTTGAATTTTTGATGCACCTGAAAAATTTCAATGCATGACTCAATTTCAATACATGAGTGACGGAAACAAGTAATATCAATATCTTCCATGTTATAAAAATATGATAGTCTCGCCTTATTAATGACAGAGTTTTAATAAGTAGAGTCTTAAGTAGACTCTAATACCTCTACAAGCCAGTCCACTAGTATTGCTCGCATCTTCTCTTTCACCTCTGAGTCAGGATGCCGTTCTGTTGGCCTATACTCCTTCTCGCTAAGGAAAAGCCGCTGAAATATTTCGTCGCTATAGCTGTTGTCGTGATAAGAATGAGCAGGGAGAGATGAACAGGGAACAATAAGGATGAAATTTTGGTGACAACTTACTACAGATGTCAGTCTGTCCACCAACAATCATTATAACGAGGCAGAGGCTCTCGAACTTTTAAGTATACAACATCGAATTATAGGAAAATATTAGCATCAGGAGTAGTACTCGTTGATTGCTTGCGGGAAGTGTATCCTCTCTAAGAGTCGGTTTTCGAGTGTTGGTGGTGGCACCTCTGGCGGTATATCTACTGGCTGTGAGGATGGTGCTGTGCTGGCACCCGAGGCCGATGACCCAACTACTGGCAGTGGAGGGATCATTTTGCCAGTATCTGTAGTGCGTGGACACCGACTCTAGACCTTGTTGTCGTTCTTATCCTATCCTGCAACTGTAGACCTTGTTGTCGTTGCCCAACGCTGGTCTCGCTCAGCACGTTTGTGAGATCAGCACGTTCCCAATCGTCACCCCCCTTCGTTTACCTCTGGAAGATGCGAGGCTCAGCTGCCTAGGCGCGCTGGTCACGCTCGTTTTCTACAACTGAAGGTTGTGCCTTCCACGAGTTCTTCTTCCACGAGTTCTTCTTCTACATGTAAGTGCATGAAGGGTGGATAGAGCTATAGTGAAGAGGTGAAAACTTATCTTTTTAAAAAAAGTTGTGGTCTATTTCTTGTTGTATTCGATCTTATTTAGGCCCACAGAGAACGTGGTCCAGGTGTCCGCCACAACGACAGTGCCACGACGTCCATTTCCAACGCACTGGAATAATCCTCGGGCCACGACATCTTCCCCCCGTTGCTATTAGAGTCCGCTAGATTGCATCACGGTCCCCTCATCTTGAGCCCTTTTACCTTGAGTATTTCATGAGAATACAAGGGAAAAGGGTACCGAGATGCCGAGAAAGATGGACACTAAATGTTGACCTTAATGCTAATTGATGAAGAACAAGTGGGTGTTGCAGTAGGACGTGTGATCCGCCTTCGGGACGATCGGAGACGAAGATGACCTCGGAAGATGATTATGCGTGCGAGAAAAACTACTCGTGCAGCACGATCTCGTCTCCGATCTACTAGTATCTCCCGACCCAACGAGTTTGGTGGATCTTACTTTCGTTGGACAAAAATAAATACAAAACTTTTATGTATTTTTACGAAGTAGGTACTAGTACTCCTTTGACAGTTGAAGTGCGCCGACTCCTGGGCTAGCTTCAGTGTAAAAAAACATACAACTGCAAATAAAAATAATCAATGATCTAGAGAAATACCTGCTCGTCTTAAAAAATGACTTAAAAAATGAAGATCTCTGGCACCATGCCCACCATGACTACCTAGTAGGCACTCGTCCACCTCCTCAGGGTCGAATCGACAAAGGTGTAAAATCCCTACAACAGTCGTTATCTGTACAAGTCTACGTGTTAGTATATGATAATCATGATTAATATGATCCTGTAATGAACTCGATTGCTCTACTAGACTTTTCAGGAAACTACAGCATCGAATTGAGCGTGCAGCGACTACTAGGAGGTCATGGCTACAACATACTCTCCTTGTCGACTCCTATGCTGTACGGATTCTGAAGCATGATATGAATCAATAGATATAGGAACTGAAAAATTGTGACTTGATTAATACTTTTCCTACTGGAACACCCACAAGTACCTAAGACAATTATCTATCGCCGAGTACTGTCTTTTGTTCCCAGATTCTAGTTGTAGTTTTAGCGATATGGACGTCTGGCTCTGGAGGTCGGTCAAAAAGATTAACAAAAATGTTACTCAAAACCTAGTTATCCCAGATGCCTGTGCCCTGTGATTCTGCCTTAGCTACTGTAGTAGTTGTTTAATTGTAGTTTTATGTGATATAAGCTCGAATGTCGCTTTGCGGTCCACTCTCCGCTGTCAGTGTTTCTCGTCGTCTGATAAACCTCAAACGCGTTAAAGGTTCTAGACAGGGGTCAGGGACATGAAGCAGGACCCATATCGGGGGTCAGGGACATGAAGCTTTGATCATCTAAGTACTTACTACTACCTACGTGTATCTATCAACATGTGTGCTCCTCCTGTAGCTGTTTGTGGTCATGGGAGATCCTGATGTCAACGAAACTTTAACTTATACGTCCTCTTCATGTTGATAATATTTATCCTCGTCACCGTAAGACTTTTTATTTGGTGTTTTGGTGTAGAGGATGATGAAGAACATGAGCTGTCTCTGAGAGGTAAAAATTCCCAAACTTGTACTCACTCCTTTAATATCTTTCACTTGTTCATTTGCAGAAGATGTTGAAGAGGACATTCAATTTTGCTAGGCACAAAGCCCAATGATGTTTAGGTTCTCAAATTTGAGGCTCAAATGCTTGTTTCGCCCACCTTTTGTTTTCAGTCTTTCCAATTTTCTAGCGTCTCTCGCATGCCTCTCAACCCTTCAACACTCTGATGTCTTTCCCTCTATAAAAATATCCCCTGTCTCTCTCCTTGTCTCTCTTTGGTCTGAGAACCTCTCAAGGGCTACGGCTACCTCGCTCACGACCCTTCTTCAACTTCATTTTAAAGGAGTACTCTTAATAGCAAGATCAATTCTGCTGACGAGGGAGAGGCGGCTTTATCTTATCAAGCATGAGACTTTGATGCAAGAACAGTCTGGCACTTAAATGTCTTTGCAACCCTGGTGTTACGATTGGGCCGGGACTCATTTGGATGAAGCGGCATAAAAATGCTTTCCTCGTCCCATGGAGGAAGAGCAGGCCACTTTCATGTGGGGGCACAGAATTCTGGCGGAAAAAAGGGATATTTATTACGCCATTGCCATTCTTGTGGACGTCAAATGCCTAAGAGTCTTTAACTTTGTATAGCTCCTGGAATGGTTTGATGCTATTCAACTTCATCGGTACTCAAATAACCTGTCATACGGGTATGCTTATGGCATATGATGATTTGAATCTACTCTGGGTCGGCAAAATGCCTAAAATTTTTTCCCTGACCATGCTAATTTATTATGGCATATAACATACTTTTCCTCGTTGGTTCGACGATCCCTGCTCATTAGTTCGTAATCACTGATAATGACATGGCAGCTTTTTTGTAGCGCCAGCCAGTTGTGGTCAGCCATATGCAGAAGCAGAAGTCCAATATTAATCCGGCTCCTTCTGGATTTAGATCTGATTATGCGATTTTTGTGAACTGCTGTTTACTATAAGTAGCTATGAAATCTTGAAAAATTTGATGATCCCTTGTTGTTCTTCTTTTTGTTGTCGATTAATCAACATAAAGAGTTAGAGTTAAGAAGTAATCCTCCAGCTTCACGTTCAGAGCCTCCTTCGCTTAGAAGAAGACTCCTCAACGGGAGGGTCCGCGGTGGTGCCCTGCTCATGATCTTGCATCTCCATGTCCGTGGATTCAGGAGAAGGTTTGGCTTCCATCCGGGTAATCTCGGAGTCTTCGGCCACCTTTACGAGCTTATCCACAGGGATCACGCAGTGCCCATCTCCGTCTTTGCCCTTACCCATTTGGAGTGAATCTCGACAATAAAAATCCCTCGTAAAGTCATCCTTGCCATTTGGGAAAAACTTCGTCATCAAAATTTCAAGCATCTCCTTTCGGGGTCTCACGTGCAAGGCCTTCTTCTCCTCTCCATTCAACAAGATAGGATATTCATCTCTGGAAGCCGAGCTCCTGCGGAGGTCCTTTACGAGAAGACCGGTGTAGGAAATCAGCAGAGGGGATATGCCTTTGTATTGCGGCGCATTTTTACCTGCGTAACGCGGGTTCTTATGGATACCACGAACTTCGTACTCGTCCTTTTCCAGGCCGTTGTTAGTTCGTCCAGGACTAACCTCGGAGTTGACTTGTTCGTCCCACATGAACACCACCATCAAGATGTCATCAAAAGATTCTATGATAGGTTTGTTGGACAGAAACACGAGCTCCCCGCCTCTCTTGTATATGTCTATCTCCGGATCCTCTGGTTTCACAATCGATAGGAGCATACCGAATTCGCCAGATCCAAGGTGGTCGTGCTCCACTCCATTCGCTTTCGCTTGCGGCTTCATCTTCTGCACATACGTTTCGTACCAAGAGTTGGTCTCGACATCTGGGGCTTGGCTCCTCTTGTCGGCGTTCATGTCCCAAATATAGCGCACGATACCACTGCCATCTGTCCACGTTTTCTTATGAGCCTCTTCGTGCGAGAAAATCCCGAGGTAAATATCAGTCCCTTCAGAACCTTGGAGGTTAGGATTTGGGGCTCGATGCGTCATCTGGATGCGAAGCGGCGGCCAGGACCCATCAGGCGACCCAGAATGCGCTTCATCGTGCTGTGCAGCAGTTAAAGCCTGCAAGCTCAAAGCAAGCGCTCCCATAGAGTGCTGAGCTGCGACCAGAAGTTGGAGGTAGACTCCAGCGCGAAGATTACGAGCAGGCAACTTTAACAACATTTTTTTGGGTTCGTGTGTGTTTCTGAACGAAGATACTCAGTAGTTAATAGTTGACTCAGTCGATTGCGCTGTTGGGTTTTGAGAGAGAGCCCTGGAGGATTATCAGGGAGTTCCTGTAGCTGGTTAAGCTGCTGAGCAGTAGCGGGAGCTTGGCAAAATAATTACGAAACGACTACGGCGACGCTCTACGATGGTACCTCCTGCAAGAAAGCGGCCCACGCCTGCCCTGCGCGCTGGTTCCTGAAGTAGGCGCTGCTGACCCAGCAGCCACTCCCCAAGAGCTGGGTCGGCGTTCTCCTACACGTCAGGCAGCAGTGACTCCAGGCGCCAGGACTCACAGACAGGACGGAACAGGAGCCGCGCCCGCCTCCGCGTCGTCGTCCGCGTCTGGACCTAGGAGAAGACACGCAGGCAGCTCGTGGCCAAAAGCATCGAGGTCGCCGTGATTCGTTCCATAGATTGCGCCCCCGGGGGGGCTGGTTTGTAGGTGTGCCGACCTCCTCCTCTACCACGCTCGGCCTCGTGTGGCTTTGGGCGCGCTCATCTGCTAGGCAAGGCTGGCGCCTTGGACGAGGAGAGCAACGTCGCGGCAGTCGTCTCGTGTGCGACTGTCTTCAGCCAAGCTGGCCGACTTAGCGGCCCGCCCTGACGGTCGAAAGCCTAGTGCCGAGATAGTTATAACGTGGATAAGGAAAGGAGGCACTGTGAGGATTAGAGAAGGAGAAGAAGCCCACCACGTGGAGCACCCTGGCGACGATTTCCCCTCGCAGGATACTGCTCGAGGCCGTGAGTATCCAATCGCGCAGCCTTAGCATAGCCGTGCTTCATGCAATCCATTCTGGCGCGCGACAGCCGAGCAAGCTTCTTCGTCGTGCTGTGGTCTGGTCCGTGATACTAGTCGAGCGACCTGGAATACTTGTCGGCAATTTCTCCCTTGATGTGCACGCCATTCATCAGACTGGCAGCCAGCAGCGAAGTGCCATGCTCTTCCTCCGGGTTTCAGAAGTGCTACCGGGCGCGGGGGATTCTTCCTCTCGGGTGCCCATCAGAAACCACAACACCCGACGCGCCATTTACGTGCTGGGCTCACGCCTCCCCCTCTGTCCCGACAATCACACAGGCACGCCGGTGGAACTCCATGTCAGAACCTACTCCCACAAGCTGGACACGAACACCAGCAACACGCCAGCAGCGCACCCGGGGAGAAAGCCGACGGCGACGAAGCCACACGCATGCGCCCCATGATAAAGATTCACAGCCACGACGCCGAAAACGAACACAACACACACACACACACACCAAAACAAGCGAACCCGCCCACACTTTCTTGGTTTTTGGTTCGTTTTTCTTTGTTTGCTTTTCTGGGGGCTTGCTCTCACCGGCGTGGGCCCGCCTCAAGTTTTCAGCCATCAGACGAAGAGAGGGGAAGAGCGTTCTCGGCCATCAGATGAAGAGAGGGCGCAAGCGTTTTCAGCCATCAGATGAAGAGAGGGGAAGAGCGTTCTCGGCCATCAGATGAAGAGAGGGGGCAAGCGTTTCCAGCCATCAGATGAAGAGAGGGGACAAGCGTTCTCGGCCATCAGATGAAGGGGGCAAGCGTTCTCAGCCGTCAGAAGAAGAGCCCTATATCCGACATCCCACATCCAAGATTTCAAATCCACAACTTCAGACCCAAAATCAAATGTTAGCTAGGCCCAAGGCCAAGACTTCAAGCCAAAAGCGCCAAATCCAAGCTCTCAAGTCCAAGGCCTTAGCCTGCAAGCCCAAAGCTTCAAAACCAAAGCGCCAAGCCCGAAGCTTTACGCCAAGAGCATCACGCAGGCTCACAGCTTCACTCTGGAAGCCACGGGCTTCACGCTCAAAGCCGCAAACTGAGAGCGCCAAGCTCGCTCCAAGTCTCCACGCCAATGCTTCAAGTGTAAAGTATTGCGCTCATTGAGTCAAGGCTCCCCATCCAAAAACTTGCACGATATTCAAAAGCAGCCAAACTCTGAAACATCTCAAAAACCTGGGGGATGCGCCTGTCCCTGTCAAATTTCGCGGCGCCTCTGCCCCGGCTCCTCTTCCGCGGATCAAGTCCGCCAGCAAGGCGTCGCGATCTGGCGGAAGAGGAGCGGGGAGGGCACGCCCTGACAGAGGAAATGCCTGAAGGAGGTGGAAGATTCTAGTGGACGCGGGAGGAGAGCTATCGGCCGCTGGCGTCTAGTAATAGCGGCGACGTTTCACAATAGTACCTCCTACGAAGAAATGACTTATGCTTGTCGAATGCGAACGCCGGTCAATATGCTTCCAAAAACGAGAACAGTTATTAATGCTGTAACTGTTATATTGAAGTTTGTTGAGATTATGAACATGAAATGAGCACTAAGTCTTGATCTTGAAGGGCGCGGGACCAATTTGAATATGTTGTGGTTGTCTATAGTTGATCTTGAACTTGATGATGCAATCTCAGATAACTCGAGGATCCTTCTCTTTGTGTAGTTCTGTGGTGGAGCATAGATGATCTTCAATGTTGATGTTCTTCATGGATCTACTGTGATTGATCTTCTGACGGCAAAAAATAATTGATGTCAAAGCTCCCTCTTCACTTTCAACGCATGTAATGACTTCGTGGACTTATTCTCCTCTCGTTCATCGTTGTGCCACCACAATCAGCTGAAGTCAGATGATTATCGTTATCTTGGAGGCAAACAGTCAGCTGAATATGCGATCCTTTATTTACCTGTGGTTATGGACGAGTGACTCCCATCGAGGACGGCATTTATTCGTGTCGGTCTATTAGGAAGAAATAAATTTATGTTCTTCGTCTTTCGTCATGTTCTGCTCTGCATGTCTATTTTACACGAAACGGGTCTTCTTGGCCTCGAAAAAGGGAAGTTTCTGATTCTGATCATAGATATTGATTTCTAAATGAGAAACAGGCATTCGACGAAACTCGAAAAAAAACTGCGCATTCGAATCTCATCAAGAACCGAGGAATTGGACGATTCCTTTCATCAAATCGATACTGATTGCTCCGCGTCTGGTCCCGACTCGCTCTTCGGCTTAGTCGTGGTTGATCTTGGTCCTCTCGCAGAAGACAACTTCTGTCGGAGGTGAACATGAAGAGGTCGCTGCTAATGAAGAGGAAGGTATCAAGAGCCCGGCCAATGGTCCTACGAGATTCCTCGATTTAAATAAGTATCTAGATCTATGGGAGAAGTTATGGCTCTACTTATGTCTAACTCCATCAAGAACCGACCACAAGTACCTGCAACGCCTTGCACGCTCTGTCTGCTTGGATGTGAATCGGCGTCGTCACCGTGCTCGAGAAAGCTGCATACTCCACAGAATGAAACTCGAAGCAAGGAGCTAGCTTCACATGTCGTTGTAAAAAAAATAACGCTTCGAAGCTTCGAATGCAGCACTTTCTCCTAGACCATAGGGTAAAAGGTCGCTAGAAGAGCGAGACCAAACAATCTATTAGAAGTAAGTACTTCATTCAGTGCAATGGAACTCAGTTCTATCCTTCGCGCCACTCCTCTCCTCTAAATCATCAACTCTCCAAAGACCGACTGCTTCGGCGCAATTTGTGTCCAGTGTTCGATTTTTTGTCAACATTATAAATGCACCATATAAAGAAGCACACAGGGAGAATGATGGATTCTCAGCAGGTCGTGGTCGTACTTCTACGCCCTGCCCTTCAACACTGGTTCGTGTTGGTGCCTACCACGATCGATGGTAGGGTTACCCCGCCCTTCCTCCACCTCCACCGCGAAACGATCGATCGATTCAGATTCGACTTCTCAGAGGACACACGAACTCAAGAAGAACATTAATTAATCAAGCTAAACAACCCTTAGACATTTGTTCCTGCCCTTCAACATTTGTTCCTGCGTTAGGAGATCATTTCAATCCAACCAGAATGCTGTACATCTTGATCTACTTAGAAGAAATACAAGTTCATCCTTTTCATAATTCATCTGTCAGTGTCAGTCTGTTCAACAAGATCAGCAAGAATAGCAAGAACAATCAAGCAATCAAGTGGCGATGCGCGGTGGTCCGAGTCTAGCGGACGTGACCGTAAGGTAATTATAAATATATAGCCTCCAAGATACTACCATATTGCTTTTGCAAGTATAACTTCTCTACTAAACATGGAAGCCCATACTACATGGTTTTCATCACCTACTCTTGTCTATCCCGTTAATCAAATTTGGTCCACGTCCTACTTCTATCTTATACATAGTGCTGGAATAAAGGCGGCGAAGATTTGATGAACAATATTAATTTCAATCTTGGAACTATCATAGCATTTATACAAGGCAATCATGATCATTTTTTATTATTCATCACAATTACGTTCACGACAATGACGACCAATCAGATCCTCTGTAAAACATAATAAATCGTACCTGCGGAAAGAACCCTCTGTCATCGTGACGAATGAGAGACGAGTTCGTTGTGCTTGTGCAAATGCAGATTCAAGAACTACATGGGGAAGTTATGATAATACTCAAAGCAATAAAATAAGTGATGAAGAAAATGAAAGGTACTAGGGTCAATCTATAGTATATTGAAATGTTTACTGCAGACGCAGCCGCTACTCCATTCTGTACTAGATGATATTTAAATATACTCAGTCACCACGACAGACAACATTCTAAGCAATGTCTAATGATGGAAATCTAAATCACTGTAGTAAAAAAGAATCATTTGAAGAACATGCCACGACGTTATGGCATTTATCCTGAGGAAGCAGAGACAGAAGTGACAGAGTGTCCGCTTGTTCTTGCAAGGAAATTACTACGACTCGTCTGACGAGGTAGACCAGTTTGAGGATTAGTGCCTTGATTCTCCTTCGATTTCGAATTCGGCTTTACACGATCACCTTTGAGCTTCTTCATAGACGGAGATGCACTTCTTGAACCCTTTGTACGTCTCTTCGAAGAAGATGCTGGTCCTTGTTCAGCGTCCACTTTCATCGCACTTGCTGCAGAAACTTGATCTTCATAGATCATTTCATTGTCGTGCATCTGGATTCCCGTAGCCACAGCTTGACGACGCAACATCTCATCGCTGCGGAGAGGCTCTGGCACATGCAACGACCAAATGATAGGCCGCATGGCTCCTGCCATAACTGTACCTGTAGAAACTGATGGCGCCAATTTCTGGCTCTTCCTCTGCCTTTCTTCTAGAAAAATGCCCTCTCTGAGTACTGCCGGATACTGTTGACACTCTCGTGGTGCAGACGGGTAGTCGGGAATGATTCCGACTTTCAGTGCTTCGACGCACGTTTGTTCAGAATCAGGATCCAGCTTGATGATATCGACGTTCGTCTCTGCTTGTTCTTCATCATGGAGCGTCAAAGTTAAACCCTCCCACGAGTTAGTAGAAATAGTCTCCTGAAAGAATCGGTAAAACGAAAAGCCGGGTTTATCAGTTCTTGCGCGAGGACCAGCCGCTTCTTTATAGACAAAAGTAGGCTCCTGCGACATCTGCGACACCGCAACATACGTCGCAGCTTGCGTAAGAGCCGCTTTTATGACACGTTGGTCTTTTCTGCAAGGGAGCGAAACGTCCTCCCAGGAAAGAAGTGCCAGATGCCGCACTTCCGGAACGTTCCAAGCATCAATGGCCAATGCGCACAACTCCGGATCGTCGCGTAGGTGAGAGGGAAGGCTCGTGTAGGAGTTTAAAATCGGTGGAAATTTTTCGAGGGCACTAAAAAATAGAGGGCGTCGGAAGGCCTCCTTCACGATTTTCAAAGCACAACCGGGACAATTTTTATAGCTCTTCTCAAGCTCCACAAAATGCTCCAAGCCAACCAGCATCCACATTAATAAGTGCCCCTTCTCCGTGTCGTTCTTTAGTGCATAGTCGACCAACGCTGGCCACAGGTCAACAAGACCTGGGTGGAGCTGGAGACCACGTGAGTGGGCCGCGTCGGGGTTCAGCTTATGAATATTGCCCAACAGGAACTCCAAGTGTGGATGATACTTTGATCCACGCCTCTCGTGAATTGCCTCCACCTTGGCCGCGGCGAGTAGGATTACGCCGTTTATGGAAGGAACCTTGTTCTTAATCATACTTTCGAACAGTCCCTTGTCGACTGGAATTATACCGACGCTGACCGCTGCTGCTATAACCTCGGGATTTTCCCTACAGGCGTTTGGTACCTTTTCACCCCAAGAGGAAAGGGTCAAGGCGTTCGTCGTCACTTTGCTTCCGACAAGAGCCAACGCACAGAGTTCGCAATTGTTTCGCAGCTGAGGTGGAAGGGTATCGTAAGATTTCAAGATCGCAGGAAATTCGCTATCATTCATTTCGCGCAGAACTTCTGGATGCTGGAAAGCCGCTTTGAGGATTTTCAACGCCAAATCGGGAAGATAACCTGCAGCTGCTGGATCGTCCTCTTGAAGATCGTCAGAACGTCGTAGGGCACGAAGGTCTTTCTGTTGTTGCGCCGATAGCCCAGCTCCTCTTGGCCACAGGAGCTCATCTTCAGGAGCAGCAGCGTTGTACCCAGATAACTTGAGAAAAGCTTCAAAGCCGATAAGCATGCGCTGGAGCAGGTGCCCACGACTCTGACTATAATCTGCTTTTGTAGTACTATGTTCCATTGCAAATAAGTGGTCATGTTCCAGTGCGAAGTCAACAATCTTTGGCCACAAGTCGAGACGCACATAAGAATTCCACTGTAAGACCTTTTCCAGCAGCCACTCCAAGTATTTGTAGTATTGGGTCGCTGCTCCGTGTTCCCCTTGATCCACATTTGATGGCAAAGTGACTGCAGCAAAAAGTAGTGCGGGAGGCGTCCGCGCAGAGCCTCGAAAAGAGGGATCTAGATCTATTCCTGATTTTAGCAAGCTTTCGAACAAATCGAAAGACGTGCGGTCATCGTAGTTGGAGGACAGAAGTTCTCTGATGTTCTTGGTGGCGACTTCGATGACAGCGGGATGGGCCCTCATCTTCGCGGGAACGTCCTTCCAGCTGTAACTCTGCCAATTCGGAATGGCTGGATGCACAATGATCTTCCATGCTTCGACTTGTGCAGCACCTTGTCCGCCTACTTCGCGTTGCCGATCTTGGTTAGTAGCTAAGGTGAAAATTTCCCTATTCTTCTGGTTGTGTCGCAGAATTTCCATATAAAACGTCGGCCACAGATTCTTCGGCACAAGTTCCTCAGGCTTAGCGCTGTTCTGCATGATTTTCAGCAACGCGGGACGCACCTGCAGCCGAATGCCATTACGGTTCACATTCGCTGTGCGTCTCAGCGCGGACGTAAAAAAAGACGGGTCTTCCTTCAGCTGCGACGGAACGTCTTTCCACTCGCACGCTCCGTTCAAAAAAGCCTCTAGAACGATTTCTGGATGCTCTCGCAAATAGGGTGGATCGTCAGCAACGTCGGTTAAGCTTGTAACCTCCCGACGTGCGATCCGGCCAAGCTCTCGCGTCAAAGGTAAACCTTCCCGAGCCAACCTCACATTAGAGAATGGAACAAATGGTGGAATAATGAAATCGCCTTCATCGAGATTGATTGTGTAATTATGATCTAATGATCTCATCTTTGAATGTGAGTATTATTGAATGGAGTTGCAAGCATTGCTATCAAATCGAGAGCTCATTCATTCATTCATCATGGTCAACACGGCGGCATCATTTTTTTGGGGGGGCCTGGGTCTACAGTTTCCCGCTATAGTTCCATTTAATTACCCCGCGGGAAGCCTGAAGCACAACGGTCAGGCGCTACGACTACGCAAACGATGAAGCAAATGACACCCGCGGGTGCCTCTGGGGGTTCCATGAGAATGAATCAATCAGAAAGAATGAGTAGCTAAAAAATATCGAAAGCCTTAATGTTTGTAGACTGGAAATTGCAGCGTGACAGCTGCTGAAGCATACCCAACAAGGGAAGCTTCCCCTCCATTTGCAATTCGAGTACCTTATCGCTTGCGGAGCTCGAGATATTATGTTCAACATCTTGCTGTCCTTCAGGTTGACCTTCATGTTCCTTTTGCTGCACAGCGCCAAGCACACTTCTACCAAGGTGCGGAAACAAGAGAACCAGATGGCTTCGTCGTAACATCTTCACTGTTAAACGACCTATCTTTATACCGTATGCTCGTCCAGTGACTTTGAGTAAAAGAATGCTTCAAGTAAGCACTCCTAGTCGTAATTGGTCGTTGTAGTATCTAATAATGGAGTATGAGATAGATTGTAGGTTTTTCAATTTTACTATCCTTGCTAATAGAAGAACTAATCTTAATAAATAGTGGAAGCTGTAGCTGGTATCTACTCAGATAGAACTTCTTCAAATTTTCCAGCTGGAGATAACTTCGATGCCTACCAATATTAGAATTATCGAGTTCGAGAGAGATCGAGATGATTAATTGAAAATACAGTGAACGAGTAACTAACTAACCTATTCTTAAAACTTATAATATAGAAGGTGCTTATAATTGAAAACAACGCGATTACGGATGAAGAGGGGAGTAAGGTCTTAGATGATTAGATAAGCAAGGGTGCGGACTTGGTATTACAAATAATCTAGAATAGAAGAAGTGATGATCCTTCTTTTGCTCTAAAATTCTTTCAACTCTAAAAGCAGGGAGCATGCAACAGGAAGTGTAAACAACCGAGTAAGTAGGTGTGAATACTTCTTTGTGCTGTTGGTGCAAAGGAAAAGGGAGAAAAAACAGAAAATTCTAGGTTATTGCAGAGAACTTAGATTTGCCTACGAACCAAAAAACGAAAAGCTGCGAAAATATCGGTTGAAGTTCTTGACTATATGCAAGTATAAGTGTTTTCTTTTGCCTGGAGCAGAACAAAAAAAAGGATATCATGATATATTCGCTCAGATGATACTGATCATGCAATTGCAAGAACAAACATCGAATCGATCTCGTCAACATGTTGTCTGAGGATCATTTTCCTTTGTCGACGCGATAGATCTTCCTATATATCTTTCGATCTGGAGGATCCTTTTGATCGCTTCAACACTCCCATGTTGAAGATAAAGTACTGGTTCAAAACACAAAAAGATCAAGGATCATCTTTATCTTCGATTATGATCTCTCTTTTGCTTTTTGCCATGGAACTGAGTTGTCCACCTTCTTCACAACGACTTCGTATTGTCCACCAGATGGAGAAACTATTCTTCCATGAAATTCTTATTGACGGAATCTCGGATATTGATAGCGAGAATATGCCTCGTTTTGATCTTCGCATCGTTGATCGATACAAGTTCTACACAGCATGGAATTGGAACAGAGACATCTCAGATAACCAAAATAAAAACATCAATGTTGCTGGGAACGAATGAGAGAGAAGGTAGCTCGTGTTCAGATAGCAATGCTCTGTTTACGATATTTTTGGCAATGAAGATAGATAGAAGTCGGAAAGAAGTCCAAGAACAAGTACAAGTAGTGCGTTGGAAATACTGAGAATAAAACACACTAGCAAGAGATATCGTCACAAAGTAAATAGCCACTTTTCCTCTCCTGGTGGCGGTTTCTACTGAAGGTTTGCCGATTCTTCAGGTTGAAATATTTTGGACAAAAGAAAACGCTCCTGATACTCATAAGTAAGGTCTAGGTCATATAATTCGAGATTCAGAAGTCCACTTTTATAGCCAGCTACTGGCTTATTGGATCAAACACTGACTGGCTGAAGATTGTAAATTTCAGGTTAAGTTGTAGGCGAGTCTTGCTCATTGAAGATAGTCAGAAAATATATCGCATGGTCAGTCACGTAATTAATACTAGTACTCAAAATCCAGTGCTGCACTGTTGAGCAGGAACGAAAAATTGAATATGCTTTGATCGAAAAGAGAACTACTTGCAAATGCGACGCTACTCCGCTGTAGTTGGTTTCGTCAACGAAATCAATTGACGCACTACAAAACTCGATCCCACGACAGTAGTGTTTACGATAACTCCAACACAAGTCGGAACGGAAGCTCAAGCGCGTCCTCAGACGGATCAAAGGTAGTCGGAAATAACGGCTTCCACGATCGATTTTCATCCTGAACGTAGATATCGAAGCACGCATCGCTTTCAAGTAACGACCTAGACGCCAAGCCGCCGACAATAGAGCATGCCATTTTCGGCAAGTTCGGATTGATAGCGGTTACTTCTTGTGCATGGAGCGGCACCGTCTTGCCATTCGGAAGCCTCGGCAGCTGTTCCACAAGTTCCGGAGTGATGTCAAGCGCCGTGTCGCCCCGTGCTAAGCAGGCGTCGAACTGGTCTAGGATCTGCTGAACTGCGCGGTCTCGAGTTGATTGAAGCAAGTCCACGTATCTGCTCGATCTGGTGTTTTCCTTGCTCGTTGGGTACCGGTCGTAAGACAGAGACCCCCTTGCGTTGGTTTCAGCTGCGCGCTCCGCGAGCAACTCTGCCGCAGTAGCCGCGCCTACTGACATCATGCCAAATCCCACTTTGATCGGCAGCGGCTGACGCGCGGAAAACGTTCCGACTGCCACGGCACCATTCACACGGAAGTAATCACCGCGGTAGTGCTCTCCTCTCGCATTCGAGATTCGCCGATAACCTCGAAGCCACAAGCTGTGGACGATAATCCCTAGGCCTACTTGCTCCCCACACTGCATACGCGGCGCGCCGTCAACTGCTTCCGCAGTGATGTCATAGTGGTCGTGTCCCAGTCTCGCTCGCTCGGTTACCTGCTCCAGGTAGTAACTTACAGCTCTGCGTATGTCGTCGTTTTGCTGGTCCGTCGACATCGCAGAAATTGCGTCTCGCGTCCCTGCCGCGTTCAGTGGTTCGGAAACATCACCCGCATAGCTCGCTATCATGTCCCGCAAAACAATGTCAAAACGCTGTAGCGCGGAATTGTTGTTTCGGGTCGCTGTCACTAGCCACACATTAACCTGTGAGAGCGAGCGTGAGAGAAATGAACATAAATAATTGACGCGCTAGCAAGACAAGAGTATAAGAATTTCTTGCAGGTTGATGCAACTCAACATCTTGCGATAGTCGTAAGTCGACTACAGCTCTGATAAATGAGTATTGGAATTCAGCTTTCTACTAGCCTAAGCCCTAACTATACCTGAGCCATCGCAGCTTTACGGGAGAGATGTTTCTTGAAGTCTCTGCTCTTTCGCGCCAAGCTTTCCCGTTCCACGGTTGCAAGCTCTTCCACCCAGCGTCTATAGCTACCGAAGCCTCCGAGGAGGATGCTTCTCTTGCCGGAGACAGATGTATTCGTCCTCTCATCCTGAACGGAACTCGAAGACGATGAGGATGCCATTTTGTTTACCATTAAGGTTCTGCATGGATCTCTGCTTTGTTGAACAAGATTGTTGCTGTTCTTACTTCTTGTACTTCCTCTACCATTCAATTATTCTACTTCTATAATTTTTTAGAGTTGAACATACCAGAGTCAGTCTCAGTGTTCAACGAAAAAGTTAAGCAAAGAAAAAAGTTGTGCTTTGTGAAACAACAACGTGCAGTGAAGATAGTCTTTATTTTCAAATCGATCCCACCTGAGAAAACTGACGAATTATTCCACTCATAACTATAAACTATGAGGAAGACGAGAGGAAAATCGAATCAGGAGTGTTCGCCGGACGTGATATAGTGAAGACTTCTCGTATAATTTTGGATGTCACTTCAAGTGTCCCGCCGAAAAACGACTTGTTAGTCTTTTCTTCTTGCTTACCGATTAGTACGTGCTCACCGATTTCTTGCGATTGCGAATCAATAATCGCCTTCGCGTCTAGCAGGATTAACGTCGATTTGTGTAGCCATACACGTAGGACATCAACGTGTCCTGCATCGCATCATTCTTTATGACGGATATCGCCAGCACTTTTTTTAGGATCTCGTGTTTTTCACGACGTGCTTCTTTACAATGTGCGTCATGAGGGCTCCGCCTTGAGGAATCGAATGCCGAATCGATAAACAAGGTCCTCTGATCCACCGCCACAATTTTACTCTACAGGGAAACAATCCTCATCGAACCATATTGAATGATGGCCAGATTCCAAGACGGGCAGTGCGCGCAGGTCTTCAGTCGCTGAAGAGAGATGGACGCAGAGGCGGTTTGCCACAAAAAGCTGTTTTACAACCCGCCCTGGAAAATTTTCTACTTACGACAAACAGTGGTAACGCAAAGTTTGGTGTCCAAAGACATCTTCGTTTTCACTGCTAGCATCAGGGCCACCACGACAGTTTTATGGTTGCACTGCTTGGGAGGTTCTTCATCATCTAGAATTTCGATGAAGGGAAATCGTAGTAACGTTTCGTCAAGTGAAGGTTTTAGGAAAATGTAGTTTTCCTCATAAGTACTCAAGGTACTTCGCCCACTTCATATTTCTGAAGCAGTTCCTTGGTGGAAGTGTTTTGTTCATGTTCTGCACAACGTGCTTGAAATTCGTTGTGCAATCAGCTAACAGATTATGGAGCAGTACCAAGAAGTCTGCTGTTGCTGCTGAATAGGATCCATCAAATGTTAAGTTCTGTCATCGAAAGAAGTTCTTGTGTCTATGGAACTTGGAACGCAAGGTGGATATTTCTATTGAGAACAAGAAGATGATATCCTAGTACGAGGAAAGGTGCAACATACACACTTCTTCTAGGTAGAAATCGCACATCTAAACTGTGAGATGGTTGTGGCTCGTCCTCCTGCTCTTCATTCTTTCTATTTCATCCCTCTTTGCACAACACCAGCCGAAACGGTAGCGACGCAGTATCCCCGTGGATATCCACCCCTTCACGCCGATCATCTCCCTCGCCTGCCATGATATCTAAACCATTCCACGCATTAAAATAACACGACGCGCTTACTAGTCCCGAGATGAGCGACACTTCATCAGTCAGAGAAGGATGAAGCGCGCGAGCCTCGACCCCGTTCAGCGGTACGGCAGTTCCGTTCGGGAGCTTCGGTAGCTCCTGGTCGATGACCTCGCGGGTGACCACGTACTCCGTAGATCCTGTAGCCAGTACCTGGTCGAAGCGTTCCACTAGTTGCTTCACAGCCTTGTCTCGCGTCTCAGCGACTAGGTTTACGTAGCGGCCCCATCTACCTTCTTCGCCGGGGCGTGAGGAGTAGCGATGACCAAACGCTAGCGGCCGCTCAGTCCCTTGCAACGCTCGTGCCGCTAGTTGGTCGGCACGCGGAAACGAAAAGCCGTAAGCTGTTGCGACTATAATTGCGGTGCCAGGCGCAAACGTGACGGACAGCGGGAGCTCCAGCATTTCCTGGCGTGCACGCTGTGCGCCTGCCAGGCGCGGCCACGGACCAGCTTCACCATACGGCATGCCCCGCGCAGTGCTTATGTCGCTGAAGCCCTTGAGCTGGAGAGCACTGATGACGATCGGGAGCGCAACTGCTGCGCCGTTGCGCATCCGCGGAGCGCCATCGACCAGAGGCCGAGTGATTTCTAAACTGGTATCACCTTGCTCGGCTCGCGTTCGGATGTGCTGCAGGTAGTAGTCAACGGCGTTTCTGATGTCTTGGTTCTGCTGTTGCACTGCGATACTGCGCATTTCTCCCTTGCTGCTACTTCCCAACGCAGACACCCCTCCGCTCACGTCTCCCATGTAGTCACATACCATCTTGCGCAAGACGATGTCGAAGTTCTGTCGCGCTGCGTGGTCGTGCCTGCTCGCGGTCACCATCCATGCATTTACCTAGAGGGTGTTGTAGGCAAGTTCGGTCATATCTGCAACTGAAGTCAAAACGTCATACCGGGCCGATTGAGATGAGGATTGGAAGGAGAAGTTTATAAAGATTTTCATACATAAGTAACTTTGTTTTGGATCCCGTAAGAGGACGAAAGTGGGAAAACTACCTAAGCGGATTGACGTGACGACATTATATCTAAGAGCTACCTGCGCCATCGCGATTTTCTGGGTGACCCTCTTACTGAATCCCGACTGACGCTTTGCAAGTTCGTCCCGCTCAGTTTGCTCCACAGCAGCTGCCCATCGCCTGAAGCTTCCGCAGCCGCCCAAAAGAACGTCTTTCCTGGGACCAGCAGCAGCAGGCTGTGCCGCGGACGAACTTGACGACGAAGAGGGCGCCTGCTGCATTGTGATGATTGGCAGACACAAAAATAGATAGATAGGCTAATTAGTACTAAGACTTATGCTTTGATGTGCAACAATATGTTAAGAGACAGAGTAGAAATCAATGTACAAAGTGTTGAGGTCTTTCGTCCTCAAACATATGACGTGAAGAACTGGCGTCGTACTAGTCAAATTTTAGTTATAATAGAGTTCACGAGGGCGTGGAAATCAAGACACTGAAAAAATAAAATAAGAAACCAACAAAATATTAGCTTCATGTGATTGATAGAAACCTAAATGGAGGATGAAAGTAAAGATTTCGATAGAAACAAAAGAGTCGGCTAATGGCGAAGTTCTCAAGTCGAATGGTAAAGGGTGATGGAAGAAGTAGTCGCTGTTTTCTTGACAAGATAAAAAAAATTTTTGAGGATCTCCGACCAGGGCGTCAACCTCAACGTACACGTCAGGCATTGCGAATAAGAACCCCAAGGACCGACGCAAACGTTGTGTGTGCAAGGGCTACGCAGTTGGGTAAAATGCATAAGGAGCCTACAGGAAAAACCATCATCGTGTTGCTTCAGAGGATCCACCCACATTTTCTTCATCACCCTTTCAATCTCGTCACGACCATCATGGGTTAACAACGAAGAACATCGCATACAACGATACCAACAGCACTACGTCCACAACATTTTTATGGTTGAGACGTCATGGACCTCCTTGTAAGTTTCAGACGTGCTTGTTGTTCTACGTACTGCAGTATGTCTTCTATGTCTTCATCAAGAGAAGGGGTGGATAGGAGTAAGCGTTCAGTTTTGCTGATATGTGTCCCGTCTTCAATCTGCTGCAATGATTTTTTTTTGCGCGCGCTATGTCATGTAGTAGGGAGACATCCAAATCATGTGCTGATTACTGAGATGTAATACTAGAGTGTTTCTATACGGATGTAAACTAGGTGAACTACGTATGGAGAAAACAAGGTCTAGGCCGACTCGCATTCTGGAGAAACCTCGCACCTCTACTTCATCAGAAACGTGTTTCACCCATCTATCATCTCCGGATCAACGTATTCCTCCAAGCCAAGGGTCTCGATTCGCAACGGTTCCTCAGGATGCATTTGTAACCAAGGGTGCTGTTATTAGAACGGTTCGCACCCCTGTAGACGCAGTCGTGGGTCTGGGTTGCATCAACGACCTCCTGTCCGTCTGAGTGCTCCAAATCCGATAGATACATCACGCGCACAAGAGGAAAAACAATATGAACGATTCCTTGTGAGGTACTTAGGTAGGTTAATTATAGGCAATAGGTACTTAGGTAGGCAATGGTAAGGTAGGCAACAAGGTTCCATAATGTAAAGCTTCGCTGAGTTTGATTCTGTCGGTAGCTTTCTTCGCAAGGAATCGGCGTACTAGGTCTTTCGCCTCTTCTGATACTGGCACTTCTCCTTCCTCCTCCTCGAAAACAACATCTTCATGTAGAAAATTAGAAACTCCAAGCAAAGTGGTTGCGGGCGAGCGCTTTGTAAGTAATACAACGACGACGACATCTAAGTAGACCTCGTACTGCAGCGACAATTCGGTTTTTTCCCCATAAGGATAGAATCAAAGGTTCTCTGCGTTTCGTCCTGCTGTTCTGTCGCACGTCGTTCGAAGGGTGGTCGACCGTAGAGGAACTCGTACAGCAATATGCCCAAGGCCCATACGTCGACGCCGTAGGCATGTCTCTGTTTCCGCACCATCTCCGGACTGAGATAGTCCAGCGTGCCACACAGAGTCGTGCGTCGGTCTGCGTCCGAACGCAGTGGATTAGAAACCGTTTTTTGGAAACCTGATGCTCTTCTCCTCTGCTTGATCGTACCCAACGAAAATTGCTTGTCCTACATCAAGCACAAAATTCAAGTCAACTCATACGAAAGGAGGTCGAGATTTTGTTACAGTCAAAACTTGATTGAAAGAGCTATGAACCAAACACATCAGAATCGAATTATATGAAGATGAGTACAGTAGATTAGATGTCCGTCATCAAGTGAAAGCGGTCCATCGCCATAATATGCACAGACCATCCGAAATCGGCCAATTTGAGGACGTCGCCTTGAGATGGGTCATCGCTGGTGCTGATCAGGATGTTTTCCGGCTTAATGTCCCGATGTATGACGTGCTTGGTGTGGCAAGCGTTAATCGCTCTCACCATCTGCCGGAAATAATTTGCCGCCACATATTCAGGTAATCGCTTGTACTTCGAGAGGACCCTGTTGAGTTGTGAAGACTTGTTGTTGAGAAGTAGAGGACTTCTTGTACTAGGCAATTCATCTTACTCCTATCACTACAACAACTGTAGTTTCTCATACTTAGGTAGTGCAACTTATCCGATAGGAGCAAGCGGTTTTTGAACACTCACTCCATGGTTTGGTTTTTGGTTTTACCTTAGTACTATACTAGTACCCGTAAAGCTCTCCTTTATTCGCGCATTCGAGTGCTAGGTAAATTTTTTCGTCATCCCAGAAGAAGCAGAAGAGCCTCAAGACATTCTCATGGCGAAGATGCGACTGAATCAAGATCTCTCGTCTCAGATTGTCCACTACGTGGTGCTTCTTGATTTGGGACTTGTGCAGGATCTTCAATGCAACGATATAACGGGTATTAGAGGAGGAGGATAAGGTGTTTAAGGAGGAGAATGGTAGGGTGTGGAACTTACTTATGGAGAAACCCTATTCCGTCCCTAACAAGGTGGGTGTTGAACTTAGTAGTTATCTTTTCTTCTAACTCAACTACAACAACAACATGCAGATGTTCAACCTTCATCCAAGTCAGCAAATCTTGAAAGTCCCCTCGACAATATTATCAACGTTGGTCCAACCCTCTAACCCACTCAACAAATCAAAATCTCCGAATCAAAAAATCCGAAAAACATTCTACCCTTACAACCGGTCTCTGGCCATAACAGTCAACCGGTCTCTGGCCAGATAGACATTTCCGAATTTGCCGCGTCCTAGCAGCTTTCCTATATCGAAATCGTCAATCGTGTAGCCTTCGTACCTCCCCGGATACTGCCACTCCATCGCAGCGTCCTTGCGCAACAACTCTAGGATTCGGGGATCAAAGAAAGGTTAGAAGGTGAGCATCATGAAGATTGTTATTAGGAGAAGGAGACACGGTTGAGGATCATGAAGATGTTGTAGTAAGAATGAGAATGAGTACTACTTAAATACTTGAAAAGCTGACGAAGCCTTGTAAATATATACTTGAAAAGCTGACGATGTTGTACTAGGGGGAATGAGTACTACAAGCAGTTGTCCGTCAGTAATGAGTAGAGAGGTAGATGTACTAGATCATGTAGTGGCACTTCTACTTGTAACTTGCTGAGAGGTGAATACTTATTTCAGTAGTACTGCTTGTTGAGAGCGATTGATTTCGATGTAGAGGTGCATGCCATGTCATGGTGCCTCTTATGTAGCTATTAGCCACTACTTGTGAGACCATCCAGTGGGGAAGTACCTCCAGGGGAGAGCGACCTTACCTCCATGGGAGAGCAAACATAAATTTCAATTACTTACAAGGAAGTATTACAAAACCCACCTCTACCACAAAGCCACGTCTATCAATTTTCAAATTCCTCTTGTTCTTTATCTCATCGTATTCTCTTCCTCAACCAGAAATTATGAGCTCCACGACCTGCCATAAATAGGATTGTCCTGATTGTCCTCTTCTCGTTTTGCTGACGACGAAGAGCTGGAAGATGAAGCGCTACTCCCTGTTTGCACAACGCCAGGTGGACAACTGTCCAAGGAGTCCGTGGCTGCCATTGAAGGAGGCATACAACCTCCTATGGAGTCCGTAGCTGCTAGAGAAGGCAAAGCTGAGGTGGACATCGACGCGGAGGTGGACATCGACGCGATATGTCCCGTTGGAGAAGAAAATTTGTTTCTCCAAGAATTAGACATGAAGACCGCTTCATCGTCCCAGCAAAGTAGGATGCCACCAGGAATACTTCTATAATCTAGATCGACCATTTTTTTTAATACAGGTAAATTACCTCGTGATCATGATCAACAAGAGGTGATGGGAGGTTCATGAAGACGTCCGCTTTTTAATGATATACTACATACCAACCAGTCCTGACATATCATGTTCATGTTTCTTCTTAAAAAACGCATCTTCTTCATCTGGATCTACGGTCGATGAGCCAGGAGTCGAGGCATCGTCATCGGCTCTTGAGCCGTCACCTTTTGGTGATGCTAGGGCGTCAGCGTGATCTTTGGGCGACGCTAGTGATGGCCTCCATGAACGAGGACCTTGTTCCTGGATGGTCGCTGATTCGGGCATGGTCGCCGATTCTGGCATCTTCTTGTGTTTCCAGCAACGGCCTCTGTTCTCCTGTTCCTGTACAACACGCTTTATAGATACTTACTTACCACTAGGAGCAAGTGCAACGACCTTTGTTTCTAGTACGACTTGTGATGTTGTAGATGTTTCCTACGCACTCTGTCCTCTAGGAAGTTGTTGTAGTTGATGTTGATGTAGGTTGATGCTGAACAAGTAGTAGGTTTACGACATGATTATATACTTCTTGCCCTTTTACTTGTTTCAGCAGTTTTTGTTTTCACGACAATTTTCAGCCGCGAACTTCTGCATCTGCAATTTCACACTCTCAGTCTCATTAGAATACGAGGACGACTGCGAAAACAAACTTTTTTTTTTTCGAGGGTAAGGAAAACGACACGATCGGCACTCCCTTGTATCTGAGAAAGTAGGGAGTACATACTTCTTTGTTTTCTCTCACGACTCGAAGCGATCTCAAACTTCGACAACTTGCACGACAACGACTCAGTTGTTGATAATGTTCCATGTAGATGCAATGCTATCCGCGTTAGTATGAGCTTTTGTTCTACAATGAATCTTCTTTCCTTGATGCTTTTTGACTTGTTTTTCGATCCAATGATAGTAATATTTTTGTTGGGTTCGGGGCTTCCAATGATGGTAATATTCTTGTTCGTTGTTCACGAAAACAGTACCCACAATATAAAAAAAGTTCACCTACTAGATGTTTGTCTTCGATTTGTCTTCGATTTAGTTCTACATCCATGATTTCACAAGAATAACAAACTCGTCTCATTCCGTAGTTGTAAGAACTACTTTGCAATATTAGTAACTAAGAGATGTTCTCCCGATGTAAGAGTCGTGGTTAGTATCTGAACTGCTTTGCAATTTATAATATAAGAATGATAGTACTACGTACTAGAAGTTACAACTATACCCAAAAAACTAATCAAGAACATCTGTCTTTTTAATACACAGAGTTGCACAAGATATTCATATTTCCCAGGAGTTGATGATCTACGATCTCATTTTGTCTTTGTCTTACTTTGGTATCTTCATCTAAGTAAAAAAAAAGCTACGCTGAGTAGAACTTGTCGATTGTTTTTTCACGATGCTTTTACAACTTATATATAATAAACGTTGGTGAAGCAAGTCTGGACATATGTAGATGTTACAAGTTAGATAACGGAGTGCATGACATAATTCAGCGAAGTATCATCATCCTCTCGATTTCTTTCCACTCGAAAATGGAGGAACTGGATAGTACGGTAATGAAGTAGCCCTCCTAGCACGCAGTAAGCATCGTTTCCGAGCATCGTCACGACATAGCACTAGCACCTCCTAGCACCGTCAACACGTATAATCGACGCGGACCTTTCTTGTAAACGCCCCCCCAGCACGCACTGACTCAGCATCATCTTCCTCTCGACACGTGCTCTCGACACTGACTCTAAATAACGGAGTCCATGACATAATTCAGCTAAGTATCATATTTTTCTTGTAAACGCCCTCCCAGCACGCACTCAGCATCATCTTCCTCTCGACACGTGCTCTCGACACTGACTCAGAGCATCTTCCTCTCGATCACGTGCTCGATTTCGGTGGCCGGAAGGTAAACTTGGCTTCCAGCAGCTCTTTGACGCGCAGAAGCATGTGCTCGGCAATCACTCGGCAAAAGGACGACGCGAAGTCCGGGATGTTCAGTACGTGCGTCGGATAAAAGAGCAACACCACAGCCATCACATGCAAGTCCTCCAGATTAGAGCAGGTAGCTTTTTGTTATTTGGTTAACAAGATTGATAGTATCAGGTCAACCGACATTGCATTCTTCACTACCATCCTTGACTTTTTTTCTAGTTACTGGTTGGTATTAAAAAAAATTTAACCTGTTCCACTAGAAGAAGTGTGGTCGACGAGATGAAAAAACTAGCATCTACTTCTACGTCTACGGAAAAGAAAACGATGAATGGGTTCCTTCTCCCGCTTGTTATGGCAAGCTGTCTACCTTCGGTGGGGAGAGAGCCAGAACAAACGGGATGAACAAAAGCACCTTTATACATAGCCTACCCTTAACTAGAGTATCGGTCTTGAAGTCCGCGGCACTCAATTGGTGGCGCTTGGTAATATTCTCGATGAGAGAACGGACGCGGCTGCCACCTCCTGTGTTGAGAAGAAGTAGAAGCGGATGAGGTTGAGGAAGTAGAAGAGGGAGAATGATATTATAAGGATCATTAGCACCATAATTAGGACGAGGATTCGGAGTAGGAATATTAGGATTGATTGGGAAAAGGTTGTTGTTGTACTAGGGAGGAATATTTTTATAAGAATGGGACGCTTTGGTTGCTGCGGATAAAAAATGTTCAATTTAAATGTACATGTACTTACTTAACTAATTGTCTTGTAATTTACTGAATGAATAAGCGTAGTTTGCCCCGTTACCCAGTTGTTGTCTTGAGAGGAAGTTTGTGACACCTGTACGTCTTACGAGTTACAGCCGACACTCAGGAGCTGGACCATATTGAGGGAGACGTTGAGTTGTTTCCCTAGGGTTTCCGTTTTTTTGAATTTTCGCGAACTCAACAAATGTTGAAAATCAACATGAACATTATCGGTAGCTCGCATCATGTGAGGGTGGGGTAGGGGTACATGGCCCGTCAGAGAAGCAAACAAGAAAAGGAAGGCCTCACAAATGAGGACGACGAAAGCGTCCGTTAAAAAAGGGGTGACACAAGCCACAAAGCCAGAAAAAATTGAAAGTCTGCAGGAGAAAAGCATTACAACAGGCACACACCAGCCAGGGCAAAAAGGTGGCAGAACGACGCCAACCCGTCTACAGTCCTCAATAAAGGACTGACGGTTAGTAACCTACAGTCCTGATGAAAGTCCGAACCGGACAGCTGCAAAACGCTAAAACTAAGTGAGTTGAGCTTGTAAAGGGTACAAGGAAATGAATAAAGTAGATGCTGGGGTAAACGTTGCGAGTAAATGCGGTCTCGCCACCTCATGATTTAGAAAAAACAAGTTTCAATTTCAAACACAAACGATTTGTTTCATAAACATTTATTTATTAGAGTTCTTATACCTCCGCCAACTCCGGTGCCATCATCTTCGTCCAGGTTATCGCTTGCGCCGTCCTCATCCTCAGATCCAGCACCCGAACCTGAACTCCTCTTTCGCCGTATCTGAGGTTGTGGTAAGTGAGGTAAGGATATAAAAACAAAGGTTGAAATGTGAAGGTACTAGACTACGATAGTTTGAGTTCATGCTTTTGAGGTGCGATAGCATGAGTTATCACTTTTTTGGTAGTTAGTTTTAGGTATGCAAATGACTTGAGGTAGTGTGAGTTTGATTTATTTGATCAGAATATTGCCATCCGTGCTGCCCCGAAGAAGTCGGTTATACCTGGATTTTTTTGTGCCATCCCCACGAAAATCCAACAAAAAAATGAGCTTCTTTCTAAGTCTATTTCACAATACTGTTGCGAAGCGTCGGACGGAAAAAACCTCCTCTTTCGCCTAGTTTGACATGACAGCCGAAAAAAACCCAAAAATCACAAGGAGTTTTTAGATTTTTTTCGGCCATCCGAAACAGAAGTCTAATGCGTATGAAGAAGACCCAGCATATAAACCAGGCTTCTGCCTCCCCTGGCAGCATGGCCAAAAAAAGGGCAGAAATCACAGAGATTTGTAGGTTCTATTTTGCAGCCACTCAGTAAAAAAAAGTCTAAATAATCTGGGAGTCTAGTAAAGCTCTTCTTTTAGGCTTGAAGACTTCAGTTATGAGCTTCTTAGGAGAAGGACTCTATATTTGTTTGTCGTTTGACTCGACTAACTAAGATTATATAGAGCAATAAGTAGTACCGGCACATATGGCAAGACCCGTTTGACTTCGTCGAGTTTGTTCTTCGAGATTGCGATTAGGACGTGCCACGCCACTGGGTACAAATCCGCAAAGGCTTCCAGGTGTAAAATCACATCTGGCATCGTTTCCTTCTTCACGACTGTGTGCAGTGCGTATTTGAGGTATAATTCCATGTACTCGTTTGCGTTCCGGAAGAATTCGTTCTTGTGGGTGGCCATGAACCTCCTTTCCTTCATCATTTCCATGTTCTCCACGTGCGCGTCCACCAGGTGAATAGCCCAGGAACGCACGCTGGCCGTTTGATCGTGCTCCAAGGAAGAGAGTTGGCGTTGCACTGTTATTGACGTTCTTGAGCAGATTGTTGAGGATGAGGAAGGAGGATGGATGTTGTACTGTTGTTAAGAGACGAGCGGATCTTGTCCTTAGACGAGTTAAAACGAATGACGTAAGGATTGAGATCACTACCCTACTAATCCATCAACAATGAGAAAACTACATCAAAAGGTTGCCAGTCTATAAGTAATACGATCTTGTTGCTGCGTGAGGCGTCTCCTCGCTTGCGGATTGATATCTAGCGACGAGAACATCCGTGTTGCCCCAAGACCCGCAGCCGCAAGCCTCTTGCTGATCATGTCTGCTTTTTTCTGACTTGCTTCCGCAAATGTGTTACTCACTGGCAAATTAAAAGCAGCTGTTCCTTGCTGAGGCGCGCCTCTCTGGAACAGATTCGCCGCATCTTGCTTGTTGCTTGCTGATGAACGCCTTCTAGTTGCTGTGCCGTCTGCGTTCACTCCTGTACCATATCCACCTGATTGACCCATCAAGCCAGATAGAGTGGATAACCTACCCAAAGCCATTGTAGCAGTACGTGGACGTCCTCCGTCGCCTTCCCTTCTCATGCCTGTATTTGCCATATTTGCGGGATTCATCAAGAAATCATTCAAGAAACTGGTAGCAGCAGCCGTTGCTTGCGCATGAGCAGCGCCGAACTGCTTACCGGAAGGAAGATTTTCACCACCTTGTAGCAGACTCAATGTAAGGTGTTCTTCTTCGTCTTTTTCGCTGTCATTAGCAACAGCTGCTTCGTTTTCAGAGGACTGATCACCTCCTCCTTCTCCCTTCTTGTTCAGCATGGCGGTCAGTTTCGACTGGTGCAACTCTTGTTCGAGTTCACTCTCCATCAGGGATCGTCTTTTCCCCAGGCCCCGACCGCCAGCGCTACGTCCGCCGGCTGCGGCACCACCTCCACTGCCACCATCTCCACCGCCAGAAGATTGTCTCGCAAGCATACTATGAGCACCGCCGCTTTGACGAGCTGCCCTAGTCATTCCAGACGACCCTCGCATACTACCTCCACTGCCACGCATATTTGGGTTGCCATCTACCATACTTTTGCTATCGCGGATCGCTGCTACGACTCCGTTGTCGGAGAACGGACTATTCGCCGTATTGCTCAGAGCTTTCTTCACGGCACCTGGTCCCTTCGGCACCTGGCCGTAAAGAGACGCACTAGGATTTCTCTGCAGAGAACCCAAGGAACCCAGCTCGCTTATCGAGTCCAAACCATGCTCTGCGCTACCCTGCTTGGCTAACCACTGCTTTTCCATCTTCGTAACCATGTTTTGGGCACTAGACTTCGGACTAGGAGATGAAGACTGCTGCGCGCCTTGTTGTCCTCTACCGCTCTTCGTTGGGTCTCCTCGGTTTGCTCCTGTTGAACCTGAACTATTATTGTTCCCTACTTGTCTACTATTTTTACCAGAAGAAGCAGATCCAGCACTCTGATTGGCTGTAACAGCAGCGGCGATCCTAGCACGCTCATTAGGACCATCCCCAAGTTGATTTGTTGGGAAGACTGCATTCCCTGCAATCTGGAAGCTTCCTGTCATCTGTTCTTCTGCGCCACCTTGAGGGTCCATGTTGTTTTGTTCATCTTTCATCAGCAACGCTTCGATTCCGATTTTCGCTTGGAATTTGATCTGCTGCATCATTGTTGGGGCAGCTCCACCGATTTTCTTATTTTCCTCCTGTATGATGCTTTCTTGAACCAAATTTTGCCCGAAAAAGGATGCATTGCCCGGTCCCGCCTGATTGCGAATCTCCGCTGTCTCGTCGTCGATTTTCTTGCCAAACAGACCGCCTCCAGCGAATAAACCCCTAGATTGCGGCATCACGCCACCCATGTAGCTTTTTCGAGCACCAAGAGCAGCTAGGAAGCCGCCTTCTTGCTGCAGGGCGGAACCGATGGGCAACACATTTGGCTTGGCTGGCTGGTCGTGGAGCTGGTGTAATCGGGCCATATGCTTGGCGAATTCAGACTCCGCCAATTGCGGAGTCCTCATGGAACTTCGCAATTGATGCGTCAGGAGATTGTTCGCTATAGCTTGTCCACCCGCGTCGGCTTCCCCAGCTTTCTCCGCTTGCAAGGCAGTCAATGGTGAACTCGCTCTCCCTTTCGTGTTCACAGCACCGTGTATGGAAGAGTTGCGAGATCGAAAGGTCTGAATACTAGCTCCTATCGTGGTCGTACCATTACTCGCCATACTGTCATTCACGTTCTTACCTCCTTTTCCTCCATTAGGTGCCCAACCAGACGCGCCAGGAATATTTTTGTACACGGCATAGAGCTTTTGTGTAATCTTCTGGGTTTCTTCGACTAAGATGTGGGGCATCACGCCTCCTCGCATTCCTAGACAGACCTCTAGTCTCTGCTGCAGACGGTGCACCATGGCCCAGTAGATGGCGCTTCCGTGGATGACCTCCTTCGTGGCATGCGACCTGTAATGCGCTTCTGCGCGCTTGGGCTTGAAGTAGTCCGGCGCAAAAGCAGTGCCTACTGTCTGGCGCTCGTCCTGGTGCAACATCGCGTGCAAGGCGTGTAAATGCACCACTGCTACCACGTTACCAGAAGTGCTACAACTACCTCGGTCTTTAGATCCATCTTTAGAAATCCCAGCACCTCCGTCTTCAGCAGAGCCTTCAAAGTTGCCTGCCTGGAGTTTGTACAGCTCTTCGTAGTTTCGCGCGCCACCGTCTGCTATCTCTTGCTTGGTCAATTTTTGTGCCAAGTGTACTTGGATCGCTAGACTAGAATTAGCTCCGAAACGACGCTGCAGGTCAGCCGTTTTATCAACCTCAGTTGTTGTAGTGGAACCTGCGGCAGCACCAGCAGTACTGGCTCTGGCACCATCTTCCTTTTCTTTACTATTGGAATTGGTGTATATTGAGGTAGAGGCATTCAGGGTACTAGAGGTATTCCTGTTCAAAGGGACAGAAGGTGACCCTACATCGGATATGATCGTATTTCTGAAATGAGCACCATCCGCTGACGGCTGCTCCACAGGTGAACCTCCACTAATAGATCCACCGGTCAACCTCGGATTCGGTACAGCTGAGCCCGAGGCACGAGCATGATTCGGGACTCCATGATTTTGATCTACTCCTAATGTGGCGCTATTACGGTTTGCATCTCCATGTTGTTGAGCATCGCTTGTCCCACTGCTGGGTCTAGGAGCACCAGTTGCTAGGCCGGAAGTAGAAGGGTCGTCCATGTTATCCAGCAAACAAGAATAGTCACGATTATCTAGCAATCGGGCTGGCACTGGAGGCAAGACCGAACCCCATGCCTCTAAGCCAATTGGTGGCAACACCAGTTTCAAGAAGTCTGCTTCACGCGCATTCCGTTTAGTTGCGCCAACAGCCATCATCTTGCCACGACGTTCCCTCTCCATCAAGATGACGTCCACAATACTCAGCATCTTACGCATCCGACGCAAGATTTGCTGTGCCAGCTTAGCCTTTGCTTTGCCCAACATCTTCAAATTACTCAACGTTTCAGTCCACAAAGCTCCTGCAGAACAAGCACCTTTATTCGTACCCAACATTACTGCTCCAGCATTCGCTAACGTTGAAGGGATGTAGGGTTTCTCAAGATCTCCTCCTGCATTTTTTCCTGCAAGACCAAGTGTATTCATTCCAGATCTAGTGCCCTTGCCAAGAAAGGCCTCTTCAGAGCCATGATCTGCTTCACCATCACTCTTGGATCCACCCTTTTTTGCAGCTTTCTTCTTCGGAGCACCTGCTGCAGCTTTCTTTTTTGGCTTGGCTTTGGCAGCGGCGGCAGCATCGTCTGCTCCAGACTCGCTTTCGCCACCGGATTTCGCCTTGGTTTTCTCTCCAGCACCTGCTTTCTTAGACGTTGCCTTCTTCTTTGCAGGAGCCTTCTTTTTCGCGCCACCTTCTGAGCTGTTCCCATCATCTTCGTTGAAGAGAAAGAGACTTGGAGAGGACACAGTATGCGTCAGGAAATCCAAATCCTGATCGTCAGAGGACAGAGCATCGCTGTTGCTGTTGTGGTCCTCTGAGTCAGAATCTTCAGAATCTTCACTGTTGCTGCTCTTGCTGTCCTCGGACGACGAATTCGAGTTGGTGGAGTTGGACGAGTTACTGCTGTCTACACTTTCAGCTCCTCCATAGAACATTTTCGGTGCTGCGCCATCAGTATGATCATCAGTATCACCGTCACCTTTCTTTTTGGTTAGTACGGCTTTCTTTTTTGTGGCAACCTTTTTCTTCTTAGCGTCTCCTGTCTTATCCTCGGATTGTGCCGTTTTATCATCTGCCTCCGAACCAGCAGCAGCCTTTCCCTTAGCAGCGGCCGCTTTTCCCTTAGCACCTGCTTTCTTTTTCGCCCCAAGCAGCTTTTTTGCGGCAGCTTTTTTGCCAGTGGCCCGTGGGGTAGATTGTGTAGAACCGGCTCCAGCTCCGGCGGCTTCCATTGCTTTCAGGAATAAGTCTTTCTTGCCCATACCCGGATCAGAGCTAATCGGATAGTCGATGCGCAAAATCATCCTCTGCACAGTCGGCAAGATGTCACTCCAGCGAATCGCCGGCGCAAAAGCCGTTTGGGCATAGCGACGCATCAGTAAAGTCTTGAAACTAGCACTCATTGCTCGCAAACCCAACAAATGCGTCACGCCATGGGAAGCGACGTATTCGGCTACCTCGTGCAAAGTGGCCAGCATCTCGAGTCGAGCGCCCAACATTTGGATCTCCTTTTCTTTGAATTCCTCCTCCTTCGGAAGTCTCAGTTTCAACACACGGTCTCCGGCTGCCAGAACTGCGCTTTCCGTGTACATAGGGTCTAGGGCCAACTTGTCTTTGTTTGCAGAAGATAGTTCCTTGGTATTACTTTTTAGCAGAAGGGCCTTTGTTGATGCTGTCATTACGGCTCTCATTGAGGCAGTAATCACCGGACTCGTATCAAAATCCTTATCACCTCCATCAGCAGAGTCTGCTCCTACAGCAGCTCCCGTAGCCGGCCCAGCGGCGCTGCCGCTCGTTTCCCCTGCAGTGGAACTTCCGTCCTCCCCAGGAATAATCGTGTTCAGCAACTTTTTCGGTGGTCTATTGTTGACAACCCGAGGCTTCCACTCTGGAACCGTCGGGGCTTTCTCCTGCTTCTGCAGCAAAGAGATATGGGCCAAGTTTCCTCGATGCTGCAAACTGGGATAGGTTATTTGTTGCTGCATCCATTTGGGGTTCCTCTCTGGTTCTACGCCATCTCGCATCACCATATCATAGAGAACGCGGACCATGTTTGGCGGCGACCCGGAACTCGGAGTGACGTTCTCTTAGAGGTAGGCTTTTGGTGCTCGCTTACCCCGCTTGTTATGCCTTTCTCCTCCTAAGGGTGAGAGGCATAAAAAGCGGTAAGAAAAGCACCTTTAACCTACCCTTAATACTCATCTCCCATGTTTGCGGGAAGTGTGCCTTCTTTCACACACTCCATCACCTCCCGGTACATGGATCGTCGTTCCCGCAACTGCTCTAACTCCTGCTGCGCAGAGGCTTTGGCACGCTCACAGAAAACGATGCCTCGGTTGTAGGTGTTCTCGCCGGATGTTGCTGTGCCAGGCACTAGTGCAGCTGGTTGCTGCTCGCGGGCAGTATCACGTAAAAGGAGTTCCATCAGATTCCCGATGTCGCAGAGGATCATGTTGCCCAAGTGATACACGCCACCGTGGATCGAGAAGGTCGTGTCGCGACTGTTTCAGATGAGAGTAGAACTACCTCTACATGCAAAAGTTCTTCTTTGCGAAGAAGAAGTACTGATAGAACCATAGTCGACCGCAACGACGACCATAGCATAACACACACAGAGCACAAAGAAATCCGGCGGGATCGTACGTGTTATACCCGGAGCGCATCGATACAAACATCAAACAATCAAACAAACAAGTACTTATAATACAAAATGATGAGGACTATGTTGTGTTCAAATTCCCAATGCCAAAATGAAAAAAACTCATGAGAGAAACAGAAACTCTTCAACAAGAAATTTCTTGATACTTAATATTCACAAATTTATACGATACGAGATAGTTCAATACCTGGATCCCGCGGCCGCACCTCCGTCCAACAGTCGCAAATAGGATGGGACCTCGGTTAGTCTTTGCAATGCAGATCTGAGTTGCGCTTTGTCGAAGTTGTCTGGTCTAAGGAACATCAACGGACTGGCAAGCGACGGATCCAAGACGGTAGGGTCATCGTCAGTTTCACTCTCCTCTTCCACGTCACTTAGGGTGCCCTGATGCCCCCCTTCCAGGTCACCGCCTCCTTGTTTCGCCTTGGCGTCCAAGGCAGAAGACGACATACGCCGAGCCAAAGTTTCAACGACGTGATTCATCACCTGTCCCGGCGCACGCGCACCTGGAGCAGCCTTACGTTTTCCTGCTGCCAGAGCCTTAGTTCGACCGCCTACGGACACGCTGACGACCAGAGAACTGCCCTTCATGGAGGCACCTGGAGACCCAAGTCTCGGACCTCCACCGCCACTCTGCGCAAGATCGACTCGGCGCAACAGTTCTTTATGGTCCACTTTGTAAAGGTCGTCCATAGCGACTAACAAGTCGTGTAGATGCTGTACGCGGGCTTGAGCTTCTCGAAGATCCCGATCGACAGCACGCAACGGTGCGTAATCCAAAAGACTGTGGTTTTCAATGGCCTCAAATTCAGCCAATGCAGCGTCTAAAGGGTTAGGCACCTTCTTCCTTTCCGCTTTGGCCATGAAGACGAGTAATTTAGCTCCGCCAACCTGTCGCAGCAAGTTGTCACGCGAAGAAACAGTATCTTTCAACAGACCTGTCACTTTCCCCTTGCTCTTGATCACATCCGCACCCAGGTCTTTCAACGCGCTCAGGACGGTTTCTTTCAAAGTCGGGTCCTCTTCAAGGACGTGCTCCACAGCGGATTCGACCAAAACAGAACGCAGTTGAACCGGATCATTCAATATCGCTTGATTCTTTAGCATTTCTTTCATACGTGGACTCGTCAGGCCCACAAGCATCAGTCCTTCGGTGTCAACATGCGCTTCTTCTTCATCATCGTCTCCACCTTGTTCGGAATGGACACTCGATGGAGGAAACTGCTCACCTTCGGCTGCAGCTGCTTTTGCGCCGCCTTTTTTCTTCGCAGCAGCCTTTTTGCTAGCAGCCGGTTTCTTTTTCTTTCCCCCAGCACTGGACATCGAGTGTTCGCTCTTTTCTGCTCCAGAATCATGATCCGTGTCGGCGCCTGAAGCGGATTTGCCCTTCTTCTTCGCTCCAGCTTTTTTCTTGGCGGCTCCAGCACCCTTTTTGGCAGTTGCGGCACCTTTTTCTGCTGTCCCAGCATAGCCCCAACCACCCTTCGTTGCGTAACGGCCGTATCCGGGACTCCCAGCTCCTTCGCCACCAGGCTTTGCAGCGGCTGCGCGAGCCGCTTCTTCTCTTCGTTCTTTTCTCAGGCGCTTCTCCTGTTCGATTTCGGTTCTTTTCCGTCTAGTCGCGAGAATTCTCAGCTTGGAGTCCGTCTCGTCGGTTTCTTCTGCATCGATCAACATGCCATAGACTTGCGCCAACAGCCTTGCAGTTTCGTCTTGACGCGCCGCAACGTGTTTCTCCATGAAGTAATGCTGCATAACCAAAGCTTCGAAGAAGTCCACGGGAAAGCGTTTCACCTGTTTCGTCTCCTTCAACACCGAATCAGGCAATTCTTTCATGATCACCGTCATGTGCGCAAATTCCGCACGAACTTTGGCCATGAAGCCATGCTTCAGCACCGGATGCATAGCGAATACCTTTGCGGCAATGGCTTCGCACTGGGTGCCAGTTAATTGATGCCTAACAATGTCCTCACGACAAGCGACTGGGACTCCGGAAACAAACCTTCCCATATAGAGTGGCGGCTCATTGTTTTCACCAAACTCGCGCCAAACTTTGCCAACGTGTCTTAGTTCATTCTGGATACAGCGTCGAGTCCACAGGTAAAAGAGCATCTCCTCTTTATTGTACACATTGCGCAGAAAAAGACCGAAGAATTTCACATACACATGTTCACCTTCAAAATAGGCCAGTGAGAAAAGCAAGCTCCAAGCACGACGATTCGCCAAAGCCTGTTCGTGCGAAATAGCAATGGGTTGAACGTTGTCCCCACCAGGTACCGACCTCAAAGCCCCTGCGGGTATTTGTTCGCCAGCTGATTGGAGGCCCTCTGAAGAACGACTCTGCCTTTCAGTTCCTCTAGGATCCCAGTCCAGAGTGTTGTTGATGTTCTGCTCACCGTAATACATCATCTTCATCTTGTTCGAAGAAGATGCAGGAGCGGAAGATGCATCAACGAATAGTTGTTTTCGAATTTTCATCTCTTCGTCATCGGAAGACGAGCTTCCATCCGTCTTTGTTCCAGCAAGTGAATCTAGTACTCCTACTCGTTCGTTAGGATAGTACATATATCCGGAAGTAGATGTCCGACTCTGATGAATTTGATGCCGACTCGTGTTATGTTGTTCGTGCGTGATGATTTCTTGTGCTCCTTCCTTCATACGATGTTCGTTCATAGCAGCATCAGTGATGTTGGGTGCGCCGAAGCCGATGTTGAAATGAGACCCTCCAGCCGCCACCATATGGGTCGCGCCGCCATACTGGAGGCCAAAACCGCCTCCAGACATATTGTGCTCCTTCAGCTGTTGAATTTGGATTTGATTGATTGATTGATGTGCCTGGCCAGAGGCATGTCTTGAGCCACAATAGAAGAGCGAAGACGCGATGATGCAGCTACGGGTCTACTGCCTCTGGTACTATTTCTAGAACTAGCTACTAGTATTAAATGTTAGGATAAACAAAAGTGTCTACACATCTAGTATTAAACGTGCTCATCTATAAACTAGGATAAAGAAAAGTGTCTACACATCATCATCAAGGAAATAGCGCATTACCATCTTCTCCGACGACGTGAGCAAGTAGTGGAGGACGAATTCTGGAAAACTCATTGTCATGTGGGCCGCCTCTGTTGGGGAGCCCATCTGTCCCTTGGCCTCGACAGTGTAACGAGATCGGTAAATTTCGTCCATAAGCTTGACCAAATCGGTCAAATCCATCAAGTCGCGTCTGCTGTAGCCGCGATAACCAAGCGACTCCAACGGGAAAAGGAGCTCTGCGAAACCTTTGTACCGAGACACGGCGTAGGCGATGGCCAATTCTTCGTCGCCGAGATCTGAGATTCGGTCCGTTTGTGAATGGGGTAAGTATCTTCAGTGTACTTATGTAACGGGTCGAGCATCTGTTGAGCCGAAGGTGGACTAAGTAATTGATGAAGACTACCAGGAAGCTTCTAGAATCCAAGAAACCATAACAATTCAGCTACAGTTGTTCTCTTACTCTTACCAGATTTCTCAACAGCCTCCGTATCCTTTTCCGCGGTCGTCAAGGGCGCTTTGTATTTAATCCTTGTCGGGCTCAAGTCCAATCGAGCTCTCAGATGTTTTTGACGTACTTCAGAGAGGTGGCGGACCTCCTCTGCTGACAACAGGATTCGCACAGCCATTTTATTATCCTCATCTGCGGTCACCACATCCGCAACGTAGAGTTCACCGGAAGCGTCCGGAAGGATTAGAAAAGGTTGGTACTAGATCTAGTTCTAGTCTTCCAGTTCTCCGAAAACACCGAGTCGAAATCTCAAGAATTGAAATTGAATCATGCTTCGATTACTAGGTGAGTCAATTTCTTGATTACTAAGAATTCTTAATATTAATTTCACTGTTACTACTATTAAGTAGCTTATGAATGTTTGATCTTTCTTGATGGACTTTAACAATCATCTGTTACTATTAAGTAGCTTATGAATGTTTGACGGAATGGAATGGACTTTATTAACAAAAATCATCTGCTTGTGCTACGCGGAATTGGGGAGCATAAAATCAAAGTGATGTCGTGAGCCTCCAAAAAGTCCACCACACGTTCTTGATGCGATACGGGCATATCGCGGAGATACAGCACGCGCTCTTCCGGTGCAGACGGATCTCCACGACTATGAAGATGATCTTCATCCTGTTGCTCTTGGTGTTGGTCCTCTTGATCATGTTGCCTGTTATTGATCTGAGACTGAGAATCCACTCCTGCTGTCCCTGCTGCTCCTGATGGTGAGAAACCAAACAGGCCACCCTCATCTTCGACGTTGTTGATAGGAACCATCTGAGGAGCCGAACCAGATCCGAGATGGTGGTCATCGGGAAACAAGACGTCGTTGCCAGCATCATGTTCCTCGTCAGAAGCCACTACGACACGGTGATCGGAGGGGCGCATCGGTTGTGCAGGCGATGGAGTGCCAGATGCCCCACCAGGTGGCAATGCTAGGTTTTTTGTGCTGGGAGATATAGCCTCCGATCCAGCTCCATACTCGGGAATCACGAATGGCGTAAACGGTTTGTCTCTTGAAACTGCAGTGGAGCGTCCATATCCTGGCGGTTTCGAAGAGGGTCGGGCTTTGCCTGCGCCACTGGGAGACGTTGGTGAGCTTGAGCCTCTGGGTGAGGCTGAGCCTCTTGGCGACCCAGGAATTCCAATGTGATGTGATGAACTGCCTTGCGTCGGTACATGGGGACGCTTATTAGAGGTGGTGGTGGAGCAAAATTGTTCTACATTACTTCAGCTTCACATACAAAAAGCTAGGAGTACTGTTCCTACTACCTGATGAATCAACAAGTTCAATCAAAATCACGAATCTTAACATTTAGTAACTGCAATGTAGTTGACCCCGAAAGACCTCCTGATGCACTGTCATTAGCACCAAGTGTAGCGGTCTCCACGTTGTCTCCTTTCATCGCTGCTCCTTGCATGGCGTTGACACTATCGGACGTTACCTTTTGATTACCTCTCCCGGACGCGCCAATCATCTCATCGACAGCACCAGAAAGGGTTTTATCGTCAGCGTTTCCTGCTTCAGAGCTACCTCCTACGCCGTTCTTTTTTTCTTCAGGCACGCCTGAATCTACTCCTTGTGCGTCGTCATCGTCACGTAGTGCTGCGTCTTCAATGATGGAATTAATGCTCTCTGCAGTTGTATCAGCCCTTCTACTCTTCTTACTCTTCCGCTCTGATGAACGATCAGCTTCGGAGACATCAGCGTCATCCCCATCTCGGTTTTTCTTGTCCTTCTTCTTATCCTTTTTCTTGTCTTTCTTGTCAGTGCCAGAAGGCTTCTTCTCTCTCTCCTTAACGGGCTCGCTTTCCGAAGGTAATTCTGGTTCTCCTTCGTCCTTCTCGGTGCTTTTATCGCGTTTCTTCTTCTCTTTTTTGCTTTTGCGCTCCTTTTCTCCTATGTCGGAGCCGGCGTTTGATTTCATTTCTGTATCGGACTTTGTTCCTGTAGTTTGAGTTTCATCGTCATCTCCTCCAGCACTGCGTTTTTTCTCCTCCTTTTTCTCCTTCTTCTTGTCTTTCTTCTTACTCTCACGTCGTCGATCTTCGTCTGCTTGCTCATCGTCGCCGTCTCCGTCAGCAGCTCCTGCTTCCGAATCCCGTTCACGACTCTTCTTCTTTTTACTCTTTTTCTCCTTCCCAGCAGAGTCTTGTCCACTAGCTTCGCCTTCTTCGATATTGGCGCCAGAGTCTTCACCTTCGCCGCTTTTTTTCTTCTTCTTTTTCTTGCTCTCCTCATCAGCGAAGAAGAGCATATTGCCACCAGGCGACGACGCCCTAGATGCGGCATCCTCTAGAAACTTATTGATTTGCATCGACGATCTCGCAGCTCTGCATGAATTGCCTCTACCTCGTATTGCAACAGGCGCCGTTGTAGGTGTATATGCTTGCAGCTTAGTAGGGGAACTGGATGTTGAAATAGATGCAACTCTTTCTGACGAAGAAGACTCATGTTGATGAAGTGCTCCCTGCTCCCGTCCTTCTTTGGGTCGTGGACCCGAAGTGCGGAGAAGGTTCAACGAGGATTGACGCCCTTGCTTGCCCTTACCCTTGTTTGACTTCTTTCTCGCAGCTGAGGTCCGCCGTCTCCTCTCGGCATCGGAGTCTTCGGAGCCAAAAAGAAGACTTTGTAGAGCGTCCATCTTTCTTGAGGTTGAAGGTTATGGTGTGGACTGGAGGATGCGGAAGAAAAATTTTAAAGAAGAAGAAGACTCACCGAAACAATGAGAAACGAACGATGTTGTACACAGAGAGAACAATAAGAATGGATGCTAGTACAACAATCTCAGTAAAGGATGCTTGTACAAGTAAGTAAATCACTCAAGCCAGACGAGGAGAAAGTGAGTATGTGCAAGGGGGAACATGGGATTTAATTGTGGTGGAGCATACCTAACTAGAAAAAAGAATGGGAAGCATGGGATAATCTAAAAAATATTGGAAGAATTTTTACCTGTTTTCATTTCGAGGGAAAAAGGATTTCATTCATACCTGTTTTCATTTCAATGTGAGGTCATTTTAGAACATTTTCGAACTTCACTACAGACACTAGCTGAAACAGACTGGTAGCAACATCGACAGATGAGTCTTCTTTTTACTCCTCTCAGGACTGGTAGCAACATCGACAGATGAGTCTTCTTTTTACTCCTCTCAGGACAGAATGCACAAGACGTTAGTGCTGCTTCTCCACGTTTGAGGATGATCAAATAGAATCTGTGCTCTCACTCGCAGTCTCTCTACAGTAGATTCTATTTGAAGGCTGACTTCTCAAATCGCTCAGTCACTGAGATTTTCAGAAGGGAAGGAGCAGCAGAACATGCTTGAAGAGATTGCTTCATGTTCACACAAGAGTCTCTGCTAAGAATAAGCAGGACTCGGACGGCCGCTGGAGTAGGAATTGAAACTGTTGATCACAACTGGACGAGATCAGTAATACCACTCAATTTAATTTTTCCCTGTTTTTCGTTCTCCATGGAACTACATCCTTTCTTTGTGTTGGGTATGATCATCGTATGTCAAGTAGTAGGGGTAGCAGCTTTCGGGTATGAGGGATGAACGTGAAACATGTTGTAAAGGTGAGGGTGGGTGGGTTCTGCTTCAGTGGCGGTTCCTCGTTGGCAACAGCTAGTGTTGTAGTCCTATCTCATCAAAAATCGTTATTTATATCTTGATCCTCTTCAGAAACGAGCGAAACTTCTAGCAGCAAGCAGTCGTCAACAACGTCGTATGGGATTTCGGTACATCTCCATCTGCACATTTCAGAGGTACCCCACCAGAAGCACCTGGTACGTTGTTCTTGCTGCTGCTCTAGCGCAATTTCTTCATTGATTTTTTAATTTTTTGGCACCGCCTCGCATCAATAAGACTTTCGTGTCAGCACCAACACCATCTTTTTTATGTGTGTGAAACTCCACATCCACCTTGAGAGAACTAGAAACAGGCTCACAATCTTCGCTTGAAACCGTACTTCTTGCGCTCATAGAAGAGATCTGTCTTCGCTTGACCAAGGTTTACGATCTTCGGACAACCATCTCTATCCTTCTCCTGCTGCACACACTCCTTACAATAGTAGGCATCTGAGATACCGGGACCTGGAGCGAGGAAACGAGGAAAAATTAGTGGTCTTTGAAATAAAGGTATAAGTAGATTTGCTACATGAGAACATCAACTGCATGCTGGTAGGACGAGAGTTCTTCATTTCTTTATTCACCGCAGATACATAATAAGTAAGTACCACCGCAGATGACGCATCGTCCTTGATAGCTACCGTAGTTGCATTCGTCGCAGATTCGCACCAAAACTTGTGCACGCACGTACGAGTCGCAGATAGGGCAGCGTTGATCGCATTTCTCGCATAGCTTGCCGATAGCAACACCAGGCTGCTTACGACACATAACCAAATCAGGATGATGGCGTGCCATTTTGAAATAGCGAGTTTGTAGTTAGGGACAACAAATGGTGAGATAGTAGTGACCAGATCGTTGTGGTTGTCGTTAATGAAAATATGGAAATGACAATCCAAGTAGATGAGGATACCAATCGATGTATATACGAGGTGGAAGATAGTTCTTGAACATGGATTTCAACCTCGTCTTTTTTGGAGAAGAATTCGCGTCGAAGAAAAACAAGAATCCTGATGGAAATTCGAAGAAGGATGATTTTATTCCCTATCAAATGCTTTTGGTTCTAATCTAGAGGCACTGGAAAACTTCGAATAACAAATCCAAATTATGCTAGGATGGTAGCTGACGAATGTATTCATTTTCGTCAATTTCTATTCCTGGACAAAAAATGCATCTAGTCCTAAGAATATAAATTCACATACTTTCCTTTCAAAAATTAGCTCTAAAAAAATGAAACATTAGTATTTTCTACCATGACAGATATATGATCCAAAAAATTAAATGGAAATAATGAGACTTCACCCACTCAAGAGGTTATGATCACTTCTGACATCAAAGATCGTACAAAGCTTTCGGCTGAAAATGAATTCGAATTATTTGCGATAAAATCAAAAATTTTCGTTTTCTAAATTGAAAATTTCAAATTCGTCGATGAATTCCAAAATGCAAATTTCAAATTCGAGGATTCCATTGACCACCAAGTACATGCAGATCCTCGATTCTTGATCGTGTTCTGATGGTGTAGTAGAGCTGAGTTGGGCCATACTTCTAGATCGCAATCATCATGCACATCGTGTGTCAGAAGTAGAACACCATCGATAAATGTTGACAAAAACGACTCATGTTGCCAATTCCTCTTCCAGTTCTGTGCTGCTTCGCTGTTAGTGGGTCCTATTCTTGTGTGAGTAAACATCGCGACGTTACACTATGACGCCTGTGCGGAGTCTGCGCTGAATTTCGTGCGAGATTAGTTGTATTGTATTGTATTGCATTTTGCTGTAAACATGCTGTTGACCCTCTCGTCTGAGAGAAAACAGAATTTCGAAAAGTTTGACTATGGATAATGCTCAATTTACTGCACAACAGTGTTTGTTTTTGTACTTCTACACTCACTTGTGGACCATCTACAACACCTGAATCCAGAGCAACATCGAAAATACTTCAATCTTTGTAAATCCAAAATGAATGGAGTTGCTGGGCAGTGGGGGCGATACTTCTAGCCAAAGGTACTTATGTTCTACTACAGCATCATAATCGCAGGCCGTGCATCGGATTTGTAGTGTGCGACCAGTATCGGCGGACACCATTCCTCCTCTACCACCGCAAGGAGGCCACATCCACGTGTCTCGCAAAATCGCATAGCGCATACAACCGAATACTTCGCAGCTAGGACATGCTCGGTCAGGGTCCTTGTGTGGGTAAGCATCGAGTATTTGTTCCAGGTAGGTCGACTGCTCCTGCGACGTTGTTGTAGCATTAGTTTTGCCGCTTTTCGTAGCACTGGCGAATTATGGTAGATGTTGAGACTCCTTGTCATCTGGTACTCGTGGTCCCTCTTGAGCTGCTTCGCCCTTTTCCTTTGCTCCGTCTACGCCTTCAGCTTTTTTTTTTTTTCGAGAATATTTGGGTCTCGCCTTGGATCTGGAATGCTCGACCAGTGATCGGCAGACAACGTGAGTCTAGTGCTATATTCGACATGCAAGATATGTTTTGTCCGATATAGCCAAGATGACGTTTTGTCCGATGAAACGCCAAATTCAATGCTACACTGACTAGAATTTTGTTTACTACCGTCAGTCTCAACACCGGAGATTACAACGTCTACGTAAACTTAGGCTACCGAGTGCAGTCGTCCACGTTCATAGTCCCACCAGGCCTTTGAACCCCGTATAGTAGGATCCGCACCCGTCTCCACCTGATCTAGTTTTAGAGCCGCAATAGGTTTTCCTGCACTGTGATTCTCATCCCGCCAACTGGACGAGGCTGCTCCGGTGCCAAGATTCTGCCTGGAGCAGGAGGCGATGAAGGGCATGGTTTAGTGAAATAAACTATTTCGTCATCCTCGTCACTTCACTTTATTGTAGTTCTTGTTGTTGTTCTCCATGGACGCCTGAGGAGGACAACGACATACCTATTGGCTACTACTTGCTTGAAATCGAGGAATCCTTTCAGAACTAATTCTTCTTGTTCTGGTTGTACTTTTATAAATATGAAAGTAAACGAGTTGTCCGTCGAAGTCCCTGATATATAATCACTTCTAGGGACGAGGCTACAATTTTTACACCGTTGTAGCAGGTACTTGCTTCTTTCGAACAATACAGCTGTGCAATATTCTTTCAAGAGTTTCTGCCACTTTCTTTCTTTGGTGCCCTCACTTAGGAGCAAGGCCTCACTAAACTCTTGAACATTTTCTGACCAGGAGGAATGATCGCGTAGCAGAAGTACTTGTTTTTTCATTCCAAGAACTGGGTTGCACTTGCAGGAGAGAGTTCGCTTCAAAATGAAATGTGTAGTAGATGCATGTCGTGTGTAAATAGGTATGTATCACCATTTCACTTGATCAATTTCTCAAGCAATCCTCTTACATGTGGTACTACTTTTTTCTTTCGTGCGTCTCGTGGATAAGGTGCGCTCACGCTTCTCATCTTGATGTCTTTTCTACGTGAAAGCTTACGTGGGGTAAGGAAGACAAAAGGGTCTGCTTCGAAATCCGCCAGAAACGAGCTTGAGAAATGCTGAACCAAGTATGCAGCCGTAGTCCTCCACATCTGGTGTGTGAAGAATAGAGCTCTGGCATCAAGTCCTGCAGCCGGTAACCAGGAAGTGCGTCTATCATCTTCATCAGCAGAAGCTCTTTGGTGCGCGCATCTCTTTGGTGGCGCAATGTTCAACATAGTCCTTTTTCTTCCCATTCGTGATGCGAGGACAAAGGGCACCAGTAGAGTTTTTACGGCGGACCATGATTCCCTGGTATTGCGCAGAAAGTGGGAAGACAGGCAAGCGGAAGGAAAGAGTGACGTCGATGCCATTGTTTTTGATACTTAGATTAATTCGTGTGATGAAAAACTCTACACTAAGGATACTTAGTCACTGGCCTCGAATCTGGAATTTTAGGTCTGAAAGCAAATTAGACAGCATGAATCCACCAATTCGCACTCATTCCCTCTCGTGCCTGCTTCCCTTCAACGGCACTTCAGTATAATTAGCAAAACACCTCTGCTACTATTTCTCCACGTTACTGCGAAGAGAAGAAAAAGTCTCCTCGCAAGTTGAAAGAGCGTGCTGCAGTGACTTCACGCAATTATTCCCTAGAAGAACCGCGGTGATTATATATGAGGATACATGCTTTTGGGATTTGGGGAGTTCATCGTGTTGATTTGGAGAGCACATTCAATTCAACTTTTACACCACTCTGCACCGCCGCTGATCGGCCAGTCCCTACTGGTTCTACTGTCAGCCAAAAGGTGCTTCAAAGCAGCAGGCTCTTCTTGTTCAACACCCAATTTTCCTTGCTCAACATACTGACTTCTCGCCCATCTTCTGTGCCCCCTTCTCCGTAGAATCAAGTACCACCCATCCCACCGAAATTCGACTATGTGCGTCTTCTGCACGTGTAACAAAAAGTCACAAAACAGGCTCGCTGCGATCCCTGGTGCATAAGGCCAGTACCCTCCAGCAGTCTTGTCGAAAAGGTAGAAGTGAAACGACAAAGCCATTCGATCGATGTTCGTCAGGGTGATGTTGTGGCCGGGGATTAGAGATAGATTTAGCACAAGTAACTTGAGGCCCTACGGGGGAGGAAAAAGAACACTGCGAAGTAGAATACATGTCATGTCATGTGCCCTCCTTATCCATATGGTCTAATGGATTTGAGTAGATGAATACATTAAATTTATATATATGTAATAAATATTGATATAATTCTTTGCTGCTCAACAAAACCATAACAATACATGCTGCACAAATCCGTACTCACAGCCTTCGCAGTTCATGTGCAAGAGATCGATCCAAGGGAAAGCACGAAAAAAGGTATCGTAGTCCACTAATCGACCTGGTGCGCGGCAAGAAGACGGGTAGTTCATCTGCGTATTATTGACTGCGCTTGTTGCGCTTTCTCTAGTACTACCTCTCGACCCTTTTTGGTGGCCTCTACTTCTAACGGCTGCTGCATCAGTTCTTTCAGATGCTGTGAGATTCGCCGTAGTTTCTTCTTTCTCTCTTACCCTAATCCCTTCTCTTACATCATCATGCTCACGGTCGAAGCAGAGAGTTTCGTTCTTCCGGTCAAAACCCAGATTGATGCCGGTCGCAAATGGACGCATCCACTCGCAGTCCAAGTTCGGTCGCATTTTTTCCTCAAAAGCTTCTGGGTGAGGCTCGAAAGAATAAGAGCGGAAGCGTGACGAGGCTGAGTTGCTTGGAGAGAATGATCATGAATGATGCACTGTACTAGGATTAAACCGTGACGACCGCTAGTAGCTCAAATAATGAACAAGAACATGAGGAGAAAAAGCACGGAAAGTAGTAGTAGTAGTAGTAGTGTACCCATTCGAGAGGTAGCAAAGATTTTTAATTATTATTAGTTAATTAAGTAATAATAACATAGCCACTGCCTCTCATCGGGTAAAAATAATAACATATTCCTTACCTGCGTCCCCCAACAGCTTCTTCTCAAAGAGCTCTTTGATCGAGGCCGCGTCAAAGCTTCCGATCTCCACAAGCACACGTCGCTCTGGTACTTCTGCTAAGCGCCCGCCTAAGTAACCGCTCGGGTTAGAAGTGCTTTCGACGTGCAATTTTCGCTATTTCGGCTCTTCTATACAATGAGTCCGAAAAGTAAAATTGTTTTTGTGGCGGTGTGTGTGTGTGTGCCTGTGTGTGTCTGTGGAGAAGGAGTTGTAGTAGATAGCACACGTCGCTCTGGCACTTCTGCTAAGCGCCCGCCTAAGTAACCGCTCGGGTTAGAAGTGCCTTTCACGTGCAAGAAAGTCGCTATTATTTCGGCTCTTCTATACAATGAGTCCGAAAAGTAAAATTGTTTTTGTGGCGGTGTGTGTGTGTGTACCTGTGTGTGTCTGTGGAGAAGGGGTTGTAGTAGATAGCACACGTCGCTCTGGTACTTCTGCTAAGCGCCCGCCTAAGTAACCGCTCGGGTTAGAAGTGCAACCCGTTGCACTATTTTCGCTATTTCGGCTCTTCTATCGATGATAGGCATGAAGATGATACTTCAAGAATTTACTGAACTACATCAAGTACATATAATTGGAGAAACTCCCTGTAACTACAACCATGAACTGGGGCCATAAACTTATCAAAGTCATCCCAACAGGACTTGGAACTGGCGGTGACCTTTTCGTGGGCGAAGCGTTTGAACTCACGTCCAAAGTCGCGGAGGCCGCACTGCGCGAAAAGCGAAGGAACATCATACCATTTTCGTGCTTCCCCGATGCGCTGTAGATTCGGTACCTCGACCTGCGTCTTATGGAACGAGGATTCAGCATCTTGGACATTGATGGAGATGCTGTCGCGTTCTTGTTGAGCAGAAAAATTTGCGTTTGCATCTGGTCCGCTATGGTCTCTGCGATGGAGGACGCTCCGCGCAGAGGGCCAGCGCTGGTAAAATTCTGTCGCATTTCGCAACAGCGTTCTCAACGCCAGCCGCGAATGGGAATCCGCATTTTCTGCTTGTGCTGCGGCAAAGCCAAGAAAGCGTCTCTTACCCCAAAACGTCGCATGTGACGAGACAGCTTTAGCTTGCTTACGAGGACCAGCAGGGCCATCTTCAACTACATTTAGATGATATGGACCTCGTGTATCTTTTTTTTTAGCAGATAAAAAATTGCATGTTGAAGCAGGTCGACTGGGCACCGTGACATCTTTATCCGACAAAAAAATCGAAAAATCCAATTCTTGAAAAACAAGGGAAGCAAGTATAAAGACGGTGCATGAACATCTAAAAGCAGGACGCATATTGCTCACCGTGACGTGCTGTTTCTAGCATCGATGGAAAAGTAGGTGAGTCAGTGCCAGCCGGATGAAAAGCTTGGTAAGTGTAAGGGCTCGGCGTCTATCATGCTCGCCTCACACGCAGCTGTATCATCCGCAGAGGGAGATGCCTATTTCGGTAGCGCATGAAAGTGAGCATATAATTCTCGAACATCGTAGTTTCGGAAACACAGAATCGAGATCGTGCTGGCAGCGCCAGACGGAGAGCAGTCGAATCGAGATCGAGCTGGCACCGCCAGACGGAGAGCAGTCATTTTTTTTTACAGCTCAAAAATTTAAGCTGACTGAATCTGAAAAAAAAGTAAAAGAACTACAAGTAATGACTCCCTGCTTTGAGGGGTCTCCTACTAGGTTTAGTTTTCCGTTGTCGTTGTTTCAGATGGATAATCAGTTGAGTGAACAAAGTAATCGCTGAGTCATTAGAAGAAGGTGGAGATACAGATACCATAACTTACTAGCATGAGAAATATTAGAGTACATACATCTTGAATCAAATTTGTGGATCTGCGTCTGCCCACGTTGTATTACTCTCTGCTATCCGTATCGCGCGCAAGCGACTCACCACTGCTTTATAGGGTGAGCAGTCGTGAGCAGGGACTCCTAGAGCACCCACGTAATCCATCCAGCAGGCTGCAGCAGCCCCATACATTAGCATCTTTCGAAACGAGTAGAAGCGAGGCTGTTGGGTAGACCACTTGAGGGCGTTGCGAGAAGCGGATGTTGAGCTCGAGCTTTTGGTACTTGGTTTCCCATCTTCTGCCTTGATTCCGGTCCTTGCCCGTGGAAAGTTTTCGTCAAAGGATGAACCTCGTCGTGGGATATCTTCGTTAACAGAAGTGTTATGATCTCTCACCGCATCCTCGAGGCGTACTATATCGTCCTCCATGTCCAACGCCTCTCGCAAAGTCTGCTGCGCAGTCTCCTTCTCGGCATCCACACGGTCCCCAAGTAGGCGATGTTGCGTCAAAAACGCTAACAGTTTGCGTGGTGGCGTGTCTTGCGGCAACCAGAGGGCTGCTTTTCGCCAGTCGATACCCCTGTGGCTGGTCTCCTGTTGTGGCGGTGTCATAATAGGCGATGTCGCTGTTGAGTCGTAATCGAAAGGCGCCTCCAAATCGTCAGACAGCAAGACGGGAATGCAACCCGCGAAAAAACTTTCGTATAAGCGGCTCGTGTAACTCGTGAGACCCTTAGGTGCAAGACAGTACTTGCAATCCGTGATCACTTTTGAATACACATGGCCATCGAACGAATCACCAACGTGAATCCCATTGATGTTGCCAACACCTTTGGTTTTCTTTGCAGTTAACAAGGAGTTTTTGATGCTCGTAGGCGAAGAAGTAGGTGTTGTAATTGTGCTGGTGACCAGCACAGCCGCACTCTCATTGGCAGTCCTCGTCCTCGTGGCTTTATTTTCATTCGCCCACGCCATCAAGTCGTAATGCAAATTGAGCCTCACTGTCTCGTTCACAGCCGTGTACGCGTTGTTTGTAAAGTCTCCAGGTATGAAGCTTCCAAACCGACTAGCACGACCGTGGAAACAAAGAAGATGGGTGCGATTCTCCCACGCATCGCGCTGTTGTTGGTGACGAATCAGCTTAGTCGCTTTTCCTTGGTCGACTACAGAGGGGACTGTCATATGCCGCACATTTGCGGGATCGAAGCAGTCTCCCAAAGCGCAGTGATGCAAATAGAGAAAAGAAGCATTGAAAGCTGATTCGGAGTCGAAGAGGGTGAGAGGTGCAGTTGTTGTGCTGATAGGCCGGTCGCTTCTCTTTCGTTCATCAACCGCTGATGAAGTGCTCAAATTTGATGCTGAAGTAGTTGTACCGGTTTCCGCGCTGACTCCTCCTGTTCCGTCCGCGTATTTCCTAGCTAAGGATTCCGCACATCTCTCCCATTCCGCTGAAGCTTCAATGGGTCTCCCTTCCACTGTTAATACCACGGCATTGTCAACTATGCGGTTTGGATCTTTAGGTTTTTTCGTATCTTCTTCTGTACCAGTACCTTTGCCTCTGTGGAGTTTAGTATCCTCTTCTGATGTACCAGTACCAGTAGCAGTACTACTACCTCTTCCTCTGCGGCCGTCTATCCTAATATCCGGATTTTTACCGTCCTCCGTTGTACCTCTGTGGAGATTAGAAGTGTGAAAATCTGCCCATCCTGAGCTCGAAAAGACGTAGATATGATCCCTGCCACCGCGTCTACGCCACCATTTCGTCTGCGTCACGTTTCGCTCTACTTGCAAGGCAGTTACTCTAGTTGGAAGAGGTCAGCAGTCAGTGGTCACTGATTCCTTTTCTGAAGGTGGAACGAGAGGACTCAGAATCGGGCCTCGTAGTAGAATTATTCTCTCTCCTTGTAGTTTTCCCTTTTTTTTCCCCTATTCTCTCAAGGGGTCCCCTGTTCGAAATCGAATAATCTAAATGGTGACCTCCCCAATCTCAATAGTGACCAATGAAAGTTGAGCCTTAATCTAGACGCCACGTTGACGAGAAAGTCAGCCGCAGTGTGTAACGCTTGGTACAACAACGAGTACAGGGAGTCCGACTGAGGGTGTGGCACAAGCTTGCTGTTCTTTCCCGCTTCAGTTGTATTTTCGAGAGAGTTAAACGGCACAAGAAGATGCTGGTCGTATCTTGCTACCTTTGCTGGTGCTGTTGATGTATTAACGCTTTCACCGTCCTCTCCGTGTCCTGACCCTGCTAGCAAGGGTACCCAATAGTGCTCCACGAAGTCAGCTGTCGAGTAGCCATTATCCGTGAACAAATCTCGCAAAAGGTCATACCCTGTAGCAGTGGTCTGTCGTTGCGCAGCCGCTAAGCGCGAAGGCAAACTCAGAGTGATGCGTTTTTTCACAGTCTGTTCCGTCTCTAAGGCGTAATCGGGGATTACAAAGTAATCTGCATCCTCCGGATTCTTCGTAGTTTCGACTCCCAACATCTTATGAGAAGATGTCGGTGCTCGATCAGGTAGGGCGTTCGCAAAAAAGCGTGTCAGGTACACCCCAGCAGTCCAAAAGCCGCGGGTGGACGCTGATAGGTAATCCCACCCTCTAAAAGCAATGTCGTCTGGGTAGATGTAGAATGTCAGATTTTGGAGCATCCTCCATAAAGCGGCGTCCCCTTGCCTTGATGTCTTCGCAGAAGAGGACCCCTCGTCCACGACGTCCGCACCAGCTAAAAGTAAAAAGTGTGCCAGTTGTGAGCGATCCAAAAAGAAGTTCCACAAGCAGTCCCTGGCGAGCACATCGCGAGCTTGGCGTGTCCAAGATGCTAGCACTTCAGCGAAGGCGAGGAGTCGTCTTTTCTCGTCATCTGTTCCTTTTCGGGCGCTTGCAAGTGCGTCACCCACTGCAGCCCAGCCTATGTGGATCAAAAGTGGCACGAAATGAGGCTGCCGCCGTAGATGGTCAGGACTTCTACTTTTCATCTTCATCAGAGAAGTGATGTTGACTTGGAACACGTCGACTACACCTCCTAATTCTTCTTGTTCGTGGTCCCGCAACTCCGCACCTAAAAGTTTCTGGAACAGCGAGTTGTAATTTAGCGATCGCATCTTTTCACTGCGCTTCTCTGCTACACTTTGCCAGTCGGGTCGATTCTCCGTACTCTCCGCATCGCCTTTCGCATGTGGTTCACGGATGATCCGCATGATCAATTCGGGTGTCAAGATTGTCAAGATTCCAGGACTTCCTTTCCTTGTACTAGTTGTACTAGTTGTAGTAGTCGTAGAATCATGATCGCCCGACAAAGAGGAGCTGATAAAGTCGCACATCCGCAATACAGATCGCCACGTCGGGTCATGCTGCTCCCTCAACGTTGACATATCCCAATCTCTACTGAAGAAGGGCTGACCGTGCCGTGTCCTAGAAGCATCGAAAATTCCATATCCCAACACTGGAAATTGCCGGATCCTATCTTGCAAGTGCTGAGTCGACGTCAAGAAGCTAGTAGAAGAGGAAGAAGAAAAGCTATTTCTATTTGATGTCGAGGAGGATGACCACAACTTCTTGCCTTTCTCAAGTAGGACTTTCCGACGTTCGATTCTTGCATCTGTAGCATTGCGAAAGCCTCGCAGGCGAGCTCGGAGTTCGTCTCTTCCACTACCCGACAATGCGGTGCGGTTGATCCGCTGAAAATGCGCAGGATAAAAGGTCAGTAATTTCGAATAGAGTCCTAGTTCGGCAACGTCTTCCCTAGCGAACCACAACCAGTGGTCCCAGTTTTCTACTACGGAGTGTACTACCGCGGACGATTGGATTGTAGAGCACGAAGCCCCTAGTAGCCCCCAGGCCAGCAGTCGCATCAAGACGAACATCCGCGGCCATCGTGAAAACATGCTTTCGTGACGAGTTCATTCATGTGCTCGACCCAGGTCGACATTTTTTGTATGCTAAGACCGCAAGAAGAGTGATCCCAGCTTTATCCAGTTCGCAAACTGGCGGCAGGCGGTGGAGTACGTTAACCTAATTATATTACGGACGCAACATTAAGCCAATGGGCAGTATTCAAAGCAGCTAAAAGAATAAACATTATTTTTTTTTTTACAACCATTACAACCTAGTTACACGGAGAGGACCACACCTCTCTCGTAATGTACTTTCTTTCCTGTAGTTCATCAACATGATCGGAGTGCCAGTACATGTACAACCGATCTCCACGTGCTGGCTTAATAGGTCCCGAAAGACCACGAAGGCCTCTCTCAATGAGCCACTCACCCACTCTTACTACCAGAACTTTGAGGATTTAGATTTTTCATAAATCGAATTTTGGTTTCCTCATGCAGCCTGCAAGAAAGCGCCAAAAGTTCTTCTTTAATGCACGTGCCGTGCCCACTCCGTGAAAAACCAAAAACGGGAACAGGATGAATCTACTCGTACTCGCTAACGACGGGAAAATATGAGTGACACCAACAGATTGGAAAAGAAGTGCTACATTACAAATCCTCGACCACTAGCTACGCCTTACCTCATGAGCATGAAAATGTACTACATGATACTGCGCCGAAGGTACACAACATATATTCCAGGAGCGGGGGCGACTTTTATGCCAAAATATAGTAGTAGCAGTAGTAGTGTGCCCATTCATGAGGTAGCAGTAGTAGTAGTGTACCCAATCGAGGGGTAAGTACAAAGTACAGGATACGATAGGAGTGAGCTCGCCTACGGAGAAGTAAGCACTCACGACTATGAAGATGCCGCTAGTAGCCTCATTACCTGCTTTTTCGCTTTAGGTTGTAGTAGATAGCGTCTGGTTATTAGCGCCTTTGGCCTCGGATCGTGTACTAGAAATAGTAAAACAGCTCCAGTTTTTATATCAAGAGTGGCCGTTCTGTTGTGCTTTATGTCCGTATGATACGAAGTCGTATGCGGAGCTTGTTTGCAATCATGTCTATGTCGACACACGTTTAGAATATGTAGAAACGGCACAGCCCAAAAAATCTACGACTCGCCAGCAATGTTGGGAATCCCGAGAAGTGAGCTCTAGCGGTCGTTGATGATATGTTCAAGTTCAAGGTCTTGATGGAGTTAAGATGCCAGGTGCACCAACGTCGCAAAATCTTGTGGGGAAATCTTTGTGAATATGTAAGGGGCACCGATGCATAGGGAAAATCTTTGTGAATCTGAATGAGTCAATGAATGAACGAATGTACCCACTCCATGGGTTAGGAAGAACCACCACACGCGACTTCCTTTTGCATCTAGCCTCGTCCTTGTTCCGTCCTTGTTCTTTATCTCGTCCGACTGACGTCGCGGAGATAATAAGTAGTCCACCTCTTACTCAGCATCTAAGTCCTACCATAATCTTTGTCCTTGTCCGATGGTAAAATGTGTCTTACCTTGTAGCAACACGGCTTAGGTACGTTCTAACAACTACACTGAGATCAAGTAGCAGCTACTCACTCGTTACTCACCGTTGTAGTTTTTACGAAAACCATTACTTAATTATATGTTTGCACCGTTGTAGTTCTTCTTTTTAAGAAAAAAGTGAGTGAGTGAATGAGCCTAGCGCGAGGTGGTGCAAGTAGTGTCTGTCTGATGATCTAGTTCCTCACCCATCGAAGAAGTGACTTTTATGATTCAACTGATCGTAGCAGTAGTAGTACGTAGTATAGTAGCAGTAGTATGGGCGTCCCCATCGCGAGGTTATCATTATTATTGTGCTCGCGCGCGACCCTACCGCCTCGAGGTATAGTTGATTTTCAAATTAAGCCAGGAGATGATGGCCTATCTATGATTCCTTCAACAGGGAATTCCATTCATTCATACTGCCACCAACAAAGGCTTTTTTTCTTACCTGGGTCTACAACAATTCTCACATAGTAACAAAGCCGGTAGCAACAGTCACAAATAGATACTACGCAGTGCTTCACAAGTGAGCGCTACTGCTGCGACTGAGTCCTCCTAACAAGTCAAGTAATAGTGATTCGAACGACGTGAACAAAATGCCCACGACGACTTTATTCAGAATAGAGGAAGATTGCCCACAAAGAGACAGAACTGCGAGCCTGAGTGTAGTAGTTGACTGAGTTCGTGCTATGGATGAAAGTTCTCACTGTAGTTGACGTCTACCTCGTGAAAGAAATTTTCACTGTAGTTGATGTCTACCTCAGTCAAGCTCAGTAACTACGTGTCCTATTACTTGTTGAGTCGCCTTTAGTTGGGTTGTGCGTAAAACTACGTCTTTGAATGCATTGACATTGAGTAGTGATAATTCATTCTAGTTCCGACTTTCTTGTTCCGAGACAAAAAATAAGTCCATGAGTATATACAAACAGCGACGATTCAACTATTAAACTACTAATGAGCCTACTTGTACAATCTTCGTTCTGTATCAAGTAAAAAAAAGAACATAATAATCCCCATTCCTAGGAGCCTTCTTAACTAGTGGCTGAGGAGCGCCCCGATATCATACGGAGAAAAATAGTCGCCAGATAATCCGAAATAACCCACAAAAAACCTAAAAATAAGAAAAAACAAGCTCAGCTTTCTAATTTTTCAAGTAGAAAACGAACAACACTGGAGGCCATATATTTTCTTATTGTGGGCTAATTCTGACTAATCAAGACGCCTATTTCGTCTTGTCTGATATAGGAAGTTAAACTCACCCTGAAAATGAACTTGAACTTAACGAACTATAACCTGTCTCCCATATAATTCTACCTCCCACTGGTGGATGTGTTAATTTATTTAGATGCAGTTTGTTTCTTCAGGTGTTATTCTTCTTTCCTCTTCCCTCGACACTTTCGCCTTCGCTGCTGAAGGTTCTTTCGTAATATTAGGGCCTTTGTTCTGTCTTAATAGGAATCTTTCTAGTAGAATAGCCACTTACATCGATCTACAGGTACTTGCTCAAGTGCGGCATCTTCTATGATCTACCTCTAAAGTGAGCCGTCTTTCTGCGAGAGTGAGGAACATCTTGAACATCTTGCTCCTACATGATCGATCATCATGTAAGTTGTAGTAAGTAAAAGTATCAGAAGTATCTCTAATTATGTTGCGACTTGTTCTCATCTAAGGTCACAACTTCTAGTCGTATGTAAAAATAGAGCGAGGACGAGGACGAGAGGCATTTATGTGTGTTTGCCTCGGCCACACGCATAAATCGCGAGATGATCCGGGAGAACACCAGCTTAAACACTTACGCCTCATCTCTCTGGCGCTGGCCATTCTCTACCAGACATCATAAAGCTAAGTATAGCTTAGACTTGCCACGCGGTTACGCTGATGACTAAAGCCGGAGCAAGTCCAGGCTCAAGTTCAGGATGTCCCCGTCTCTCGCCCCAGACCTCGGTCTTTTTTTTTCCATAGGACTACATGCTGCCTCCCATTCAACTACTTAAAAAAACCCCACTTAAAAACTTACATACCGGGGGATTTGGATTTGGAGATTTCAGAAAAAAAGTTTTCTGGCCACCAAAAGGGGCACAGTACGTTTCGCATTCAACAGAGAGGAGGGAGTCAGCATGAAGGACTCACCACACAGAAAAAACAACTTGAAGAACTTTCTTAGCAACCACCTACCACCTACCACAAACTGCTACCGGACTACCAGGCTAACTCCACCTTAGGATACAAGCCAACCAGCCAACTACCTACTCAAGTTAGTCACAGCAGTAAGTGAACCACAATTACTTAGATAGCTGAGGCCACTAGGTAACGGCAAGAAGAAAGAAAGCTAATATTTAAAACAGACACCCAGCAGGGCGGAAGCTCAGGAAGGATAAGCACAAATAACTGAAAGAAAAGTACACAGCTCAATGTCACACAATCAACGACCAGAAAGCCGAAAAAAGGTCCCTTATCTTTTACACCTCGTGTGGACAAAAGTAGCTTCAATCCTCTGCTGCCTAAGGGAGTTTGCATGGTTATCGTCATCACATGAAAACCATGGAGGAGTTTTCGAGAAGTGCACGCAGGTGTCCAGCACTATATGAAAAAACATTAACTTTATACACAGGTGGAAAGAAGGAGAAGAAATAAGATCTTTAACTTTATACACAGGGAAAGAACAAATAAAACGTTAACTTTATACACAAATAAAATCTTTAGCATTGTACACAGGGAAAGAACAAATAAAAACGTTAACTTTATACACAGGGAAAGGACAGTCAGGAAATAATCGGGAAACACAAGTCAAGTAAGAAAGTGGTAAGTCCTTATTCACATATATAGCCACCACCAACCAACTGTAGACCACATAGCGAAATCCATAATGCCCACCACCAGCCATAGGTTTTTACATGAGTAAGTAGTCAAAACCATAAGGAAATTTACAAATAAAACAGCGATCAACATCCACCACCATCCACAGGAGAGGAGAGTAACACACTTACAAGGAGAGAAAGCATGATTTCTGATATAAAAGTAATGCTATATCTACTCATTTATCCCACCACCAACCATCAAGACCAAAGTAATACAATCAGAGGCATGATATTAAATACTCACGTGATCCTCCACCATCCATGTAGCAGTAGTAGGTAAACAAATGGACCAGGGAAGAACGGAAGTGATCCTAAATTCATCTTATTCCGGGATTGAAGTTCTTCATTCTCATGTTGAAGTTCTTCATTCTCATGTTGGAGCCTTTTACTTTTTCATTGGAATTTAGATTTAAGACCATCATATTTTTTGGACTTTAAGTCCCAGCACCATCCCACCACTTTCAACACTTAAGCACAAGGCTTCACTTTAGGACACATCTGGAACGACCGAAATTATATGGGTACTTTTTCGAACAGCACAAGTCAAGGAACCTTTTCCAATGTCACACAATAAAAGCTATAGATTGAAGGGACTGTAGGCACTACCTAGAAGCAAGACTAATACTTATCACCACTTGTATTGCAAGACGAATCAGTAAACACAAAGTCAAAAATTTAAATAAAGGAAGGACAGCTTCTACTTGGAACAACTGAGTACGTGAGAAACTGAGTAAACGAGAAAGACTGAATCTGCCGCAGAGCGACCAACTCAATAGAGACAATTACCAATTAACGACTAGAAAAGTAGAAAAATAACAAAGCGGCTCTTTTATTTTTTATCGACAAAGTTCCGTAATAAAGACACTGCTTACTGTTCCTGAACGGTTCAGCGCTGACTTACTCACTTCAAAGCTAGAGAGCCGTATCATTACAGCAGCACTGAGGGATTCTGTATTTCTGTACTGAAAACTCTGAAGGGGCTCATACCACCTCGAATACAACTGAAGATGTTCCGTAATCTCAGTCCCCTTCCCTACTCCCTTCTTTAGACTGATGACTAGAGCCAGAGCAGAGGCTCATCTAGACAAACACAAAATGCCCGCCTTGTCATGCTCTCTTATGTTCACGCTATCGCTTCCACGTGCGGACTTTTACCTTGTGGTCGTGAAGACGTCTCCGGTATCAATCAATCAAGTCCTGTGTCCCTGTTTCTCGCCCGGTAGAGCCCTTAGATATATTTATTTTTTCCCTAGGACTATAGGCTACCGCCCTTTTAATCACTTATACAAATCTAGCATAAGATAAATAAGTTACTCACTGGGGGCGCGTAAGACCGCACATTCGGCCACGAATCTACGCATACCGGAGGAGCCGCACATTCGACCCCTGTAGAACAACTAAGGCGCAACCCGACACAGCGGGGCCCCGTAAGCAAGTCAGCACACCTGCAGGCGTATGACACGCCGCGACACAGATGATGGATATACTGATGAACCGCTTAGCCCTAACTAGAAAAGAATAGATTATCTATTTCAAGAAGTAAGAGACTTGTTCTACCCTGCGATCATCATAAAGACACCTGACACTACGCCAAATCTAAGCGGTGTCTAGAAACTAGAGGACTCGCGACTTCGATGAAGTGGTAGCTATTCAGTAGTAGTAGTAGTAGTGTACCCAAGCAGGGCTACTCCGTTCATCTGGACCGCGATCTTCTAGTTCACATCCAAACAAGTTTAGTGGATCTTGTAGACAGAAGTAGACAAAAAAGCCTGTTCATCATCATGGCATGGCAATGGAAAATGGGTGCTCTCCCCCCTAGTCATACATGACTGCGCTACTTCTCTACGGATAGCAGTAGTAATAGTAGTATCAATAGTAGTAGTAGTGGTAGTAGTAGCAGGGTGCCCATTCGTGGGGTATAGAAAGTTTTTGATTAACAGATAGTACTTTTTTCACTACCGTACTGCCGTGGAGACTTATAAACATGGAGACTAAGCAGGAGATCGCCCATACGACGAATATCATTCTGATGATACTACCGCAGGAAGAAGCTTCTCCTGTTTATTCCAGGCAGAAGCTGTAGTGCTTGGTATTCATATTTTTATGGTCAACAACAATGAACAAGTGGATTATAGATTCTTATCTTTCTACTACTGGTAACAGTAGCAGAAAAGGGACGGAAATGCAAATGACATACAAAAAACAATAACTACAGTGCATTCACTCACTCTTGTTAGCAGCATCAAAGTCATCCTCTCACTCATCCTTTCATTCAGGGATATTCATCATGATAAATTCATTAATTGAAACGTCAGCGGTTATGAAGTAGGTCTCAAAAAAAGTCTGCACTTAGACAGTCTTCTAATTCTGACTTATACTTAAATATACTCGAGATCTAATCATAAACTCTAACAGGGTTCTTGGACAGCGACAGGGATCCTGTCATGGCAATTCTATTGCAGCTCCTAGGAGAAGGCGTTGCAACGATGCAATTCATTCATTGGACTCTCGAATCGAACTTGGGTATTTTTTCCACAGGCAAAAAATGATACTCACATAGATACTGTTGTCAAAGTTTTTTTGCTTTCTTCATCATCAACACAAAAGCACGACTATTGTTGCCAGCACGATGACAACTACTGCCATGCTTTCTACTAAAAAAAGCATATGCGTCCCGGTCATGTCTGAGCTTAGTTGCCTTTTTTACAGACACTATTTTTTGCATAGGAGTTCTGGACTAGTCACGCCATAAGCAACTATAAGTATCAGCGTTTTTGAGCTCGGTTCTGACTCCATTCTTCTCAACAGGAGACGCGGCAAAATGTCTTGCGCATAAAAATCCGCCCGCGGCTGGTGCGGCTTTCGCATCAGGAGACGCCGCAAAAACTTGTTCTCTAGAAGGTGGAGCTCCTTGAGAAGCAGAAGCTAACCCTTGCTGAGGCTGTTGTTCTTGATCACCATCTTCACAATCTTCACGTTTGCAAGAAAGCACTTTTTACATCAACATCGTTTACTTGGTGCTGGAGGTCTGTGTTTAGGCACCGGTACAAACATCCGGCAGTACTACATCACCTCCGTCAAGCGCAGAAACTACAACACCTCCATGATCTTTGCCGCGACTAGTAGAGCAGCCACTAGTTAGTGTACTAGTTAGTGTCAAAGCACCTCTTTGTTCGGACGTAGTGTCAAAGGAGGTGCAACGCTTCTTGGTTATTGGCGAAACAAGAATCACCGCTCCACCTCCTGGACCGCACTGTCCTCTCTTCGCAGCACCAGATTTCGCTTGCAAGTTCCGATCCCGGCGCTTAGTACGTTGAAGCATACGCCGCACACGACCAGCACTGTCTCTATCGCTTCTTCTTCTACCTTCAGTAGTTGTAGATGTCTCTTGTTCTTGCTCCTCTTCTTCATCGTCTTCCCCCACGAGATCGTAGTCCGCGAGATCGTGGCTAATTTCTTCAGAAGGACTCGCTAATTTCTGTGGCGATGCTGCCGGGGCTTCTTGCTGTGTCGACGCTGCAGGCTGTTGCTGTACTGTTGCCGAAGATCGTCCTTCCAGTGTCGAAGATCCTTCCAGTGTCGCAATTGCGCGTGCCTCCTGGTCTCCCGTCGTTGCGACAGGAGCTTGCTCGGAAGTTCCACGACCTCGCTCGGGACGAGTTAACCGAAGATCTTGCTCTGGCGTTGTGGTTGTACTGGGACGAGCAGCTTCCTCTACAGTCGTGGTTTTACACATACCCCGAAGCGCCTGGTCGCGGTCGTGAAGCCCATCATGATCATCCTCCACCATTTCTTCAACAGCATCCTCCATCTCCATTTTAGCAGCATCAAAGATCTCATCGATTGGAGGTTGCAGGCACATCAAAGGACACAACTTTCCGCAGGAAAAGTTCTTGCTGAAGGGAGCAAACGCGCAGCGTGACCTCACATGAAGATGAACACCATATGGCTGAAAAAAACGGTAGCAAGGGGACGATGTTCCCGATGCTTGCGACGTGGACGAGGGAGAAGAGGCACTTTTCGTTGAAACAACATCCTTCGGCCCCTCCGCAACAGGACCAAACTCAAGACCATGACCATCTTCTTTTCCCTTGCCGACGTCGGTCTCTCCGCTCTCGTTTACAGAAACGCCATGTGCGGCCACCCGGCCACTGATCTTGTTGCGGCCAGTTTTTTTTCTGCGCTCTAGTATTTCGCTCCCCTCAACCATGTTGACCATGCTGACGAAGTCTACTGCTTTGCCACTAGATTGCTCATCTGCTACAGATACCGGAGACGGCACTTCTTCTGCTATAGGAGAGCAAGTGCGAACTCGTGCGCCTGATTGGCCTGCATCAGGAGCTGTCTTAGAGCTTAGTTAGACCTTAATTCATCTTGGAGGGCATCTTTGGCGTGGTTCTCGCTTTGGAAAAGGCGCCAAGACGCTTCCCAATCTCAAGATGAATTAAGGCAACCGGAAGCCTTAACTATTTGAGGGATCATAATGCCAATCGTCCGCTGTGGAGATTTGTCCTTCCTTTTACCAGAAGAGTCTTTACTCTTCTTTCGCATGCATTCTACTAATTGCTGACGTCGCGATGGAGATAAGGTCGGCCTAGCTCTGGCACTGCTACAACTAGGAGTAGAAGGTGTCTCTTCTACTCCTACTGTAGGTGAACAGGGTGTCTCTAGTACTCTAGTATTATCATTTACTGGTAGGGTTGTCATCTCTACTTTATGACGATCACTTCTTGGTAGGGTCCTCCCTTGAAGATGCTCCTCCGATTTAGAGGCGCTACTTTTTCTCTCAAGTTCAAGCACAGCCACAGGCCCTCTTCTATTTGCGGACGAAGCGCCAGGAGTCGACTTTTCAAGTTCAGCTGCATCCTGTAGAGGTGGTGGCTGTGATGTCGTCCTTTCCGCTGATGCCGATGCCTTAGTAGACGAGTTCCTAAAGATACCAGAGCCACCTTTTTTAGATGAGGGCGTTCATCTGCCTCGTCTGATTGAGGGCTACTGGATGAAAATTCTAGTTACTGGAAGACGCATCCGAGGACCTTTTTCCCCTTGGAAACGGTCTCAGGATGCCTGTGAAGATGGATTTCTTCTAGCCTTGCTTAAGTTCATCTGCCTCGTCTGAGTCTGCCTCTCCTACCAAGCTAAAACCATGAAACCGGTCCAAACGCTGGCCTTTTTTCTTCTGTGTAGATAGAGGGCTACTGGATGAATATCCTAGTGCTGGGTTACTGGAAGACGCAGCAGATGCAGATGCGCTAGTACTACGAGCAGAGGTCGCTGTAACACTACTCTTCAACTGTTGCTCGGCAGTTGGCGTCGCTGGAGTCAATAATTCTTTCGACCTGCTTGAAGATGACCCACTACGGCGGTCTTCAGAACTCCTCGGCGAGGCTTCTTCCACTATAGTTGCTAAAGTTATACTTCGCAAACGTTTTGATGGCCCACGATACAGACGGCCACGTCTTTGACTAAATTCCGGCCCTTCAGGATGGCTTGATTCACTATAAAGGCTAGACTGAGAATGTTCACCAGATTCAGCTCCCAGTTTCTCTTGAGCTTGTTCGTGGTACTGAGTCGGTACATTCTTGCTTTTAGGCAACGATACCGAATCTGCATCACTGGCATCGTGGACATGTTCATGCTGTTGTGGAAATGGGGCCCCAAGATTACTAGTTGCTCCCTGCGGTCCTTCAGGCGCGGACTTAGCTGCTCCCTGTACATGCGGGGAATGGTAAGAAGGCTGGTCTACTTGTTGTTGTTGAGTCTTTTTCACTGAACCTGAGGCAGAAAGTCCCTGCCTTGTGCTAGGAGGCCCAGCAGATGGCTGTAGTTCGGAACTCTTGCTAGGGCGCATTTTTGCTGGCTCGTGCTTGGCTACTAGTGCTTTACCATTAGGTCCCGTCTCTCTGGATGGTTTGTCGCGCGGCAGATGTTCTTGTCCTTGTTGTGTTCTTTGAGGTTGTCCGCGAACATTTTGATGCCCCTGTGGCTGCTCTCCGGTTCTCCTGTGATGCTCTTGTTGGTGTCGTTGAAGGTGTTGGCAGTGGCTTTGCGGACATTGTTGCAATTTCCTCTGCTGTTCTTGTACGCGCTGCGCTGACAGGGTTTGCTGCTGGAGCTCCGCATTCTGACGCTGAAATTCCTCTGAAGATGAAGATGAAGATGAAGATGCGTGAGCAGTACCAGCACGAGGGAGCAGCTGGGCGCCTGCGCCTACTTCTTCGCTCTGTTGATGTTGTTGCTGTTGATGTTGATACTGTCCTGGCATTGCTCCAAGAATTTCACTTCGATGTTGGCCTTGAGGTTGGAGGCTTTGCGTCGGGGCTGAAAAAACTTTTTGCGAAATTAAGGATAGTCTACTTTCCATTTGTTTTTCTGCGCTGTTTGTATCCTCCTCGTAGTGATCATGACGGCGCCCATCTATGGTAGTACTCGGAGAGTAATACTCTTGCTCCAGCTGTGGAGGTTGTACTGCCATCATAGACTGACTTTGACTCGACAGCTGTAGGCCTTGTTGTTGTTGCTGCACTAGACGCATTTCAGCGGCTGAAAAAGCGGGCCCAGGTACAGGAGGTGCTGGAGTATCAACGCCAGCAGTATTTGTATTAAAGATTCCCTGTTGTAGTAATTGCACTCGGGCATGTTGATCCTGCGTTAAAAGTTGAAGGCAGTCTAATCTTCGCTGTGCGTCTGCTAGCATCGACAGTGTCAGACCAAGTTCCGTATGAGGCCAAGGTGCACCAGAAGACGAAGCTGAAGACAGTGACAACATCGGCCGAGAATTATGCTCTTGTGGACCATGCCAAATACGGTCGCCATGAGTCTCCATCTGATGTGCCTGCACAGAAGCACTTGCAATACTCGAATTGTTGTAGTACACAGGAGGTAGACCTTGCTGCATATTAGGATCATGTTGATAGGAAGAAGCGCTCGTCTTCTTCGAGTGCACCATGGACGCGACTGGTTGCTGAAAATATTAGACCATGCAGAAGTCCATCTTGGTGAGCATCTTCGTGCCCATCTATTTCCCTTCAAAACGGGAACAAGATGCCTGTGAAGATGGACTTCCTCAAGCGACTTGTAGAAACTATGAAATATATTATCTAAGCCTTAAAAATACATCGCCGCCTGCGGTCCCTGTAGCTCCTGCAGCTGTTCCTGCTGAGAGTACATTGCTTGTGGCCCTGTTGCATACATCATCTGCTGCGAAGACGAGTACAGCTGCGCTTGTCGCGATGGCTGTGCTGGCTGATGATTTTGTTGATACGGATAGCCCTGTAGTTTCTGTTCTTGTCCAAGATCATGTTGGAAAAAGCCCGTCTCCCAAGGATTCTGTTGTTGACCAGCAGACGATCCTGCTCGATGTTGGTATACCATCTGGTGAATCCCTCCTCCTTGAGGTGTAGCTGTAGTCTCCTGGTACATCAACCGTGCGCGTTCTCGCCCGCCAGCGAAAGCAAAGACCGCCTGCCCACACACTGCCCACACCACAACGGCTCGCACTACCACCACCTCCAAGAAGCATGATGATGTCGAGAACCGCCGGGAGGAGCAATTACTACTACTGCCCAGCATCATTTTCAATTTCTTCTGATGCTGATCCTGAAGAAGTACCATCATCAAGCGTGTGGAATTCTCTGTAGTTGTTGACCCTGAAGTAGTACTAACAACATTAACAACAACAGATCGCGACTCCGGCTGCCCTCTATGTCGAGCTCTATAGCCGTGCCACCTCTGTCGTGCCACCTCCTAACAGGTTACAGTCAGTATTTAAGTTTCCAGCACGTCTAAATCCACTACTACGTGACAATGATACTATTTTCGGACTACTATACTTGTGACGCCCAAATATAACTACCAGGCTGTGTTGTTGACAAGCCTACCTTTACACAAGACTAGGCTTAAACGACCCACGCAAAGGAATATCGAATTATGCGTGTGTTGGTCGTGAAGAATAAACTAGTTATTAGTACGACGAGAACCCAATAGGTGGTGACTATCTTCAAATTCAATCGATGTACATCAAAAAAATCTAATTATGTGGCGCTCGTTAGGTTAGGTTAGCGTTAGATTAGGTGGCGATCGTGATGTCCTTCATACATTGTTGTTTAGAAGTTGTGATGCAGTAGTACTATATATTATAAATACTTAAATAGTACACATCAACTACTCCTAGGTAGATGAGAGAGACCACGAGGAGGACAAGTCTTCTGTAATAATGCGTAGCTCAAGTTCTTTCTAAGAGTACGTAGATGAATCAGAGAGGACGGATCATCTAGCACGATAATGACTCCAGAAAGTAAGATAAGATGCCTTTGCCTCGTTCTCACACAAGGGGGATCCGGAGGCGCGGGCTGAGCGCCTCAAGGAGGGCGTATGGGGGTCGTGGTGAGTGCCGCTGAGGGCAAGTCGTTTCCTAAAAAGAAAGAAGAAAATATTATGGGACTAGCGCTGCCGCATATGTTAAGTACTCTTTTACCTACTCAAAAGGGTTCTCGTCACTTGGGGTTGAGCTTGAGGTTGCTCGAGTCGGGTACTTTCCTATGGGCTTGGGTTCTTGGTACTTCCTTGAGCAGTCCCTCGCAAAAGTAGACAGTGGCGCGTTAGCAATCTGAACAGATGACCTCGCTCTATGGTGCCGCACTTAATTACATACGCTATTCCTTCTACTTCTATGCAGCATGGAAAAGGGAAAATAGATTTAATTATGGAAACTTCGCAGCCGCGCAATGGAAAAGGGAAAATAGATTTATGGAGACTTCGCAACGGTGCAATGGAAAAGGAAAAGTAGACTTATGGAGACTTCGCAACGGTGCAATGGAAAAGGGAAAGTAGATTTATGGAGACTTCGCAACGGTGCAATGGAAAAGCGAAAATAGATTTATGGAGACTTCGCAACAGCATAAATTTCTTGTAGAGACTACTTCGAGTTCTTCGTTAGTTGTAATCTACAACGTTTGAACAAGGTTAAAACCAATCTACAACGTGAGAAACACCCTCCAAAAAAATTAGCCTGCTATTTCAATTTCTTAGGTCGATTAATGCAGCAATATGTTGTCCTATATCTTCTGACTACTGCGAAACTCCTATCAGTTTTAGTTCACGATAGCGCGAGCGTTCTCAATGTAAATGTTCATGGATAATGCTTATCTGTCCTTGTAGGATTACTTCTATTATCATTATGACTTCCATCCATTAATTCTACTTCTGAAAAACCTTCTAGGATCATAAAAGAGCAGCTGCTCTCACGAACTATATATGTTGCCGAAACTACGCTTGATGATGCCAATTATTATTATTAGGAGAAGGATAGACGGCTATCCACAGACCTACAGACGGCCCGGTGGGCGGAATCTGAAGCACAACGACGCGTTAGGCAAATACAGGAGAGTCCTAACAGGAGGCGCCGCGGTCCGGGTGCGTTTGCCGGTGCCGTCATGGTAAGTAAGAAGAAGCCAGAGACCTCGAACCAACACCGAAAAAGGGTAAGCAGGTGCAGCGGTGAAAAAAGCAGAGAAACATCGTCAGGGGCATTTAGTCGAAAGCCGGCGCGCCGCGCCAAGGCAGCCCCAAAGCACCGGACCTCCCCGCGGCGAGCCGCGTCGTAGTGTGGAGCGAGAGCTCAACGACAGCAGCAGGCCAGCACTTACTAAGTGCGCGGGAAGGGAGCAGCGACACTCCTGCACAGTGCCGCCGCTCGCTCGTATAGTTTCCGAAAAGCCAACGCATCACTGACCGCAACCCACAGTCCCGTAGAATGAAATAGCAGAGAGGTAAGCCGCAAAAAGAGGAAAAGCCAAACCAGTCAAAGCGAGGCACCGCACCACCGAAAGGCCGGAAACCTAGACAACAGCGAGACCATCCCCGAAGAGGTCGTCGTAGTGCTCCACCCAAGCAGCGCGCTCAACTACATGCGCGCAGCGAACGAGGTCCGCGAGTGCCTCAGTTGTACGTAACTGCGTGACATCCGCGCAGAACTTCCCGAAGAAGTGGCGAGGCGTGTCCTGTTCACCACAGTAGCAGGCCACAGGCTCCAGACCGAAGGGGCCAGCGTGTTTGAAGCGCGACCCAGACAGTAACTTGGCGGCAAAGGTCTGCACCTCTCGGGGGCAGCGAGCCTCCAACGGCGCAAGCGCCCCAGCCCCATCCGGTTCCGCAGAGACATCAGAGGGATCCTGGCAGAGCCGTAAGAACAACGCCCGCGCAGACGAGCGGGATAGCTGCAGCGCAGCAAGAACGTCGCCACTAGCACTGTCATGCTGGTGGTCCAAGGTGACAAGCAGTCGGTGCTCCTCGGCGGCAAGCAAGACCTTAATCGCCCCTTTGACGTTCACAGAGGAGAGAAGCGGAGGAGTGCACCCAGCAGCAGGAGCGTACTTGAGGAGGGCCCCAGCAGCAACGTCAGCCACGTCGTTGACCGGGTTCCCGATGTGCGACGGAGTCCAGTGGACAGCAGCGGTATCGTACACCGCACAGCAACGCGCGAAGAGGTCCAGCAGCTCGTGCTCAGACGCGCAAGACCGCTCATGCCCAAGGTGCCGGTTGGCCAGGAGTTGCCCGTTTCCCAGGCAGTCGAACACCCAGAGCATGGAGCGCGGCCCGAGGGCCAGCGGGTCAGCGGAGTCACGAGAAGCAGCGAGGAGAGCCTGCCGAAAACCACGCGCAGCAGCAGCAATTTCCATGTGCCAAGCACTGAGCGCACCGTTGACAGCGACGCAAGCAAGCTCAGAAGGGAGCGTCGAATCCTGACCGGAAGAGGGAACCCCGCGACCGACTATGAGAGCAGCGTACGCACCGTAAGGAGTTCCCGGGAGGTGTGCGCCATCCGTAGCCAGAATCGTCGTGACGTCTCCGAGCTGAGGCGGGAGAATCCCATCAAGGTGGAAGACAACCGGACGGGAGTGAACCGAGGAGCGGAAAGGCCGCAGGGGCGTTATGCGATTGGGTGGCCAGCCAATACCACGCAAAAGCTGAGCGCCGACAGCTGTCCAAGCCGCAGGGAGCCGCCGGGTTTGGTTATCGGAGAGCTCCGGCGCCATGGTGTGCGCCAGTGGTCGGGCAGTCGTGGCCGGAGTTGTAACCCAAACGTGCGCACGAGAGACAGCAGGGGCAACAGAGGCGCCACACCAGATGGCTCCACGACACGCGGCGGAGGCATAGTGGTTGTCCGCGAGATTACCTAATGCGGCGACAACAGCGGCACGCGCGCAGCCGCTGGCCAAGGGGTGCGAGACCGGTTCGTTCCAGGAGACCGGGTGAGTGTCAGCGGGAGACCCCAACACGTGAGTAGGGCGAAGCCAAGCGTGTCGCGTCAGCAGCGAAGACCGGAAACTTGTAGAAGGACCACGTAAGACGCTATCCAGGAAGGTGGCCGCCCGTTGCTGGTACAAGTTGAGGTAAGAGGAGAGGCCAGAGAGGGTGTACAGGGCCTCGCGTCGGACAGTGCGGGAAACACCAAGGACCAAGCGCGCCGCCACATGACCGATCCGGACGTCGTACCTCCGCGCCGCACGTTGGTCGACATACGGGCCGATCGCGACGATACCGAAGCAAGCAACGTGATGCAATAAGGCACACGCCGTATGTGCTAAGATGGCAGTGCTGAGGCCCCAGGAGGAGGATGCCAGCCGGCGCAGCACCTGCACGCGTCGCTGACACTTCGACACAACGTACTCGAGGTGGTCAGTGAAGGTGAAGCCGGGGTCGATGAGAACGCCAAGCACTCGCAGAGATCGGACCGTAGTAGCGCCACCGAGGTCAAGGAGCCCATCGGCACCCCAGTCAGCGTCCACTTCCGCTCGTCTAGGGGGATTCGATCCAGGGAGACGGTCGTCTTGCGGTCGCCGATGAGGGCGCTCAGGAAGGTTCAACCAGAGACATTCACACTTACTCCGTTCGAGCTTGAGCTTTCGCGTTTCCAGGAGCTGAGAGAGCCGAGTGAGGGCATGCCGCGCGCGTGTAGCGACCTCAGCTCGAGTGGCACCCAAAACGTGGAGCGTACCGTCGTCACTGTAGAAGCGAAGATAGGTCCCAGGAAGTTGGTTGAGCTGAGCGGAGAAGCCGCGCACCATTAAGTTCCACAAGAACGGACTTAAGATGCCCCCTTGCGGGATGCCACGATGGAGGCGGTAGCAAGTGGAGACACCAGGGCCAAGGCGTACCCGAAAGCGCCGACCAAGCCATAACGCAACGAAGCGAGTGATCGCCGGCTCCAGGGTAAGCGTGGCGCCCAACCTGTTCAGCAGCGTGGAGTGGTCCACCGAGTCGAAGGCGCCCTGGATGTCCGTGCCAATAATGGCCTGCTCTTTGTCGCCGTTTGTCGTTGCGCGATCAAAAAGCTCTACAAGCAGCTGCTCGCAGTTGCGCCCTGGGGCGTAGGCGTACTGGTGTGGGTCTTCTTCAAAACCCGTCTCCTCAATGCGCGACAGTACAACCCGTTCCAGGATTTTCGTGAGCGAGTTAGTCAAGGTGATCGGCCTCCAAGATTTGAACTGCGTCAGGTCACGGCCGGGCTTTGCCAAGAACACGATGATGGAGTCAGTGAAAGTGGGCGGCAGCGCACCAGCATCCAAGACGACTGAAAAGAGGAGTGCAAGGCATCGTATAACGGCGGGGTCACGGTATGCTGCTGACGTCCATCCATCAGGACCAGGCGCGCGAGCAGCGTCAACTGCAGAGACCGCCCGTCTGACCTCGTCCTCCGTGACTTTCCGCACGAGTCGCACCCCTGGAAAGACCCGAGCACCAGTTTGACCCTGAGCGCCGTCAGGTGGGGGCATTGAGAACTTGTCCCTGTAGGCTCTACCCAGCGCATTGGCCTTATCTTCGGGGCTGTGATGCCATGCACCATGCAAGAACAGCGGCTTGGTAAGGCCCTCGTCACGATTCCAGCCAGAGCGCCCGTCTTCCTTCGCTATGTATCGCCACAGGCCCGTGAGGTCATCCCAGTTGCGGGAGGAGAGGTAGCGCCGCCACCCATCTCGCCGTATCCGGGTGGCCAGAGTTCGCGCACGGTGAAGCTCTCCTCGGTCCCGTGCACGCTTGAAGTCGTTGATTGACGGATGCCACGCATAGCGGCGGTCAAAGTCACCACTGAGTCCGTCTGGGCCTCTGGCAGTCGGTCTCCAGATGCGACACTCAGAGTAAGCGGCCCGGAGGACGGTGTCTAGCCGGGCAGTCATCTCCTCACCATCCATCTGCTCTAAGTCCGCAGTTTGGGCGTCAGGGGCCGAGCCGAGTGCATGCCGGAGGTAGTCCTGGGCCCGCTGCAACCTCGCCCCGGTGAGAAGGCGGAGGTCGTACCGCGGCTGATCGTTGCGCGCTGCATCGTGCCCACGCGCGGCACAATGGGCATGGAGGTCAACAGAGAGAGGGAGGTGATCCGAGACGACACTTCGTAAGGCTTCCGCGGGCATCTCCGCTCCATCAGTCATGTACATGTCGGGGAAGAGGCAAGCGCCAGTGGGTGCCGGGCGGTAGAGGATCACATCTGGACAACTCTGCGGCTGACGCGCTGGATAGGTGCGGAGGTTTGGCCCACTGAGGCGCCACAGCGTGCCCTCATCATGCCAGCGCTCGAGCCAGGGTTTTCGCTCAGCATTGAGGTCACCAAGGAGAAGCGCAGCAGAGGACCCAGGTAGAAGCGCATCCCGCTCCACGCGGGTCAAGTCACGGACGCAGGGGGAGACGTACGCGACGGTAACTAAGAGTTCCTGCCAACCATCCACGGTCGGGATGAGAAGCGTCCGCGATGCAGCCTCGACTAGTGCGGGTAGTCGAGCTACTTTCCGAAAGCCGGTATGAGGGCTAACCACGAGGTGTCTTGAGCGTCCAAGCAGAAGGACACCGCCCCCGTGGTGATTCCGCAGACTGTGCGCAAGCACCTCATATCCATATTTTCCGAATTGCCGTACGAGCAGCGGCAGATCGGCGTCCTCAAGGTGGACCTCCGTGAGGCCTGCGATGTCAACGTCCCAGTGAACCAGCGCGCGGAGGACTTCGCTGGTCTTGTTTCGCAGGCCCCGTACGTTCCATGTCACAGCCCGAAGGCCCAAAGCCGTGACATCTTCGGTGTCGTCTCAGGGCAAGTCGTCATCACCCCAGGGGGTGGCGTCACCGCCGGCGAATTCCGCCGACTGGGACTGGGATGGCGGTGTATCCGGCAGGACTTCAACCGATTGGGAGGAGGCGCCGTCCAGCGTGAGGAGCGAAGGCGTCCCCTCTCCCTTCTCGCGAGAGCAAGGCGCACGTGGGAGACGCATGGCGCATCTAGCATCGGTAGGCGCCGCAGCTTCAGGCAGCACACCTTTTCCAGCTAGGCGAGGAGGAGGGCCAGACGGTGGACCCATACCGCCCTTGATCGAGGTGCTACCTGTTGAGCGCATCCCAGGAAGAGGCCCCGGCGAGGGACGAGAGACACCGGGGTCAGGCTGTAGGGCATCCCGCACTTCGCGCGTGAGGACGTCCTCGAATCCATATTCCAGGCCGGTGCGCAGCGCCAGAGGGCGCCCCTCACTGAGCCGGCGGAAGAGTCGGTCGGGGCGATCCAGGCACTCGGTCACAAGGGCCGAGGTAATCCCTCTGCGGTTAAGCGTATGTAGCCAGTCAAGCTGTGACTGCCCTCCTTCAGCGGGACTAGTGCCTTTTCCCACGACAGAAAGAACCCACTGCGCGTCGCCTTCAGAGAGTGCGGGCCGGTTGTGCTTGCGCGCGAGGGTCGCGAGACTGTGCCCGAGTAGCTTCTGCAGAGCCGGCTCCCGCAGCCTGAACCTCGAGTAGAGGCGGAATCCGATCTCCATCACGTCGAGGTACGGCGGTAGATCACGAATCGCTTGGAGCACCTCCTCCTTACTGGCCTTTTCTGAGGCAGTGACCGGAGTCATCTTGCTTCCGGGGAGTGCCCCACAGTCACCCTCGCAAGTGTCACGAGGTGCCCCAGTGGCACTACTGCTCGGCAAGTCTCGGGCATGGAGCTCGGAGGAGGGAGGGGCAGTTTCAGCTTCACGCGCAAGGCGATCCAAGTACAGGCGCTTTCCCCTAGGAGTGATCGGGGCTCCTTTCCCGCTCCCCTTCGGCCAGCGTCGAGCCGGCGGAGGCGCGAGGGCCTCTCCCGCCGTAGGTAAGACCTCCTGTTGCTGCTCCCGCGGAGGCTTGACAGATGAAGACGCTTTTCCTAAGGAGCAGCCCAGCACCTTCTTCGCCGCTTTCTTCTCCAGGCCGAACTTCGCACGGAGGAGTTTCGCAACGGCCGCAGCGTGTTGAGGCTGTTCCACTCGGAGGTACTTCCAGACCTCGGACCGAGCAGGGCGCGGTTTGGTCTCGGAGGCACTCGTCGTCTCGTCGTTCGCGTCGCGTCGGGTGTCAGCAGGGACAGGATCCAACTCCCCAGCGCGGTGCAGTGAGCGAGGCTGACCTCTGCGGTGGTCAGGGGAGGGGTCGGCCCGAGGACGCGCCCCCCTGCGATCAGAGGGAGTGCTTGACGCTCGGCGCCGCCGCCGGGAATCGCTGCGGGATCGTACGCGGGCCTTTTCCCTGCCGGGTAGCCGTCGCGGAGGCCGATCGCCGTCTCGTGGTCCACGGTCAGGTGTGCCCGGTCGTAGCCTCTCCTCATCTCGACACCGCCGTCGGGGAGCACTCCGGGAGCAGGCACGTGTAACAGGCGTCAGAGAGCGTCTTCTGCGTCCTCGGCAACGACTCCGAGATCGCGAGTCACGCGCAGGACGATCTTGTTCATACAGGCGGAGCCCCCTTAGGTGTCTCGTCGGGCGGATGGTGTCGGACTGAGCAGGTCCTGCCGGAGCTGCCGGGAGACTCGTCTGCATGTGAGACATCCAGCTTTCCATAGGTGGCGCCCGCACCAAGGGAGCATGAGGAACCGTCGAAGCGGGGGTTGCTGGAGCCAAGGTAGGCGGAAGTGGTGGCGGAACTCCAGGAACCAGGAAGATCGGCGGCACCGGTAGAGGGAGGGTGGAGAAACCGTGCGGAAGCGGGGGCACGAGGGTCGGAGGCATGTTTGGACGAGACCACCACGGATGCCCCGTGGAAGCCCCCTGTAGCGGACCCCATGCATGGTGCAGCCCGCTGGACGGGTACGCATTCGGATCCATCGCGTTTTTCCGGGGAGACGAGCCAAGAGAGAGATCTACGATACCAGAGAAACAGGCGCGACCAAGAACAATACTAGGAAAAGAAGAGGAGAAAGGTACTAAGTGACTAAGTGTAACGAGGTGATGTGAAGGTTCTACTCAAAGGAGGCAGAGGAGGAAAAACCATGCATGCATTCTGTCGAGGTAGGGCGGAGATGTGTCACTTGCGAGCAGAACTCCAAACCACGGCGGCCACCCCGCAGAATCTGAAGGCGCAACTTCAGCGACTCTCCCCAGGAGTCATCTCTACCAGAAGAAAGGCTCAGAGGACAGAGGCACGCGTAGTCTCTCGCACAGAGGTTCTCGCGGACCCACTCAGAACAGACACGATTCTCCTCAACAGTAGCAGCTTCTTCTCTCAGAGAACAGACGATCATCCAGAGTAACTCTCACCAGAAGGCACGTCACCGTAGTACGACAGACGTGGGTATCTTCTCATCTCAAGGGCCGGAACGAAAAACATCGACCGAAAATGTACCCTACTTTTTTCGGTCGTCTTTTTTGGTACTCTCAAACACTGTGGACGAACTCCCTCGGAGCAGAATGGCGGTTCTCGTCACTCAAGGACAGACACATAAACGAGAGCAGAGCCTGCCCAGTGGCAATAATGATCACACAAGGCTCAAGACAGAGAGGGAAGCATCGCCGCAGGCACCAGGAAACGTGGACAGACGCTGTCGACCATGAAGCCGGGGTACTCTCAACGTCGACAGGACCCAGAGAGCGATAGGTCCCTGCGCAGCAACGGCCAAAGTATGGCTCCATTGGAGACCCTCCCAGCCAGGGAGGGGAGAAAGTATCGCACCGCAGTTCGCGGCACCAGACAGCTCGGCCGTACCGTTGCGGCAGTAAGCGTAAGGCATCCATGCCCCGACCCGTTAAGGGCATCGGAGTGCGCAGGTCATCTTTCGATGTTTCGCGCGTTAGTGTTGTCCCTATGGGACCCCGGTGACCAGCCGGGTTGATGATGCCAATAAATGTAGGGCTTGAACTTGATTAATTAGAATTTGACTACTGCAGCAAAACAACTTGATGAGTGTTACTCTACTTTGACACATTTGTTTGTGGATCTACCCACAAAAACTAAGAAGAGAAACGTTAGAGACTGACACAAGGAAAAAAAAGACAACTTTGTAACCACAAAAACTAAGAAGAGAAACGTTAGAGACACAAGGAAAAAAAAGACAACTTTGTAAGTATATATTCAGGCCCTCTCTATCTTTGATATCTTTATGCTGTCTCCTCTGCGGTGGGCAGCAGCATGTGCACGCAGTGCGCCAAACGACGTCCATGTACTTGTAACAACATGATCACCACGACAGCACCTGGTTCACGACGTTTGATGCAGCGCCAGCATGCATCTTGGATCTAGTATGGACTAGTCTGTTTCCGAAAGGATGATAAATAATGCCTCGGTTAGTTCTAATTTTTTCGCTTCTTTTTCCGTGCCTCTTTGTTTCCTACCTCTCTTTGAATGAAAGACACAGGAGAAGATAGAGCTTCTTCACGATGTTGAAAAAAATGCAGTTTGTTGACGATGGTGAAGCCTCAAGACCCATCATCTTTCTTTGAATCATGAAGATTTCACGAAGGAGATCCTTGAGGTGTTCACTTGATCTCCGTCGTGCTCACTTGACGTCAAAGTAGCCAAAAAGTAGACCGAGTTGGACGAGTACTTCTAGAACACACTTTTTTACTTCGTCGAATAGTATACATGCAGAGGACGAGGCGCAACAACATAAACGTGAAGACCTAGTTGTTTGAGCACGCTTGTGTTATATCCTGTCACTGTGTGTAATAATATTAGTTCAGGCACCTCCTTTTGCCCTGAGAACATGAACAATCAGAATAATCATTCACATGTGATGTTGAAGGGGCTTGGAATCAAATTTCGGGTTGGAGCACCTACAATCACGCATCATCAAAGAACGGAGAAAAACATTTGATGGATAGTACTTACTGAGTAAAAATTAGAGAACTTTACGACCCGCCTGGTATCTCCTCGCAGCTGCACTCACTCTGTCTTGGTACTCGGAAACGCTCTTCAGATGCACGGTGAAGCAACAGTGTGCCGGTCCAGGCTAACATGCTTAGACGAAGGCCATTGGTACTATCCTCCTCGGCTCCGGTCGTGCTTTTTAGATCCAGTCTACACCGTTGGCAAGCTTCCCACTTCGGTAATTCACTTTTCCATCCCAACTGCGGCCATGTGTAAACACGAAAACGACTACGGTCTAGAGTCAACGGGAACTGCGGTTCCGGTTGAGGTTGTCGTGTACTACAACTACCGCAAGTTGTCCTTGTCCTATCGGAGATTTCTCGTCCTTGTACATGTGCATCGACGTCTCCTGTGGCAAGCAACAAGTCTTCGAGGCCTTCATCCGTTGTCAGAGCACGATACATCTGGCGTAATTCTTCGCGTAGGGTTTCTTCCTGCTTTCTCTTCATCTCCAGTTCTTTATCGTTATCGCTTCCCCGATGAAGAAAGGAAAGTTGGTCCTCTCCATTTAGCACGATGTCGAGTGCCGACTGTGGGAAATATAGCTGATAACAGCGAAGAAAACGCAACGTAGACAGTTGCCAAGATGACTTTGGGCGCGTTGACGAAGGACCACCTACTTGCTGCGAGTTTAAAGACCCTCCGTCATCGAAAAATGCTGACTCTTCATTCACGTCGAGCCCTTTGGTTTTGCCACGTCGTCCTTGTTCCATGACACGACCGTCAAAAAAGTACGGCGTAACCTCAAGCATGTACGTAATCCGCGATGCCACAAACGAAGTGGGAACTGACGGCAAGTGAAAAACGTCACGAGTCGTGAAATCTGGACTCAAAGCCCACGACAAGGTAGATGAATTTTGATGATTATCTTCTGCCTTCGCAAGGACGTCAATCTTTGCACGCTGGAGCGAATCAAGACCACTTTTGATCAAATCCCAGAAGTGCGGAGAGTCGGGACAATAATTGTAATTGCTAGCCCCTGGTGCTGAGGTCCTCTCGATGAAGAGCTTATTTTTAAAGCTCAGCCTTCAATGGTCATCATGACTCTGAACGGAAGGGACCCCCTTCAAAGCTCTCTCCTTTCCCTTCGTTTTCCCCTGTTCTCCTCTCAAGGGAAGGTCGCCTCTTCGATCTCAGTGACTCCAACCTCAATGGTGACCATTGAAAGCTGAGCCTTAATATTTGGTGCGCCGCGTGCTCGAGTTCCCTGATGAAGCCACTCTCCACGACGACCAGCACGCATCCTCGGATATTTTGCCTCCATTTGCTTTTCATACAAAGGCTGTAGAGGCCAAAACCAGTGCTCATCTAGCTCTTCTGCCGCACGGTACAAAAGTTGTGACCACTGTTCAGAAAAAGATTGTTCGTTTTGGGCTTTTTGTGTCGATTTTTGTGTCGATAATTCTTCCTCAGTCGCAGCAGGAATGAAAATCGTTTCCCAAATGTCGTCCGTTGACACATTGCTTTCTTTCATTTGCTCCTTTCTGTCCTGGCTCATCTCCCATCTTTCCGGCTCGTCCTCATCCTGATGCATCACCCTCTCCGCTTGCTCCACCGCTTCAAATACCAAGTCTCGTGTGTGCCGCGATACACCACTAAGATGCAGAATAAACGGCTGGTGTAGCAACGTCGCATCATCGAAATTTCTGGGGTGAAGTGCTAACACTCTGTCGCCCAAGCCTTGGACGTTTTTCCACAACAAGTCGTTAGCGCATTGTTGGTCGCCTACCTCGATGCGACCTAGTTTTTGCAGACCAGCGTTTGGAGTTAGAGGGGCTGAAAAGAAAGCACACTGGAAAAACAAGATCATCGTACTATTAGTGCCTTCATATTAGTAGTAGTAGTAGTAGTGTACCCAATCGTGGGGTATGTACGACACTTTAATTAGTTTGAGTACTCACAATTATCACATCCGCATCTATGGACGTCGATAGAACTACTATGTGAAGAGAGGAAGAACCATAGTAGGAATGTTTGTCGCGTCAGCCGCTTCTACGTGAAGAGAAGAATGTACTGCACGTAGACGCGGCTGACGCGACTGGTGCAGATATCATAAATAAGCAGCACTCCCCAACGTCTCGGCTCCCGGCGCCTTATACCGTTTCTCGTGGCACACAGGATCCACGAAGAAACGCGCAAGGAACTCTTGCATCCGTCTAGTTCCCGTTTTCAGTAGCTGTACTCCAAAACCAACTTGGTTCACAGTTGAGATATCCTTGTCTCCACCACGCGTGATAATATCGTAGCGGTCTCCAATTTTCTTCAGTGCGGCACACGGATTCTTCTTCCTGATATCGTGGTCTCCGTCCTCCCAATCGGGTTTTTTCAGTGGTCTGCTCACTACCTCCTGTTCATCATCCGCGGTCTGCTCACTACTTCCCCGTCCAAAAGTCAACAACAAATCCTCAACCCGTCTCTGCGTGTGAAACACAAGAGAGTCCAAATCCAGTTGCATGGTGTAATCGTAGAATGGGGCATGGCGGATTAGGCTCAGGACCTTGATCCAGTAGTATTTCACGATCTTCGGATAGTAGTACAACGGTTCATGGTACAAGTCTAGAATGTAGTCGTAGCCGTGCCGTCTCGCATAGCGCTGAGCGAGTCTGCAAGAAACTGCGGCGAAGGCAGGCCAGTTTCTGTTTTGATGAGTTAGATCATGATCATCAGATCAATTATGAACAAATAGTCGCAGTAATACTGATAGCTACTAGGATCCCTCAGTGTAACGTTCCCTCTCTCTCTTCAATGCCAATAAGAACCTGCCTTAAGTCACACGACGAACCCGACACGCTTCTCGACAGACCACCTGCAACGCCATTACCACCATCATCATGCTTCCGTCCAGACCGCGACAAAGACGCGAATGCACTCGCTCTGGTCCTGTTCGTTCTCCGCCTATAGAAGCGTCTTCCACTCGCACTAGGGTCTCCAGTCTCCTTCTCCGAATGGTAGACCCAGCTTTCTTCCCTGGGCGCCTCCCACCAGGCCTGCAAAATGAGGATACGCAGACCACATGCGGCCGTCATGTTTCGGGTCGTTAGGCCATTTTAATTTTTCTCAAGGTTATATCATAAAATATAAATATAAATATAGACTCAGCGACGTCGACGAGTCCTCATTGGTTGATTCATGTACTACCCATAATTCACGGGGTATCTATAGCCTCTTTAATTATGAGTGCATATTAATTTACTTCATCAGGACTCTGACGCAATGGCTGATGACCCATACTGGAGAATAAACTCTCTCTTCTTTGACGCGACATCACTTTTCTCTCTTCTTGCTGCTCGTTCGTTCGTTGTGTTGGCCTTGGCATTAACTGAGTGTTTCCTCTGGTCTCTCCTAAAGCACTCCCCGCAGTGCCCTTTTCCAATACTGTTGAATAGATACCACAGAAGCCATGATGAAAACGAACAATTGACACTACCCTGTGACGAGCAGAATGTGCATCCTTCGTTGCCTGGTCCGAAAGAATGGCTATTGATTGTTGAATAAATATGGAACTAACATATAGATACAAGAAGCGTCCATACTAGCGCATCAGGAGCATCTAGTATACTAGCGCCAAAAGTCGTATCTTCTTCTGATAAATTCTTCTGTTTCTGTATCCCAGGAGACAAGGGCTACCTCCGCTTCTTGCGTCCAAACAATAGCTTTAATATCTTCTTTTTCTGTTCGACCCTTGTTGTGCCAATCCGCACGTAAAAAGGCGAACTCAAAACCCGGACACAGTGCTTCACGAAGATACGGCTCAGCAGCTGTGGGACAACCCTGCATGGAGAGGTCGAGGAGGAAGTTAACCAGGTTGCTGAACCGGTTGAGAAGGATGCCTTGAGGTTCATCTGGAGGAACTGAGTCGTCTTGCAGATCTACGTCGTCGTCACTTAACTGTTGCACCACAGAGTTTTGATGGGGCGAAGTCACAGGAGTTACAACTCTCTGTTGCAAGTCGCTAGTGTAGGCATTTCGGAAGAGGAGTGCTGACACTTCCGAGTCCTTCTTCTCAGCAAATAAGCGTGCGTTTGCCTTAGCAAGCAAGAAGATCTCACGTTCCCGCATTCCTTTCTGCGTTACGTATCTTCCACGTGGCCGCTTCGTCTCTTTAGTCGCGACTAGTTGGTGCTTGTTTACTGCTGAGGACGCTTGTCTGGATGGGGAAGGACCTAAACCGAAGAGACGCAAATCCTCTGGCTCTAGGTCTGCAGTCTTCTTATGATCCGTTGCCTCTCCTGACAGTTTTTCTTCATCCCCTTCATCACGTCCTTCAAGATCAAGAACGGCATGATCCTCTTCATAGAGCATTTCACCTACCTCAGCTTCCGCAGACAGACTTTCGAGCACACTATCCGCAGTGAAATATGCAAAAGCATCGGAAGCGGCCTCAATGAGAAGTTTTTTCCTGGATTCAGCTTGTACTTCTTCAAGATCAACAGGTATTCGAGAATCTACTATTGAGGCTGCAGCCGCACGCACAAGTCTTCGTGGAAGCTTATATGGAGCACCTGCGTCTGTGAATTTCACAGATATCCAGCCGTTCTGATGGAGCTGGAAACACAGCGTACGGTCTCCACCATGCACACGCACTGCACACGCTACAGGTTCTGCGTAGTAGGTTTGAAAATGCGCACCGCCCTCTCCTAGGAGGTGGTCTGTCGAGAGTATGCTTTTAGAATCTACTGCTGATGTAGAAGTTCTACTGTCCTCAACCGGTTCTGCTTCAACACCTCCTCCTTCAGTGGTGCCGATTTCTGCTTCCATAGCGCGAGGCGCTGACTCATGAGAGTGTTGTTCGCCATCACGTTCCGCTCGCAGCTTTCGAAGCAAGAAACGTCCACTAGATGATGATGAAGATAGTGCTTCTTTTGGTGCTGGTTGGACATTTTCATTCCCGTCGTCATTCCGATCGTGGTCGCCTACCTCGTCCTCCGATGTGATATCAGGATCCGCGACATGGCAGTACACAGGTACGCCTCTGCTCAGCCCTGCTGCCACTTTGCGGGCTTCTTCGTTGGAAGGTGAGAAAGAAATCAGACGCGCTCGTCTGGATCTGAAGCCACATATCGAGACGATTTGGTAAAGGCATCGCACTCCTGCGATGTAGTCTGGGGATGGCAGAGAAATAGGAAGAATGGCGCTTCGAGCTTCATGCTCATTTTGCTCTGGTACTACTACGCATCCTCCAAGCTGTGGCACGGATAAGTACTGAGCGTCGTGCTGTGATATGGCACCTGTCGCGCCTTCTACATTGTCATCAACTTTCTTGTTGTTTTCACTTGTCCTCGTCGCCTCTTCTGCCGCCTTCTTATCTTCATCGAAAGCATCGATATCAAATCTAGAATTGAAATCGTAGCTCTGCGCATCAGCTGCTAACTCTACATGTATGCCGCCGATGGCTGAGCGCTGCCCATCTCCCCGACTCTTGTCCCCGCCATGGCTTTTGTGACTTACTACCGCTTTTGCGCTAGAAGACTCTCCTCCGCGAGTCTTGCAGGAAGTAGGAATAATATGTTGATCTTGCAAGGGCAGCAACAATGTTTTTGTCCCTTGTTGAGATGTCGGATTGTCCCCTCTACTGCTGAACTCTTCAGCTGCTCCCGCACCTCCAGCTCCGTGCTGCTCTGGTGCCATCATCGTACTACTACTTGGAAACGTGAAAGTCCCAAGCCAGCTTTTTTTCTGCCCTGCTTCAAGAATTTGCTTTTGCTTGTCGAAAGCACGCTTGCTCAGAACAAAATTATCAGAGTGGTCGTCCTTTCGATTTCCACGCATTTCTTCGAATTTAGTCAATCGCGAACCTCCGACGCGATGGATTGCGCCTGATGATGAAATCTCTACTAGGCCGGCAGTCAGATCGCGCACAGTAACAGTTGAGGGAGCTTGACTTCTTCCGGATAAACTAGCGGTAGTTAGTGTGGCAGGCGAAGTCGTCAGCATAAACCCGAATCGGATCTCACTTGTACTGCTACCAGTCTTTGCTGAATTTGTGCTTTGGCCTGTTGTGCTTTGGACAACTAAGTCGGTCGTGCCGCGGCTCTGTTTACGCTCAGAAGGTGAGGAAGCTGAAGATGGTGCAGGGTTTTTTTCTTTGCCTTGTTTCCCCTTCACGACTCCGCGTCTCGCGAAATCCGTCATCCTGCAATAGCATATAAAGTGGACCGGTGAAGGAATCGTTTCGTGGTCCGGTAACCGCTCTATGAGAGAGTGCAGGACCCATTTACTACCATGCTCTGCCAGCATCTGTGCGCACCAGTGCAGTGCTGCGTCACGCAAAGGGCGTAGCGCCAAAGCGTAACGACAAGCGGCAACCACGCCAAACTTTCCACATACGTATGTAAGGAGTTCACGAAGGTCGGACGCATAAGTGGTGGTCTCTGATTCTTGCTTTGAGGATGCTTTCGGAGACGATGAACTCGACGAGGCTGACCGTCCTTCCTGAAACTGATAGGTTGAGAGTGCTCTAGTTGTGGGATTACTATCTGTTCGTGTCGTACTAGTTTTAGCTTCCACTTTGCATAGCTCCGCGACGAGGTTTCGCCTTATAATTGGTGTTGCTACGCCCAACTCCGACGTCTCCTCTGTGCCGATATAGAACCGCAGATGCACATCGCTCCAGAGCGGCACAGAAAGTACATCAGATGCTCTGTTCAGGTCATCTTTCTTTGACAACACGGCCGGTGACAGACACTGTGCAAGGAAATTGTTTGTCGCGTTCGGTGAGACACCAACTAGAATTTTCGGACTTGTAGTTGCCTCCACACGTCTTCGTTTTGCATCTCCACCTGACGAAGCATGACTGTGCCTGCTGCTCGCTGTACCTCCAATATCTTTATCCTCAACCATGCTTTTCTTGCTGTCATTTAGGAAAGCTTGGATTTCATCAACCGCCTGCTGCAGACGCGCCCTCGCGCAGAGAAACGGCCAAAATTGCGACAACCGACCAGTGAAAATAACCTCCTCGATGTTGTTGGTTTTACTTCTACTGGACGATGATCGCTGAAAGCTGCCTTGTGCTGCACAATTCGGTCTTTTACCGGTGGAGACGAGTCCATCTCCATCCTCCTGTTCCCCTGTCCCTAGAGTCAAAGCCACTCGACCAGTCTGCTCTTCTGCAATGGTTTCCATCGTGGCAGACACCGCGCGCTTCTTTCGGCTTTTTGAGGGCGAGAGAGTTGTTCTGGAATCTACTTGAAGTTCGTCGGCCTCTTCTACCAATAAGTCGTCATCGGAGAGAAAATCTTGCAAGAAGTCATCCCGTAGCGCAGAAGGCACACGACTCGCATCTCCAGAACCGATTCGACCTCGCGCTTGTGGGGTCTCTTCATCCTGTGGATGCAGCACAGGCGCCCCGTTATTACCATGTCCTTCTATGCTTCCCACAACAGAAGAAGAGGAACCGACGAGATCCGGTGCCTCGCGGAAAGCGCGGAGGAGACAGACGCCACCAGAAGCGGAGGAACCGACGAGATCCGGAATCCGCCAGCCTTTATTAGAGCTGTCCGCAATTCATCTTTCACGTGCATCCTTGAAAAGTACTATGGGAGAGTATTATTCCCTTAGGTGGATACTCCTCCATACGTTTCGAGGATGCGTCCAAAGATGTATTAGGGACAGCCTTAACTTTACATTCGCTGGTGTCCGGAGGTGAACGAAAGCTACACGCTACACGGACCTCACCGACTCTTGACCCAGCACGAATCTCCAAGTCTAATTCCGACACGTCTGTAAGAAATTGGCTAAGTGAAGCGTCTGCACAGGCACTTCCTGCAAGCGTCCAACGCAAATCGGATGACGGGAGAGCCATTATCTGAGGAAAGAGTTTCTGCAATGAAGAGGTGAAACTCTGAAGTTCTGTGAGTGCGATTGCTCCAGCTGAACTGCCATTTGCACTTAGGCGTGATGAAAGAGAGGTGTCTACTATGCGCCACAAAGCTGAAGAGGCATTATGGCGTGTGAACGGTAGAGGCTTAGTTGCACTCACTAGACTCTTTCCACCTTCGGCAATCAATCCTGGCCAATGAAGCTCGACGCCAATGATGTGGGAAGCGGTAGTCCGCAAAACAAGTTCGACATCAGGCAACGCATGGTGTGCTAACCGCAACTGCATTGCCTTCGTCGGTTCTGCACCCTTGACATCGTCGCCCCGCAACCCTTCCTCACCAGTCTCAACCACGAAGCACTGCATGTTTTCCTTGAGATACCAAGTGCCCTTCAGAGGAGTATCCTCTAGTTGTCGCAATAAAAACTGCAATTGCCCTACAAAGTCCAGACTTTCAAGTTGTTCTGTAAGTATTGCAGGATCGTCTACACGCACATCCTGCGCTCCCCATCCGCCGGCTGTTGTCCACGATAGCAGGGAGGCTAAAGAACATTGAGACGTTGACGTTGAGTTTGTTAAGGAGGAACTCTGCTCAGGAGATGTGTCTTGCGTGCTTCTACTTGCTAAGGCACTCGCCCAATCAGATCGCAAGCTAATCGTCGCTGAGATGTCAAACTCTGAATTGAAAATCTCCAACGTCGGGTCCCGGATACGATACCCACGCCGACGATACCAAGAAGTTGATGATGTAGTTGCACTAGCCATGACAGCACCTTCCTCTTCGCCCTCTAGAGCCGGACTGTAAAATTTGTTAACAACCGGCAGGACTGATTCAAGTGCTGTTCGAAAGACTTTTTGTTGCACGCTGGCACCCAGCTCCTCGAGCGAATGGTGGAACACGTCCTCTGCTTCCCCGATTGATGGTGCGCCTGCTCCATCGTTCTTGTCAACAGCTCTATTATCAACATCAAGAAAGCGACAGCGCAAAGACCCATCCGGAGGTTGAGGCACGTACACCTCAGCTATGTTCCCGATTCGCACTCGGCTAGGATCATTCGGAACACGCGAAAGAAGGGGCATTTGGTTTTTACTGGACGGGTTGTTTGTCGCCGTTTCTTTCTTTGCTGCAGTACGCCTGGAAGAAGCTTCAATAACGACCTCACTCTCGCGAAGCCACTGCGCTAGCCTCGCTCGGGCAGCCGCTGTCAAAATCGCAGAAGCTACCTCGTGAAACGCAGCCCACGAGCCTGCCTCCTGCAACGTTTTTTCTAGCCCAGCCTGAAATAATCCATCGTTATCTTTCTCCACACCACCTCCTCCAGGTCCAGCAAAGTCAGAAGATGACAAACCACCTCCTTTGCAGCTCGTATTGGTCTTATTCAGGTTCGCGTTTGATTCTTGGATTGCCGCTAGGCTGTTAAACATATCATCTTCATCCTCGTCGTCCAGCCAATTGAAATCTTCTAGAATCTTCTCCCCACCAGAATTACCAGTACCGAAAATGTCCGTCAGGTCCTCTCCGCTTCTTGTAGTTGCAGCTGCTGTAGAGAAAGCTCCTGCAACATCACGATCTTCAGGCTCCTTTGTCTTTGTCGCCAAAGCTAAAGTTGTGCTAGACTTGGATGTGTCGTTGGTCTTGCCCACAAGCATTTTTCCTTGATCATCATCATTCTCGAGACCGAAGTCCCCGTCTCCCAAGAACTCAAATATCGCAGCCACCACTTCCCATTTCATACTATTGCTTCCTTGGAAAGAGACCTGGAGAACTGCTTTCACCACGTTGGGCTTTCGAAAGACAAGCTTCCAAGATCTTGGTGCAGCTACAACCAGCAAACTGTTCTTAGTGTAGTTTTTAGGACCGCCAGTTGAAGAGGATGGAGGTGGACGTGGAGGCAGCACTTCCACTTCAAATAATGAATCCACACTCTGCAGGTATCGATCTATCTCCATCCGAATGAGAAATGAGCGATCTCGCAACCACCGTTCGCTAACACCCTGTAATCGACTTCGACCATCGTCTTTTTTACCTGTAGCATCTTCCGTTTCCCGAGCCACCAACGCCGACCGATGTCGAAACTGTAGGTTAGACCGCGCACTGCTCTCGAAGAGTTGCGAAAGCATATTGGGTCGTAACTGTTGGGGTCCAGGCATCACCTCCACTGGGTTCGCCAAGCCCGATGGTTGAGGCGTACACCCATTCCTCAACGTCCATTGTCGGTGTTTCTGGATGCTAAGATCTTAGAACAAACTTTTGTTTTTCCTTCTCTGAGTCTGATGTATTACTCAGGAGGACGAAAATAACTATTAAACATATAAGGGAATAAGTTGTCCGTCGTAGTCCCTGATTTTTTGTTCAAGAAGAGGAGGAAGGTATTGTATTAAACAATAATTGTTCAAACAACATTTTATAAATTATATAACACTTTTTCATGTTGTAGTTGTAGTTGTATTTATAACACTTTTTCATGTTGTAGTTGTAGTTGTATTTATGACACTTTTTCATGTTGTACAGTTGTAGACAAATAAAATGTTCATCATGTTGTACAGTTCATAACTCGAAGGCGCTGTAACCGCCTGCAATACGTCGTTTGCTTCCTTGTTGGCTAGACGTCCGTATCGCTGGTAGTCCGTGACCATGGAATTGAAGTCTAGCTGTGGATCCGCAGTGTGAGCGAGGTGAAGTTAGAGGTTTCCGAATTGCATTCTTCAGAACATCCTTGACCCATTTCCCCCTTGAAAAGGAGCCAAGGATGGTAGTGAGGGATGTAATTCGGAAACCCTTAATGAAGAGCGATTTCTCGTAGTGTGCGAAAGGCCCTCAATCGCCTGTACGCCTGAGCCTTTTCCTCGGATCGTAGACTGGAACCTATACTACTACTTCCTCCATCCAGAACGTTTTGGTTTTTTCTGCTTCGCGACGTAGCACTCCCAACAGCGCTGGCGCTTTGGAAATTAGAGTCCGCTAAAGTAGAGGGAAAAGCAGAGCGACATTGAAATACTTGAGCTAAAGAGGGAAAAGCAGAGCGACACTGTGAAATACTTATCTCCCTTGCTTCATGCTAAATCAATCAATGCAAACTCAATCAAAAGAAACAACTAACGAAGCCAACTCGTGACCATGTTGAGCAGGTACTAGGTCTAGGGTTCAACACAATTTGTCATAACAGGATCTCGCAACAAGATTAAGCCGTTCGCGGTCGTCGAAAATTTGGTTGTATTTGTCACCATGTTTCGCAACTGGTCGGCGAAAAAGGTCCCAGCACTACGCAGCACGGTATCCCTTCTTTGCACCCGAGTGTACGCACTCGAGGAGCTACTACTCGAAGAGGTCGCAGCGCCTGTAGCAGGGGCACGCGAACCAGCGGGAACTGCAGAAGATGTGTTAGCGGTCGACATTTTTGCGTATGAAAGACGAAACGACCTGCACGCGGCCAATACCAAGTTAGTACTCAATAAACCTTATTACCTACAACGCCACCCGCCGCCCCGTGCAAGCACGAGATCTTTTAGACATCACTAAAACAAATGCATTTTCGACAAAATCCTGCATTACGTTCAAGACTACAATTACATGAAGAAGCCTCAAAAAATGTAATAATTTAAGTACTGACTCCTTCTATTGATAGCGCCACGCCGCTTTTTTGCTACATTTCTTACTGTACTATGCAAGTACGGTTGTGATCTCTTTGATCGCTTCACTATCAAACACGCACTTGGAGTACTCTTGCATCAACAGCATGGAGCGCTTGCGATTCGTTTGTGCGTTCAAAAATGAATCTATCTAGTCTACAATACTCTGCGCCGACATCAAGGGAGGTCAATAGCACACGGAACCAAGCGGAACATCGGCAACTATTTCTTTTGGTTTACCAGGGAGCCTTCAACGTCATCTGCATGGCTGGGCGACTTCCTGCACTCCGTCCGAAGAGAAAGCCAAAGAAGTCTTTGTTTTAATTCGTCTTGCAATATTTATTACGAAGTATGAGACGTCGGATCTTTGAATTTCGCAGACTCCTCAGAATTACCGTTCGTTGTACTCTTTGGCAGACAATTACATGTAGACTTTGATGGTGCCAGGGATCATGGAAAATAGATGACAAAAGATGCAGATGGATGTGGACGATCAATTTAATACGGAAGCAGATGAAAAACAAAGATTTAGATTTTCAAAAACAAAAGATAAAAAAATATGTTCTTGGGTGATGGAACAAGATGGGTTGTAGTTCAATCATGTTCAAACAAAAAAATTAGAAGTACAAAAAGCAATCGGAATTACACGGATATTCTGGCAAGGTCGCGAGCCCATGGTATTTACTGTGATGGATCGAATGTCATTGACATGCTAGCCATGATCACTATGAATTTACTTGAGCAATTACATCTAGATCTTCTAATACCACCTCATAATATCGTTATTGTTCCTTCTCGCACCGTCTCCACCATTGGCATATGCTCCTTCCATGGGAAGACCTTTTCATTCTGACTATGTGGTCGTAGGCTATGAAAGTCGTGGTCGTGGTGGACGTAATACATGCCTTTTGATTACACACGCTGGACGTCATGTCATGTACCCTCCACCTTTCTTACACACAAAAGTCTGCACATTCTACGTCTACCACTCTAACATTCTACACTCCAAGATAGGTACGTCGATGTCCTTCCTTCTCGATGTATCAAAATAAGACGCGGCTTCCCATGATGTAGAAGAAGTACGTTGATTGTAGTTATTATGGAATACTTATCTAATTATAGAATACGCAATAAATGGATATGATGCAATGAATTTTTTGAATCATGATCGAGGATTTCTAGAAAAGCACACGAGGACAGCTGTTTCAGAGGGATCACACAGCTGTACACGTCCATCTTTCCGCGTTAATTATACATAGATACACGTGCAAGAAAATCAGTTGTCCGTCGCAGTCCCTGATCTTACAGCATGTTGTTGGGAAGGAGCAGGTCATGTTGTTGTGTATGGACGAGACTCTCTCAAAACAAAAAGAAAGTCAAGACTTTTCACCTCCTTGATGTAAGACTTTTCACCTCCTTGATGTAGAGATTGGTCTTCAGATGTTCCGCTCCCCTTCTGACTACTCAACCTCAACTTCCTCAACCTCAACTTCCATCTCCCATCAGGGCTCTCCCAGGATCGCGAGGAACCGGTCAGCTGCGTAACGCCAGTTTGCTGCCATACCCATTCCGAACGCGCTTGAGTTAGACGAGGTTGTTTTTGGTACCACGACGTCAAGTAGGATAGGATAGGAGTTGACTCAGCTACGAGGGGGTGAGCGTTCGAGGCCATTGAAGTCCCATAACAACAGTGTTAATGAATGAGAATGAATTTGCCAAGCACGAGGTGAAGATGCACTGTTTTAGCACGATGCCCTGTTTTTTGTCCTATTGAGTCCACCCTTAGTATCACAGTAATACAAGGCACGATCAACTTATTATTAAGATCTTTAATTACCTAATATAGAGATATTTCAGAACGAAGTAGTGGATTCATTACGATTAGCTATTACAGTGATAGAAATGATCTTCATAAAACATAGCACTGTTTTGTCCCTAATTGGTGGCTTACTAGTCCTAGAATCTATTACTATTTCTTCATAACATTAATGGCCACAGTCGATTTTACGTTGTCCACGAGGAACTGCTCTGAGACTTCGATCCCTCTCGTCCCATCCTCCAAATCAACTTCAACTCCGTCAATGTACTGGCTATTAGAGGGGTCGTATAGAAGAAGAGGGATGAAGTGCTTAGATTGTAGCCGCTTTCATTAGTAAGTCATTAATCCACTTCTTGAGTTTAAGATGAAGGGACAGGCGATGAAGGCGTGTGTCAACTGTGTATGAAGAAGATTTAATAGTACGGTGGATGAAGATTTGAAAAGTTCTCCTGAGTGGTGTCAGTCTTCTATGCAAGAAAAATTCTACTTCTACACAGCAGCTCATAAGGTGAACTTCAAAAGGGTGCTGGTAGGTGAATGGCCAGCTTCCAGCCTGAAGCGTTTGTGCAATTTTTTTCACCGAAAATCCACGTAATCTTAGCGCTAGTTTTTCGCTATCCGTGGTTGAGTGGGTTGCCCTTTTTCCCCTTAGCTTCTTTCCCCTCTAACATTTCAAAGGTTGAGACTCCACTCTCAGCACCTCCAAAGTCCACGACATGTTGGGCTGCTTGGGATCATAGTGTGATATTAAACTAGACAAAGACATAATAATCCTTTGGTCGGGTCAGTCACCCACGACGTCCAAGTGATAGTGTCTTCTATCTTAGCGGCTCGCATTTTACTTTTATCCTCACTCCAGGTCACCACCTCTACCGCCTCACGACCCTGAGCATCCGTAAACGAGCGCGGCTGGCTTTTATAGCCCCAACTCATCGTAGCTTCGATGTAGCTTCTGACGTGATGTAGTTAGTTGTGAGAAGTAGATGCTGATTCTTTATTCACTTGTCGTGAGAGGTGTTTATTCAACATTGTCGTGAGAGGAACAAGACTGGAAATGATGTTGAATGGAGATGATGTTGACACTGGAAGCAAACCTAGCGCTAGCTGCAATATTCATTGTTACAACAAGATGAGTACTGGACTGTCCTCGAAGTCCTAAAAAACAGTTGTACTTTGTATTATCCACAACATACTTGTAAGTACTTATATACTTACACATACGTAGTTTATGGAGGTACTCTGCCTTCCAAAACGCAAACTTCGAGTCAACGGTCATGAATCGGTCAAAAAAGCGCTTGGCGGAAAAATTTTTCACCAACGCCTTGGCTTTGACAACTGCGCGTCCATCCTTGTCCTTGGCATCGTCTTTCCAAACCCGTACAACACTTGGCGGTCCAGTCGGTTCGGGAACGATTTTTGAGACCGGTTTCGGCACTGGGGCTACAGCCTGTGCAGGTTGAGCAGCGGGTTGTGCGGGTTGAGCTGCGGGTTGTGCAGCAGGTTGGGAACTCGTAGTGGCTGTGGATGGTTGCGAAGTAGATGCCAATGCTGTACTGGTACTAGGTGGTGTTGCAGGTGCTGTCTTCTTCGTAGCTTCGTTGCCCGCTGCAGCGACCGACACACGCGGAACGCTGAGACTGACTTCCGATTTGTCTTGTACTGGCGCATTGGTTTGCTGTTGTTGTGGAAGTGCGACAATATTAGTCTCTTCTACGACTTGTCCCGGAAGCTGTGCTTGGTCCTGTTGCCGCACTGCCGGTAGCGGCTGCTGGTGCTGTTGCTGCTGTGGCGATACAGTTGGCTGTGTTCGCTGCGGCGTCAAGGTTGTCGACTGTGGTTGCGTTGTCCCTGCTGTACTAGTAGATTGCTGCTCCGCCGTCGGTTGTGGCTGCTGCGGCACGGTCGGTGGTTGGAACTGTTCTTGCGCCAGTTGTGGTTGCGGCTGCTGTGCTGGCTGTGGTTGAGGCTGAGCTTGAGGTTGAACACCAGGCTTCTGCTGTATGATCGGTTGTTGTTCTTGTGCTGCAGGACCTCCAGCCTGGGCAATTTGCTGCACGACCGGCTGTTGCACTACTAAGGCTCCATTCGCCTGTAGTTGCTGTTGACGCATCATGTTCTGCAATTGTAGTTGTCCTCCACCTAGGACTTGCTGCTGCTGTTGCTGCTGCTGTCCCACTGCTTGCACAGGACCTAGGACTTGCTGCTGCTGCTGCTGTCCCACTGCTTGTACCGGAACTTCTCCTCCAGGCGAAGCAGATGCGGCACTTGGAGTTCTTGACCCTGCAGGCGACACTGGCAGCATCCATGGAACCTTAGTAGTGAAGCCTACCTGCCTCTGTCCTTGTTGCACCACGTTCGCTCCTGGGGAAAGACCTAGACCACTCATGGACCCGGACGAAACCAATCTTGGTGCAGCTCCTCCTGCTGTTCCACTGGGTGGACCACCTGGAAAAAAGCTAAGAGCTTGTTGTCGCTGAGATGCAAGCGTGCCAGCTGCGGCCGGAGAGGACCCGGACACAAACATCTGTTGCCGCTGTTGGGGCGACATCTGATTCATCAACGGCTGCTGAATACCCGGTTGTAACAACGCAACTGGTTGTTGAAGATAGCCTGCTGGAGGCAACTGGCCTGGTGAGAGTCCTGCTACAAGAACACCTCGTTGTTGTGGAGAACCAGTCTGCCAGATGACCTGCGGAGCCGGAGACCTTGCTGCTTGTTGGCCTTGTTGTGGCGACGCAACAACTTGTGGAGTTGACGACCCGCTGTTTGGCAAAAAGACCTGCTGTCCTGCTGTCGCTGATGAAGGCTGGTGCATGCCATTGGTAGCCTGTACGAGCACAGCACCACTATTGATCAATCCACCAGGTCGTGAAGTTCCTGCATTGCCATTACCATCACCAGATGTTACACGCCCTCCAACATTGGTACCATCGTCGACGACAAGAGGCGATGCCGTACCTGCACTCGAGGCAGATGGTGTGACGATCAGTCCACCACTGACCATCAAGCGGGGATCGTCCGTGTCTGAAGCGGGATTCTGCGTTCCCGGACTAGGGAGACGGACTGTCGCACTGTCGTCACCAGAGTCTACACCACCAGCAAAAGCCTCTACAGAACTCGAGGATTGCGACAAGCCAAGAGTGGAGGCTGTGTTGAGAGTGGATGGCTACCGTAAAAAAACGAAGATGTTAAAGTCCTTCTTGTGTCCTCTGTAGCTTTACGTAGGTATATTGTCCTCATAATAGACTATGAAAGAACTGAGAAGAAAATGCTTCTGCACCCACTAACACTAACTAGTCTATAAGCAATTAATATTACCGGAGTTTTCTCTCGACACTTGGCCTCCTGTGCCAATTCCTTGACTCGACGCGTCTACTTCTTCGACACCCTCCTGTAGTTTTGCACGCTCCAGCATGCGCGCTTGATCTTCTGCCGACGTAATTCCTGCCCTGTCACGCCGTTTACACGTCTCACAAAACGGTACCATTTTCCGAATAGAGTGTAGAAACGATGCTTGTTCATCATGTTGACCTCTTCTTGAGTCAGTCTCTGTTGATGTAGAAGATGCTCCGAGAATACGAGTCCTTAGGTCTTGTAGAGAGGCCGTAAGCACACTCGCAGAAGGCAGCATCGAGGTACTGAACGACAGACCACCATTCCTTTTGTCCCGTTTGTCCTTTCGTCGACTTCTTTTGGACGATGGTGGCGCGGAGTCGGGGAATGAAAGTTTATTTCAATACGCGTAACGATTCATGTAGAAAAACATCATCCTGCCAAACTCCTTGTGACTTGCACCCCTAGCGGGAGGGATCTCGTATGCTTCTGGTATTTTTAGTAGCCTGAATTTGATCGCAGAGATTCTCTTCTTGTTTTCCTTATGATCAAAATCAGGTTACAGCATACCTGAACCACTCAGTTCTAGATCTACTGAGCTTACTGAGACAGCTATTGCGAATAGGGTTGCGAACGACCTCCGATCTATCGAGGGAAATTAGCCGGCTAATTTACTTTGTGTGCTTTGAGCGTCGCGGGACCTACACCCTCCCAAAAAGGCGATGTTCTTGGGAGGACGTCATGTCATGTCATGGATCCTCTTTTATGTGTTATGCTAACACCTTTGAGTTTTGCATCTGAGACAACTATGTATGTTTCTCTGTTAATTCTTGTTGAGGATGCCGTAACTTCAAAGATGGAAGATTAGGCGAAGACCTGGATACATTCGGCGTTCGGGTCGTCTCGCGATCTCTACGGTTCTTTCTCCTCACTTCAGGTGCATTGCGTACGTTATCTGCATGAGCGCGGACAAGATTAGAAGATTTATAATATCTTCTGTAACACCTCCTATATCTTTATGGTGCTGGAGCTCCTCTCAGCTGCTATGGTTGTCGCATTTTTATACGGAAAAGGACAAAAACGAAGGTTGATTGTGGACGATCGTTCCTTGCTTCATGATTTGCAACTTGCTGTCGCGATTAATATAGCGCTTGTTTTCACTAAACGAGTTAGTAGCACGTCCTTCTCGATACCGTTGAATGTGTGTCTGATGAAATCAACATCGCTAAAAACTACATCATCCTTAATGACATGCGGGTGCCCAAGGCCGAGAGCTACTTCACGTGCAGAAAGCCGCTCCTGCTGAAAGGGCAAAAACTGACTGGAGGGTGCCACCAACGGCGATGTACTTGGGCTTGCCTGTTGCTGTCCTCCTGGACAAATTAGAGGGACAACTAGTAGAAGGATCTTCTGGATGGTCTGTGTCTGTAGCTACAGGATCTGGTACATCCGAGTGACTGTGTGAGCCAAAGTCTATGCTGAGCTACATTGGCTGACGATGACGAATGAGCGGAGGACTAGTAGGAAATCAGAAGTTTCCAATCAGTGAGCAACAATAATTTTCCCTCTTCATAGCATTGCTACCGGGACCGCACTAGAACCGTATTGGATAACAGGAGTGACAGGACGTCTGGTTCCAACCGGGCTTCCTGGTAGTGAAGGACCCGTCGCTGTGCCTGCGACCACCCCACTCGGTTCAGCGAAGGTCACCTGTCGTGTAGCGGAACAAATGTGAATGTACTGTTTGTCAAAGTCGATCAAATTTATGTGGATGTCGAAACACAAACTACGATTTCCTTCAATGTTCACGAATCATGTGCAATATTCATCTATTACCCTGCGATCAGAAGCGCTTGGAGGCGGACGACCAGCACCTCCCGGACTCGTCTGTGCATCCACCACAGAGGGTCGTGTAAGAGACGACCCACTAGAGCCGAGCAGAGAAGTAGAGGACTCCTCAAACCGCAATCCGTAAATAGCAACAACCCCGCAGCCTAACACCAGCAGCACGGTTCCAGTGAGCAGTCCAAGAACTAAGCCCTTGTTCGCAGCAAAGGAAGCAGCGAGCTTCGTAGTCGAGGAAGTCTGTTCACCTGCACGACTTGCTGCTTGCGGCGCTATTGTTGGAGTGTTTGGGTTGCTGTTTCCATCATCTTCGTTTAGAAGCAGGCCCGTCTGTAGCTCCTGCTCCTTGGGTCCTTCTTCCTCTGGTGCTCCACGAGGACGCGGCATGATTTATTGCTCTTGTGAAGATGTTTCTCCGAACGACGAGGGCCGCGTTGTGAGAAATACTAATACTTATCAATGGGGGAATCTTCCGTCCACACGCTCCACCTCGAAAAAAAAGTGCGCTTTGGGAATTGCGATAGCCGAAAACCACAGCCTGTTTAAACCAATTAATCACTCATGTGCTCCACCCTGACTTAATCTCGAAGTCATTGAAGGACAGTATTCCAGACACAAGACGAAGTTGCTCCACCAGCACCAGACGTTGTAACAGCGTATCTCTGTTGTGAGAGCACAAAGCAAGGAAGAAGCTCAAACGAGGTAGCTCTCACCAGGTAGCTGATGACACAGAGGAGAAAGCGACCAGGGACGAAGGACACAAAAGTGAATAGACTCGCGTCGGTGGTCGCTGAGTGTGAAGATTTATGTGTAGTTGGTCAAGAAGAGGTGAAGCTGAAGGAAAAGAAGATCCGAGTAAAATTGTCGACAGAGGATAGACTCTTCGCTCAAAACGAAGGAGTATTCAAAGACCACAAGCACTGACAACCGCGGATAAGTAGACGGATATTACGGATGAAATATGTAGACGGATATTACTCGAGGTGTTGAAACCTATAGTATGGAGAAAGAGAGAGCAGCACGATAGATGAGTAGATCTTCTACATGTAGATGTAGATCATGTAGATGAGGAGCTAATATTATATATGTAGTAACAAAGTTGTAGTTGTCAGACCAGATTATGATGAAGACGTTGACGTATCTTGCACCAAATAATTCCGTAGATGGAGGTTTGATGAGTAGTAGTCCTTGTCGGGACGCAAGATTTCATCTAAGATTTCGGCAGGTCCTCGCTAACAGTTGTACTGCAAATATGAGAATGAACCATACTACTGCTGAGCACGATCCGTTGTCGAGTGCACAAGCGTGGTTACAACCCTGTATCTTTCCCTCCGATCACTGAAAGTATTTCTCCAATATTTCCCTCGTCGGTCCTTCCGTAGTTTACAACTTCATCATGTATGTTCATGTACTTCATCATGTATCTTCACCAAGATCAATTTTCACAGGACTTGTAATTGTCCTGGTGACCGATGTAGCATCTGGCTCTTCTTCTAGTGGTCGTCCACTCCAAATCCTCCTCTAGTGGAGCTAAGCCACTTCCTAGTTCAAGTAGAGAACACACGCACTGCGTAAACGGGTGGTAGTTTCCCAAAAAAGTTCTTTGACCCTTGATTTTTTCATCAACAAGAAGAACATGAGTAAGAGCATATGATGCGTTTGGTGCTCATATTTCGTCGCAAGAACCACATTCTTCTTGGGTAATTCACTGTTACTGTTGCTTCTTTTTCTCATTGAGTACTCCTTCAACTTCCTGGATATATTTCAGCTTCTTATCCTTTCGTATGAAGCTATTTAGTTTGTTCCCTATGTATCGCGCTTATTCTTTTGATAAACAAGGAAACACATGCGCGAAACGTAAACGGTCTGCACACTCGCAAGGAGCGACCCACACTCGCACGACGCGGCTCACACTCGCAAGATGGACGCGGCTCGCACTCGCAAGATCGACGCGGCACGGCGCCCCCCCCTTGGCCTCGCTCGTAGGTAGGCGCCCGTACTCACAGACACACGGAGCAGCTCGCGCCTGAATCGGCACGCCCTGGCCTCGNGTATGAAGCTATTTAGTTTGTTCCCTATGTATCGCGCTTATTCTTTTGATAAACAAGGAAACACATGCGCGAAACGTAAACGGTCTGCACACTCGCGAGCCGCTGCCTATACTCACACGAAACGCCTCACACTTGCAAGAGGCGACTCCCTCGCACTCGCAAGACTCGACTCACACGGCGCCCCCCCCTTGGCCTCGCTCGTAGGTAGGCGCCCGTACTCACAGACACACGGAGCAGCTCGCGCCTGAATCGGCACGCCCTGGCCTCGCTGGCGACCCCGTCCTTGCCCACTTGTCTCGTACGAGCAGCCGGCTCCCCCTTCCTTTGCGACTGCCAGGCGTGCAACGAACTGCCCAAGAGTCTTTTAACTGCCCACGAGTTATGTGTTCACATTTTTGCAGACCCGAACGGATGTTTTCTCTGACCTGGACGCATCCAGAGGTGACGCCGCTCCACACCCACGAACACGTGAGAACGAGAGGTGCTACCACGGCAACAATGTTCTATCTTCATGCCGACGATTTCATCTATTTGTCTGTAAACCAAAAAGAGAGAATAAATACTTCTGCTGTTCATAATGAAAAGCGTCCTTGCTATTCTTCTCCTCCTACTCTTTTTTATTCTTCGAATAGGTGTCTTCATCTTGTCAAAAGAGTAAAAAGAGCGACGAGGCGAATGAAATAGTAATAATCTAAATATGGGAGTAGAGCAGCGATTACCCAAATCGGGTTGCAGTAGTATTAATTTCAGTTTGTTGATAATAGTAGTACATTGTGATGTCGCTTCGTATTGTTTTTGATAATAGTAGTACCTTGTGTCGACGCTTGATGTTGTTTTGTACAGTAGTAGTACATTGTTATGTCGCTTATGAGTACATGCAAATCCTACTTCGCCCAGTGTGTCACTTATGAGTATTTTTTTCACAGATGAGTCCACGTTTCTAATGGAGGACCTTAAATCCATTGGCTTATGCGCATCGTGTAAATCATAATTCGGAGAACAAGAATAGAGGCTGGCTATGCGCTCGTGTAGGAATATGAAATGAATGGAATCACATAGAACAACGAGGAGAAGCTCCTCAAGCGTAAGAAGTAGCTGCTTGTTGCTTCATTAACCTAGGCATTTCTCTAGATGAAGATCCAAGTCCTTCTATGTATACAGTTAGAGTCAGTAAGTGCTTGTTGATTAACTATACACGAGCTGCTGAAAAAATCAAATGTAGCGTCCAGAATAATCAGATATAGTAGACAAGCCATTTATTTTGGATACAGAGTCTGCTAGATGAACATGCACATACGGGGTTTGTTATATTTTTACAGAGGGGCTCCCCGTTTCTTTCAGCTGTACACACATTCATCATGTAGGTAGTCTTGCGGATCAGCTTATGCTTAATACTTCGGAATGGAAACTTCACGCAAGGACACTTCTTATCGTAGTCCGGCTTGGAGGTGCCACTTCTTCTATGGGCGGTTTGTAAATATTCTATTGCTTCACCTCCACAGTGGAACCAATCAAACCTCCAGCTCCACGACAGTGGAAGGAATCAACAACACGTACTTCTAAACGTCCTCCACAACCTCAGCTCAACATGCTTTTTTTTTTTTCCTCCACAACCTCAGCAACCTTTCTCAGCTCCTCAATGTACGGCCTCACCTTTTGCAATAAGTACTTTGCTTTACCGTTTCGGCTTTCGCAATTCTTCTGGGTAGGTAAAATGCTCCTCAGGAGCGCCGCCTTCTCCGGGGTCGTGATTTAGAGGTAGTTGAAGCAATTCACATTTGTCGTACATATTTGACACGCTTCGTTTGGAAATGTGCCAAATAGACCGCACAAATATGACAGGCTTCAACCCTTAAGGGATCGTCGAAGCCCTGAAAGGGCTGCTCGGCACTAAACATGATGTCCGAAGGGATCGCTGTGTGATCAAGCGTCGGCGTTTCTTAGAAGTGGAGTAACGGTATTGGAACAAGTTGCCGTATTAAATACGTTGGTGGAGGAGGTGGAAGAAGTTGTATCAAGAAGGAATATTCGCAAGAATAGAGTTGTTTTTCTATCAAAAATCTGAAGTCTTAACTTGGCTTTCTTCTTCCAGGTGTCGGGATAGCATTTGAGGAGCTTGTCGTGTTTGAGTCTTTACTCTGTTTCTGAAGAAGCTGTTGCTGGTCAACTTGAGAGAGACGCAATGCAGGAACATGTCGTGGTGCACCAGTTTGATTTTTATCGGAAGAATTTTTAGCGCTAGGTGGCAGCTTCATTGGTTTCGCTGGTGCAGCTGCGGATGAAATATCAAGAGAGGTAACATCTTCCACGCTAGCTGGCTCCACGACTCTTCTGCCACCCTCTTGAGGAACTGCAGGCCCTCCACCTTTTTTACCCCCCTTGTTCGTTCCCGGCACAGGAGGAGCTGCGCCCTTCTTTCCACCAACGACCTTAGAAGAACTCAATCTAAGCATTTTTTGCTTCACTTTGTCATTGTCTTGTTCCCTTCACTTCTTCAAAATCGCATCAAGGAGGAAACTGACTACAGAAGAAAACTAACAGATGTCTTCTCATTTCTCCAGACAATCGAAAGAAGGAAACTACTAAAAAAAGAAGAAAATAAACGAACCTTGCACCGATAATGAATTGCATCAAGAGGCCTTAACTACCGCTGCTTTCGGCGCACCAGTTCCTGTTTCGTCACTCGGGGGTTGGGCTGCTTTGGATACGATCGTCGTCGTGCCACTGTCATTGGAAGCAACAGGAGGTCGTTGTGAAAATTTCGGGACCTCCCCAGCTGCTTTTTTCGATAACATGTTACCCAAGGCGGCACCTACTTTAGAGTGTGTGCAGTGTGGAATTGGATCCATCAGATCGGTCTGTCACTGTTTCCTGCAGATCTCAGTAATATTATCTTTTCCCTAGTTTTATCTCAACATGGGAAAGGTAAAGCGACAAGACCTGAAGATCTCCTATTCCATCGAGCATTCTTGTTCTATAGGAACTACAAAAAGACAACATCATACAACCAAACAAGAGATGAAGAGGATAAGAGAGATGAGATGGATGGACACTAAATGTTCTTGACCAGCATAACTACTCCATCCTTTTTCAGTTTGCCTGGCGCTACCTTCGGCTTTGACACTGCCAACAAGGCATCTAGGCCAGCATTGTCGACTTTCCCTGTAATCCGCCGTGCGCCTTCTTCGTTGTTAGTACCAGTTCGAAGCTCGTTCCCTGCCCATTTGTCACCCATCGCCGCCTGCAGTTGTTGTGTGATGAAATTAGAAGAACTGGTGAGCATTTTTGAAGGTGCCAGAGGAAGTAGTTGCACGAGAAAAAGCACAAGATGAGAAAATTGTAAGCTCTCAAGAAAAGGTTTTCCCTTCAAAACGAAACCTCACTCCAAGATGCTTGTTGGGGAAGATGGATTTCCTCAAGCCTTAATACTCAGGCCATGCTTCACCTGCTTTGAAACCCGCTGATTGTCTTGCACTCTCAGCGACATTTGCCTCTGCTTCTCCTGTCTCCTCGCTATCTCCTCTGGACTTTGTGCTTTTGCCCTTGCAGCCAAGGAATATTGGAAGAAAATAGGATTTTGGATTATTTGGGTTCGCTAAATTGGTACTTTGAAAAAAAGGCGCCGATCTTTGAAAATCAAAATGTGTGCTTCTGTTTCTCCATGAAGGTCCTTCACGATCCTTGAAAATGTGTGATTCTGTTTCTCCATGAAGGTCCTTCAGCACCAGAGCAAATAAGAAATCCAAAAAATAAGAAAAGTTGGGGTAACTAAGCCTTAAAGATTATCCAAACCATTGGTATCCACTTCTTTCTGGTTGTCAGCACCAACCCATTTGTCACCCATCTTGGCCGCCAACTGTTTTAGCGCTAGTTTAGCACTATCCCTGGTTGAGTGCTGAGTTCCCCTGTTTCCTCTTTATAATTTTCCCCTTGAAATCAAGGGAACCTTCACTCAGCAACAGCACAGTTCACAGGGGATATTGATAATCACTAGCCTTAACTGTTGAGTGAGACTGAGGCCGTGATTTGCTTTTGCGGCTATGGCTTGCTGCTCCCGTACTCTAGCAGATGCTGCTTGCTGCTTCTGCAGCCTCTTCTCCCGCTCTTCAGGACTCGCGGCTTTTGCTCTCGTCATTTCTTTCTTTAGAGGACACGGATGTCATGGAACAAAGGATTCGACTTGTGATTCGACTTGTTTACGCTGTGGAACAGGATGAAATGAAGTAAGTACAAGTAAGTATTACTAACCCTGTAGTTCTTGAAGTAACTAAGTAAGTGTGGAAATTGGAAGTAAAGTAGACTACTAACCCTGTAGTGCTTGAAGTCTAGATGAAAGGACTAGACGGTGATCAACAAAGAGACCAGCGAACAATCTTCGGTACTTATCTTGTTTATTTCGAACTCGCTAGGTGGGCATCATTTAGATTAATCTATTGATCTTTCGAAGTACTCGCTGAGTTGTCTTTAATAGGGGATGACTCTTAATCTAGCGCAAATTAAGGCTTGGGAGTAGTTGACCTATCATCTAAGAGCGTCTCTCTGTCTTCCTCAAGTAGGAAAGCCACAGAAGATATGCGAGCTAGAGACGCCAACTTTCAACCCCTAAGAAAAGAAACTCAGCAGGAAGAGGAATCACAACGGGATGACTCTTAATCTAGCGCAAGAAGAGAAAGAGAATTATCGTGTTGACCCTTAATCTAGCGCGTTCCTCTTGTTGACGTTTTGCCTCTGCTAAACGTGCAGCTACGCCACCGGCAGATATCTTCGACGCTTCGTCCAGCTGCACGCCGCCTGTTCTGTGACTACTCTTAGAGGTCGTTCCCTAACCCGTTCACATTCGTCTATTATGATGATCGATGAAGATGATGATGATCTGACGATGATGATGATGATGATGACCTGATGATGATGATGATGACCTGATGATGATGATCTAAGTAATGATGATGACCTGATGACGATGATGATTGTGCCTATACTAGAGGTGGCACAGTCGATAATATTTGTGTTTTATAATTTCTAGAAAGGTTGCTTTTAGTAGAATAGAGATCGGCACCAGAGTCGCGAAGCGAGTATTCTTAATTCCTTAATTTTCTTGACCCCACGATCTGCTAAGCCTTGTCTCAGGTCTGCAACATTATTGGCGTTCATTTGATCCTCTGGCATTCGATCCCCATGAAAGGACGTGCGCGCCAGTACACGATCCATCAGCGCAGCCTCCGAAGTATCTTCCGGTCTATAACTTAGAGGAGTACAGAACATAGTTCTGTACTATTTGATGGAAAGAATCTCTTTAGTAGAAATTTAGAAGCGTGCCAGTCTTTATGCTACAATGGATGAGTAAGTAAATGCGGCTATGGCAACATTATCAACTTGATACAACAACAAGAGAGACTAGTAGAGTGTAGGAGATCTTCATCATTGATACACTTGTTGGAGTATAAAGAAGACTCAAGAGGCTGAGGCATCTTCACAAGCACGAGTAATATAGTAGAAGATGGATACTACAGCTACGAGAGTGTTGCACTTGCACAGGACACTACTACAACTAATACGAATAATATTCAACTAGAGTGTACTATTACGAACAAGAACAAGGATCATAACTGGGTGCCGTATCTAGCCGCGTTTCGCGCTTGGGCTTGTTGTATCATTAACGCGTTCATCAAGTCCGGACCCTGGAGCCTGCGGGTCTGCATCTCCTGCAATAGCCTGGGGTCTGCGGCAACGTGTTGCGCCAGCTGGGCCATTTGTTGTTGCAGCAAACCTATGTCTGCGTTTCCAGCCGCGTGCGCCAAATCGGCTGGCCTATCTCTTGCCCACTGCGCTGCGTCGCGCGCCAGTTTATCGATGTAGGCGATGTGCTCAGTCGGCAAGGGAGCGAGTGCCCCCCTGGGGGCGCCATAGTCCTTTGCGAACTGCGCTGCGCCCCTCGCCATCTCCTCTGCCAATCCTAGCTGAGAAATTTTTCCTGGTGCCGGAACAGCTTGCCGCAATCCGGCCTCTTTGGCCCACTGCATGGTATCACGGGCCAGTTCATCTGCTAAGCCTAGGTGCGCAGTTTTTCCTGGTGCCGCAAGTGGCTCCCGCGGGGCGCCATAATCCTTTGCGAACTGCGCTGCGCCCCTCGCCATCTCGTCGACCAATCCTAGCTGAGAAATTCTCCCGGGTGCCGGAACAGCCTGCCGCGGTCCGGCCTCTTTGGCCCACTGCATCGTACCACGAGCCAGTTCGTCTGCTAAGCCTAGCTGTGAAGTTTTTGCTGGTGCAGTATATGGGTCCCTAGGAGTGCCATAGTCTTTTGCGAACTGCGCTGCGCCCCTCGCCATCTCGTCGACTAATCCCAGCTTCGAAATACGTTCAGGCGCAGACAGTGCTTGCCGAGGAGCTGCATCCTTCGCCCACTGCGCTACATCACGGGCCATCTCGTCGATCAATCCTAGCTGAGAAATTTTCCCGGGTGCCGGAACAGCCTGCCGCGGTCCCGCCTCTTTGGCCCACTGCATCGTACCACGAGCCAGTTCGTCTGCTAAGCCTAGCTGTGAAGTTTTTGCTGGTGCAGTATATGGGCCCCTAGGGGTGCCATAGTCTTTTGCGAACTGCGCTGCGCCCCTCGCCATCTCGTCGACTAGTCCCAGTTTCGAAATACGTTCAGGCGCAGACAGTGCTTGCCGAGGAGCTGTATCCTTCGCCCACTGCGCTACATCACGGGCCATCTCGTCAATCAAGCCCAACTGCGCCGTTTTTGCTGGTGCAGGAAGCCCCTGCCTAGGGGCCGCATCCTTCGCCCACTGCGCTACATCACGGGCCATCTCGTCGATCAAGCCCAACTGCGCCGTTTTTGCTGGTGCAGTATATGGGTCCCTAGGAGCACCATAATCCTTCGCGAACTGCGCCGCGCCTCGGCCCATCTCGTCGATCAAGCCCAACTGCGCCGTTTTTGCTGGTGCAGTATATGGGTCCCTCGGAGCGCCATAATCCTTTGCGAACTGCGCCGCGCCTCGGCCCATTTCGTCGATCAAGCCCAACTGCGCCGTTTTTGCTGGTGCCGGAAGTGCCTCCCTCGGAGCGCCATAATCCTTTGCGAACTGCGCGGCACCCCGTTGCATCTCGTCGATCAATCCCACTTGTGCATTCGGTGCGGGTGCGACTCCAGCGAGAAGAGCAAGCGCGTCTCGTTGAGCACTATCTTTGGCATACTGCAAAGCACCTCGAACAACGGTGTTCGCCATGTCCAACTGTGCCTTTATTAGAAGTGCCATTCTAATAATAAGAAAAGGTCATGATGATGTATGATTCTCTAAGAAAAGTTATCCCTCTGCTGCCTCTAACGTCCTTAAGAGGTGTCCTACTTCAAAAGTGTCGATCATGTCCCGTATTATCAAGATAGCCTGTGAGGTATCCTACTTCAAGAGTATCGATTGAGGTATCCTGCTTCAAGATGAGTATCGATTAGGTATGTCCCTTACTAAAAGCCTAGTACGCTACTGAACGATGCGCGTGTGGGACAATCGATCGACATTACTTAGGGAGAACTCGAAGAGAAGCTGAAATAGGAGCGAGTGATCCAAGGGTATTTATGAGTACTAAACTAACGGCGTAGCTTTTCTACAATCGACATCATGTTAATCTTCGATCGACATCAGTACCAGAAACTACACTCAGCGAAATAGTGATGAAAGGCTAGCTATTAGTGCTAAAAACTACACTCGCCATAAATTCGGCGCTGGAGCAGCGGTTTTCGTCGGTTGTGCTCTACTGGCCACGGATCGTCTTTGAAGCTGACCCGCGTCCTTTGCAGTTTGCATCATCCGGTTCATGATCCCCGCTTCCTCCTGATTCCTTACTAAAAAAGGCCGCAAAAACTCTGCAGCATTAGACGGGAGGTGGTGGAACAAGAAAAGCTAGAAGAGGTGGTGGAAGACTCACTTATTGTTGTGCACAGGAAGACTCACTTGTAAGAACAGAGTCTATCACAACAGACTCACTTGTAACTGTAAGAACAGAGTTTCTCACGAAAAGATGTGTCAAAAACGTCCTAGTAAGTAGTACTACAGCGAGGGATCATCATATGCTACGCAGAAGCAAGCACACTGCAGTGAATTACAATGATACGTAAATGAACCGACGACGTAGAGGAATTCTTCACACCAGTAATCAGTAGCTTTTGGTAAGCTTTTGGTACAATGCAGAATAGTCTTTAAGTCTTTGAAACAAAGAGGAGCCTTTAGTAAGTCTTTAGTACCAAGGCCGTAATATCATGATGTGCATAGGTCAAACCGTAGTCCTGTGGCATTTCTACAGGTGTCGCTAACATCGGATTCACTGACATTCGCATCGGCTCCGGAACTGGTTGCCGCTCACCCCCGACGATCTTCACAGGTTCACATTAGAAGAGTTACTATGATGATCCCCCTTTCACGGTAGAGAAGAGCAGTTCTGTGAAGATTAAGGCAATAGGTAGCAGTAGATTGCTGCTTTTTCTTGAGTCAGTGCTGAAGCTCTATTCATACAGTGCTGAACCTTATAAGAAGTTCTATGAAGATCTATTCATACATATTAATAGATACTATTCAAGAACGAGATGACCTAAAAAAACACAAATATTTCTTCACTCAAATAAAATCGATGATTCTTAATCAGCAATGAGCTGTGTGCGCGACATGCGCCCAGGCTCTGGCAATGGCTGGACCTCTCCACCAACTATTTTTACCGGTGTGGCAAACTGCGTGTTTACCGGCATCAAGCCTGCCTCTGGCAACGGCTGGACTTCCCCTTCATTAGCGCTTTCCTTAATTCATCTTGGAGAGCATCTTGGACGGTTGAAAAAAGGTTTTTTCTCAGGTGTGTGTCCACCTCCCTGTCGCAGCTCCTATAAGACTGAGTCTCTTTAAGAGACTTCTACCTAACAGACCCTAAGAACTCCAACTATGTTGTCAGTGGAGTATGTTACATGTCGATGTCACCTCACAAAGTAGAGCACAGAGTACCAGAAGATGGTGGTAACGAAGAAAAATAGCAAAAAGAGAAAGTTGTAGCCGAAGCTAGAGAAAATGCGGAAATATCAGGAGATGAAAATGAAGATGTTATGCAAGGAGATGAGGCAGACCTTAACTCCAACTATGGTCACAGGATCTGCGAATCGGTGGATAATGTCATCTCGCTTTAATTCCGGGATCGCTTCTGCGTCGCCTGCCGTTACCTTCGGCAAAGGCTGCAACCTACCACGTTGGAGGTCATCACGAGCCGGGCTGCTCAAGCCGTCCCTCATTTTCTGAAGCACGGGTCCGACGTGTGGCACGGGACCGATCGCTAGCGGGACTGGGCGTAATTCGGTCACCAACCCAGGCATCGCCTTTTCGATCAAAGCGGTTTCGTCGTCTCTCTGGCGGTCTAGGGTCCTTCTCCTCTGGGCGCCATGAATGTGCATCTTTTAGAAGAGGGTGTACAACCGCATTAAGAACATCCTTGGGAGGGAGCATCCTCCTTAAGGGCTTGTTCTTTTTCAAGGAGGGTGTACAACCGCATTAAGAACATCCTTGGGAGGGAGCATCCTCCTTAAGGGCTTGTTCTTTTTCAAGGAAAAAAATAAGAGCCAATGCCAAAGCAAGGTCATTTAATGTACTTATGAGGATGCTTTTTGGAGGTTGTAGCCTTAAGTGTAGGACGTTCGTTTTTCCTCCACTGTCTTAGTCTCCATCACAGGTTCGATGAATTTCGGCATCGTCTCCGTTCGCATAGTGGGAATCACCCCTTCGGTGCCCTCCTTGATACCTATATTATATTTATAGAAATGAGAAATAACAAAAAAAGCTCGTCAACTTGCTTCTATTTACATAAGGTCAACTTGCTTCTATTTACATTCGTATGTAAATCACGAAAAGGTGCAAGTGAAGTTTTTTATCGTCAGTACATCGATCAGATTCAGAAGTACTAAGATTAAGCCTGAACAAGCCGAAAAACGCACGAAGCAAAACAAGATGAGAGAACAACTACGCAGTTTGCCAACCCAAGAACAAAGAACAGTCGCTCATTCACCCACGCTGCCACCAATGCAATTGAGAGCCACACGTTTCCGAAAAACAAACGAGCTATAAGATACCTCCTCGTTGTCTTCCCGCAGCCATTATGAGCTGTTGTTGTGGAGAGCCGATAAGAGCATCCTTATTTAGAGCTCAAAGTATTTCACTTCTTCACTTCATTTCTTTAGAACCCCAAGAAGGAAACTGCGATAAATGACTGGTAGAAATGAAGGATATTCATATTGAGCCTTAACTTATCTGCCAAGTAGGGTCGGATGTCTAGAGGGAGCTCGCCTCCCAACTCCCCCATCCCCCACATATGCTGCATCCTGGCCGCCTCCATTGCTGCTTCGTCAAACTTTAGAAGAGGTATGCATGAGCTATGTAGTATGGTGGGAAAAGGCAATCAGTGTAAGTAGTCAGTGTGTTCCGTAACTTAGTGTGTAACCTAACAGTCCTGTCTTTGTAGCATATGATCATCTCTGTAGTTTCTTAGTAGTAGTAGAACATGGTCCTCCCTGCACAACTAGTCTAGTAGGACTTTCTCTAAAAAACTATACTTTTACAAAAAGCACCATCCAAGGCACACAGCACAAGAGCAAGCAACATGCAATCTATGTCATGGGTGTATCCCTGATAATGCCGTTCCTAGCATCGTCCGTATTTTTTTTTTTGCGTTAGGACTATATGCGTAGAGCTAAGTTCTGACAGTGAACATGACCATCCAATCATTATAAGGAACAAGCTGAAAAATTATGAGTAGTAATAGAATGGGTCAATGATTAATAAATATGAGTAGTAGTGAATAATAGTACTTCTATGAGTCTAGTAATAGAACATCATGACCACCGTTCAAAATCATTAAATATAATAAAGCTCAACTACAAGTAGCATGAGGCGTAAGAACTCAGGTGGGACAAGTGGGTGCAGCAGTTCTTGTTCCTTCAGACCCTGGTATTTTTCCAGCGTGCGCAACAGCCGACCGCGATCACCACCTGCGAAGCCAGCTGCGCCCAAACGATCCCGCACGTCGTCGCCATCACCACGCAAGTTTTCCATGTGCAACAGTTCTTCCTCATTCAAGCCCTTGTAGTCTTTCAGCGTATCGATTCCACCACGCGTAGCAGCAGACGGGCCGCCTAAATGCGCCTTGTCCGCTCTCTCTCGCAACGTTTCTACTATCTGATTAGAGTCGGCTTGTTGTATTCATCATTCTCGTTCCCCTCATCTGCTCGACCCCTTTGTATGTTTCCCCTGAAAAGAATATTTACAAGGGAAACAAATACAAAAGGGACCCCTTTCCCCTAAGCGACTCAAGGGAAGAGGGTAAGTACCGAGATGCGCCTGAGAAGGACGGACGATAAAAGCTGATGAACTTCTTAATCTGCGGCCTCATCTGCACATCCGTCATCTCCGGCAATGCTTGGCCGTATTCTGGCAAATATCCAGCAATATCCGCAGGACCGTGCCCACGCTGTGTCCCTCCAGCTTCAATATGTGGCGTGATGCCGTCCAATCCTCCAATGACCGACGTCCGCGCGGCTTCAGGCAGATATTCCACCCGGTCCGCTGGCCCTGCGCCACCTGAGGTGGCACCCCCATCTAAGAGGCCCCGCTCGTCAAACTGCATGCCAGTCACGAAACTGGTGCGCGCTGCTTCGGGCAGAATACATTAGAACTGATCACTTGGATTCGCTGAGTCTGACACTCCGGACGAGGAATTTCCCGTGCCTGACACTTCGGACGAGGAATTTCCCGTGGCTGACACTTCGGACGAGGAATTTCCCGCTGGCATCTTCTGACGAGAGTACTTCTTATTCTAGTGCTTCAACCAGTAGATTTTCATTTGGATAACTACAAGCAGAGATTTGCAGGTCGTCATCCTTCGACAAAAGACGTCAAACAATATCTATCAATTGTGTCAATCTAATGCCATAATATTCCGCCAGACCCAGACCTTCGCGTCCTCTGTCTAGCTTCGCTCTGTAGTCCAATGGCTGCGCACCTGGAACGAAGTCAACCCTTGTATCTCCCAATGCCGCATCCATCTCCTCTTGCATGTCCGGGACCATTCCAGCACCAGCCCTCGTCTTTTGCAGCATATAACCAGTTGGCAAGAGTTCTGGATGCATCGAGGTTCCGATGGACATTCTTGCTGCCATTGCCTCGTCGAGTTGATATCCGAGATCCCTTCGATCCTGGGTCAAGAAGTAGCCAGTCGGCATCTGCTCTGGTTGCATACCTGCCACTTGTGAAAATCGAATAGGCAGGTCGCTTACTTTAGAGTGGCATCACCCTCAAAATAAATCCATCTACCTTGAAGACGAAGACCATCCTGAGACGAAGTTTGTTTCTCCTTGAAAAGAAACGTCTCTCGTGGGATCACTCCGCTCCAGATGGACCATTAGAAGGTCGTGGGTAGGCCATAATTACTTCCGTGCCAACTGTCAGACCCGCACCACCTTGCGCATAGTTGATGAACTCACCTGTCTCACGATCCAATGGCTGCATTCCTGTGACAAAACTCATTCGCCCCGCCAAGTGCTGGTCTAGACCTTCGTTATTCACCGCTAAGTTCGCTCCCTGACCAGCATAGTCGAGGAACAAACCACCCTCTAGTCGTTCCGGTTGCGCACCCGTGACGAAACTAGTGCGTTTGAGTGAAGTGTCCAGTTCCAAACGTCGGGCCAAATCTGCACCCTGCCTAGGACCGAAATCACGGAACAGCTCGTCTGCAAACGGGTACAGATCTTCAGGTCGCATTTTTTAGATTTTGTTTTCCCATATTAATTTATCTTTATCATTCATCTTCAAGTCATTTTTCACGTGTTGGTGTTGTGGTTGTGCTATTTCCCTTGTGGTTGTGCTATTTCCCTTGTGGTTGTGCTAAAGGAACGCCTATCACAGATGCTTTTGTAGATTGTGATTCCTGGAGATCAACTATATGGAAAAATGGAAGGAATCACAATCACGATCAAGATGTAGATGAATCATTCTTGTATCTTTCTATTACAGAATCAGTTAAGTACAGTTGTAGCTAAGTAGCCTGCTTAAATTTTGGTCAGCTGAGAGTCCGGCGCCGGTGCAATGTCGCTGGGCTTGATCTGGTTCGCATCGTCCACCACATCCAGTGGCCTCATCATCGCCAACACCTCATCCCTTAAAACTTCTGGCAAGTATTGCCCGAAGCCAGCGCCAGCGCGATCTACTAACCGGACATCAGTCAATGCGCCTTCGAAACGGTCTAGCAGTGGGGCATCCATCATGTACATTTCGTCCGACCCCTTAGGCTTCAAGTACGCCTCGGCGCGAGCTAACTCGTCCAAATCCTCACGCAACTGTTGTTAGAAGCAAGAAGAGGCTCCTTCTATTTACGAAGATAAGCATTAGGGATCCGTTTCTTTTGCATCTTGTTCCTTGCTAAGGATGATGCTAAGCAACATCACGATCATCCTGCTGAAGTTTTAGTACTTCTTTTAGATACTTTGTAGCGTTTGTACTACTAGCCTTAATTTTTGTCCAACAACACAGGCTCGTTCATGTATTGCTCTTCAAGTCCCTTGATTTGGGCTAAATAGTCCATATTCCTCTTCACAGGACCAGCATCTGGAATAAATATTTCCTTCCGCTCAATATCCGCTGCCAGCATGTACTTGTCGTCAATGCCCTTGAAATCAAACAGATCTGCGCATGTATTAGAGAAAAGAGCACTTGATGAAGATGTTGTAAAAGTAGGTCGTGTAGCTCTAATCTTCAACCCATTTTCTGTTTTACAACTGACAAACGGGCTCTGTCACACGACTAACAAACTGAAGTTCAAACATCTGAAATTTGCGCGAAAATCTTTCGCACAAATGCTTCTCGCATACAGTAGCCTTAACTGTTCCAAACTGACCTTCTGATATTTTGTCTGCCAAACCCTTGGCTGCAAGCACCGGACCAAAATCTGCCAGTTTGACTCCCTGGCGCTCATTCTCCTCCGCCTGTGCCCTCAGTTTTGCTTCTGCAGCGGCTAACCCAGCGTCCTTTAAGGCGGTTAAATCCACCGGTTCGTACTCAGCTACTTTCAAGGCACCTGGATGGGAAAAGGTGTGCTGTAGGTTGTCGAGGAAATGGGTTAATGAGTCATTAACCCATTATTCTTGTCATTAATAATGACAAGAATATATCATAGAACTAGAAAGAAGAACAAGTCTAGAAATCGCAATCTTCGTGTGTCATATCCGAAATCTCAATAGCAGGTACTATTCATTGCAGTACTAGCGTCCACCTGTGGAAACTTGAAGCAAGAGTAGTCGACTTGTAAGTATATATAATGATCAATTACGAGAGGCAACATCTAGGCACTTCTACCTCTCATCACCGTGGTGATGAAATCATCAGCAAGTTCAGGAGCAAGAAATTCGGCGTAACCCACTGGCCCGCGCTCGTGCTCTACGTTAGTTCGATCCGGCGACAACATTTTCAGCTCGCCCATATCATCTGGTGCTGCTGTCTGCAAAGCTCCCTTCCTCCGCAATTTACTGTTCACTTCTCGTTGTGCTTTCTCAACGTCCCTTTCGAGCTTGTACTTGTCTACTCGCGTCCTGTCTTCTTCTAGCCGCTTCTGGGCAGCTGCCATGTCAAACCTTTGGTCCCTCTCCACTTTCCCGACGAAGTCTTGAATTACCTGTCCTGTCGGCGACGTGGCCTTGATCTCACGCCCGTCTTTTCACACTTTAGACTTTGTTCTTGAAAAGGACTACACTGCAATAAGTACTCGAAAAACTGAAATAAGCAAGTAACTGATCAGAATAACCGAGATACTGATGAGAAGGAAGAGTAGCCTCGGCGCTAAGCTATCCAAGGAAGAACTTTGTTGTTGAAAAGGACTACACTGAAATAAGTACTTCAAATAAAGGGACTATTCAGCAGGGTCGACGTATGCGTTGGTTAGTGTTTGGACTGGGACTGGCTTCCATAATCAAATCTCTAGCTTTGGCCACTGGATCGAACCCTAGGTCCTTCCGGACTTGCATCAGTTCCTTCTCGCTGGCTGCCGAGACAGAATCCGACGAAAACGCTTCACTGCTAGAGGCCGTAGAAACCACATCCTCATCGCGAGTGATGATATGCCTATGCTTAGAAGTGCAATACAATACAATACAATACAATTAATCTCGCTTTTTATTTTTTTGTATCGCGGGCGAGTTCCGATATATCAAAACCTACCTGCGTACTTTGCAAGCGAGCTCAGAACAGATAAGGCAGGACCTGCCTACATATTTTCCGCGTAGCTACCGGCGTAGGGGGGAGTTCTTAATCTCCTTAACAAACTACGCTACTGCCCCTACGGTTTACAATGATCAAGAACTAGGAGCAAAGGCAGGAGTAATCACATACCTAGTACCTGCACCCGGGGCGTTGCCCGTCTCCCCATTACGCGCCTATGAAGAATGCTACAAAGTTCAGCGCAGACTGCCATAAGGGCGTCGTAGATGGTCTACACGATGGATCTCAGTAAGTAGGGTAACCCTACTCTATTGCTATTCGCAACCTTGATAGAGTTTCGACGTGTTCCAAATACTGATGATAGATATGATGACTCTTTAGCAGCAAATCATAGTACCTCTTGTTCTTTTTGAGGTCGACATTCTTCTTTTCCAAAGAGGAAAAGAGCAAAGGATGATGCTGGCAGCTTCTACTAAGGATTTACATACTACTTTACTTAGTAACCGATCCTTTTTTAGCTAAGAATACCAAGACTTTATTGTTAGCGACATCTCTTGGCCTCAATATTCCGAGCGACGTATTTTGCGACCTCTCTTGGTCTGAACTTCTTCAGCTCCTGCAGCAACTGTATCTTCCTTATTCCAACAGTGTGAACCTGGTGCGCAATAGCATGCTTAAAGGTAGATAGTCTACTTTCACTATCCTCGTCCACGGTTGAGCCTGATTGAGCGGCTGAGTGACTTACAACTTAGGCTTTCTTTCTCCCCTTCAAATCCTGATTAAGATTATTATTTTATTAAGTATTTTCCCTTATTAAGTCAAGTTCAATTATGGGGCTGCCACCTCACACCGATGAACGGCGGCTGCCAACACATTTGAATCAAGTTCCTCTCAAATCAAGGGGGCTGCCACCTCACACCGAAAAACAGCCTCCTCACACCGCAAAATAGCCTCACACCGAGACCGTATAGACAAAAACGATAGTGAAAATCTTCATCCTTAACCTTTTCACCGCCATCGAAAGCGTCTCCTAATTCTGCCTCCCTCTCCCTTTCTTTAGCCGTTCGTTCCAACTCACGTAGTACCTCCTCTTGCTTTCGGTCCTCTAATGGCACATCCATTTCCTCTTCCGAGTCCTCAGGAGTAGGCTGCAGAATTCTTAGAGCAGAGAGACTTAATGTTAAATTTGTATAATGTACCAAGATGACTCTTTAGCAGGAAATCATAGTACCTCCTCTTATCTTGGTACATTATAACGATTATTCCCTCATCTTGGTACCCGTACCCTTGTCCTTGTATTCTAGTGAACTGCAATTCTATTCTAGTGAACTGCAATTTATCCTCGAGCCCATAGTACTCTTGCCCTTGTAAATAAATCTATTCATCTATGAGGTCGGATGAAAGGGTACACCTACCCACAAGAAGATGCTGGTCTTGTACTACGAGACGAAAAATACTCTCTCAAAGTCGTGGTCCTGGGCCATAAAATTCCACGACGAATCTTCTTCGAGCCTTTGCGCAGAGCCATCAGAGCTTGAGTTCGCGCCTTCGCTGGATCCAGGTCTGCCCTTCCACGAGCATTAGGATCACGTTCCAAAGCAACACGTTTTCGCAACTCCTTCAAATCTAGCATGCTGGCCTTCTGTCGCGCCAACAATTCCCTTTTGCGCTCGTTATTTCGGTGTTGTTTCATCACCTTCTCGTCCCCAGCACCCGTCTTGGCCAAAACCTTCTTAATGAAATCTTCATCGTCGCTACTGTCCCACGGCTCTGCAATCACTGGGCGCGGCAGCCACGTGCCACCTATAGGTCCGTATTCTACGCAAATTTGCAACACACTCGAGATAGGATCTTCGTTAGAAGGAATAGAGGTAAGCGTAAGGCTGGACACCTTGTGACGAGTAAGTACAACTAGATCCCTGTCCTCACTAGAAGATCCCTATGATCCTCAACTTGATCTCCCCACTACTATAGCTGTCCTTACAACTAAATCCCTATCAACTAGATTATCCCTAAGCCCTTACAACTAGAAGAACCCTATCATGATTCTCAACTTGAAACTTAAAAACTACAACTATTAGATCCCTAAAAAATCCTTACTTACAACCAAATCCCTATCCACCTTAACTTGATCTCCTCCGACCGGTGCTTGCTCTCCCTCGTGTCCGCGCTTTGCTCGTCCAGCCATGGCTTTCGCCTCCCGTCGCGTGAACCGACGTTGGATCACCTCTCGCGCGTCTCGCTCAGCCGATCGTGGATCTACTTTGTAATGGACGTTAGAACAAGAGGGGAGGTTGTAGGAAATGGAAAACAGCTATGCAGAAGAATCACCTGAAGAATCATCTGAAACTGAATAAAGACTAACAGCATTTTGATGGATGATGTGAAGAATCGCATTGACTTGAAAATGAATCTTGTTCTTTTCTTCTTCCAGATGTCGACATATTTGTTGATGCATGATTTCATTAGGCCTTAATATCGCGGGTCGTCGGCGTCACAAAGAGTTGGTCCGCTAAATCTTTTGCTGTTTTTGTTACTCCCTGTTTTTGCTTCAGCCGCCCTGTTCTCATCCAGTGGTAAAGCTTTTTCTCTTTTTCACTAGGACCTCTGATTAGAGAAGGAGCTCTTGTTCTTCTATTAAGCAAGAATTCTATAATTCATTTCATATGTTCACTCTTTCGATTATCATATCCACCTAAGAAGGTGGAAACTGGAATAACAGTCAAAAGACGTGAGAGATAAAGAGTCGTAATCGCCTAGTCTACAACAATGAATTGGAGAGCTAGATGGGATGAATGATGCACTAGATGTTCATAGTATAATGATGAGCCTTAATCTTGGACCGAGGGCATCTTTATTCTTTTCGTCTCCTGCGGCCGCATCTAGAATTTCTGCGGGACCAGAGCCGACGTAGGTTCCTTTTAAGAAGCGTTTTGCCAAAGCAAGAACCTCACTATTCGAGACGTAGTCTTTGTCGGCTATTCCAATTCGCGGTACGATCGAATTACTGAACTCACTTTCGCCACTCCTAGGAGCAACTTCAGCACTCCCAAGGCCCTTAAACGAAGATGTAGAAGTGGATGCTAAGCCGGACTTCGGATCACCTCCGGACTTCAACTCCCCACCAACGTCCCCTGCCCCTGCCGTTGCCTGCTTCATAAATTAGAGATGCTCACACATCTTCACCTAATTTTTGATTCAACATCCTTTCAACAATTCATATCGTCTCCAGATGAATCCAAGGAGGAAACAAGGAGAGACAGAGATACCTACGCTGTGAAGTAAGATGACTTATGAATGCCATGTCGTGTCACCTCCTCAGGTACTACAACATGTTCAAGTCTACCAGTTAAGTAGAGGTCATTCACCCTTTTTGTACCTTCTGAAAAGCAAAAGAGCGGCCTTAAATAAACATCGTTGTCTCATCTTTGAGACCGAACTCGTCTTCGAGGTAGTTCCTTTGTCGTTCCCGCGCAGCATCGTGAGCTGTGTAGCCGCTGACTCGGGTGTAGACTTGTCGACGAAACTCCTGAAAGTGACGCGCTGCAAGACGTCGAAAACCATGAACCACGTCTAATTCAGCCAAAGTCGTCTCGTGTCCCTGTCTTAGAGAGGAACTCATACACGACCCAAATTCATGATCATCCTGGGATGCATAACATCTTCTTTCTGCGGGCATGTTTTCCCCTTACAATATATATGGGTGGAGCACACCTAACTAGGAAACAAAAAACAATAATTTCCCCTTATAAAAAAATGTCGTGGCCCCTACCTCGGAAATCAATAACGTAAAGAACTGCCTAGAGGTGACGCAATCGAGATGAAATACAATATATGGGGCAGCCTCAAGAAAATCAAAAATAATTTACTAAAGAGTACGTAGGACAAGGTTTCAGAAAACAAGCCCTAACTGTTCTCGAAACGCCTCGATCCACTCCATTTTGGCGGTAGGGTCTAGCGTCACAGTCCGCGCTATTGGTGCCATAGCACCTTCTTCCGGACGACGCGTTCCATCGATGCGTCTTTGGGTTGGCGTTAGAAGAGGGAGCTCAGAGTGTAAAAAAACATATAGGTGTTGATATCGATATTCTACGAAGATCAGTATTGATTCCTCAGAGTAAGAATATAAGTGTCGATCATATTGATATTCTACGAAAATCAGTATTGATTCTAAGTAAGTAGCTCAGGTTCAGGATAGAATAAGTCAAGAAATATTGATATTCTAAGTAGTTCCTCGTCTCATAATTCGAGGACACTGAGGCTGAAGCTGAAACTGCGCCTGAGGTGTTGAGTACTCTTTACGTACTCTATGTATAGTAAAGATGTGAATGAATTATCGACATCGAGGTCAGCCCTAACGGTGGATCCAGGTACTCGTTGATCTTCAGTAATCGGTGGTCCAAATGCGGCAACAACTGAGGGGCAGGAACCTTCGTTACAGCTGCTACTGGCGCTCCTCCTGTTGCGACTTGTTCTTCTTCCTGTTGAGTCTCATCACCTTCCTGTGGCGACTTAACCTGCATCCCAGTGAGTGTCTTTGGTGGTGCGAGGGAGAAAAGGGACACGCCCTGAAAGAATTTATTCGATTCTTCAGATGCCATTTTCTTCGCTTCCTCAGAGGATATTCCGAGGCCGTCTTTTCTCTTGCTCAAAAGTCGCAACGCTGCGGATGCATGCTTGCGCAATGGTCCTCCCTCTCGTGCAGCGATCTTCTCCGCTTTATTTGCGTCTATACGAGCCTTGGTTTAGAGCTCAAAGCAATTCTTCATGAAGAAGTTCTTGCTACTCTATGTATTTCCTCTTAGGTAATTCTTCATGATAAGGAACCCGAAACATTGAGCAACTACTGTCAGTAATGATGCTTTTAGAATCCTTCAAGGAAACACTGAGCAAAATGCTAATGCTTTGTAGAAGTCTCTACTTAATAAATGAATCGCATCTATGGAGCCTTAATTGACCATGCTCCAGTTTTTCGCGCCTGCGTGTCGATCTTTCTTCCGCAGTTCGCGCATTCGTCGTGCACGTGCAGAGCTGCTGTCTTTTGCTCGCTGATCTCGCAGAAAATCCGCAACCTGAGCTGCGCCTCGTGCGTGCGCATTTCGAGCCGCGGCGCTTGCTTGGTAGGCCCTGCCGCTTTCAGCTTGGTCCTGCCTAAGTTGAGCAGCCAATTGCTTTCCAAAGAAATCCACGTACCACGCCCACCCTTTCTTGAACTCTCCTTGCGGTACGAACTGCTTTACTTCCGATGGCTGCGATGGTGTCGCCAAGGGTTTCTCTCCAGCACGCACAACTGTCATTCTTTGTTGTGGCGCAGAATCCTTGGCCAGCCTGTCCTTGAGCGGTATCTTTTCCGCAGGCTTTCTTAACGCCAGTCTTTCACTATGCCTGGTTATAAGTGAGTTGCCCTTTTGGCCTTGGTTTCCCCTTTAAATCATACTACATGGGGCACTTCGGTCAGCATGGAGGCAGGTCCACTTGAAAAGAAAAGTGAAAAAGTAGCCGTAATTTTCCTTGAGGTATATCGCCGTCGTCATCACTCCCACCATCACTAGACCCAGAGCTACTCGAAGCCTCCGCTTCCATTTGCCGACGTGGTCTCATACGTCTCGCTCCAGACAAGTCCGCCAGGTCCAAAAGGTCTCCTGCAGCACCCTGCCCCTCCCCTTCTACCAAATGTACATCATCGTCTCCACCTTCTACAAGAGGAGGCGCCTCTGCCTCAGGAGCGGCCTCTCCCTCACCAGAGGGTTGCTGCCTTCCTAGTTTTTTGTTCTTGCGTGTTGAAGACTCATCAGGTATGAGAATGTACTCTGAATCTCCACCAGGTTCAGACTCATTCTGCATTTCATCAGCTGATAAAGCGAAAGCCTGCTGTTCCTGCTCCAGTTCTACTTTCATCTCATCATCTGCCTGTTGATGTAGTTGTGCAACCTCTTGCTCTTCTCTATCAGGGTCGTTGCTGTTGCTCATCTTCATCTCTACATCTTTCTCAAGAACAAGCTGCATATTAGCATCTTCACGGAGGTCAACACGCTGCTTCGGAGGTTGTTCTGCTTCGGTTGTACCGCGTTCTCGTTGCAGCAGTTCCTCTGCTTCGGTGAGCGTCGCATCTTCTTCAGCAACGGCAATGTCGACATCTTCTACTATGTGAAAAGTTGGCTGTAGGTCACGTCTTTCTTGCTGCTCTTTAAGAAGCTTTTCGTGCTCTTTCTGTTTCATCTGCAGTTCTAGACGCTTTTTCTCTTCTTCCTGCTGCCTCAGGAGATTATCCTCCTCTTCTTGCTGCTCCTTAAGAAGCTTTTCGTGCTCTTCCTGCCTGCGACGAATTTCTTCTTTTTGTTGGTGAAGACGCTTTGCTTCCTCTTCTTGCTCTCTGAGCAGCCTGTCTTGCTCCTCTTGTCGTCGACGAATGCTTTCTTGCTGCTCGGTGAGACGCTTAGCCTCCTCTTCTTGCTGCTTAAGGAGTCGACTCTGCTCTTCCTGCCTACGACGAATATCCTGCTCTTGTCTTCGAAAGCGCTCGTCCTCCTCTTCCTCTCGCTTACGAAGCTTATCCTCCTTCTTCATCTGCTTACTACTTCTACGACGCCTTAGCTTCTGTTCCTGCTCCTGTCGTAGAGACTCCTCGCGTTGCTCCCGCGCCGATAGTAGAGCTTCCGTAAAGGTCCCCTCTCCCGGTCTACTGGCCCGCAAGGACTGAGCATGCTCCAGAAGGCCACCAGGAGACGCCTGCTCCCGATGATCAACATCTGAGGCCTCTCGTACTGAGCGACGTGGTCCTGCCTCTCTCGATCTCGAACCTAGTGAAGATTCGTCCACCTGCACCTCCATCGGCTGTTCAATAGGTTCATCTGGTCTTCGTTTTTCAAGGACAGGTCCTGGTCCTTGTCTTTCAAAACCACGATGTTTTGAGGATCTACTTTTCTTACCAGCACCTGTACTTGTTGTTGTTGTACTAGAAAAAGCTTGATCGTGCAAAGAACTATTATTACTACTTGTACTTCCGCGATGATGAGGTTGATAATGCAAGACTTGCGCTTCTTCATCTCGAGTCGTAGGAAACTGCACGACCTTTTTGTTCTTAGTAGAAGTGGATGAAAGAATCTTTTGTGGCGCCACACCACCACCACCAGGAGTTCGTTGTTCCGATGTAGAAGTTCTTTGCCGCTTCACCGATGTTTTTGCCGGCGGACCCTCAAAGACCTGTGGTCGTGGAGGCGCAGGAGTAGCTCGTTGAACTGGGAAAGAGGGAGTCACAGGAGGTGATGTTGATGTAACGACCCTAGAAGTTGTACTATCTTCGTCTTCTGCGGAGCCGGGATGTGGCCGCTTCATCTTTATTGTTCGCTGACGATCTTGTCCACCAACAGGAGGAACAACACCAACACCAGCTCCAGGACTACCACTGTGGTCACTTCTGCTTTCTTCCCTCTCCAACTTTGCTCGGACGACTTCCTCGCCGAATAGAGGTCCATCAAATTGAGAACTCGAGGAAGATGCATCCTGTTCCTGCTCAAGAACTTGGAAGCCACGACTCCCACCAAGTAGTCCCGAAGATGTTACTCCAACATCATGATCTTCCTCTAGAACTACGAGGTGTCGTCTCCCAGTCTCTGAAGAGGTAGCGGAGGATCCTTCGAGCTCCTGTCGTCTCCTTGTATCTGAGGAACCGGTAGCTGAGGATCCTTCCCCTCTTCCGGGTGGCTTCGATGGTGGGCCATACCTAGGACGTGGGGGAACGAAGGTCGCTCCTTGCGTAGACCCTTGACCACGGTCGTGAAGGTATGTATCTGTATCTGTATGATCTCCGTCACTGCTCTTTGCAAACAAAAAGGGACGGCGAGCAGATGGCAAACTCGTTGGACGTACCATCGTCTTCTTGCTTTATCGAAGTTATCAACTTCAAGTTAAGATGTGGAACGAGACTGATCATGTTGATGCCAACTTTCAAAATATAGCCTCATGTCGGGTATCTTTGCGCCTCCACCTGTTCTTGGGCAGAATCTAAGAACCGAGTACAGCCTATTATAGTCCTAGGGGATGTCTCAATTGGTCGACGGAGAAAGAAGTGAGACATCTAGTAAGAAGTATAAATATGAATATCATGATCGATAGTGAGGTGAGTTTGTTTCTGTTACAATATGGAGGATTTTGCGCCTAAAACATGAAGAAACATACAAGAAGTTGCAGGCACAACTACTTGGAATCAGACGACGTAAAACTTTATGGGAGTTCGGTGCTGTTAGGAGGACGGTGTGGGACCCAGGAGAACAGTCACGGAAATCATGACTGATGACAGAAACGGATATACCATCTTCCTGTGATAATGTTGCTCAGACAAATCACCGATCATGTCTAGCAGCACACCTCCTACGTAGATGGAACCGACCTAGACTGCTTACGCACTACAACAACTTGAGGATCATATCCCTCACTATAATTGCTTCTCCTGCTTAATAGCACGCTCCCGAACACAAATAATCTAACCATGTGGTCTCTCGGATCTTTCACACATTTTTTTTCAGTTTTGCTTTTCACCGATTGAAAACAGATGGAAAACAGATGAAACAAAATTCTCCTGATCTTCCCCTGCAAATCTTCCTCCACATGCTTCTAGGCATATAACGCTGTTTTCCTACTGCATTGTCGCGTTGTTAATCATGGACTCATTTTTGTTCTTATGACAGGTCGTGAAGGCGTCATGTTCTTGCGCTGTCATGCTGAAATCACGATATCATGCTCATGTAGCTAGTTTTTTGACCATGTTGTTGTTCCCCAAAGAATCCCTGTCCGTACACTTTTCTACACCACGCCCTGGCCGTATCTATTCAATTGCACAACAAAAGCAATGATGAGTTGTTGTGTTTTGATGACATTGAGACATGATCACATGAAGATACAGAAGAAGAAGTACTGCGTAAGCAGGAATTTACAAGTGTCCACTTAAAGAACGCCGAAACCACTAAGCCAACTGCACAGTTCGCTTAGTGGTTTAGGCGTTGACCTGTACACTTATCAATCTGCTAGCTTTGCTTACTTATATCATGACGATGCGAAGTTATGCGGCAAACTGCCGAGGATTTCCCTGGCGACTTCTACCCGCTAGTCTAGCTTGTTTTTGGGTTGTCAGTGGTCTTTCGAGTGATCCTGCCGTTCCTGACATCATGGAGCTTACTTAAAAATATGATGATATGCTTCTTCTAGATTTTCGCAAGCAGATTCGCCGCTCCTTCAGCATTCGCTTTGTTATCCCTGGAAGAAGTGGCGTCCTTATGATCTCCTTCTCCAACAACTAGAGTGAGTTCGGCAACCGGCATCGGGACAGCGCAGAACGTAATGTCTTTGCGATTTCGCACTTCGAATTCTAGAAGGAATTTTCGGGAATTTTTCGGGGCTCCACTTTCTCCTCCTCCAGCACGACCTAGAAGTAAGTCTTCCGCAACACTACTTGGTAAGCTGAAAGGTCCATGCTGACGCGTTTCTTTAGGCGGTGGGTCAATGAAGTCGTGCAGGACTATCGTGTTGTTTGAGGAAGTTGTTGTTGCATCGCTACAACTAGTCGTAAGTGTTTTCAAAACACAGCGTGTCGGCAGTGTTTCACGGCCTAGTTCCTCCCAATCGCCGCCTAGTGGGACTGCCTCGGAACCCATGTACGTGATGTACAGATTCAAACATTTCTTGGTCGTAGAACTGCTGGCTCCAGTGCCAGATCCAGCAGAACTAGTGTTTGTAGTGCCAGCTGTCCCGGCATCAATCAAATACAAAGCTCTAGCCGTGGGCCAGACGCAGGAGCCCCAACGCAAGCACGCCCTACGCGTCTTTGGGAGTAGCTCGGCAGCAATGCGATCGTGGTCGGAAGCCAAGGTTTCGTAGATCTGCGAATAATACATCTGATCAACCACTGCTGATCGAACTAGAGAAGTCACGTGGGATTGCGACATGATCTTCATCTTCTTCTTGCCGTTGTCAAGAACCATCTGGTTGTAGTTCATCTTTCTCTTGTTGTTGTCGTCCTTTGAATCCTTGGAGACTCCTTCAGAAGTGTTTGAAGAAGTACTGTTGTTCTGCTTTGCCCCCATCAAAACTACATGAACAGCATCGTTGTAGTTTGAGCTGTTGGGCGGTGGAGCAACGAAGACCGGACGAATTTGCAGCATTGTAGAAGATGAAGAAGTAAGTATAGAAGACGTAGAAGATGCAGAAGTAGACCCACTTGTTGAAAGGAATCCGTTCGGAAAGATTAGCTGCAGATCTTGTAACGAGGGTTCCCGCCGCGCATCTTCTCCAGTGCTGCTACAATTAGAGGGATCGGGAATTCATCTCAGGGATCATCTGGGTCCCTTTTTCCTCTTGTCTTTCTCTTCCAGATGACTTATTTGGAGATGAATTCCCTACACCCATAATACAAGCAGCTGGCACTGCCAAGACAAAGTCGTCGTACACTTCACCCACGGAGAGATAGGCGGCAAATCGACCTTCTGGTGCTCCAGCCTCGTCTCGTACTCCTGCACTCGTTGTACCCAGAGAACACCACAGCAAATCTGCAAATGCGCCACGCTGTCGGTGCTGTCCGCCAAGTCGTGTAGAGGTTTGATAGCCGATTATTGCGTACAGCAATCTACACACGCTCAAGACTTCCGCATATAGCATGCTCTCGGAGTCAAAGGGATCGCTTCGCTGTGCTCGGTCGGGAAGCACACACAGTGGACGAGATCCCCGTTTGGAGGAATCGAACATGTTCATGCTGTCCTGTTGAGCGAGCGAAGATGTCGTGAGAAGCGTTGCTGGTGTCTCTTGTTGTGCTTCTACGACTGCAGGTGGTGAAGCAGTTCCTGACTTCTGCGGAGAAGATACGCCGCTGCGGAGGGAAGGTGTCGCACTTGATGCGTGGGATGAAGCTGCATGGGAGGAAGCTGCTGTAGTTGTACTTTTACTAGATGTTGATGAAGAAAATAGTGCCATGTTTCTCCGACGCACGAGTTCATCGTAGTAGATGCGCAACTTGAGCATCATCATGCGCCAATTCACAGTGTGGGTCATACGAGGAGTCGCATCTAGAAATGGCCGAATAACGTCCTCAAAGGCTGTGAATGTTGAGAAACGCTCGTTTTTTCGCTGGAGAGAAGGAGGTGTTGCACTTGCAGGAGCATCCCCTCGACGTCCTCCTAGTTCTTTAATACTTCTACCAGAATCCACTACTTTGTCTTTGACCTGCTCTTCTCCTCTAAAGTTCCAATCTTGCCGTTCCATATCGAAGAGTAAAGTAGTCATCCACGCCACCGCTTCTTCGTCCCACAGCAAGCACAAGAAACGACAGTACTCCTCCAATCCCTGCCGAAGAGCAGTTGGAACTGCAGTGTCGTTCTGGACAAAAATACCACAAATTTCTAGCAAAGAAGTTTCAGTAGTAGATGACAGTGTGCTAGAAAGAGCTTTCTCGTCTCTATTTCTGGTACTTGCATCACCTCCTTCATCCGTCCCCTCCCAAGCTGCAATGAGTGCTACGAACTTATTCACATCGTCAGATACGCCTTCCGAGTAACAACCCAGCATGTCCGTGACGCTTTCGCCTTGTTTCAGCATGGCCCAGAGAAACTGCGGTCGCACCGTGATCGGTTCACGGCCATGACACAGGGCCAACGGCACAGACCACCCTTGCTGCGGGAACTCACACCCCACACAATGGCACAAATCTGGATAGCGTCTCAAGCGAAACCGACTGGGTACACGATCGCGAAATTCGGTGTAAGCGTAACTGCTCCAAGGCCCATAGACAATGCCCTTTAAATTCGCCTTTGTAGCGAGCTCTTCTCCGTGCTTTTCTAAGATATCAAAGAAGGAGTCCTCGCGTTCGCGCGGCTGCCACTTCTCTGTATCTAAATCCACTGAATGCGACAAACCAAATTGCGTGCTGACCCACGTCTCAAAGAAGATAGGCTCCCGGCGTTGTGTGCCCAACATTCGCTGTCTCTGCTGAATGAAGAACTCGCTCTGTTCTTTCGCGATATGCCTTAGCAAAACCTCTGGCGGATGGCCACCGGGATCGCCCCCAGGAACAAACAAGACATCCAACCGTGGTAAATGGGAGAAAATCTGGTGATTGTTTTGAGTGAGTATCTAAATAGTCGTAACTCCTGAGATGCAGTTTTTCTCTCGTCTACCAAGCGGTGGTCGGACAAAGCGATATTAAGACAACGAATCCAGGAAGAGGTTGATAAACTGTGGCACAGACAGTCCAGAGCTGACTAGTTTTTGCCTAATTACTTTTAGTTTATAATTCAGTGGGAGTACGCACCGTGCTACTCGTCGAATCTAAAAAAGTACTTAACAGCAATTTAGTACCAACTCCCAATGCTTTTTCGCTGCTTCTAGTGCTGGCCCTGCTGAGTAATCCATGAAGAACGCTGGATACCAAATCGACACCATGATATCCAGTTGGTCGCAGAAGTCGCTGACTTCTCTGAGCATTTCGAGCCAGTCAGTCGGGCCAAAATTCGGACTGAAATCTGCATCGTCCAGGCCAGGAGGAATCACTTCGATACTGTTGCAGCCAAACCAAACACAATCTAAAATTTGTTGGCGCATCTGCTCAACGGAGAAGGCGTCGTAGGCATTGGTCTTGGGTCGATAAGCAATCTGGTGTTGGCGGACAGCAATGCGAGGCTTTGTGACACGGATGGTTCTTTGCTGATCACCTGCAGTAGAAGAAAATGCCTCACAAGTCTCGTCTGGAAACAAACAATACGCAAATGTCGTCTTCGATGCGTAGGATTGCTCATGCCCTAAGCGACACAGTCGCAGAAACCGTCCAATCCCGAATAGCAGACCGCGACAAGATTTTGCTGTGATTGTTACTCCACACGGTGACGACGACGACGCCGTCTTGGTGCTCCTGTAGGAAATTTCAGAGGTTTCGTCCAGTAAATTGTAATGCGACCGTGTCGGATCGTGTCTGAAAGCATCGGCGCTCGTTCGAAGAGAACCAGCAGTCAAACGCAGAGAGATTTGCGGACGCGCCGCATTCGTTACAGTCTGACTGTCAAGGTTGCCTTCGGGAGGACCTCCAGCACTGATGACCCTAACAGCCTGTGCTCCTAACAGTGTCCGCTTTCGAACTTCCTCTGAAAATAGTGATGCATAGAGTTCTACACGCTGTTTGGCAGCAACAGCGTTCGCTCCGCAAGATGAATCGATGACGATATCGACACCCTGGGAAAAATCGAATACGCATTGAGGAGCTTCCTCTTGGATTCGTGCCAAGCGACGGCGCGCGCGCTCGCCATAAGACGGCGCTGAGGCCTCACCCTCTTTCCAATTGTCGAGCCACCCCATCACTTTAGTTTTGGTTTTCTTTCTACTTGAGGAAAATATTAATACCACGTTCAAATAAGTAAGTACTTATACTTTAAATTTCAAGGAAAGCAGCTGGAAGAACTGATTGGAGTTGGCCGAGTTAGACGGAGTGGATACGAAAATATATCCCACTAGATAGACTTCTCTAGATAGATCTGCATCATAGATCTGCATCTTTGAGAATAGGTGTCTTAGTCTTTATAAGTTTCAAGATTTTATTCGGTGAAGGACTACACAACAATGCAAGTCAGCAACACCAGAAAAATTCATGAACTAGCTATGCTTTACACGGTAATGGTGGAAGGGAGCGACAACACAATGGAAGATATGAAGATTCACCTAAGGAGTATGTAAAAATGGGTAAAACATCATATGTTGTGAGCCTGAATATCACGAGCGCAGTTAGCATGTTTCGGAATTCCCAAGGCTTTATTTGCTGATGCCCAGGCAGTGAAGCGAGAAGAAAAAAAGCAAAAACAAGGGTCACTATACGATGCACATGCAGTCATTCGAATTAATAAGTGGGAACTCCCTCTCCGCTTTGCCATTACACATTCTCACCACCGAAAATACAGACAGACCATGCTCTCAACGACAGAAAAAAAGAAACCACTTCCCCAAGCAGTATCTCTCTGCACAGAAATCCACATACGAGAGATGGACAGAAAAACGATGATAGAACTTCATCTTTATGTTCTCTCGAGACCACGACAGATTTTCTATTAAATCTCGTAGCACAAGGAGAGCGTGACCGTTCACAGCGGTAACATCTAGTTACTCGCTCGCACATCTGATCTATTCATCACCAAGGGACCACAGATTTATGAATTTTATGCTAGTAGAGCGCAGAATGTATGAATGACATTTGACAGATGTTTCTTCCAAATCAATTCTTTCAAGCCAAGACCAACAAGAGGCTGAGAATTCTACCAAAACAACAACAACGACGAGCATTTCTTGAGTATGAAGGTCTAGAAATATAAATGAGAGCTTCTTGAGTAAAGCATTCATAGTGCTATCAGGTGGTTTCCGCCATCCACGCGGACCGTGATTGACGTAGTTCTAAATGGAGATGTTATAGACGACTCAGATGACCGCTTGCACCGAAGGCAACTTCCGAGTGCAGATGAACAATATCTACTATGCTTCATGAACTACTTCTTCCTCCTCCTCATTGTGTTATAATTCTAGTACATCTACCATTACAACTCATAACTCTGATGTCTTGTGCTATTAATACAACAACTCGAACAAAATTTTGGACCACGCATTAGCATAATTTCACTGTACCAAAACATCAAAACTACAACATATATATCGTTATCAAGGATTCACCTAGGCTGATCGTACTGCTTAAACGGAGTGGTTAAGATAGATCTGCTCTTGAGAAAGAAACTAATCTCAACCTCTTCAGTAACGAAAGTGTAATCTATGTTGTTTCCATCTTCGTTATTTCCATGTTATGCTAAACAATATGATGGGAATCTATCTGCTCTTACCACGTAGAAGCCCTAGCCTCGGAAACACGTCCCCGCGTCTCAATGGCCCCTGCAGTGCCTCTCCTCCCTCCCGTTGTGGCATCGCCATGCGCGGCTACTTCTATGTAGTAATATGATCATTTTCTTTCGGAAATTCCTAGTTCTAGTGGAGAGACATAATTGATTCTTCCAGTGCTTGTTGAATTCTTCATAATATTGTCATTTATCCCTTAAGTCAGTGTAAGGAAATCGGCCACTTTTATACTGCTTCTAAGTAATGTCTAAGTATATGCGAAACACAAACACCTGATACAATTCTTTCTTGTAACAAAACTGACAAAACAAAATAAACAAAACCTCAAAACTAAACTCTGTTGGTCAAGGTCATAATCCTAATGGATTCACAAAGATCACAAGGATAAAGATCAGCAAAATGACCAAGATCGCCAGGCAAAAGGTTACCGGAGCACCATCCAAACGCCCGACGGGTTTACCGTCGCGCGGGTGTGTCTGGCTTCTCCTCTCTCTCTCGTTTGTGGCTCAAGCCTCCCAACACAGTCAAGGACAAAACAACACCGGAATGATCTCGAAGATAACCTACAGACCTAAATGCATATGGTTCCAAAATCAGTGATCAACAGGCAAAGGACCTTCAACGTATTCAGATAGCAGGAATGATGAATGTTTCATAGCTGTAGTCAGGTCCATAACGTCTTGTCAAGTTCTGATCAATGATGAATGCCAGTGCATGATGATCGTATGAATCAATGATGATAGCATAAGCGTTTCCATATGAAGCATATGAAAGGTTCCCCATGCAACATGGTATCCCAATGATGAAGCTGAGACTTCTTCCTTGCAACCCCAATGACCATCCACAAGGATCAAAGCAGCCAGAGATCATTAGTCTCAGGCTGTGAGTGCAAATTGTGC